TTAGTTAAACATTTGAGAATGATATAAAGCACTTAATCTCATTTTTAAAATACTTACATTATAAACCACAACAGGTACTTCCCCTATCTCAGGAATAGAGCTGTCTTCGGGAGGATTTTCACGAGACTTTGTACAACAGTAACATTGTAAACCAAGGGCAGTAGCAACAATCGAAAGATATTTGAATGTTCCGACTGAATTAGATCCTGTTAGAACACAAAGGCATTGGAGAGAATTTGAGTTGGAATAACCAGAGATTGTTGGGATGTAAAGACATTAACTCACCTGATGTCCCATAGATTTGTGGGAGTACTGTGTGTGTTTGTTGTCATAACTTTCAACTGCATTAGTCTGAGTATAACTTCTGGGGTCATCGTCCCAGAGCCCTTGGTCTGTTGTCATCAATGTCACATGTTCATTTTTTACCTTTGGCAAAATATTGTCACTCCATGATCTATGATCAAAGGGATATTTAAAGATGGTGTTTTGGTTTATGACAAGGGATCTGGGATTTTCTGTAGCTGACTGATCAAAAAACATAAATTAATCTGGAAAAAAATTAAATTAATCTCACACGGCTTTTATTTCTCTTCCAGCTTTTACCGTTTACTGTGAGATGTACACTCAACACCAGGGTGTGGTCTTTTTGCCTGAAGCTGTAGAAGCCGTTGTCTGCCTGAGTGAGCTTTGAGATCCTCCAGATGTTATTCTTGACTTTTCCTCTTTTCTCATCACTGCTCTGAAGGTCCGTGTTATTCCACAGGATCACTGGCTTGTGCTGACTGTCTAGCTCTGAAGTGAACTCCAGGTATTGAGTTTCTGTTGAGACGTTATAATCCAGCTCATCCCCATAAGACCCTTCAACACAATCTGAAGCTGCAAATGAAGGAAACAGGATCAGCCTAATATTAGAGATTATGGACAGCGTAAAGTCTTTTCTCTTAAAGGGGTCCTAGAACTGTTCTTTGAGCCTCTATCAGATGAAACTTTGTTGAGGCTCACAATGGCCCAGGAGACATGACAAATGGCCAAATAGCACCCAGTAGAAAACTAGAATGAGTATTAAATGAGCTGTCTGCTGATTGGCCAGTCTACCCCGATGATTATATGATGAATGATATACCTGAAAAAAACTATAACGAGGGGTTGACGAGAAAGTATTGGGTTGTACTACATTGATCTGAGGGGAGGGGCACACACAAGGAAGTGTTCTATGCTTTGGTTGGGGGGGTGGGGGGGGGGGGGGATCAGCCGTCAGACTGGACTGCAAGCTATGGATTTATCTGGCATTCATTCAAAGTCTGTATATTCCCAGTACACATCTTGGAACATGAGTGATACTCCTACATTCTTCTTTGCTGCTTTCCTCATGTCCCACAAGAACATTAGCAGTAGCTCAAGATACCCTTAGCAGTTCCTTGAGCTAGTGTTGTTTTGTGGTTAGCATGTATCTTAACATGTTTATTACCAACTGGGTCTAGACATGTGAATTTTAAGCAGTTGTGTCTAAGTGGACTGTAGCCACTGCAACGTGTTATTACAGCTCTAGTCAGTCTTGAGTGTCTCTCAGCGGCCATTACAAAATTACTGATTACAGTTTTTCTCAGTCGCTTTGGTGCGTTTCTCAGAACACTATTAACATTTGCACAGCAGTTAGTGCATTTCTCAAAACAATTAGTGCAAACTGCAAAACCAAGTGGATAGCCTGCAAAAGCATGTCACATGCTCAAAATTGATAATCCATTCCTCAAAAGCAAGTATTCATGTCAATGAAACTTTCAGTGCCATCAAAATGAAAAGTCTTGACACCATCTCTATGAACAAGATAGTCAAATGGCTTTGTCATGTTTTCACTATGACAGTTTATAATTTCAGTGTTTTCCATTGCAAGAATATTTGGTGACACCAGAAAATGCTCAAGACAGCACAATGCCCTACTTGTACAGCCATTTGAAATGTGCAGTAAAGTTACTGTAGATGTTATGGGAGTTTTGGGAGTAACTGAGACACTGAATACTTACGTTTTACATTTTTACTGTATAGAAGTGTTTGTAATTCTACAGCATTGTGCAAAAGGAAAATATGTTACAGTCACTTGTTTACTGTAGAATACATGTAAACAAAAAATCACCCTTTTGGTAGAGCTGTGCACAAATGTGAACAATATACAGTACATGTAACAGTACATACAGTATTGCACAGTACTGTAACATACAGGTACAGTAAATCATTCTGGCACATCCAGACGTTCCTGTCTGTCTGGCCACATATTTTCATCTACATCACCACGGATGTCGTCCCCCGCAATGCAGCGAGGAAAGTATCTCCTGGAGTGGAGAAGTATACAGAAGTATAGAAATGGTACACACTAGCTCCTGCTCAGTTCATATATGCTTGCCAATTGAGGATTCACCTCCTCATGAGTGACAGATGAAATTCACCTGTGATCAATTGTTCAATTTAGGAGACATTTCCAGAATACAGTTTTTCTCAGTCGCTTTGGTGCGTTTCTCAGATCAGAATTAAAATTCTCATAACTATTAGTTCAACCTCCACAACATTTAGTCATTTGTGCACATCATAGTAGCAATTTCTCCTTTCTCCGAACCAACTGCAAATGATTTTGGACATGTATCAGTTGCTTTCATACATTTCTCTGCTGTTTTTTGACATTTCCATTTGCTTATGTCATGTCAGTCAAAATGAATTATACTTATGGATGCTGAATAGTCACTCTCAATAAAACTAATAGTCTTACTTTCATTACTTGAGTCATTACACACAAAATTGTTGAACTAGTTATCAAATGTCAAATATCAGTCATCTGTCAAGCAAATTCTATACCTATATACAGAGCATGGAACCCTCAGGTCTTCTCTATGGTGACAACACTGCTTACAAAAAGCATACATTCTATGTATTTTACCAATACAGCCCATTTTTTAGTTAACAAATCACACAAAACAACTCAATCACCACATTTTGAACAATAATAATTAATTAGTGATTACATTTTACATTCCTATACCAGCTGTTAGGTGTGTGGTTTAAGTTGATGTTAATCCTAAGGCAAATTGTACTAAAGCTGAAAAAGCATTTTGTGTGAAACGAAGTTTTAAATAGTCGTCCTCAAAAAGAGACGAATATAGAAGTACTTACAGTTTGTGGAGCAAATTTACATAAATCAGATCCTCATTCATGTTCTGCTGTTTAGCTCCAAATCATATGTAAACAAACATGATTGAAACCCAAATACACTTTTATTTTGAAGGAAGTCACTGTTTAGTTTAAAAACTGTGAGAAACCATTATATGCATATTAAATAAGCTAATAATGATGGCTTTTATACTCACACTAATGTTTTTAAGCAACTTTTTTACATTTATTTTATACCATAAATGTATTTCTGACACAGATTAGAACTCTGTTAAAATGTAACTTTGATTTAACGTGTTTGTCAACAGCCTGATAGGATGACAGCAATATCACATCCCAAGATGCCGGCTACATTGAGGTGAAGTGTACAATCTTGGAAAAGATGCACATGCCCACAACATGCCCTACAGGTTAGAAATTGTAAGTTGCTTTGGATAAAGGCGTCTGCTAAATGAATAAACATAAACATAAAAGCCATTCAAAAATTCAAAGGTTTGACCCCTTTCTGCAGGCCCCCTCCCTACAGTCTCAGAATCTGATGGTTGCAGAAAATGGCATAACACTGGATACAGTCGATAGGCTACTGAGCAACAACCATAAAAATACATTATTTTATATTTTTAACCTGAGGTTGGCACCTTTTCTGCCATGATTCCTGTTGTAACGCACCTAGACACCAAAGATCATTTGCTGCTGTGGCCCCGATGTGTGGCCCCCAGACTCTGGAACTCTCTCCCCCTGAGCCTGAGATCAGTGGACTCAGTGGTCTCCTTTAAGAAGCAGATGAAGACTCACCTGTTCAAGCTGGCTTTGGTGTGACCATCACCCTCCTTATTCTGCTTTCCCTACCTACTTCACTTTCCTCAGGATCCACTGATTTCCCTCTTTCTTATTAACTCTTTCACTACATTTTTTAATCACAAATGTCTATTTTTACTTCTTTTAAACATATTTTGAATAATTTTCTAAATTCTTTTTTATATTTAAAGGTTTTTTTGTGAAGCGCCTCGTGATTTTTATCTTGAGAGGCGCTATAGAAGAGATTGTTTCTTCTTCTTCTAACTTATGTAGACGGTTAGCTAAGTGCGTTACAAAAGGAACGTCTGGAAAAGGTGTCCTTCAAACCTGAGACAACTGGAGCAGTTTGCTCATGGGGAGTGGGCCAAAATACCTGCTGAGAGATGCAGAAGTCTCACTGAGAATTACAGGAAGATTGCAGTGATTTCCTCAAAAGGTTATACAACAAAATATTAAGTTACGTATACCATCATTTTTCTCCAGGCCTGTTCCAGGAGGGTTCAACAAAAAAAAGTCTGGGAACCAAAAGTGGTCTGGACTAGGTATTCATTCATGAGGTCGCCAGTCCTCCATAATTTAAGATCTCTGGAACAGCGTTTTTAAATAACTACAGATTGTCGTTGGTTTTCCATGAAATTCACTAGCTTTGGAAAATTGTCTTGAATATATATGTAGGATAAAATCTTTGCAGCCCAATTGCTGTTTCACCAGTTTAATTTAAAAAAAACTGTGTTCAGCAGTGGATTGTGAAGCATTTATTTGGTATTTTAATTTATCTCTTCTTGTCTTCTTTATTTCAACGCCTTCAGTTATCTTTTTACACATTCACCTGACTCAGTTCTGGGCAGGGTACTGAAGCTGTGATCATATATATATATATATATATATATATATATATATATATATATATATATATATATATATATATATATATATATATATATATATATCAATTATTGTTATTAATGTTTTTTCTTTTCTTTTGCATTCTGCAGAAAGCGACCTCCTGGCTGGAACTATGTCCATCGCCATGACGCGGGGGGGTCAGTGCGCATGCGCGTTCTGCAGACAACCGCTTCTGCTGCTACTGCTGCTTCTGCTGCTTCCACTTGTCTTCATCCACGCTAATTCTGGAACATTTCGGGCGGTGGATCGGTTTTAATAATCGTGCAGGTGAGTTCTAATGAGATCATCATGCACTGAGCCACCAATTACTGACAAAAGGTCAAATCGTCCCGTTGTTTGGTTGTGAATGACGTTCGGGGGCGGAGAAACCTGTTTGACACCTGAGTGGACTTTAGATTGGACCAGATGGGTGACAGCGCTGGCTCTGTGTGTGTGTGTGTATGTGTGTGTGTGTGTGTGTGTGTGTGTGTGTGTGTGTGTGTGTGTGTGTGTGTGTGTGTGTGTGTGTGTGTGTGTGTGTGCGTGCGCGCGCGCGTGATGGTAGGCTGTGCACAGACGCAGTTTTAGCAGATCTCCCTTCCTCCTCCTCTTGCAGCTTGTTGATTGATGAAGGCATGTGATGTTCCGACTGGCCGCTTGTTTTCAGAGCGGAGGGTGGGAGTGAATGACAATTATGTTTACAGATGCAACAACCTGCTGTGTTTACAGGAGAACATGTTCACCGACGTGCTCCTGATCGCACTTTCCACCCTCCATCTGTGTGCAGGTAAAATCTGAGCAACCTCTAGTTTCATGTCATCGTTTAATTACAGCTCTATAGACCAGTTAGCTGTTTATTTTTAATGTTGTTACCAGTAATGAGTAATGGAAATCATAATAGGCACTGGAGTGTTGATCATGGTCCCTATAGGCCGATTATTTTAAGTAAAAAATTTGTTTGGAGGTTCTGAATTATCCAAAGATATCAGTTATGTATTATTTTATACTGTTAGAGTTGCATGAAAGATCAAACTGTGTTTTTATTCTCCCTGCAGGTTGGGAGTTACTTGGTGAGTCAACAGCTTTGTTTCACCACTAAACGTTTATCTTTATAAAGACTTTTAAACGTCAGAGCTTTAACGTCTTTCTTCTGCGGCCCGTCAGGTGAAAGGGAAAAAGTCCAAACGGTTTGTGTTGGGAAGGAATTTCGGCTTCCGGTGGACTCAACGTCCAGGATTGTGACATTTACACCGGATGGGGATGGGGTGAGACGCATCCTGCTGGAGAAAACCACAGTGAGTAGGAGTTTTGTGTATTTTAAACAAAGAATGATCTTATTTTAAAACTCTGGTAGGTAGGAGAGTTTCTTGTTGGATAACCATTGATCTGTGTTGTAATGAAGCAAAGTGACCAGACGGTCTTGTCTGCGACTGCAGGTGAAGGACCCGCGGTTTGAGTGGACCAGAGACAAGACCTTAGTCCTGAAAGAGGCGACTCACAGCGATCAGGGGGTGTATGCCAACAAACTGTCTCACCTCTTCACATACGAGACGGTTCATCTGATTGTTTCAGGTCAGCTTTCCCTGCATGTCAGGATAATCAGACGTTTGAATCTCAACATTGCTCTAAACTTCCTGTTTCTGTCCCGCACCAGAATGCATCAGGCCCTACCGTAAAAGCTACGGGGAGACCTTTGAGCATGGGATTCCTGAAAATGCTTCCCTGCTGGAGTTTTATCCCCGTGGGGCTCCACCTGAGGCCATGCCGATCGTCTTGTGGAACCGGACGAACCCTGAAACAAGCGACGCTGGTCGGGGGCGGCTGCTGCGAGGAGGGAGGGTCTGGTTGGCGGAGAAAGTCACGCAGGCGGATCAAGGCAACTACACCATAAAAGACGACGACGGGAACGTACTGTCTCGTAGCACCCTCTCAGTTCGTGGTGAGCTCCAGAGCTTTGAGAGGATTCTGTTTTTCGTTTTTTGGCAACAATAGGATGATAATTTTTTTCATCCTCTTTGTATCTGTTACTCTGTCATACCTCCATGTCTCCTCCATCACCCACTGCTGCTTTTGATCTGCATCCTAATGCAGGGCACTCCTTCAATATTTCTCGCTTCACCAAGGAGTCTCTAACCCTTCCCTTATTTCTCCCTCTCCATCACGCCCATCTCATTTTTACCCCAAGTCGAATTCCAGATGAGTCGTCCCTGGGCCCTTTCGACCCAAAGCCCCCCCGCGGCCCCGTGCAGCTGCTTCGCGAGGGCCACATAACGGACCACGACCTGCGCTACAGAGGAATCGTCTCTCTGAGCAGGAACGGATCCATCCATGAGGTCGTCATCATCAGACTCACATCAAGACATGACGGGCTGTACGAAGTCAGAGACGGGGATGGAAACCTCGTGTCTTCCACGTATTTACACATGATCGGTGAGCAGCGCTGCGCATTCACCTGGAAATTAACTTCCTGCTCAGTTGTGCAAAGTTTATCCAATTTCTGTCCCATCTGTCTTTCTGATCTCAGAAAAAAGGGGAGGGACGTGGCGAGCGCTCTTCAAGTCCATTTCTGTCCCATCTGGAATGTTTGTGTCGCTGGCCGGTTTCATCCTGTTTATGAAGCGCTACCCAAACTGCAGCCTGTCACAGATCATCACGGGCATCAGGACAAACCGCGCGGCGCCATCCAACCCTCCCAGGGTCAACATCCAGGTGAGGAGGACAGAACTCCACCTTGTGTAGCCCCGCCCACTTTTAGTCTCCTGCCATAGATTAAATGGTATTTCTGATTCTGAGCTTGCATCATGTGCAAATATGCATCTTTTAAATCAAATAGCCCTTTGGAAAGCTGACGCACAGCAGGAAGAGCAAATCAAACCACAACATGTCCTATGACTGTTAGTAAAAGTGAAGTTAAAATTAATTTAGATGTATTTATAAAGCACTGTTTGGAAGATCAAAACTCCCAAAGAGCTGTAAATAAACACTCTTAATGATCCAGGAAATAAAATCTAGGTAAAAAAGCTGAGTTTTATTCTGTGTTTGTTACTGCAGAACTACAGTCAGACCCTTCAACAGCCTCCAGCCTACTATAGCCATCCCGAGCATCCTGTTACACCAAGAAAATGGACCCCAAGAGCCAGTCCTGCTCACTCTGTAAGGCTTATCATCGCTTGGGGGGGCTGGAACAGAGTTGAGTGTCTAAGCACATTGTTGTTGTGTACTTCCAGGGCTACACTCCTGTTCTGATGGAGACGGTGGGAGATGAAAACCAGGAACTGCAAAGACTGACAGCTGGTAGCTCCCCTCGTCATAATGTGACCACTGAGGTAAAACAGCAGAGTTGTGATGGATGGCAAGTTACGCGCTTTTTCAAATCCATTGCTGTCGCACCTCTCCAGCAGGAAAAACCTACAGAGGAAGAGGAAAATATTTCCTTTTCTGTTCCTGGAGCGTCAGACTGCCTCCATTCCTGCGAGGACTGTGTCCAGTTCCAGATCAAGAAAGACGGAGATGAGGAAAGGTGGAGCAAATCCAACAACTTCTTTTCCGCGCTGCCTCTAGATACGGACACTTCTGAATCTTGCAGTGTTTACACATCAAATAAACTGGACTTTCTATAAAAACGGAGGCTAGGATGAGATGAGAAGTGAAGCTTGAGGCATGGAAATATTACAGTAGATGATTCTAAGCTGACATGAACAATCTCATGTGCACCAGTTTGCACAGTTTTAATTCTTGGGTTTGTACTGAGTTTTGAACCACGGGTTGAGCGTTACCCTTCATGTCACACATTGCACTATGGTGCTCATGAAATCTCCTGCTGTTACCTACCTCCAGACCCTCAGGACCAACATGATCTGCACTGTCTTTGCCGGGTGTCTCAAGTGTTCATTGGCCTTCTATGATCCCTAGGTCTGCATAAACGTCAACATAGTTACTCTAAGGTTTGCAAGAGAAAATTATTAAAATGCCACATTATTATAGCATAAACTAAAGTGCATAATCATCCTGTTCATTCCTGACTGCTGCAAAAAATATTATAAATATCTGTCTTGCAGTTAAAGTTATTTTGCAGGTGTAGTGTTATTACCCTCTAGACAATTGTAGAAATGTAACCTATTATAGCGCAACAGCCTGTAAATCTGGGAACATATTATAGCATCACTAATGTAATTCATTATTGACTATCAGAAGGTTGTCTCTAAAACAATAAAATGTATATTTAACACAAACGCCTCATATTATCTATTCTTTGACTATAGAGAAATCTGCTTGAGCATGGGTCTGCATTCTTTACAATCCAAACGGCCGTTTTTCTCTCAGTCCATCCCAATAATTGTTCAGAGCCTCAACTGTTAGAGGACGTTCAGGAAAAACGCCATTTATGATAAAAATCTACGTTGGAGGTTTAACGTAGAGGAACGTTATCTTTTTTTTTTTTTTTTTTTGCTCAGATGTCTTGACATTAATGGGAGAATTCTGAGATTAAAGCAAGAAATATTTGTGCCTTCTTCAATAAGGAACTATTAGATTTGCTGTCATTTAAAAATATCCAACATTTGTTTCCATTAGTCAATTTTAAAATGATAAAAAAAATACTTTGGCAAACGTAGAATGGAGATTTTTCTCTGGGATGTTGATATTTGTGGAAAATTATGTCAAATGGTAATTGTAGTTTCATTTTGATGTGGATATTCAATGTAGTTATTCCATAAAACCCGAAAAGCTGCTTTAACCAACAATTTTTAATATGTCTATGTTAAAAATGTGCTTTTTAAAATAATTTTTATCTAAAGAGCCACTTGCACTGCTGGTTGCAGACCCCTGTAAGATTTTCAAGAGTGCAGTGGTGTGTTTTAAGCGGTGGAGGGCAGTGCAGACTGAAATGAGTGCGGTTTGATTGTTGGCGGAAACCAGCGACGAAGAAAAAGGAAGCAGTTCCTTTATAGCGGCAATGAAAGGACAGCGTGCTATCTCCAGTTTGAACTAAATATAAGTGTTCACAAGCGGGGGGAAATTCAAGACGCCAAAAAACACAGTCTACGTTTAGGAGGGCACTGTTAGGACTGCGTTTGGAACATGTCTTTGGTTTGTGCAAGTAAGTAAACGTGAAAATTTGCAGGACGGCGCCTGTGAGTTAGCTCGGTATCATGCTAATGCTACAAGCTAATGAAGCTAACATTAGCGGCCACGCAAACCGTATTTAACTTCAGTTTCCCTCCATTCTCTTTTTTTTCTTTGTTTTTACTGAGTTGTGAGCTTTATGCGCCCTCTCGTTTTGTTTGTTTGTAGTTTGCAACGAGGTGCCGGAGCACCCGTGCATCTCCCCGGTGTCCAATCATGTGTTTGAGCGGAGGCTGATAGAGAAGTACATCGCCGAGAATGGGACGGACCCGATGAACGGACAGCCGCTGTCCGAGGAGCAGCTGGTGGACATCAAAGGTGAACTACACCCTCGATTTGACTTTATTTAAGTTTGATTAACTTGATATTTTTGGACACTACGAATGAATTAATGAGTAAACGACGAGTTTGAAATTCGCATTGTATTAAAGCCTGTTTAACATGATAAACATGAAATGCTGAGTTATTCACACTGAAGTGGTTGTTTGGGACAGATTATTTAACCTAAGGCTAACTGATTATTAATCCAGGCATCAAAAGGGATCAAAATTAAAAATACAGTTTATTATAATAAAGGTAAATAACTAAACTTTTTGTCTTGCGTCGTTTTTAACTGAAATGATCATGGCCATCTGATCTTTCATTTATTTTATTTTTAATTGAGTCGTAATTTTAAAATAATGGTTTTAATTTATTATTAGTAACACTCTGATAAGTCTGGGCCTTTCAATAAACTGTACCAGTTCAATCCAGTTGCACACTGAAATAACATATTTAACTTAAAAAGGTTTGACTGAATTTTTCCTGGTTTGGAAAATGTCTTCCCGCTTAGTGACCCACCCCATCAGACCAAAGGCGCCATCAGCAACAAGCATCCCAGCTATTCTCAAGTCTCTTCAAGATGAGTGGGTGAGTGATGGAAACGGTCAGGAGGACACTCATCCACCTCACACCTGTGTGTTATTGTTGACTATTTAGAACAGGAATCACCCTTTTATTTTTCACACAACAGCTGCTATTTGAACAAAAATAAATCTGAAAACTCGTCAAACACATAGATCAACATATGACACTTTTACGTAACTTTTGAAGTAATTTTGGGGTTTATAAGCTCAAGTATTAAAGACATTGCTGTCATTTCTAATAAATTAATTTCAAATCTCAGGAAGAGTTGTTTTTTTTTATGCGTCCTACAGGATGCCGTCATGCTTCACAGCTTCACCTTGCGGCAGCAACTGCAGACTACTCGCCAGGAACTCTCTCACGCCCTTTATCAACACGACGCAGCCTGCAGAGTCATCGCTCGACTCAACAAGGAGGTCACGGCTGCTAGAGAAGGTCTGTATGTCCTAAGAAGACACATCTTGGTGTTTCTAAAATGTTAATAGCCACTTGGCGTGTTATTTCAAAGGTTTATTTGTTAAATGGGAACATAAGCACGTTTAAAATGTCCTAAATGTGTTTATTTTGTTTTTGCAGCTCTGGCCACACTTAAACCTCAAGCTGGACTGGTGACCCCTCAGGCTGCCCCCGCCTCTCAGCCTGCTGCAGCAGTGAGTGACCCATGCCTAACTATTTTAACACTCGGCTCTTGGTAGTTTTAGTCCTCTTGTATAAAATACTCACATTTGTGTCGCAGGGTGCTGGTGGAGAGCCTATGGAGATCAGTGAACAGGTGGGAATGACTCCAGAGATCATCCAGAAGGTAAAACACTTTTTTTATGTCCACAGAATTTTATTATTTTATTATAAGCTCATATTTCATTTTATTTAAACAATTTAATCTGTTTGATCATTCCAGCTGCAAGACAAGGCTACTATTCTCACCACAGAGAGGAAAAAGGTTTGTAGCATTTTTTCCTTGTTATAGTTATAACTTCCAACGGAAGGTAAAGTTTTTATATCTTGTGATTTTGTGTGATTTAAAAAGTTCCTTGTGCTTCTGTAGAGGGGAAAAACTGTTCCAGAGGAGCTGGTTAGAGCCGAGGATCTCAGCAAGTACCGCCAAGTGGCCTCCCACGCTGTAAGTGCAGAACCAGGATGATGAAGATGGTCCTATAAACGACTGAATGTGCTTCATCTGGTGAACTTGTTTCCTGTTTGCTTCAGGGTCTTCACAGCGCCAGTGTGCCTGGTATTCTGTCCCTGGACGTGTGTCCCTCAGACACCAGCAAAGTGCTCACTGGTACTCTGAGCTTAACTCTGTCCTATTTGATTTGGCGTTGTGTCGAATCACCCGCTCGGGGCCGATTTAGTCCAACGCTGACTGTGTTGTCGTCCTCCAGGTGGAGCTGATAAGAGTGTGGTGGTGTTTGACAAGAACGAGGAGCAGATTGTGGCGACTCTTAAAGGCCACACCAAAAAGGTCACCTCTGTCATTTTCCATCCATCTCAGGTGAGTCTTTGTCCGTTGGGGGTCTTTTATTGATAACTGAAGGAACGTGCCAGGTGTGATCCTTCTCTCTGACGTGTTCTCCCCTCTAGTCTATGGTCTTCTCTGCCTCTCCTGATGCCACCATCCGTGTGTGGTCTGTTACCGGGGGCAACTGCATCCAGGTGGTGCGTGCCCACGAAGCCAGCGTCACCGGTCTGTCCCTTCATGCTACTGGAGACTACCTGCTCAGCTCCTCTGAGGATCAGGTGGGCATGAATTAAGGTTTAAATCTCATCCGTAACAAGAGCAGGTGTGTGTTGAGCTGTTCCTTCTTAACGACCTTGTTGGGTTTGTTCTTCAGTACTGGGCCTTTTCTGACATCCAGACTGGCAGAGTCCTCACCAAAGTCACAGATGAAAGTGCCGGCTGTGGTAGGTGCCTCTCTGGTTGCTTCTGCCTTTGACGTCCTGTTTAGGAGTCTTCTGTTGGGCCGTAACGTTTCCGTTTGGACTCCACAGCTCTCACCTGTGCTCAGTTCCACCCTGATGGTCTCATTTTTGGCACCGGTACGGCTGATTCCCAGATTAAAATTTGGGATCTGAAGGAGCGCACCAACGTGGCAAACTTCCCGGGTCATTCTGGACCCGTCACCTCCATCGCCTTCTCTGAGAATGGTTACTACCTGGCCACAGGTGAGGAGCAATAACTGCAATCTGACACCTTTACAGACGTGTCCTTGACTTTATTTTTACCTCCAGGGTTCTGAATCGATAGAAAGTCCCCGTTAACGACGGCTGTTTTGTCTTCTCAGGTGCTCAGGACAGCTCCGTGAAACTGTGGGATCTGAGGAAGCTGAAGAACTTCAAGACCATCTCTCTGGACAATAACTACGAGGTGATTAATAATCATATTTAGATGTCTTCTTACAGGAAGGGAGTGGTCCAAGTGAGTCATTTGTGTACTGATGGTCTGAATGCTGATGCTGTGGATTATGGGTATGTTGCAGCAGTTCTCAGATGTGTTGATGCTCTTGTGTTGCTTCTGATTTCCTGTTCTTACCCTCGTTGTGGTTGTTGCCAGACTCAGGGTGTTGGAAAGCTTTGTTCCATCAAGTCACTTGGTGAAAGAGGACAGAAACACCGAGTCCCTTTTCTGTTTAATGCAGGAACGCCATTTCTGATGTGAGAAAAATGCTTCTTTGTTAGAAATGTCCTCCCTCGTAATCAGAGAATGCACTCTGTCTGGGGTGGAAGTGTTACCGATACGATATTTATTCAAAACAAGCCTTGTGTTGCTCTCCTGATGCAGACTTGGGAACGGTGATTTTCCTTTCGGATCTCATCTGTCTTTGCTTCTCTTTCAGGTGAAATCTCTCGTGTTCGATCAGAGCGGTACCTACCTGGCTGTAGGAGGGTCCGACATCCGCGTCTACATCTGCAAGCAGTGGTCTGAGGTTCTCAACTTCACAGGTGAGCAGAGGAGAAACAGAAACCCTGTTCTGTGTTGATCAGCTGCGGAGCAGTGACTTAACCGGGAGACTTCTCTTTTCCTGCCTTAGACCACACAGGGCTGGTGACGGGAGTGGCCTTTGGAGAAAATGCTAAGTTCCTGACGTCTGCAGGGATGGACAGAAGTCTCCGATTTTACAGTTTGTAGAAAAGCAGAGGAGAAGAGGACATCTGCGTGGAGGAGGAAATGGTTTGTTTTAACCGGGCAGTTGCTTTGCTGGTCACTGTCATCTTTAGAAAAAAATAAACCATTAACCGTTTTCTTCTATTGTGTTTTATTCTTGTCCCGAAAATCTGTCACTTAAAATCGTCTGCTGTTTGAAACCACAGCAGAGGGGATAAAATAACACCTGCTGGCTTCGTGACTAAATGTGAGATGAAAACAGGAGCCAGCCGTTAAGTTCCTGTCCTGTTATAATTTGGCTGTAGTGTTTTACTTAATCTGTATGTGTGTGTGTGTGTGTGAGGGGTCTTCAGTTGCTTGTACTACATCTGCTGTGGTTCTATTACAAAGAAAAGACACAATCTACTTTGCTTCTTAATGTTGACCAGCTTCAGTACCGTATCTTTAGGGTCAGATGGAGATTAACCTGTAGTGATCTACAGGAGAACAGGTATTAGTAGATTTGTTCACTTCTGGTGAAATGCTTGTTTAGCCTTCCTTTGCTGTCATTTCCCTGTTTGTTTGTTTTTTCCATTTAAACTTTTTTCCTAACTGTATATTTTTCATCACTTCCTGTTGTACCTGATGCATTTCTGCCTTTGATTATAAAATAAAATATCTTTTTCAAATGATTTCCTATATTTATTTAGAGATGTACAAGTTTTTACAAAAGGTCTTTCTTGAAAAATCTGTTAACGATACTGCTGATCAAATACATTTTTGTACAGCCTGAACATCACCGTTATGGATATTTGAATTTCAGGTAGTATCCGCCTTCTGTCAAGTTCATTCTAAACAGAACATAGCCTTTCAAAGTTAAAACATGCCCCCCCCCCCCCCCCCCCCCAAAAAAAATTTTTTCTAGTAAAATGTGCTTTTGTCCTGCTTTTTCATCAAGGGTTGCAATGTATTTTTAGACTTCTTTAAAAAAAACAGGAAGTCTGGGATGCATTTTATGGAACTTTTCTGAAGAATACGCAGCCTAGATGTTCAGAATAATGAAAATGTAACCAGTCCAAAGATGAAGCAACAGCTGACGTGTGCAGGTTAAAAGTAATTTACAGAAGCTGACTAGTAATTGGAGCTTATGTTCAGCTGCACCTAGTGGTCAACAATATTTTTTACCCCTAAATCAGATGCTCTGACTCAGATCAGTCATGATTGAAATAGGAGAAAAGTAAAATATCTGAATATTTTAGTATTAAAATCTTGCCTTTAAATGTGGCAGGTAAACTAGTGCAGTTTTAGCTCAAAGTAAACAGTAAACAAGTAACTTCAAATGGAAAAACCTGTTCACTTTTCAAACTGACAAGTTACGTGAAACATTCTTTTTGCACGTTTCACAACTCCGTTGCATCACTATTAAAACACACAGGTCGTTTTTGTTTTGTTAAACAGCCAAAATATAGGTTAGTTTTTTTCACCGCTGTTGTGTGGAAATCTGTTTTCCCTATTTGTCCCAGCCATCACGCGTGTGTTTCACGTGTTCCTTTGCCAAAAAAAGAAGACTAAAAACAGCTGCTTTTAAGTTGGTGGGGAAGTATGTGGACACGGAGACATACTTAAGCACGACACCATCGCAATTCACACAACGGACGCCATCGCCCTCTCGTGGCCGTTTTGAGGTAGCCAGTCAACCGTCACGTGAGACCGCAGTAACGTGACTCTCATGAACGGGAAATGGGGAACAACAGAACATAACTTGTCTGAAGCTCACGAGCACGTCCCATACTTTGTCCCGTTGTTCCCACGGTACCCGGGCCGAACCTCCCCGAGCAGAACCGTTAGGACGTAGAGAGGGTCTCCGGGAGCACTCTGGTGAGTTTGCCGCTGTTAGCTACAATTACAGCTAATTGTTTGCTCACATGAATCAGCTTTTCTATAATGAATCGATTTTGATTAACTTTTAACATTATTTTTATGTTCTGTTTCGTTTCACAGTAACATGACCAGAGTTTAATTACTTTTTTTTGTTTATTGCCTTGTTTCTCAGCCTTGGCATGCTATCGAAATGTTTACCTGAGCTGTGACAAAAGTATGGAAATCAGCGAGCATTCGAGGCAGTAGTCACTAGAAAACATGCTTATTTTTATCTTTCTAGAATGTGCGTGGTTGTTTTTAACTGTTTTCTCATGACTAATTTTATGACTTCACACAGGGTTGGCTGCTTATTAAGCTCCGATCAGATGATCTCTATTAGCGAGGCTGTAAATCAGCTCAGCATCACAAACCAGTGCAGGGTTTTTAGTTTCCGCCTGCATTAGTTTTACCAGGAGGATACAATAACATGGAATAATTACAGTCCGTGTTTTTGACTTGTTTCTGTCCATTTGTGAACAAAAACGAGGGAGAAACGTTGCTAATTTGTTTCAATATTAGCAGAAATGTGCAAGAATGGAAATCCCAGCTGATCATGAGTGCCAGGAGGATGTGATGCTTCCTCTTTCTGCAGCTTTTCTCTCCAACTGTCTCCTCTGTGATTTCCAAAAGCATTAACTGGCTTCCAGGTGGCGATGGGGTCCATCTTTCGGAGCGAGGAGGTGTGCCTGGTGCAGCTCTTCCTCCAGTCTGGTTCAGCCTACAATTGTGTCAGTGAGCTGGGAGAGCTGGGCCTGGTGGAGTTTAGAGATGTGAGTTTTTTACTTGAATATTTATTTCCCTGTGGGTTGTAGTTCTGTGGTGGAAAGCTCTTGCGGGCGTGCGCGCGTGCACACACACACTCGTTGTGGGGGGTTTGAGAGGAACTGATCTCCTGACCTGCTAGTAATGGATTGATTTTATCTGCTGTCACATGTTTTGTCACTTATAACAGATCTTTTTTGATTACTGATCTGGGTTTAGTTAGAATAATATTCCCACCGGAGTGGAAATGTCTGTTTTAAGGTGGTGAGACATAATCAGGTGAGCATGAATAACCCAGCAGCTGTCTTCCTCTTCCTCCTTTTTTTTTTTTTTTTTTTTTTTTTTTTTTTTTTTTGGGACACCAGTTGAATCCTAACGTGAACGCCTTCCAAAGGAAGTTTGTCAGCGAGGTCAGACGATGTGAGGAGCTGGAGAAGACTTTTAGTAAGGCCTGACTCATCCTTCCTCCTGTGTGTTTCCATTCGTTCCTTATTAGTCCTGTTCTGATTTTCTGTTCCTGTCCTTCAGACTTCCTGGAGCAGGAGATCAGTCGCTCCTTGTCTCCACCCCTAAAAGGTCCCCTTCGTCCTCCGTCCCCAATGCCCCCGGCTCCTCAGCCTCGTGAACTCATCACCATAGAGGAGGAGAGCGAGAGGCTGGCCAGAGAGCTCAAAGAGGTGAAAATGAAGCAGCGGCGATGAATTTAAAAGCTTTTGTTGTGTTTTCAGAGTGTTTTTTGGGACTGATGAAGTGTTTTTTTTATCAGGTGTCTAGAAACAGAGACAGCCTTCTGACTCAGCTCAACCATCTCCATCAGTACCAAGGAGTCCTGACCAAAACACACTCGCTCACAGCTACACAGGTAACCACTACCCCGCAGCAAGTTCTGGATCACAGTTGCGTAGAAAGACAGGAAGTCGTGCTGCATCTTCCCCTTTTCTCTCACAGGCACCGCCTCCGGTCCTGGAAAACCACGGCCTGTTTGATAACCGCCAAGATATCCGCCTCAGGTAGAGCTCACTTTTACGAGTTCCTCTTGAGGTTCATACGATCTCATTCACCTTCAACATATTTGCTCCTCAGCTTCGTAGCAGGAGTGGTCCATCCATGGAAGGTTCCCTCGTTTGAACGGTTGCTATGGCGAGCGTGTCGTGGTTACATCATTGTGGACTTCAGAGAAATGGAGGAACCACTTGAGCATCCGGACACGGTGGGAGCACGAGGATGATTTTTGATTCATCAGATGCGTTTCTGGATTCTTACCACGCCTGTGTGTGTGTGTTTAGGGGGAAATGGTGCAGTGGACCGTGTTCCTCATTTCCTTCTGGGGCGATCAGATGGGACAGAAAGTCAAGAAGATTTGCGACTGGTGAGGGAATCTCCGCAACATTTGGATTTTATTTTTATGGAGGTTATAGATTTACACAGCTGGCTCTAATGAGGTTGATTCCTGCTCCGGGCAGCTTCCACACTCAGACATTTGCTTACCCCGAGACCACGGCAGAGAGAGAGGAGATTCTGCAGGGGCTTCAAGGCAGAATAGAAGACATCAAATCTGTGAGTGTGATCAAATGTAGTCGTTTAGTTGCTCTTCTTTACCAAGTGCAGCATGTCGCCCTTCACTTCCCTGTCTTTTTTTGTGAGTTCAGGTGTTGCGTCAGACTGAAACGTACCTGCAGCAGCTGCTGGTTCGAGCAGTGGCCATCCTGCCCGAGTGGAAGGTTAAGGTCCAGAAGTGCAAGGCCATCCAGATGGTTCTAAACCTCTGCAGCCCGTCTGTGACCGACAAGTGCCTGATCGCAGAGGCCTGGTGTCCCACTGGCAAGCTGCCCGAGCTGCAGAGCGCCCTCAGAGAGGGAGGGGTGAGAAGATGCAGCAAGTACCAGCGGCTCTAGGGGGGGTCAGCATCTGTGACTGTCTGTTTCTATCATCCTCAGAGGAAGAGCGGCAGCGGCGTCGACTCTTTCTACAACCGCCTGCCGTCCTCCACCCCCCCGCCCACTCTGTTCCCACTCAACTCTTTCACGGCTGGTTTCCAGAACATCGTCGACGCTTACGGCGTGGCCAGCTACCGCGAGGTCAATCCAGGTACGTCCATACACAAATAAATGGAAACTGGTCTAGAAGGGAAGCGTCCAGTCAGGTGTTTATGTCCCTCTCTGTCTCGGCAGCGCTCTACACCATAATCACATTCCCCTTCCTGTTCGCGGTGATGTTCGGGGACGTGGGTCATGGTCTGCTGATGTCTTTGGCTGCCCTCTGGATGGTTCTTGAGGAGAAAGACCCCAAACTCAAAAACAACACAAATGAGGTTATTTTAGCCCTGAATATATTCTTTTCTTATAGTTGCTGCTTAATAAAACCCTAAAACTCATAATTGTAAGCTGTTGTTTGCTGAAAATTAAATTAAGCTTTTTTTTTGTTGTTTAAGTTAGAATTTGATTTTTTGATTGAAAATGTTTTGAAAACGAGCAAAACTCCCAGAAAAAACCCTGATTTGTAACCAGAGCGTATCCTTTAAATGTTTTATGGTACCAGTGGTGTTTTAGAGAAACCAGTCCAGCGGAGGAGGCGTGTCACCGTCTGAAGGAGTGTTTTTTCTTTTCTCTGTGTTTCAGATCTGGAGGATGATGTTTGGAGGACGGTATCTGATTCTGCTGATGGGGCTGTTCTCCATCTACACGGGTGCCATCTACAACGAGTGCTTCAGCAGAGGCATCACCACCTTCAACTCGGCTTGGAGCGTCGGCCCCATGTTTGAGAACAACATCTGGAAGTGAGAGCGGTCCATAACGATGCTTCCTGTGTTTTCTCTGAACTCCTCTAACGTTTACGTCTCCTGTTAAAGCTCCTCGGTGTTGGGAGGGAACCAGGATCTGTCCATGGATCCGAACGTAACTGGGGTTTTTTCCAGCCCCTATCCGTTTGGGATTGACCCCGTAGGTCATCGTCTTAAAATCTGACCCAAAGCTCACCTGATCCTCATTCTGTCTCCACGTTTTTGCTGTTCTCAGGTCTGGAGTCTGGCCACAAACAAGCTAACCTTCCTCAACTCCTACAAGATGAAGATGTCGGTCATCATCGGCATCATTCACATGACATTTGGGGTCTGCTTGTCATTCTTCAACTACTGGTCAGTATCGTGTTGTCGTTCGTCCCAGCCGAAGCTCCCCTGCAGCATCGTTTGAATCCTCTTCCTGCCGTTTTCTGCAGGCACTTTGGTCAGATCAGCAGTGTGTTCTTGGTGCTGATCCCAGAACTGCTCTTCATGCTGTGTCTGTTCGGTTACCTCGTCTTCATGGTGGTCTTCAAATGGATCGTCTACACTCCTGCAAGGTCCAGAGAGGCGCCCAGTATTCTGATCCACTTCATAGACATGTTCCTGTTCATGACCAACGCCGACAACCCTCAGCTGTATGAGGGTCAGGTGGGTGCTGCTGTCCAACTCCCAGTAATGTCTCTGGATTTGACTCCATGTTGTTTTTACTGCAATAATAAAGTCGTCATAACTGCTTCATCACTGTCCCTGTGGTTGCTTGTGTGTTTGAGGTTGCATTTTCTGTAGGTCTACGGCTATTAGATCTGAGGTCTCTATTATAACACAATAATAATAAAGTTTTCGGGCTTTTATATTTGCAAGCTACAATGCTGCTAATGTTGCTCCACGTTCAAAGAGCAGCTGTGTTGGAAGTGTAAAGGTTACAAATCTGCAGGATTGTTGTTTTTCTGAGTGTATTAACATGCACTGAATAAATGAATGTTGTTGTTCTTGCAGCTTGTGGTGCAGAAGGTCCTGGTGGTGGTGGCTCTGTGCTCAGTCCCTGTCCTCCTGCTGGGAAAGCCGTCATACAAATACGCCATGTTCAAGATGAGACCAGTCCAAGTGGTGAGCGTGTGTCTAAGTGAGCTTTATCTTTTAGAATCGGTGACATTTAGTTAGATCGGAATTATTTGTGAAATTAGGAGGAAGACAGGCGCCCTCTGGTGGCAGACGAAGGCTCTGTAAACGCCCGTCAGGGGGACGTGGAGGGAGGAGACGCTGAGGAAGAGGTCAGATTAGAGTTCATCAGATGAGTAGATTAAATTCTAGATTCTTTTGTAACTTTGTGATCTTTGCTGGCTGCAGGAGTTCGATGCTGCAGATGTGTTCATGCATCAGGCCATCCACACCATAGAGTACTGCCTGGGCTGCGTCTCCAACACGGCCTCCTATCTACGACTCTGGGCCCTCAGTTTGGCTCATGCTCGTCAGTACACACACACACACGCACTAATGCAGTTATTCATCCATTCATGAGGTTTTTCTCCAGCCTTGTGCGTTTGTGTCTCTGACTGAGTTGTTTGTGTTTCTGCAGAGCTCTCAGAGGTGCTGTGGGGGATGGTCTTGCGTCTGGCGCTGAGGTGGAAGGGCTACGTGGGCTCTGCAGTGCTTTTCGTTATTTTCTTTTTCTTTGCAGTTTTGACCGTCTCCATCCTCCTGATCATGGAGGGACTCTCGGCTTTTCTGCACGCGCTCCGTCTGCACTGGTGAGGAAAAGAAATGGACATCAGTTTGTGTCTCAGTATTGGTTTCTGGTTTTGGAACTGAAAGGGAGATTTATTTACTATTGGGGGTGAAAACTGGCGAGAATCCGGCGATGTGATATATTCTGATACTAAAAGTCTCAGACCAGACACTTTCAAGAGCTTCCAAGATCTTGTTATTCACTCAGAATAAAGGTGATAGAAACTGCTGCCCCTAGAAGTCAGTTAGACTTACACAACACAAAGGAAAAACAGTAAATGTCTACATGTAATTTCTCCATAGGCCTGGGACATATTTTGCTGGATGATATATTGTCCATCTAATTATTGACGATAAACGATAATATTGTCGACATTATCAACACCAAAATAACCACTTATGTAATGTTAATGGATCATAATAATGCAAGTACACCCTTTAAAATGCAACAATGAAACCTTTATTTAACTAACACAAGTGATATATTTTCTGCAGTACTGAAACGCCTGAGCTCCGTTTGTTTCCTTTGAGGTCGTAGAGATCTACGTTACTGATTGTAAACAATTTCTGAAAATACTGTTCTCTAGACTCCTTCACAACTTTAATCCTGTAAGGGATGCGTTCATCCTTGTTCTTTTCATCCATCCTTTTTACTTGTTCTGCTTCAGCTGCAGCTTCCCCTAGCAACACGAGTCATACACCTAAAATGGTGCTAAGGGGTGCGGTTGACAAAGACCGAAATATCGAAGATGGAAAAATGTAGTTCATTTTCATCTATCGTACAATTGGTTGATTTATTGAAGAAGAAGAAGAAAATATCATTTCTATAGCGCCTCAAGATAAAAATCACGAGGCGCTTCACAAAAACAAAAAATAAAAAAATTGTAAAAATATAAAAAAGCATTTTGAAAATGTTTAAAATATATTTTAAATGAGCAAGAATAAGCTATTGCGATTTAAAAGAAAAATTGTTAAGAAAGAGAGAGCGTGAACAGGAAAGAGGGAAATCAGTGGATCCTGAGGAAGGTGGAATAGGTGGGGAGAGCAGAATAAAGAGAGAGTGTGAAGAAGGTCATACAAAAGCCAGCTTGAACAAGTGAGTCTTCAGCTGCTTTTTAAAGGAGACCACTGAGTCCACTGATCTCAGGCTCAGGGGGAGAGAGTTCCAGAGTCTGGGGGCCACAGCAGCAGATGATCTGTCACCTTTGATCTTTAGCCTGGTGCTGCACAACCAGTAGGCTTTGATCATTGGACCTCAGGGACCTGCTGGGGGTGTAGGGACTAAGAAGATCACCAATGTAAGATGGTGCTTGTCCATGTAAGGCCCTATAGACCAGATCCAGGATCTTGAAATGAACCCTGAAGTTGACTGGCAGCCAGTGAAGCTGGAGGAGAAGCGGGGTGATGTGGGTGTATTTGGAGGACTTGGTCAGAAGCCGAGCACACGCATTCTGAACCACCTGTAGACGGTTCAGGGAGGTTCTGCTCAGACACGTGAAAAGAGAGTTACAGTAGTCTAAGCATGAGGAGATGAAGGTGTGGATAACTGTCTCAAGTTCAGAGCGGGACAGAATGGGACTCAGCTTAGCAACGTTCCTGAGATGGAAGAAGGAGGAGTGAAGCAGAGAACTGACATGAGAATCCAGGGTGAGAGCTGGGTCAAAGGTCACGCCAAGATTCCTGACAGAAGGTTTGGTGTGAGAAGCAAGCTGACCAAGAGAGTCTCTGACTTTGGGAACCAGCTTGTCTTGGGCACAGATGAGGATCTCAGTCTTATCTTCATTCAGCTGTAGAAAGCTCCCAGCCATCCATGTTTTGATAGTCTAAGCAGGTGTGTAACAGCTGCAGCTTAGACATCTCATGGGGCTTAAAGGAGATGTACAGTTGGATGTCATCTGCATAAATATGGTAGGAGATTCCTTTGAAGGAGCTCAGGATGTGCTGAAGAGGAAGCAGATAGAGGAAGAGCAGAGGCCCCAGCACAGAACCTTGTGGGACACCATGGGTAAGAGAGGTGGTGGAGGACCTAAACTTGGAGACGGCCACAGAAAAGGAGCGCTCAGAAAGATCAGAGGAGAACCAATCCAGAACAGATCCTGATAGGCCTACCCTGTCTCTCAGCCTCTCCAGTAGCAGGTGATGGTCAACAGTGTCAAAGGCTGCAGTCAGGTCCAGCAGGACCAGAACAGAACAGTCCCCTGCATCACTGTGAGTCAGAAGGTCATTAGAGACCCTAAGAAGAGCTGTTTCAGTAGAATGAGCTCTACGAAAACCTGACTGGAAGCTATCATAGATGTTACGTTCATCAAGAGCAGCTGTGAGTTGTTTAGCCAGAACCTTTTCCAAGATCTTGGAGATGAACGGAAGTTTAGAGATGGGTCTGAAGCTGCTGTGGAGAGAGGAGTCGAGACTCTGTTTTTTAAGAAGCGGGTGGATTACAGCGTTCTTAAAGTAAGCAGGGACCTGACCAGAAACCAGAGAAGCATTAATTATAGAGAGCACGCTGGGACCGATGGACTGAAAAGCACTTTTAAACAAAGATGAGGGTAAGATGTCGAGGGGGCATGCAGAGGTCTTCATAGAGTTAACTAGTTTGGTTAACTCAGGCAAAGAAACAGGAGCAAAGCTATCTAGGATGATGGGCCTGGTTGGAGTTGGGAGAGGCAGCGATAAGAAGACTACTCCACTTTTCAGTAATGATTCAGTATCATAATACAAAATACTGATACTTTATTGTTACTCTATTGATATTTTATTGCACCCTTATTTATTCCATGTTTAGTATGTTAATATAAGGGGTGGCATTGCATGGGAATTTAAGCCTTTTATTACTATTTGCACATTATTCTGTTTCTGTGACATTGTCTGCTTCAAATCTCTTGCAGCTTAAAAAGAACACAAAAACACATTCAAATGTGCAGCTTGATTATGGAAAGATGCACTAAAACCTTGGTTATAAGGTTATAATGCATCATGTGGCATTGATGAAATTTTCAAAATAAAAGTAAAAAAATTATTTCTGCATGTACAACAAAGGGATTTTGGAGAAATGAGATGAAATACCCAGATCCTATGTAAAGTTTAAACGAGGCACACATTGTCTAAACTGGCATTTTGACACCTAAATGGAACATGTTATACAAAACTCACCTTTAGCATTGTTTTGCGCTGCTGTATAGGAACACTCCAAATGTGGGAAAAAAACATCCGTCCATTTTCTGTCTGTGTTTAGTTTCAGGAATTATTTGGCTAAAAAGTAGCTATTTGGAAAATGTCCCCTTTTGTGATGTCACAAAAGGGGACATTTATGTAGAATCTATTTTGTGTACTTTTCCATAAATGTTACACATTTTATTTAGTGTATGGATCAAGCTAAGGCATGTTCTCATGTAGTGATTAGTATAAAAGTGCAGTCATTCTCGCCTGACTTGAATTTTCTATTTAGAAAACAGTTGATCGAAGGATTGTTTTGGGAATCCTTTACTCTTCAGAGTGTTTGCTGTGAAACCGGCCAGACCAATAGGAGTGTTGTGGTCTGTATGTGTTGGAGTTGACCTCTTCTCGTCTCTCTCAGGGTGGAGTTTCAGAATAAGTTCTACAGCGGGACGGGCTACAAACTCAACCCATTCTCCTTCGTAGCTCTGATGAACGCTCCTGCTCCTGTTTGATCCACCAAATCATCACCAAGCTGTTAATTAATCTGTTTACCTTCATCCTAACAATGATCTGTTGCCTGGAAACCACAAAATGGTTCAATTAACTTGCACAATAATCGTGATGGATGACTGTTATTTTTGCATCAGTGGAGTGAAAACGTGACCCTGTGCTAGATGATGACATCATGGTAGGAAAATAATAATTTTGTAATGCATTTGTAATTTTTTACTCTGAATTGTGTAATTGTTTTTTCCAAATGCTTTTTAGTGTTTGGGGAAGTATTTGGTAATTATCTGATTTTTACTGTACGAACACGTATTATAGTCAAATTATGAAAAGGGAAAAGCACCTCTAATAACGGTTTTTAGGTGTTTAAGGGAATGAGACTTGGTGAATGTTAAACTCATCCTGTTTAATTGTTAATATAAGAACAATTTAAGTAATTTCTAAGAGCCAAAGACCCCCACCCCCCCATTTTAATGTCTTCCAAACACACCACAGGTATTTATTCCTAGTTTAATGTTTTACTAGTGCCTTATTGGGATTATTTAAGGCAGTGTGTATTTTGGACAAGATTCTAACTGCTGTTGTTCCACTAATATTTTTACAAAACCACCTTAAACATTTCTTTTTGTCACTTGATGCTTTAAATTTGATTACATTTTGAATAAACAAGATTTTCTTTCCACGTCTCATTTTGTGATGTTCTTTACTCACTAGGTTTTTTTCTTGTTGCTTATTTTATATTTGATGTTATTTATTTATTTATTATGACTTCTAGTCATCTCTAGATTTTCTTTAAAGTGACAATGTGTAGTTTTTAATAGTTCATCTCTGGAAATATCCATCAAAATATTATTGATAATGAATCAAATGATGCCCAGTTGTTGAAAAAATATTGGCGGCTTTGTAACATATAACCCAGGGGTGCCCAATCCTGGTCGTAGAGGGCCGGTATCCAGCAGGTTTTGTGTTTTTTCTGCTCCAACACTTGATTAACTGGTTGAATCACCTGTGCAGCATCTCATCAGGCTCTGCAGAAGCCTGTTAATTACCTGCTGATTTAAATCAGGTGTGTTGAAGCAGTTAAAACTAAAACATGCTGGATACTGGCCCTCCAGGACCAGGATTGGGCACCCCTGATATAACCATAAAAATCTGGTCTAAATTAAATGGGAGTGGGTCTAAGCCTCTAGGTGATGCCATAATAAATGCCATGTTTCCTTCTACGGGAGCCCTTGAGGACAAAACACATTTACTGATTTTCAACAAATGGTTACAAAATTTTCTCCATTTTTAAATGTTATTGTTTTACACATTTACCTGTTCACTCATTGCCAGTGATGAAAGGGAATCTGATGTTCTTGTCATTTTGCTGATGTTTGCACTCCCTGGGCCTTGTTGACCCTAATTGGCATCCGTTGGAAAGGTCTGCTTGCAACAATTTAGGTATCTACTGCTAGGGAAAACACACACTGTCATTTTAAGCGTTTCCACTATCCTCAACCCACACACATTATAATTTGATTTAAACCTGTCAAATAAACGTTATACTTTACTAATTTCAGGAATATCAGTTTAAACATGTTGCAACCTTCACACTTCTATCACAATTAACCTGACATGATGCAGTTATTGAATTAAAAGTTGATCTTGTGAATATTTTGTAAAATTGCATCAATTATTATTGCTATATTATAATTAAAGCAAAAATAAAAATTTGTTTAACTGATTACCTCAAACAGCACATGTAATTTAGAAAGAAGACTTAAACCACCACGGTAGCAGCTGAGTGGATTTCTATTTAGCTAGATTTCTGCTCGACAACTGTCTCCCTCTTGTGGCACATTATAACCATTACAATCCTCGAGTATAAAAAAAAAAGCCGAACACTTGTTCGAGTACAGTTTTTCATGTAGCTTTTAACTGCTTGACATAAAAAACATTTAGATTAACGCGCTAACCAGTTAAAGTCTTAATTAAACGCAATCTGATGAAAGATTGACGAAAGATAATTGTTTTTACTGTTTGTTTCTGTCCGGACGTTATTTCAAGGTACACCAACTGACCCGGATATTATTGCAATGTCAAAGATGGCGGACATCATGCCAATCCTTGAAAATTAACACAGTTTGGGAAACAAACTTTAAAGACACCTAATCTCACAATATTATACAAAACATTGTATGCTTTTTATTTAAAGTGGATATGGCTTTGAGTGAAATTAGTCGCAATTGCCGGTTGCTGTTGAGTCAAATTCAACGATGCCGTCCCGGTCTGAAGCAGACAGGTGAGTTGGACAACCCTCCCTGATTTAGCCATAACGTTGTTTTAAACTCACCGATACTTACTGTCTTTTTTGTTTTACTAAGCAGTGCCAGCTCGGTGTTTGAGCCAGGTTGCTCCCCGACCGGAGCCCAGCGCGGAGCCAAACGAAGACGTGAGTCCGACCTTTGTGAACAGAAACCCCCGGAACCTGGAGCAGATGGCCCTGGCTGTGAAGGACCGGGGCTGGAAAACCACTTGGCCTCACCAGCAGTTCTACCACAGGTTTGAATCAAATACTTAATGTAAAAATCCAAAATCGAGTTTTAGTTATAGAAAATGGAAGAACCTGCGCCATTAGTTAACTAAATTCCTCTTATTTGATTTAGTTTGAGGTTTTTAACTCTTACAAATAACAAACCCAACATTAGGGTTAGAATCTCAAAGTCCACTAATTGATTTAACTTTAATATCAACTTTTATATAAAACATATTTAAACTCCACCACTGGTGTGTGTGTGTGTGTGTGTGTGTGTTTGTGTTGGACATTTTTCTGCTAGAGACCCTTGGAGATTAAGGTGTCATTTGACACATAAAGGATGAACAAAATACTGAAAGAAAACTGTCTTTTTTTTATAGCACCTCTCAATATAAAAATCACCAGGTGCTTCACAAAAACAAAACATTTAAAATATAAAAAAGATGTTTAAAATGAGAGAAAAATAAACATTTGTGAATAAAAAGTGTAAGGAAAGGGAGAGAAAATGAATCGGAAAGAGGGAAATCAGTGGATCCTGGAAAAGAGGAATAGATAGAGCAGAATAAGGAGAGGGTGGCGATGAAGGTCACGCAAAAGCCAGCTTGAACAGGTGAGTTACTGAGTCCCATGTCTCGGTGTAGCATGTAGACAAGTAGAATAAAAAGGATCAAATGCAATTTAAAAGTCTTCACACATTCTCTATCGTTCTTTCACTTGTGTCACATTTTTCAGGTTGATGTTCTCTCGCAGTCAACACCACGTCACAGCTGAAGTGTTCTCCAGGAGCTCTCCCATTCCAGTGGTTAGTTGTTCCACCAAAGAGTGGGCATTGAAGAAGGAGCTGCCTTCCACCAGCTGCGTGGCAGCATGTCAAGCTGTAGGAGAGGTGCTGGCACACCGATGCCAGCAGGCCGGCATCACTAGGATGGTGTACAGGGAGATTCCGTGGACGTACCGCTCAGATGGTGTGAGTAAAGTATAAGTATCTGTATGCTTTCTTTTCCTGCTTTATATTATTTTTTTGTCTTTTAGGTTCAAGCTTTCAGAAATGCAATGAAACAGGGAGGAATCATTCTCAGTGAACCCAGAAGGAAATACGTCGGGACCTGAATTTGAGCATCATCAGTCACATCATTAGTTTTGATAAATGTCTGTTTTATCAGTTATCACTGCAGAAGTATTTAGAGTAATGATGGTATGGTCCTTCCTGTGCTGCTCCGGTGCTTTAATAAACAGAGAAAAACAAACAGTTGGTTGAAATATGGTCCTTTATTTGTCACTCTAAATGCTCTGTAAACAAGAGTGAGACGTAGACGGTGAACAGCAAAACAAAGATGTGGCTAGAACGCTTCAAACAATCATTGATCCTATCAATCACAGTACAGAGCTCGTTGCCTCAGCAGTGTGCACTGTGGGATTATAAAGTGCATATAAATACATAATCTTTGTGGGCATGCAGGTTAAATTAAGCTTTAGCTTGGTTTCCACTCTAATGTAACACCAGCATGAAATAATGTTTCACATCAGCATCTGGTGAAGTCTGAGTAATTACCCAATCGATTTAATGTTCATATAAATACAGACAAAGACCCTGAACAGGCTGGTATAGAAACACCTACGCATGCACCCAGGTCACCAGCAGACACCTTTTATACTGTTTATATGCAGAAATGTTGGGATGCTGCATTTACAAAGCAGTCAATAATGGAAGTTCGGAACAACACAAGAACAATGGCCACCACCTCAGAGTAAAAACATAAAAACACCGCTCGTATTTTATTCTCAGGTTGAAGGCACTCATGCAGATCTGGTAGAATAAAAATAAAACAATTTTAATACACTCACGTGATAAAGATTTGTAATTAAATATATTCAATGGCACATAGAAAAACAGTTTGGCATTTTGACATGCGCCATAAAACTGGCTTGACATGGTCCATAATGCACAGCTTGGACTGAAATCCTCCCATTCAACAACCATGAAAGTCTTAGAAAAGAATGAAGTGGCAGCTTAAAGTCTCGTTTACCAGAGGAAAGCAGTTATTGCATAGATCTCGGGAGTGTTGGAAGGAGTCTCAAAGGAAAGAACGTCTGGTGTGACATGATGATTAGTCGTTCAATACTTAATAATTAACAGCACCTTCACATGTGAGGTGTTCTGTCTTTCATCGGTACACCAATGCTGCAGAGAACCATTAGAATGAGTTGAGTGGAGAAACGAAATACCAGCGAAACATAAAAGCCTTGGCGTGTCCTGGTTCCTCCACCTTCAGGAGTTTAATTTCTTGGGTTATTCCTGTCCCTCACCCTTACGGACGTCCTTCCCTGTCCGGCTCCTTTAGCGATCGCCTTGACCAGATTCTGCCAGGCAGCGCGGTTCTGGTGAAACATCCACACACGCTCTTTGGTGGATAAGACCCCGTCGCCCTTGGCTGCGCCTACGATGGCCTGGAGAACGTCTTGGACTGCCAGGCAGCTTTGAAAACAAAAATCAATAATCAGTCAATTGTTAGTCTTTATTTTAAAATACAAAAAGAAGAGGAAAAAATAACGATGACGTGCAAAATAAAAGTCTTTCTGAATAACGAGTCTGAAAAACTGATGACAGAAAGACTTGAGTCTTGGTTCGATAAAGTAAAAAGAACTTGGTCCTGATTTCTAATCACCCACCTTTTAGCAACCATAGAGATATCAACACTTTAAGCTATTGCTTTCAAACTGGTTTCAGAGGTTCTCGAGGCACAAACTTGAACAACTTCACATTAGAAAGCACTCGGCTCGCGACCTGGACTAGACACCGCCCCTGACAGTTTTGTGGCATAAGTAGGAACACTAGTGGGAGCTCTCTACCTGCTTTAAAGCAATAACTGTCCCTGTGTCGGTAGCTAACATAAAGGCTAGCAGTTGGCTTTTTTTGTTCAATGACCATCAATAAAAAGCACAGGAAGAATTTTTTTTTCATTCTTCGTTGGCATCAATGCAGAGCCGTTAGAGAGTAATGTCTTTGGAGGTGAAGCAAAAAGTGAACATTGGCGCGGCCTACGCTCGTTTGAGAAAGTTAAAGGAGGCTGATTGTGACCTGGCTTTGTTGCTACTGGACTTGTAAGTAATAACAGTTTTTGTCCAACATTGTGGATCTTTGGACTTTGCAGCTCATTTATTATCTGTTAGCTCGTGTTGTTTATAGCTACAGCAGGCTGCAGCTGGCCTGTTTACGACGGTTGTAAAGCAGGGGAACATATTTAGTGTTCCTTAAGTCGTCAGAATCTCAACAGCATTCATGCTCAACAGACTCGTGACTGCTTAGTAACAGACGGACAAATGCAGTTGCAGATACAGTACAAGCCAAAAGTTTAGACACACCATCTCATTCAATGTGTTTTCCTTTTTTTCATGACCATTTACACTTAAGGCATCCAAACTATGAATGAACACATGAGGAGTTATGTACTTAACCAAAAAAGGTGAAATAACTGAAAACGTGTTTTATATTCCAGTTTCTTCAAAAATAGCCACCTTTTGCTCTGATTGCTGCTTTGCACACTCTTGGCATTCTCTTGATGAGCTTCAAGAGGAAGTCCTTCAAGACTGTTGGGAAACCCTGAAGCTCATGGAGAGAATACCAAGAGTGTGCAAAGCAGTAATCAGAGCAAAGGGTGGCGATTAGGGCTGAATGATCTTGTTTTGGACCAAAATTGCGATTTCAAGCAGCAAGATCACCTGACCAAAGCTGTGTATTTTTATTTTTTTTTTTGGCGGTTCAGACTGATCCAGGATCTGTTGTGTCAACCTTTATTTATTTATTTTTTTTACACCCAGGGTTTCCCCCTGTGTTACGGCAGCAGCAGCAGCCAGCGCGGGGGAGGGGGGAGGTGTGTACCAGCGACGGAGCCAAGCCCAATTCCACAGCTGCACATTTAGGTTATTTCCCTGTTTTATTTTTCCAGCCCAAAAGTTCATAACACCCATCAGACGCAGGAATCTCAATGTTCACTGACCTTCTACAACTGGTGCTTGAGGCACTTTTCCTTTTTATTAAAACTACTTGTGGAATTTGTAATAAACAAACCATTAAACATTTACAGAGCTCTACAGAAAGAGTAAATAGAAACTGGAGCAGCAGCAACTCAGACCTTCTAAACCCGACCCAGAATAAAACCACGAACCGAGCTTTAGTCTCGCGTCCTGATGTGATGTGCTGACCTGTGGATATCTGCATATCGTTTCCTTCTTTTACAGAATCTTGAAGAATATTTAGTTCTTTGTTGTCCAAGTTTGTTTAAAAGCCTCAGGATTTTTACACAAACATGACAAATACTACAAAAAGAAGCTGCTACTTAAAAAAAAGCCTTATCTTTCTAAAATGCTGACGAACCAAAGGTTTATGTAAAAAAACAGCAACCCTTCCTACAATTTACACTTCTCTAAACTCCTCTCACACCTCACTCACCGAGTACGGAACCGATGTGGTCTAGGTGTACGGCACCGCAAAGACCAAAAAAATCATTGAGCCCTTTCAGAGCATTCACACTGGCTGTGATGCAGTGCAGATTCGGATCCAGAGCTCCGGAAAGTTTCTGCAAGGAGTTCATTTGTTCTGGATGCCGCATACAGACTTTTACGAAGTTAAAGAAATTACACGAGCCAGACAGGAAGTGAAAAGCATGAGCCAGCAAGGTGCATCTGGTATATTTTAATATAAAACCTGTTTCTTTATTTTCTGCTGTTTTTATTATTAATGACAGGGATATCAGGTCAGTGTATGATGGTCCACATTATTTTGTGTCAAAATCTCTTATCATTTGGTGCTCTCGTCAGAGCAGATTTCCAGAGATGTTCGGCACAAAAACCGCAGTCAGTGTGGATGGCAGTCTGTCTGGAAACTGGACCACATCCGTTCTGTTACTCGGTGTGAAGGATCAGCCCTTTTTCACACAGTTTAACTGCAACGAGGAAGAGAATAAGGGCCTCATCATTTACCTGTTCATGCCCCTTATCTTCATCATCTAGTTCACTAATGGACTGCATGAGGGAGAAGAGGTTCATCCTGCCACTGCGGTTAACGCTGGGAAGAGTCTTTAGAAGAAAGAGTCATGTCATTAAAAATACATAAATAGCCTCAGATACACTATGAGAGTGTGTGTGCGCCTGCCTTTTCTGGTTCATTCACAGTGATGGTGGGGTTAACTGATGCTTCCATCTGCCTGGGAGACTGGTCGGAGTCAGACACAGGGGTCTGTTCTTCAAACACCTGGGAGGGATCGACAGGAGGAGTTTAATGACTGTACAAGATGGACAAACCCTCAGTGCCATGACCCGTGGGGTTCCCACAACTGCTATCTTGACCATATTATGCGTCTCATCGCTCCTGAAAAATACAAAAATGGAGCTGAAAGGGTGGGGGCAAATGATTGACACCCAAAACACTCTACCATGATGAAGCTATGAGCTAACTGAGCTAACCAAACCTAATGGAGGTTGGCAGGCACATTCAGCCAGAAAACCGTTGTAGAGCGACTCTACAACCCTCTGCTTTCTAGGCTGCAACACTTATAGCGTGAGGCACAGGCTTCCCTGGAACAAGCAGGAGGCAAGCCGCTATCGCTAGCACTGAAAGCTCATCTGCCACCTGTCAATCAAAAGGACATGCTTAACCCCCCTCTGAGTGGTCACAAGGTACACTTGATCTTTCCAACCTAAAAGGTTTTTTTGAAACAGGTTGTAAACATTTTATTTCTGCTGTGAAGTCGACATTTTTAACATGGGAGTCAATGGTCACACTGAGCCAGGTAGAGTCTCTGTGGTGTTTATTTAATCTGTCAGCTGTGATTCGTCCAAAATAATAAACACCCAGATTAATAAGTCAGAACAACGCCATTTTGAGTTCAGTATTCAGCCAGCTCTCAAAATCCTCTAATGTTCATCATTGCTAAGTGGAGTACGGACCGGCCATCTGTACTTTTTACTTTTAAGCTGAGAACTGCCAAGCTGGGAAATCCTGTTGTTGTTACCAACAAAACAACGGTTCCTTCAGAATAAAAGCTGAACTCGTTGACCCAAAGGGGGGTCCCTTTGACGCTGTGAAACACCTGTCGCTTTTTACCTGGAGACTATCCAAAGACTGGTTTGTCGTGCTGTCTACGCCGTTTCATCGGCTCCAGTACCAGAGGAAGGTCGTGAACCTGGCAGCCTGATCTGTACGGGAGTCTCACTGACGGGTAATGTAGAGCGACACAGGTAGCGTCTCATGTGTTTTATGACCACGGTTCAAACGTTGATCAGTTAGGAGCAAAACATCATCTCCCACTCAGACTCGCTTCTCCAGAACGGAGGTTCTGAACTGACATCGCACCAACACACACTCCACCTCACATTCCATTCCACCAGCATCCATCACTAGTTAGTCCTGTTAAACTGTTTAAAATCATTTAGATAATAAATTTTGCTTAAACATTGGAGGTCTCTCTCTATTCTCTTGTCTCTCAGTTCATGCAAAGTGTATTTTAAATTTCCCTGTAATAAAAAGAACCACTCTTCTGATTTTTAAAAGCCCAGGTCCAGAGATGGGGTCCATGCCAGGTATGGATCATTAATATCTCTGGTCATTAATTAAATTGTAATACTCTTCATTCCATTACAAAAGGGAGTTTTCCTCTCTTCATGAGGATTGCTGTAAAGACACTGACACAAGTCAGTGACTCAATGCAATCTGCTGGGTTCCTTACATAGGTGCTGGTCATAAAATTAGAATATCACGACAAAGTTGATTTATTTGGTAAATGGTCTGTATTTGTATAGAGCCTTTTTAGGGTTCTACAACCCCCCAAGGCGCTTCACAAAACAATCAGTCATCCACTCATTCACACACTGGCGGGGATGAGCTACCAGTGTCCACAGCTGTCCTGGAGCACACTGACGGAGGCGAGACTGCTGAACACTGGCACCACCGGTACCTCTGACCACCACCAGCTGGCAAGGCAGGTTAAGTGTCTTGCCCACGTACACAACAGCAGCAGTCTGTGGCGGAAGCCGGGGTCGATCCTACAACTCCGATTACTGGACAACCCGCTCTACCTCCTGAGCTACTGATGAACAGTTTAATAATTTCAGTAACTTCGTTCAAAAAGTGAAACTTGTATATTAGATTAATTCATTATACACAGACTGATATATTTCAAATGTTTATTTCTATAATTTTGATGATTCACTTTGACAACTAATGAAAATCCTAAATTCAGTATCTCAAAATTTTATGAAAAGGTTCCACATTGATGACCCCTGGTGCCACAATAATCAGCTAATTAACTCAAAACACCTGAAAAAGCCTTTAAATGGTCTCTCAGTCTAGTTCTGTAGCTAATCATGGGGAAGACTACTGACTTTACAGTTGTCCAAAAGATGGCCACTGACACCTTGCGCAACAAGGGCAAGACACAAAAGACACTAACGAGACTGGCTGTTCACAGAGCTCTGTGTCCAAGCACACTAAAGCCTGAGTCATGCTTTTCCGTCAGCTCCAAAAGGGAGAGACACGCATGCACGGATGGAGACATTTTGCCCTCATACTTCTCCGTCTCCTAGGGAGTGTAGCAAAGCTATTCCCCCCCAGGACAACAGAGGGCGTAGCGCTGTTCTGTGGTATCCTGTCATGGATCCGGTCCAAGATTGTGTGTTTATATTGTGTTTTTTGTGTATTTAAGAGACTTTTAACACGGACATATTTGTCTCTCATTCTCCCACCGCTTCATGCGCTCCCCACCTCTAAACCCATGTTTCCTGTCATTTCCGTCCACAAATAAAACGCTTGCTGCGCATCTTTTCACTCCTTCAGTCACAGGAGAACTAAACGTTCATAATTTTAGAGTTTTTTCGTGGTGTTTCTCAAGCTTCTCCATGTCTGCCGCTAGTTATCCTCGTCTCTCTTTATGTTTTTGAAGGCACAATGGCGGCGGTGTAAACGACAGCGGCACCCTGACCAATCACAAGCTTGCGTTCTCCGTCTCGACGGACGGATGTTTAGAAAAGAGAGCTCGACTCCGTCCGTTCTTGCGGGGGCTCTCCAGCAGGCCTGCAATGACGTATAATGGCGTTGCGTGTCTCTGCACTGCCCCAGGCGCAGAAGCATGACTCAGGCTTTAGAGAGGTGAAGGGAAGATGTGATAGAAAAGTGTACAACAATAGGATAACTGCAACCCAGGAGAGGATTATGAAACAAAACCCATTCAAAAACATGGGGGAGATTCACAAAGAGTGGGCTGCAGCTAGAGTCAGTGCTTCAAGGACCACCACGCACAAATGTACGCAAGTCGCGTTCATTGTGTAAAGCTGCTCTTGAACAAGATACAGCATCAAAAGCATCTCGCTAACATTGTTATTAAGGATGTGGGTCTATCTGACCTTTTCTGTTTTTTCTGAGATATCAGTTTCACCTGCTACACATCACACCTCCGTTGCTCAAAAAAAAAAGGTATCTGGGTGATCACACTGCATCAGTTTTTATAGAACGCATGAATATGTCAACAAATCTGACAACCAGCTGTGCTGATTCACTTTTAAGTCACTTTAACCGCAAAACTCTTGAAGTCCTTGACACCATTAAACTCAAATAAGTCAAACTTATATCTGACAAACAAAAGGCTCCATGGAGGTTCACCAAATCTGTTACCAATCAGAAAAGAGAGTGCAGGAAAGCAAAGCGTCAATTCAGAAAAAGTAACCTACCACATCACTATGAAACCTTCAAAATGCAGCTGCGCACTCACAACTCTGAATTAAATTAGATGAGACGAGCCTTTTTCTCCAGTCATTTGTGATAATATTAACAACTCCTGTGTTCTGTTTGCTACTAATCTCCCAACACAGTTAGCCCCAAACTTCATATCCCAAACTTGGTGTAATGAAGAGCTTGCGTCATTTTTCATTGAGAAAATCATAAACATCAGATTAGCCACCATCACAACCAGACCACTGCTAAAGCCACACAGCAACAATCTGGCTAGAATGCCAACTTTTATTGTAATTATTGCTAAAACACTTGAGGACAGAATAAAGACTTTAAACTCATCCACCTGCTGTCTGGACAACCTGCCAACTAACTTAAAAAAAATGTTGTTAGCTGTTTAAACGCTGATGTACTGAAAATTGTTAACTGTTCCTTAATGTCAGGTATTTTTCTGAAATCAATGAAAACTGCTGCTGTTAACCTTCTTCTAGAAAAAGAAAATCATATCCCTTAGTGATGAATAACTACAGACCAATCTCTAATCTCCCTTTCATTGGGAAAATTACTGAAAAAGCAGTTATGATCCAGCTGAAGAGCTTTTAGAGAGAAACAACCTGCTAGACAGATTCCAGTCAGGCTTTAGACAACACCACCGCACTGAGACTGCACTGATTAAGGTATTAAATGACATTAGTCTAAATACAGATTCAGGCTAAACTTCTATCCTGATTATACTCAATCTGACTGCAGCTTTTGATGCTGTGGACAACATCCTCCTAGATAGGCTAATGACTCGGGTGGGACTTTCAGGTGCAGTCCATATTTGGTTCCGATCTTATCTCGAAGACAGGTTTATGTTGTCTCTATTGGTTAAAACAAATCAAAGCTGATCACCAAGACACGCGGGGTCCCCCAAGGCTCAATTCTTGGACCACTGCTCTTCAATCTCTACATGCTCCCCCTGAGTCCGGTCATACACAATAGCAACATTGCCTATAACAGTTATGCAGGTGACACCTAGATCTACCTAGCTCTATCACCTAATGACTGTGGTCCTCTAGACTTTATGCTTCCCGCTGCTGACCAACTTTATGAAGATATGCATTTCATTTTCCAACAGGAACAAAGCTGCCAGTGCCTGGTTTAAGGACCATGGCATCCCTGCGCTTGATTGGACAGAAAACTCCCCAGACCTAAACTCCATAGACATTCTATGGAGTATTGTGAAGAGGAAGATGCAATATGCCAGACCAACAATTCAGAAGAGCTGAAGGCCATTCTCAGAACAACATGGTCTCTCATAACACCTGAGCAGTGCCACAGACTGATGTGGACTCCATGCCACGCTGTATTGCTGCAGTAATCCAGGCCAAAGAGCCCCAACTGAATATTGAGAGCTGTACATGTTTATACTTTTCAGTTGGACAACATTTCTAAAATTCCTATTTTACATTGGTCTTAATTGATATTCTACTTTTCTGAGATACTGGATTTGAGATTTTCATTAGTTGTCAGTTATAATCATCAAAATTAAAGAAATAAACATTTGAAATATAGGGTCAGTGTGTGTGCAATGAATTAATTTAATATACAAGTTTCACTTTTTGAATGAAATTACTGAAATAAATCAACTTTTTCATGGTACTGTAATTTTATGGCTTAATGAACTGAACTCAGTAGGAATGCCTTGAGACGACTCTTGTCATGATTTGATACATAAATAAACTGAACTGAAATGGGAACTTGCTCTGTTTTGGAGCCAGCTGATGAGGGGGAACTGCACGTTTGGTCACTCCTGTGTTGGCTTCACTTTAGGCAGCCAAAGTTTGTCCTTTAGTTTAAACTGTTAAGTGTAGGAAATCTGAAACATTATGAAAGATGTTTTATTGAATAAAATAATGACCTCATGATCCTCATCTGAATCGTTTTCATCCAGACTGGCAGACTCTTTTCCATCAGAACTATCGCTGTCATCATCATCTTCAGCAACCTCCTCCTCCTCCTCCTCCTCCTCTTCCTTGTTCGGCTTGTCTTCTTCATTATTTGTCACAGATTTTTGTCTTTGATCTCTTGACTTTCGTCTCCAGAGCGCGCTGTGACGCTGCTGGCTGCAAGAATGAGTCAACAGATCATAAAAAACTTTTTTTAAAGACACTGACAAACACCAAAAGATTTTGTGTCAGCACGAGTTTTGTTACAGCAAAAAGCTGTTGCTTCAGCGCAACGCTGGGTCTGACCTGGCATTCAGGATGCCACTGTAGGTCTGCAGCTGCTTCATGAAGCCCTCATTGGGCTTGACGATGGAGCGGCGATCTCTGACGTAGGCCAGTACCACGTCCAGAGGCCAGTGCTGCTGCTTCATGGCGTATGCGATGACAGTGGACGCAGACCGAGACACCCCCATCTTACAGTGCACCAACACTGCCTGTCCACTTTTCCTGCGACAGAGAGACAGAGGCTCACCAAGATGTCTGAACACATTTCTCATTAGAGTGCAATGAAAGCTGGGCATGTGGAAAAAAATCTTATCAAGATATTGTTTTTCATATCAGTCAATACAGATATATATTCACAATATCAAACAAACCACTGTTTTTGTCAGTCTTTAATGTTCTCTGGTACTTTTCACTGAGATTTGAAGAAAGATGTTTTGGTTTTAAAGGTTTATTTCCAAAAGTTGTCGGACCCGCCGCTCCAGCCAGGGGGCGTGAGGACAGACTGCTGAGAGAGGAGCCCACGGCAGCACCACCACTCAGTGAGAGTGCATGAAGCTGTGTGCTTCATGCTAGAGTCTCCAAAAGCAACACTACACATGACTGCCTTTGTTTACTCATTTAAGGAGGACACCACAGACCTCTCCATGCGTCTTTTGCCCCGCCCACATGCTCGAAGAAATCTGCATTACTGACAACCAAGACCAGACTGGTCTAACCCAGATGTAAATGCACCATTAATAACGGTTTTGGATACATGAAAGAGGTTAAATGTGATGTAGCTCATCACCACCAGGGTGTGAATGGATGAACGACTGATTGTGTTGTAAATCGCCTTTTGCGTTAAGAGTCTGAAGATTCTTTCCCGTCCAATTGACTTCTACGTCCTCAAACAGGTGCGTTGGAGCTTTTTTCAGAGAATGGTTTACAAGGCATTCATTCCGACTAGACCACTGCAAATGCATTAAAATATGTGTAAAGTTGACCTTTAACTAGCCAAAATACGTCTACACGACTGAATACTTCAGTCCCTTATTATCAGTGATGTCATTCGCTGTGTCTTCTGTCTTTTTTACTTTCGGGAGGCTCATTTCTTTCCATTTTTGCAGCCATGTCCGACCTATTACCTACGACTAAAGATACACAAGCGATTAGCCGTTAGCGCTTCAGGCTGGCTGTCGAATGGCTCTATTCCAGCCACCGATTGGTCCAGCTGTTGATCTGTTCTTTAAATCAGTTTCCAATAAACTCATTCTCATATGTTTATCAAGGAAAATGTATTTGTACATATGTATTACTATTGTTTTTGTCGCCCTGCCCTAGTTGCAAGTTTGATTTAATATAAAGAGTTATTTCGGTTTCTCCTCCAAGTTGCTCTTTCAGGGATTATTTTAAAATGCAGAACTGGCTTTTTTCCATCTCAGCCTTGATGTTTTAGTTTAATTTAGGTTCCATTTGCAGACGTAAACAGCTAAATGATTCTAAATTAAACCTGGCTTTCAGTCATTGATGCTTCATAGCGTGTGGTTTAGAGACTTATTTAAGAAATTAGGACGTTTTAGAACGCTTCCCAAAATAAAATGTTTACCCAAAGAGGGAACTCATTTAACGCAGCCAAATCACCAATATCAGATTTCCTTTTAGAGCACAGGCAGAGAGAAAGAAAAAGACATTCAGTCTAAACCCTATCACTTTGTTTTTTGTGGTATTTTTAAATAGTTGTTTGAATACAAAAACCAGCCAGACAGCAGAGTTTTCCCTCTACTTGTTTTTGGACCAAACAAACACAAAGCTTAAATAAACCACAACATGTGTCATCTACATGAAGTTATGAACACAATATGAGTTGGTTCCTCTCCTTTGAGCTTCTGAGGAGAGGAAGTTTGTCGGATTAGTAAAGTGATCTAAAACAACAGAAAAGGACTGATCCTTCAGGAAAACCAAGTGGCTATAAGTTGTAAAGAAGGATCCCTAACAGCTGGATTTCTATGATTCTGAACTTAGCACATACATACATTTAGATAATAAAATAAAAGTGTTTAGATTTGCTTTCACTGTATTCGTAGGTAGCCTGATTCAGATGAAAAACTAAAGGGGAGCGCTGTAACTTGCCAGAACCATGAGCTGTGGTTGGGAGCTACTGAGAGTATTGAAGGTTAGCAAATGTAATGATTTATGGAAAGTGCACATTTTGATGTTAAAGCTGTCTCCTATTCTTTTCTGCTGGTAGTGTATGTTGTATTCCACATGCTGTGAGTATGTCCACTAGGGATGCACAATAAATCGGCATCAATATCGGTATCGGCAGTCATTTTTTAACATTTCGGTCCGATATTTAAAACTGGGCCAATATTAACAAGTAATATTTTTTCCATCTTGTTTCCATTTGTTTCTCTGTTTCAGAGGGTGAGGGTGTTGATGTGTATTTGTTTAGTCATGTTACAGTGATTGTAATCATCGCGTAAATGGGTGTGGTGTTTGTACATAACGTAAATTCAGCTTTAACATTTTTTAATCTATACAAAAATCTGCTGATTTTAGAAGCATTAATGTCAGTGTGTCGGCAAATATCGGTTATCGGCCATAACAGTGATATTAATATCGGTATCGGCCCAAAACGTTTGTATCGATGCATCACTAATGTCCACATATATGAAGAATCCCCATGAGGAACACTAAATCCTAATGTGTTTCTTCAATGTCTACCTTGCAGTGTTGATAAAGTTGTACGTGTTCGGCCAGTGGGACAGCAGGTCGGTGGACTCCACATCATACACTCGGATGTTCATGTAAGTGAAGGATTCTGGGAAAAAGTTGTCGATCTCCCTTGTGACGTTCAGAATGTAGCCAACGCTGGAAAACAAGCAGAAGAAAACTCAGAGCCATGTGGTGACTCAGTCAGCAAAAAACAACTCAGTTCTGAATAAAATACCACGAAACAATGAAACACCTAGATGGGTGACAATAAACAGAGCCAGAGGGGAATCTGCAGCAGAATAAAAACACTGACTTGTTTTTCTGCAGCTCCTCAAAGTTTGCTGCGTTCCACTCAGAACCCTGAACAAGATAAAAAATGTTTGAGTCAAACAAACAATGATGAGGCAGAGCGGTCTTATCACCATCAACACTCAAGTGCCCCACAAAGAGGAAGTGGCAGTCATGTGACAACATCCTGGTGAAAGAACACTTCTGTCAGTTCACTGGCCTCAGTTTAAAATGAAGTAGTTAAATGGATATTACCCTTAAAGACGAAGAGCCACTCACCAGGTAAAGGTAATCAAATATTTTGGAGGGCTTGTCCATCTGAGCCATGGTAACCAGGATCTCGTTGTCGATGTACTCCTTGTAGGGTCTCATGTCAAATCCAATTCTGGTTTGTAGAGCTGAGTGAACCTGGAGCAGAAAATAAGATTCCTGACTGAACCCACAAAGTGTTGATTTTTGTTTTGTTCGGAACAAATTCTCCTTCCTCTGTCCATTCATCTTACCATTTTAGATGTGAGGTTGTCCAGGTCTTCAGTCCTCATGATGTCTCTCAGGTGCTCTTTGATCAGTCTCTCATCGGACATTCTGTCAGCTGAACTTTTAACATAAATTGAAATTTCAATTTCAGACTATACATATATATATATATATATATATATATATATATATACATATACATACATACATATATATATATATATATATATATATATATATATATATATATATATATATATATATATATATATCTTCGTCTTCCTCCGCTTATCCGGGTCCGGGTCGCGGGGGCAGCATCCCAATTAGGGAGCTCCAGGCCGTCCTCTCCCCGGCCTTGTCCACCAGCTCCTCCGGCAGGACCCCAAGGCGTTCCCGGACCAGATTGGAGATGTAACCTCTCCAACGTGTCCTGGGTCGACCCGGGGGCCTTCTGCCGGCAGGACATGCCCGAAACACCTCCCGGGGAGGCGTCCAGGAGGCATCCTGACCAGATGCCCAAACCACCTCAACTGGCTCCTTTCGATCCGGAGGAGCAGCGGTTCTACTCCGAGTTCCTCCCGAATGTCCGAGCTCCTCACCCTATCTCTAAGGCTGAGCCCGGCCACCCTACGGAGGAAACTCATTTCGGCCGCTTGTATCCGCGATCTCGTTCTTTCGGTCATTACCCAAAGCTCATGACCATAGGTGAGGATTGGGACGTAGATCGACCGGTAAATCGAGAGCCTGGCTTTCTGGCTCAGCTCCCTCTTCCCCACGACAGATCGGCTCAGCGTCCGCATCACTGCAGACGCCGAACCAATCCGCCTGTCGATCTCCCGATCCCTCCTACCCTCACTCGTGAACAAGACCCCGAGATACTTAAACTCCTCCACTTGAGGTAGGACCTCTCCCCCGACCCGGAGTTGGCAAGTCACCCTTTTCCGGTCGAGAACCATGGTCTCAGATTTGGAGGTGCTGATCCTCATACCAGCCGCTTCACATTCGGCCGCGAACCTACCCAGCAAGAGCTGAAGGTCAGAGCTGGATGAAGCTAGGAGGACCACATCATCCGCAAAAAGCAGAGACGAGATTCTCCTGCCACCAAACTCGACACACTCCACACCACGGCTGCATCTAGAAATTCTGTCCATAAAAGTGATGAACAGAACCGGTGACAAAGGGCAGCCCTGGCGGAGTCCAACCCTCACTGGGAACAGGTCCGACTTACTACCGGCTATGCGGACCAAACTCGCGCTCCTCTGGTAAAGGGACTGAATGGCCCTTAACAGAAAGCCACCCACCCCATACTCCTGGAGCGTCCCCCACAGGGTGCCCCTGGGGACACGGTCATAAGCCTTCTCCAAATCCACAAAGCACATGTGGATTGGTTGGGCAAACTCCCATGCCCCCTCCATCACCCTTGCAAGGGTATAGAGCTGGTCCACAGTTCCACGGCCAGGACGAAAACCACATTGCTCCTCCTCTATCTGAGATTCAACTATCGATCGGACCCTCCTCTCCAGTACCTTGGCGTAGACCTTTCCAGGGAGGCTGAGGAGTGTGATCCCCCTATAGTTGGAACACACCCTCAGGTCACCCTTCTTAAAGATGGGGACCACCACCCCGGTCTGCCACTCCCTAGGAACTGCCCCCGATGACCACGCAATGTTGTAGAGACGTGTCAACCATGACAGCCCTACAACATCCATAGCCTTGAGATACCCAGGACGAACCTCATCCGCCCCCGGGGCTCTGCCGCTGTGTAGTTGTTTGACTACCTCAGCAACTTCTGCCCCCGAGATCGGACAGTCCATCCCCAGGCCTCCCAGCTCTGGTTCCTCCTCGGAATGCGCATTGGTGAGATTGAGGAGCTCCTCAAAGTATTCCTTCCACCGTCCGACTATAGCCTCAGTTGATGTCAGCAGCTCCCCATCCCCACTGTAAACAGTGTGAGCGAGTTGCTGCCTTCCTCTCCTGAGGCGCCGGACAGTTTGCCAGAACCTCTTTGGAGCCGATCGATAGTCTTTCTCCATGGCCTCACCAAACTCCTCCCACGCCCGAGATTTTGCCTCGGCAACTGCCACTGCTGCACCCCGCTTGGCTATCCGGTACCTGTCTGCTGCCTCCGGAGACCCACAGACCAGCCACGCCCTGTAGGCCTCCTTCTTCAGCCTGACGGCTCCCCGAACCTCTGGTGTCCACCAGCGGGTACGGGGGTTGCCACCACGACTGGCACCGGCCACCTTACGACCACAGCTAGCAACAGCCGCCTCGACAATCGCAGAGTGGAACAAGGCCCACTCGGACTCAATGTCCCCCACTGCTCTCGGGACGTGGTCAAAGCTCTGCCGGAGGTGGGAGTTGAAGACCGTCTTGACAGGTTCTTCTGCCAGGCGTTCCCAGCAGACCCTCACTATGCGTTTGGGTCTGCCAGGTCTACGCGGCATGTTCCCTTGCCATCTGATCCAACTCACCACCAGGTGGTGATCAGTTGACAGCTCCGCCCCTCTCTTCACTCGGGTGTCCAAAACATACGGCCGCAGGTCAGATGATACGACTACAAAATCTATCATCGACCTGTGACCTAGGCTGCCCTGGTACCAAGTGTACCGGTGGGCATCCTTATGTTCGAACATGGTGTTCGTTATGGCCAAACTGCAGCTTGCACAGAAGTCCAATAACAAAACACCGCTCGAGTTCAGATTAGGTGGGCCGTTCCTCCCAATCACACCCCTCCAGGTCAAGCTGTCATTGCCCACGTGAGCATTGAAGTCCCCCAGCAGGACAATGGAGTCCCCTGATGGAGCACTATCTAGCACTCGTCCCAGGGACTCCAAAAAGGGTGGGTACTCTGAACTGCTATTTGGCCCATAAGCACAAACAACAGTCAGGACCCGTTCCCCGACCCGAAGGCGCAAGGAAGCTGCCCTCTTGTCCCCCGGGGTAAACCCCAACACACAGGCAGAGAGTCTCGGGGCTAACAAAAAGCCAACCCCAGCCCTCCGCCTCTCACCCGGAGCAACTCCAGCAAAGTAGAGTGTCCAACCCCTCTCCAGGTCTCGGGTTCCAGAGCCAATGCAATGTGTCGAGGTGAGTCCGACTATATCTAGCCGGTACCGCTCAACCTCTGCCACAAGCTCCGGCTCCTTCCCCGCCAGCGAGGTGACGTTCCATGTCCCAAAAACTAGTTTTCTTGTCCGGGGATTGGACCGCCAAGGCTCCCGCCTTGGTCTGCCACCCGATTCGCATTGCACCGGACCCTTCATGTTCCTATATATAAATACAAACATGAATGGTACACAATCATATGACAGTTATTTCTCTTTATGATTGAATCAACACGTTGTTTTAAGTAACTGAACGATTTGGCAATAATGTCTTCCTTCTACACTAAATCTCAAGAGGGATCCTTCTTACTTCTGTCCATTGCTGTCCCTGCGGACCGACTCCAGGTCGTTCATGGCCTCCCACTCGTTCAGGCAGAAACGATCTGACTCGATGTGCCGAAGGTAGTACTGGGCCCACTCCAGACCGTTGCCCGGAATCACAGCTGCCTTGACGGCTCGCTCACAGCTGCCATGCAGCACCTGCAGCACTGACCTAACGACAGGATTTAGTATCACTATATCTATGTAAGGAAACCAACATAATCAAGTCTAGCTTTAGCACGTGTGTGTTCACCCATGTTCTAGATCCTATCACTTTGATCACATTTAGTGAGTAATTGTTCATATTCTCCTTTTACCTCTAATGACTTTCCCTACGCTGGTGAAAAACAGCACACACAGCAGAATCCCCCACTGAGTCAGGTACCTGCAGCTACCATTTCTTTTTGGTTGTAGGTTAGCTGTGTAGGTAACAAGAAAACTGTTGCACGTTGGGTTGTGGCCAATATTAGAGGCTAAAATTAGCAATCATATGAGCCAAGAGGGTGTTTGGTCTTTTCCCAGAGACAGACATGATGTCGGGCTGCTTGTTTTAACACAGATTATACAGTGGCGTGTTCAGATCTTTTAAAATGGGGTGGCCCAGGTGAGGCACAGCTTTGTGCATGGGTGGCACCAATGGTTATGCTTTTTTTGTTTTACCCCCAAGCCTTTTGTGGACAATGAAAAGCCTATTTAAAGGTAAATTAGTGTGGTGGCACCTGGGGTGGCCAATCAGATTTCAAGGGTGGCATGTGCTACCCCAGGCCACTCCCTGGACACGCCCCTGAGATTATAGAGTGTGAACAAACGAGTCTGTAATTCAGCATGTAGCAAGTGTAGCTAATAAGATTTTTTATGAAGTTATGTTCCTAATAGCTTGATTCCATTTTAATGATGTTATTATTTTTAATATTTAAAATCTAATTTTGACCATACATAGTGAAAGAAAATGAGAAAGTTAAAGATAAATAGCAGTGAGAGGCAGAATATCCAGAGGCTTGAATCAAATCTAGACATGTTGCTGAAGCTTCTGCAGAGATGTGCAGAAGCACACAGACTCGTACTTTTACGGTTTACGTTCTGTAACACTCACCACATGGTCTGCATAGAAACTGGCTTAAAAATTCTGGTTTCCTCCGCTGATGTCACGCTAAAACCACTGCAGACAAAAAAAACAGAATAATGAACTATGATAATGAACACCAGCGAGGAGGAAATTACAAAAAAGAAGAATTAAGAAACAAGAACTTGATGGCAAACATTATTAGACAAGAAAGTAAAATGAAGAGAGAAAATATTCAGTATAGATTAGTACAAGCTCTGGAGAATAACGTGATAAATTCACAAGTGAAGGCAGAGACAAATACCAAGTCTAACAGTGAGAGGTGTGATGCAGACTTATGCGTGCACATGTTGGTATGGTTTGGCAACAGATCAACACATTATATATGACACCCAGCATGTGACTCGGTAAAACGCGTCAGAAAACAGCCCAGGCCTAGCACCGCATGCATCAGTGTCAATGTTTTCAGTTCTGGTTCACGGTGCCTTCCTCTGTGTCCTCGTTTGCCTCATTATAATCAAAGTACTGCTGGTTGGCAAGAATCCAGTTATTAAACAACACAGTGAGCTCAAGTTGAGTAATAACAGATGTTATTATAGGCTGCAGCTGCACAACCAAAGAGAAGCATAATTCGGGCTTCTAGAAGCTAAACTTTGACTGACCTTCACACACACAAAACTACAAAAACAAACCAGCTTCATGCTTGTGTGAGACTCTGTTAGTGAGCATGTTTAATTTAAAGCGAATGATTCAAATCTATAAATAACACATTGTTTGAGGAAAGAATCCCAGGCATCGTGCTCTAATGTCTGAGCTGCAGCCTCTCATGTGGTTCAAGTCGCTGGTTTCGGATCAGTTTAACTGCCTCCTACCCGTCTCCGTCCAGATATACTTGTGTGTCACTCCATATAGGCAGGACCAGGCCAATGGTGCACTGACTGCTGCAAAGAAACACAAGACAAGTGCAGCATTGTTACCCGAGATGAACCCTGTAGTGTTTGTGGAATAGAACACCACCATCTTGGTTACTCACCTGTCTGAGTGGGGAAAGTCCATGCCCAGCAGAATGCTTTCTCCTTTGCTGCTGGCTGTGGAGACAACAATCAGATACCTGACCCTGACCAGGCTGGCTGACTCCAGCTGCACCGCCTGCATGATGGAGAACAGGAGCAGCAAGGGGACAAAGGGGGACAAAGGCACAGAAAACGACAAAGACAACAAATAAATCTGATGAGGAAAGGCAAATACAACTACTTGTAAATCCACATAAAGTTGCACTATCCAATGTCTGCAGCTAACATCTGCTACAGCTGCAGATCACTTTAGAAAGAACATTTTATGGTTTGGGGGTAACTTGCATTCTTCTAGTGTTGTTTGGCTTTTCGCGCAAGTGAAACGATGACAAAGTTGGACAGCTTAAATTTCTCACCCAAGGGAGCTGTTCTGCTCCTGAACTCCCTGAAAGCTTCACTTGTTGTCCCTGCATGTATCTTTTTACTTAGCACTCAATCACATCACATTAATAGTAAGCTTAGTAAACAGACAAGCAGGAGACAGCAGCTCACTTTCACCCAAACATTTTATACCCAGTCGACCAATCAGAGCAGACAGAGACTTTATACAGACAGGAGATGAAACCATGTCTTCTAAAGGAGATGAGATAATTAATGTTTATTTATATTAAAGCATATAAACCTTCCAAAACAGACCTCTAACGCAAAGGCATGGCCGTGCCTAAAAGGCAGTAACACAACTAGTGCTCTGTTTACAAGCCTTAAAATCAGTTCCGATATCTTTTAGAAACATTTGTTAATAATAATTATTTTGAAATAATTCATTTTTTTGTAATAATTATTCACTGAGGCCCTGAAAACACCATTTATTAAGAGTTCAGCAGCTGGAACGAGTACCGGAGTGAACTACCCACTATCACCAAACAGCAGAGCCTATCTACCAGAGGATGCAGCAAACACAATTACACAGGACTAGTGCTGGATAATCTAGGGAAAAAAGCATATAGGAAAAAATAAAAATAAAACAGATATTGATCGATAACAATAATTATTGATGATTCTAAAAACAATTGGTAAAACATTGATTTTACATGCAGCCCTGGCCATTTTTAGTCATTACTTTATGACAAAACACGTTGGTTGTGTTACCTAACCTGATTTTTAATCGATTCGCTACAAACTTTTGCAACTGACCATGGCATCTTTTTTGTCAGACTTGTAAAATCCAAAATACTGCCATGCTGGTGAACAATTGTAACATTCTTACGGGACTATTTTCTCCACCGCTCCTTGCTGCAACATCTTGGTGTCAGTTTTGGTTTGAGGGGCAGTGCTTAACTTGTAAATGAAATGTTCCACGTTAATAAAAAAAATTAAAAAAAAGGGTGGTGGGTGGTGGGTGGTGGCGTCGTCTCACAGCCGAGAAAAAAAAAAGGAACACATATCCGCCCTAACAATAAAACTGACAACAAATGACCAGTTTAATCCTGTTTGATATTAACCTAAAGTTTAGATTAGCTAAAGCGTTAGCTAGTGTTTATTATTCAGCAAGCTGATTACTGGTTGGATGGAACAGATTTCCCAGCATGCTTCACTCCATCTTATATGTTGAAAATTAAACAAAATTCATTAAATGTGGTTCTAAGTGAGTTTCGTTGATTAAATTAAATATAGACCTACACTACTCAAATAAAAGTTGGCTAAAGTTACTAAAGTTAACAGTAAATAAGCGACACCATAACTGAAACAGGTTATGGAGTTGGTTAAAATGAATTCATTTCAGCACCCAAACAACATAAAGAAACAAAATTGACTGAATTTCATAATAAAATTCAATATGTACAGATTGGGAGGGGGCTCATTTATGAAATTACTATTAATCCCTGACCAACATAACATCTTTGTTTACATGTGTATGACACAAGTTGGCAGCATGAATGGCTGGAACCTAGCAGACCGTTATCAGAATGGTTCTTTCAAAATAAAATAGTTCCCAGGTCTTGTTCTGGCAAATTCGGCTCAAATTAAGCCCTGTTGAGGAGGCAGAACTTGGTTACGGGTCTGTGTTTCTGACTGGTTGGGAGTAAGTATTGACTCTTGTATTATTTCTTGAAACAATGCCTCGTATTCTCACAACAGTTAACACAAATCCATACCATCTCACCCAATTTTCCAAACATTGTATTTTCAGGTCAAAATAAAGCTCTACACTCACAACCATTCACTCTTGCTGAAAAACCAAACTTTCCCCACAGACAACACACACACACACACACACACACACACACACAACATAGTCGTACACGTTGGTGTGATAAATTCTAAACAACATTTGCAAAACTGCCAAGTTATGTTGCTTGTGGTTCTTCCCCACAAAAACTTTTTCACATGGTGAACAAAAAAGATGCAACCATTGTAAATGCAGTGGTGCATTTTTATTCATGCACCCTAGAGCACAACACACACCACAAACATTATTCCACCTCAGCATCCTGTCTTTGGTCTGGGTCAGGCAAGAGAGTCTCATCCACATCCCGGGCTATATTGGCCCCAGCCATGGGGGTGGGTGGGTGGGTGTGGTGGGGGTGGGGGTCTGATGATGGCGGCAACAGTGAAGCGACTCACATTTGGCTGGACCTGTTGCCCCGCATCCCTAATCGTCATACCATGGACAAGGACACAGTCAACTAAAGTGGCTCGAATTTCATCCGAGACCACTTGTCTCCTTGACCTGGCTCTTCCCTGTTGTCCTAGACCACCACCTCCTTCTCCTCTTCCACCTCCTCCTCTTCTCTGGTGTCCTAGACCTCCTTCTTCTCCTCTTCCACCTCCTCCATCCTGGTGTCCTAGATCTACTTCTCCTTGTCCTTATCTTTCACCTCATCCTCCTCTTCCACCTCCTCCATCCTTGTGTCCTTAGACCTTCTTCTCCTCCTCTTCCATCTCCTCCACCCTGGTGACCTAGACCTACTTTTCTATCTTTCACCTCCCCCTGGACCCACATGAACAAAGACAAAAGTGAAACGGAGTGTGCGCACACAGCAGAAGCAGAACCAGTGACAACTATCGAGACTGCTCCATTTCCTAGGAAGCGGTCGAAGTCTCCAAAATATTCCCACACAGGAGACTTCAATCGTCCGGTTTAACTGATCTTCTAACAACCCTGTAACCTTATGGACTCACCAGCTTGATGCTATCTTCTGGTCGTAGCTGTTCAAACATGGCATGGAGGTGTCTGTGTCTTGTTCCTGATGCCCCGATGTCTTTCTTCCCTGGAGAAGTTAAAGTGGACGAAGTCTCCTCTTGGTCACCCCCAGTTTTGCCATCTTCTAGCAGAAGAACTGCTCCTTTTACGAGGGCAAAGCTCTCTCTGGAGACAGAGATCAGTCAGTTAGCTACCGCTTTAATTTAAAAAGAAAAGAATTGTCATTTTGTTCTGGACTTCGTTAATTAAATTCAAAAGACATGCTAATGAGTATTTACCTTTTCTGAAGTCTCCCTCTTCTTTGGAAGGTTTCATCCTTCAAAATAAGTGTATTTATTGTTTATAAAAACAGCAGACAACTATGTAAACTTTTTCTAAAGTTTGAAACATTCATCAGGTTTATTTTCTAAAGACAAATATACAAGTAAGTTATATCTGTAGGAGCGCTGGACGCAGTGTTAGTGTTGCTTCTATGTTTCTGAACACAAATGTTTCCTAAGACAGACACAACAAATGATATATACAGCGGATACAGAAGTATTCAGACCCCCATCAAATTTTCACTCTTGCAGCCATTTGCTAAAATCAATTAAATTATTTTTTTTCCTCATTAATAAACACACAGCACTCCATTTTGATACAGAAATGTAGAAATGTCTGCATATTTATTAAAAAACAACAACTAAAGTATCACATGGTCCTACGTATTCAGACGCTTTGCTGTGACACATATTTAACTCAGGTGCTTTCCATTTCTTCTGATCATCCTTGAGATGGTCCTACACCTTCATTGGAGTCCAGCTGTGTTTGATTACACTGATTGGACTTGATTAGGAAAGCCACACACCTGTCTATAATAGACCTTACAGTTCACAATGCATGTCAGGTCCGTATTTGCACGGTGGGTGGTGCGCATTTCGCTACCATTAACCCACTGGCGGGGTCTAGGGAGCTGAGTGGGATGATAGGCGATGTGACTGATGCGACGGTTGTGCTTGATGGGTTGTTGGTGGTGGTGTGTAGGACGAACACCCAGCACATTCGGGCACTGGAGCTTGAGAAGTTCCTGGGGGTCAGTGTGGAGTTGGAGTCGCAGTCTGGTGGTTTAGTTAAAGGGGTGGTATATGGCGTCTCTAATGACGTTACCGAGTCAGAGGTGGTTGATGCCCTGAGTGGGGAGGCAGTGGTGGCGGTTAAGCGTACAAAATATGATTCACGTAATAAACACTTTGTTGTTTATTAGTTTTGATGCGGTGGCGCTCCCGGCTTGTGTCAAGTTGGGCTATCTTCCTGGTCAGGACCTATGAAGAGCCTCCTTTGAGGAGATTTAAGTGCCAGGGCTTTGGTCATGTGGCTGGTGCCTGTGTGGTGGGGGTGAGGGGTCGGCGGTGTGGGGGCGACCATGAAGGCAAGCTTTGTGATCTTCCAATCCGCTGTTGTAATTGTGTGGGAACCATCATTGGCGGTGGTTAGTGGGTGTGTGTGCGGGTTGGTTGGGGGGGGTTCGTGTGCTTATTGTGTGTGGTGGATAGTACTGGCTTGGTGGTGTGGGTGGTTATTGTGGCAGCAGTACGCCTTTTAGGTGTCCAGCCTGCCTAACTCATCGAAGAAGAAGAATGCATGTCAGAGCAAATGAGAATCATGAGGTCCGAGGAACTGCCTGAAAAGCTCAGAGACAGAATTGTGGCAAGGCATAGACCTGGCCAAGGTTACAAAGAACAATGTGGCTGAGCTCCAGAGATGCAGTCAGGAGAAAGTTGTAGAAAGTCAACCATCACAGAAGCAGTCTGGGCTTTCTGTTAAGAGTGTCCCGTCAGAAGCTTCTCCTCAGTGCAAGATACATGAAAACCAGCAAGGTATTTGCTAAAAGACCCTGCGATGGTGAGAAATAAGATTCTTTGGTGTGATGAGACCAAGATGGAACTTTCTTGCCCTAATTCTAAGCAGTATGTGTGGAAAAACCAGGCACTGCTCATCACTTGTCTAATGGGCCATTCCCATCTGTACCGGGTCGGCCCAGGCCGGGTAGCGTAGGTTGTTTACATACGGTATCTTGGTGGCCTGGTATTTTTCTGGGCCAACCAAGGCTCATTCTCAGCCCTCTTCTCGAGGGGGTCTGCTTCAGGCCGACCAGGGCCAACACACCCACTGCTGACAGCAAATTCACACCTTCCATTAGAGCAAGCCTCTGATTGGTGGGTAGAATCAGCCCACATGGGCTTAAGGCAAGGATATGTGGAATCAACCGGGCCAGGCTGGGGCCGACTGGGGCTACCCGGCCCGGGCCGACCCGGTACAGATGGGAATGGCCCATAATACAGTTGCTACAGTGAACCACATTGGTGGCAGCATCATGCTCTGGGGGTGTTTTCAGCTGCAGGGACAGGACGACTGGTTGCAATCAAGGGAACAATTAATGCGGCCAAGATCAGGGATATCCTGGACAAGAACCTTCTCCAGAATAGCAGAAGATCTCCAAATCCAGGTCTAAGAAACTTGTTGCATCTTTGCCAAGAAGACTCATGGCTGAACCCCGGTTTCACACTGCAAGCATCAGCGGAACGGAGCGGCAGCGAAGCAGCACCTCTTCAAATAGAATCCATTTATAGTCTATGGAGTGTTTCAAACCAGCCGCGACGCAGCAATTTTCAGGCGCATCCCAGAAGCGGCATGCCGCACCGCTAAAGATAGGATCGAGTTCTATTTTTTCCGCAAGCCACTTCTGGGACACGTCAATTGCTGCAGTTCACATAGTGCGGGACAGGAAACCACACACGGTTTCAGTGTAAAATCAAAATTAAATGCAACATTGCGATGTTATATATAACTTACGTCAGCACGTGTGACCGAACGGCTTTGTTTGCCACCAGTTTCATTCCAGAAATGCAACGGTGCAACTCCTCGCGGGGATTGCGAACTGTCGATGAGGAAGGTGTCAGAAGTCTCGAGGGATTTTAGAATCTTGCGAGTACAGCGAGGCGCAGCGAGGAAGCCGTGCCACGGCCAAGACTCTCCCGGTGTGAAAAGGACCGCTTTGAAGTTCACGAGTGAGCCGCTCCGGTGCTGTTCCGTTCCGCTGATGCTTGCAGTGTGAAACCGGGGTTAGCTCAAAAGGGTGCTTTTACTAAATACTGAGTAAAGGGTCTGAATACTTAGGACCATGTGATGTTTCAGTTTGTCTATTTTAATAAATCTGCAGAAAGTTCTAATATTCAGTTTTTCCATCAACATGGGGTACTGTGTGTGTATACATTAATGAGGAAAATGCAATTGATTTTAGCAAATAGCTGCAATATAACAGCGTGAAAAAATGACAGGGGTCTGAATACTTTCTGTACCCGCCTTGTGTGTGTGTGTGTGTGTGTGTGTGTGTGTGTGTGTGTGTGTGTGTGTGTGTGTGTGTGTGTGTGTGTGTGTGTGTGTGTGTGTGTGTGTGTGTGTGTGTGTGTGTGTGTGTGTGTGTGTGTGTGTGTGTGTGTGTGTGTGTGTGTGTGTGTGTGTGTGTGTGGCAAACGGAAACTGGAAATAAGGTTAAACCAGAAAAACCATGACATTATAAAGAGAAAGATGAATAAAGGAGAAATGTAATGCAAGTATGAGGGAAGGAGGGGTTAAAGAAGAGAGAAGTAGCAGCAACAATGGTAAGGGTTCACAGAGAAAGAAACTTAAGACAGTAACATTACCTGTTACGCAACTGACAAGTCCAGACATAGTCAAGAAAACAAAATTAAAGAGAAGTGAGCAGGAGCCAGGAGAGGAATGATGAGGGTGTTGAAGAAGGAAAAGAAAGGAGAAAACACAAGTTAAGATTGTTGGATGATTAGATTCTGTGTTAAAAAAAATGCAAGAAATTAGACTTGGATCCACAGTTAAGTCATTTATGGTTCAGTAGGCCACAATAAAGAACTGAGGAAGAGCCGAGCCTTCAAAACAAAACCTTATTTCCACAACAGTGACAGAAGAAAAGAAGAGTTAGGAAGATAGGCTAATGATAAAGTGGTATGTATGATTTTAGCAGCTAACAATGAGCATTTAGACAGACAGAATTGTGCTTTAATTGCTGTGGTGAGTGATGATGGATAAATCATGACATCTGTGACAAGACAATAAGAGTAAACGTGTCTAAAAAGTATTTTTATCTTTTAGACAAATGTGGTGCAGACACCTACAAAAGACCTATCTGGGTTTTAGCAGACCTTACGAGATACCAGTACAAGTAGCTCTTATGCCACCATCTGTTTTATGCTATAGAAAAATATCATATTTAGATACAATGAAAAATATTTGTGTATAACAAATGTGGGGATGACTAGACTTACAGGAGAGGTGGGGATGGATGGAATCCTATGCAAGGTCAACAGAGCCATTGCACAGTCCTTGTTCCACTACGCCAGTGGTTTCTGGCAGGCCCAGACAGGTTCTGCAGGTTCCTCAGCCAACAATGAGACGTTGGTGGTGGATCGTTGTTTTTCTGAAATGGCAAACAGATACTTGAATGAGTACAATTCCTCAAAGTTCAGATGCTTTATTTAGAGAGTCCTCCCGTGTGACGTGTCAGCAATCATATTTTTTCTTCATGCAAACCAACAGCTGAGTTGAGGAGAATCCTACTTTCTATTGTTTTATTCATGTCTGCATTAGTAAAACTTTGTACGGCTTTAGAAATTTGAGCAAATTGGCAAATTCTTTACTCATTAATAAGGCAGGGGCAGGTCTCGTCTGTGGTTACCATTTGAAATATCAGATTATGCAAATTTCAAGGTTACATTCAAAATCTGAATCCTCCAAAGTTGTTTCAACATTTGGTGGTGATAAGCTCCTACGCTCACTGAAATTTCACAAAACCTATGCTCACAAATTACAAAGTGCCTCTCAGGATGCTCAGTGGATCCATCAGGTTCTAGGATTGAGTTGCACCAAGTCACACTTAGTGCGCTTACATGCCCCTCTAAATCAACCTATGGCAATAATCAAGCTAATAGCTTAACCTTTATCGGAGTTCAAATATCAGTTAGAAAATTCAGTTACTGAATGAAGTGCATTTGACTCCTCGATGATAGGTGGAGACATGCTCTCTTTCATGTTGACATTCTTCCAGTTAGCCTGCAGCATCATGCAAAAGTAAAAAAAAAAAAAAAAAAGGAAATAAAGCAAGTTGATGTAAAAGCAGGTTATGCACAATGGCCGAAAAAAGTGTACAATAACAACACTGCAGCACTTTGGTAGCACTCTATCGATTGGCGGTTTTACACGTAAGATTTTTACAGCCTTGTGGCGATGATATTATCAGAGGACCGGGTCAAGGCTGGCCATAGTTCAGCTAAAATGGGATTATGTTTTCATGCAGAGAAATTAATTTTTCTAACCGCATTATCAGGGTGCCTTTGCTTGATAGGCAGTTTGGTTTGACTTCAGACAGACTATGGTGTATGAAACATACATTTCAAAGTCTGACTTAAGTCAAACTAATGTACTAATGTAATAATTCAGTTTTCTCTCATAGCATGCAAACAAACTGGGAACAGTGGCAGCAAAGAAAAAATGGCTTCAATAAGATGTCATCCTAGATGCATTATAAAATCCTTAAAGGACAACCTAAAAATCTGCAACAAATTATTTTATAAGCTGTTGTTTTTTTCAGTAGGGCTTTTAGCAAAGTACTGATTGTGAAGTTTGCCCCGATTTATTTAAAAGGCATTTGAATCACCCTTGAAGCAACTAATATTTCATAAAGAATTACATGTCAGTAATGCCAACAGGTAATATTTTACCATACACTGCTTAAAAAGATAAAGGGAACACAAAAATAAGAGGTCCTAGAACTGAATGAATCAAATAATCTGATTATATAATTTGTTCTTTACATAGTTGAATGTGCAGACAACAAAATCACACAAAAATTATCAATGGAAACCATATTTATCAACCCATGGATGTCTGGATCTGGGGTAACACTCAAAATCAAAGTGGAAAAACACACAACAGGCTGATCCAACTTATGTAATGTCTTTAAACAAGTCATAATGAAGCTCAGTAGTGTGTGTGGCTTCAACATGCCTGCATTACCTCTCTACAATGCCTGGGCATGCTCCTGATGAGGTTTGTCTCCTGAGGTATCTCCTCCCAGACCTTAACTAAAGCATCTGCCAACTCCTGGAAAGCCGGTGGTGGATGGAGCAAAACGTGATGTCCCAGATATGCTCAAAAGGTTTCAGGTCAGGGGAATGGGCAGGCCAGTCCATAGCATCAATATGCTTGGAGGATGTTGCAGGCAGCAGAATGTTCTCCATGGCATCTCCAGACTCTGTCATATCTGCCACATGTGCTCAATGTGAAGAGTAGTGGTAGTGGCAAATTTACCAATCTTGGCATTCTCCGCACTGTAAACACAACCCCTGCCTGTAGATGTTGGCCCCTCATATCACCCTCAGTGAGTCTGTTTCTGACAATTTGAGCACACACATGCACATTTGTGGCTCACTGTAGTTTGTTTTGCAGAGCTCTGGCAGTGATCCTCCTGTTCCTCCCTGCACAAAAGCGGAGGTAGCAGCCCTGCTGCTGGGTTGTTGCCTTCCTATGGTCTTCTTAACTTCACCTCATGTACTGGCCTGTTTCCTGGTAGTGCCTCTATGCTCTGGACACTGCACTGGCAGACACAGCAAACCTTATTGCCAGAGCTCATATTGATGCGCCATCCTGGATGAGCTGCACAATCTGTTGTGTGTGGGTTGCAGACTCCGTCTCATGCTACCACTAGAGTGAAAGCACCACCAGCATTCAACAGTGACCAAAACATCAGCCAGAAAGCATAGGAACTGAGAAGTAGTCTGTGGTCACCACCTGCAGAACCACTCCTTTATTGGGAGATGTCTTGCTAATTGCCAATAATTTTCACCACGTTGTCTATTCCAATTGCACAGCAGCTTGTGAAATTGATTGTCAATCAGTGTTGCTTCCTAAGTGGACAGATTGATTGACTTGAAAGTACATTGTGTTGTTTAAGTTTTTCCTTTATTTTTTGAACAGTGTATATTGTGCCTACCGTTGCTCTGGAAGGTGTAAAAAAAAGCATGATACAGGCCTTGTAAATATAGCTGCCACAGCTAATCAACATTGATAATCCCAAAATTGATCAGTGAATTTAAGATATATTGAGCTATTCACAACACATACCCAAGTGCTAACTGATCATCAATAGCAAAACATTATTCATATTATTTCACAAAAACACAATACACATCTAGTGCTGACAGGCTTGCGCTGCATGCAAGTATGTTTAAACACTGACATAAAATGTGGTGGGTAGTATTCATTACAACAATAATAATGCTTGGTTGACAATGTAAAAAAATGACAATGGCTATGGAAACTATATATTTTCAAATGTATATAAAAGGGTTTTTAAACCACTTTTTAACTTTATGCTGTTATCAATCTGCAGTGGCATTGACTAAAGGTTTTCATATGACATTATGTTTGTGTATTTATCTGAATCTTGACTTACAACACAGTGCTGGTTTTACTAGTATGTATGTATCATATTACAAATCAGCAAATCGTTAAAATACTCGCGTGTCACTCTCATGACTGTCAACTAATGTTTTCAAATCTCTAAGATGCTACATGTTTGGTTTAAAAAAGCCCAGTCAGGCTAATATTGACACGCTGCCCATATTTGGAAATGACACGTTTTTTTTCTCACGAGATACCCTAAATATAGCAAACACGAGATTTTTCAAAAAAACCAAGATACAAAAATCTGTGGATTTAGAGCGAAATGGCACTGAATAAGAGATAGTAATAAAATAAACAATGAATATAGAAACAAATCAACAAATAATAAATATGGAGCTAATTAAATTCACAAGTATGAGAACTGGTACATGCAACAGGAACAGCAAAAGCGACCAGAAACAATGAGGTGTACAATAACATGTTTACACGGTTCTAGACATAAAGCAGAACCGCGAAAGCAAGTCAAATAGTCTGCTGACCATCGCTGCTATGTGTGGTAACGCCTGCATTATTGTGACAGATAAAAGAACTCCGGTTCGGTTCCTCTAACTAGACTCAGCATTGTTAGCAAGTCAGATATTTTAAATAAAGACTTGACACCGACTAGAATAACTCAAGAGGTTCGTCACAGTAGCAAAACGAAAACAACAACAATAAAAAAATGAAGCAACGGAATCTCTCGTACAGAGCGCTACAAGCAGACCACCAAGCTAACAGAGGAGGGTGAAACGTTCCGCTCAAACTAAACAACATGAATGTGTGAAATGAAACAGCTCACTTTCCCCACCTTTCCAATTTGAGTCCACCACTCTAAATTCCTGTTTTGGTGTCTGTCTTCCGTCACCGAGAGCTCCTAATTCCGCCCTCTGCTGCTGCCGAGGGTGAGAACTTCAGTCAGACTGTTGACGGGCACACAGCAGCTCTCTCACCATCGGTCGGGCTGCAAGAGCTGGCTGCGCGCGAGCGGCTACGGGAAGTTGTGACGTAACACGCAAGGAGAACGGGGACGTCAGTCTTTTCTTTTGGAATACTTTTTAAAAATGGGATTAAGGTGGTCATTGATTTGAGTAATTTACTATCAATTTGCAGCAACAGTTGCTTCTGACAGTGCTGCTGTAAGCAAATAGATCCAAGAAAAATGAGACTACGTGTGGTGAATGATTAGCAGGAAACTTGTCATTTCCTACTTTAGCTTTGGGAAACATAATGGAGAGGATAGTCTGATAAGAAGCATTTCCCCAGTGTTTATTCACAGTCCAACAAACTTCAGCTACACAGCTATGTCAGTGTCTCCCTGCTTGAAAAAGAATGAATAAATGTATGAAACATGTTAATGGTTGTTTAGTGGATCTAAACAAGGACACAGTACTGACATTTAGACCAATGTAAGCTATTTGTTGTTTTTTATATTAATTAATTAAATGCCATTATATTTTGAAACAACCCCTACTTGTGTTTATTCTATGTGTTTGCCATCATTGGGGCTATCTTGGATGTTTACGACATTGTCCACTCCTTTATTTTTCTGACTATTTCCTGCCAGGTCAATCCTAAACATAATTCTACGGATCCCGGCTGGGGTCATAAAATGGGGTCTAACAGGTCATAAACTGTTTGTTTACTGTAATCTAGCTACTAACATCATCCTCGTCCAGACAACAATTGACGTCTATTTAATTCTGACGATGAACTTCAGGAGAGAAAAAAGTGTTCCCGCAGGGTTGACAACGAGAAGAAAAAAAGGGTTAGGTCAGCGCATGCGCAGTGACATAAAAATAACTCGAGTACTTCCTGTGTTCGTTTGTGGAAGTGTTCTCTACTTTTTCAGGGTTCTGTTGCCGTTGAAGGTTAAATAGCTGAAGCTGTAATCATATCAGGCGGCCGACCTGCATAATAACACTAACCTTTAGACTGGAATGAAAGCAGTTATGAAAGTTTTCCTAACGAGGCGCATCCCGCAAGAGGGAATGAAGATCCTGTCAGCAGCTGGAGTGTACGGAGAGCTTTTGAACTGTGGTTGTTTCACATTGAACATACAGCATGCAAAGTGAAGGGTTCGGGTTCGTATTGCAGTTTGACTCCACGCAAAGTGAAACGGAGTCACTACAGATGCAAGAAAGCTATTCTCGGATCTAAAGGTTGAAGGGCCAGTGGTCACTTATAGTGGCTCTAATGATTATAGGCAGCTTTCTCTGAAATGTCATCTCAGTCTGTGATTAACCGGTCTAAATAAATACCACTTTATGCATATTTCCTTATCTGTCTCCATGGAAACAGCTGTGAGGTGTCTCAGTGGGACTCAGATGAGCCTGTGCCCAGGACAGAGCTTCTCAAGGGGGTTCAGGGAGCTCACGGTCTGCTGTGTTTGCTGTCTGACAAGATCGATGCTGAGGTTCTAGATGCTGCAGGTACTCATAACCCTCACCTCATAAAAGCGAGAGTCTGCATGTAAGGAATGTGGCAACTAAAATTATATCATTAGGATGATCAGTTACTTTAAACATGGCATGGGTCACTTTATATTTCAGAAGACTACACGAGCAAGGAAAAAATCAAAAATTATTATTTGCTGTTTTTAGTTATATCTGAGTGGTAAAAGTATGAACCCTCACATTCAGTGATAAGACCTCACAATTGCAGCAAAGCACACCTTATATTTCTCTTAACTGATGATCAGTTATTTAAATAAAATCATTTTTAGCCCTCTCATGTCCAAAGCATGCTTTGATTCTGGGATGTTTTTCATGGATTTCATGTTGTGAGTGAGCTGCTTATGTCTTATCCTCATTTCTTTAGATCCCGACTTTGATTTGTCATCCTCCACAGCACTCACTTTCACTTTCTTGATCTCTACCTGACATCTCAACAGATTCACATATTTCACATTGTGATTTTTAACCATAGCTTATATGCAACTACCATTTACTTTACAGGCTTGTGTACAATTCTAATGGTCTTTTAAGTCATATTCATGCAGAGATTTCACATTTTCAAGGTTCACTTTCTGGCGCAACCTTTTAATTTATTTCCCAAAACTTCATGTTTACTTAGAAGAGTTATATGAAAGTAATGACACGTGTGTTTAATAGGAAGATGTGGTAGTTTACACAGATTCTAATGCAAAATAGGGTTTATAGCTGTCTCTGTTAACAGCTACAGTTTATCTCTGCTTGAATAAAAAAATTACAATTTGTCCAATAACATTTTTATCACAGGGTCCCAGATTTTAAAACATGCCTATCGTGTCTGATTTTAGGACCAAACCTGAAAGTGATCAGCACCATGTCTGTGGGATTTGACCACTTGGCTCTGGATGAGATCAAAAAACGGTGAGCATCTGCCCCAGCAAAAACCAGTTTGCTACTAAAAACAGCATGTGTGTGTGTGTGTGTGTGTAATACCTTGTTGGTTTTATTACTGTTTGTTGTCCTCAGCGGCATACGCATCGGATACACTCCGGATGTCCTGACTGACGCCACGGCAGAGCTCACCGTGGCTCTGCTGCTGGCCACTGCTCGCAGGTTACCAGAGGGAGTGGAGGAGGTCAAAAAGTCAGTTTCACCAAGTTACTCATTCACGTTAATTTTGTTTAATATTTGTGTTTCAGTTACTTTTTAACCCAAAATGGAAGCAGCCTCTTTATTTTAGTGACAGGATGTCTCTTTGTTCCTCTCAGTGGTGGCTGGAGCTCGTGGAAGCCTCTTTGGCTGTGTGGTTACGGCTTAATGGGCAGCACTGTAGGAGTCGTCGGACTGGGGCGCATCGGTCAGGTCTAGTCTCCTTGCTGAATCCGAGGGATGTATGATGGGATTTGACTTATAATTTGTAAGATTCGTTTTGTGTTCAGGTATGGCCATCGCTCAGAGGCTCCTGCCCTTTGGAGTGAACCGACTACTTTATTCTGGGAGAACGGCCAAACCTCGTGCTGCTGAAGTAAAAGGAGAGTTTGGTGAGACGATATGGAAAAATCTACGAGTAAAGATGGTGTGATAAGAAATGTGGAGCAGGACAAGAGGACCTTAAGCTTTAGCTAAATGAGTCATTTAAAATTAGGGTTTTGCATATTTAATGATTGGTTTTCTCCCTTCTCAGTGCCCTAGTGGTATGAGTGTCCACCCTGGGAGATCGGGGTTCAAATCTGGTCGGATCATACCAAAGACTTTAAAAATGGGACACAGCGCCTCCCTGTTTGACACAGCTTTAAGGGGTTGGATTGGGGGGGTTTAACCACCAAATAGTTCCTGAGCACAGCCACTGCTGCAGCTCAACGCTCCCCACGGGGATGGGTCTAATGCCAAGATGACTTTCACCGGTGTGTGATGATGACTGATGGGACTTCAACTTTTCTTGAATGTTTTTCCGTCTCCATTCTGTTGAAGTTCCCCTGGACACCCTCGTGTCTGAGAGCGACTTCATCGTTGTTTCCTGCTCACTGACACCAGAGACCCAGGGCCTGTGTGACAAAGCCTTTTTCAGCAAGATGAAAAAAACAGCAGTCTTCATCAACTCAAGCAGGTAGACATCCAGACAATCATCACCATCTTCTAGTAATGCACCTAAACGTCTCAGGTGGTATTCAGAGATGTGATGAATTCTTTGTTTCAGAGGAGCGGTGGTGAACCAGGAGGACCTGTACGAGGCTTTGAGTAGCGGACAGATCGCCGCAGCCGGACTGGATGTTACGACGCCTGAGCCGCTTCCAACAAACCACCCGCTTCTTACTCTAAAAAACTGTGGTACGTAGAGAAGATGCACTACCATTTATTTTTTATTCAAAAGTGAAAAGTCTGGCTCTATTCTCTTCACCAAAATAAAAGTCTTTTTTTCCCCCCTGCAGTGGTGTTACCACACATTGGCAGTGCCACGTACTCAACTCGAGGTGTCATGTCCGCTCTGACGGCTCAAAACCTGCTGGGCGGCCTGCAGGACTCAGACATGCCCAGTGAACTCAGATTTTAAACCCAAGCCACGTACCTGCTGTTTCAGTTACAATTCAGTGTGATTAAAGGGAGGTAGAAAAGAATCGTGCACCTACTAAAATAGCTCGAGCCTGAGCAGGAACTAGTTTTAGTGTCTTCATTTCATTTGATTCAATCACATTTATTTCTGGGACGTTTTTAATACGGAGAGCAGTTGGAGGTAGGAAAGAGAAACTGGTTTTGTCATTTCATCTGTTTTAATTGATCACAAAAGAGGCTAATGAACAGATTAGAAACACATCTTTGGATTGTTTCTTATTTTAAACACATACTTTTAAAACTTTGCAGGTAAACAGATCTTAAAATACACATTTTTGGGGCAGAAACAGCTTTCTAGATGATATTAATATTAATTTAATCAATTTCCCTCTGGGATTAATAAAGTATTTTTGAATTTGAATTGAATTTGAATTTTGTGCTTTATATTACATGTTTGGAGCATGACTTCATTCAGACTCGTCTGCACTTCTAAAACAGCCAAACACTCCCAATGCTTTGTGAAATGAGTTTTTTTTCTTTTGAGAAAAATGATTTAAAATTATTTGAATGTACAGAAATATGTGTTCAGTTGCCCTCTAGCAGAAATCTGATTCTTAATAAAGTTTACCAAATACTACATCAATTATCATAATTTCCTACACAGATTCTCTATAAATTATGTTTTTATTTTTTCCCAAAAAAATTTAAGTTCATTCACATAAATTTAACATTTCATTTGCTTAAATTAAATGAAATTATAAAATGTGAGTAGTTAATATTTCATGTAAGTTAATATCCAGTGTTTAGACCATTAAATTAAATGTTCATATAACTTTCCTTAAGAGCCCATCGAAGTTGTGCCTTTAGTGTAAACTTTCAGAGCAGAGAGTCGGGAAAAGCCTGCTCGTCCTTCCAGTGTGTGCAGCTGTTCTTTGAGTGTTTGTACAGATGTGAGGACTGGCTGAAGCGTTTCCCACACTTTGGACAGGGATACGGCTTTTCCCCAGTGTGGACACGAATGTGCTTCTTACAGTCCGTCAGGTTCATGAAGGTCTTGCAGCAGATCCTGCAGGCGTATTTCTTCTCTCCTTCCACCAGCAACACATGGTCCTCAGCAGCTGCTTTCTTGCACTTAGACAGAACGTCCTCTGAAGCTCTAGTCAGAGTTGGTCTGTCAGCGCCGTCTGCCGATCCAGATGGAGCATCTGATCCCGCTTCTGATCCAGGCGGCACTTTAGGAGCAATGCGACGGAAAGTCGTAGCTCCTGGGTTTTTTGTAGACCTGGAGGATTGAACAAGGGAGGTTTCTAGACTCAGACCTGGTCTGATACCACTCAAGAACCCTGTCAGGGAGTTCTGGGCTGGCTGGAGAATGATGGTGTCACTGAAACCAGAGCTCTGGGATGGGAGAAGCTGCTGCAAGGGGACAGAGGTCACTGGGAAAACAAGAGAGGGTGAAGAATCTGAGCGCTGTGCAGAGGAGGTTCCCAGTTCTCCTGCGTCCTCCTGGGCTGTAGGAGCATCACTGGCTGCAGCAGCAGCTGTAAGACTAGCTAGACTGTCTTCTTCTCCCAGATCTCCCATCACACTTCCACTACTGGCATTAAGGAAACAGGAAAAGGTCAGCTCAGAAAGGCTGTCTAGGCCTTCACCATCAACAGGGTCCTCAGCCAACCCCTCTGTGTCTCTCAGTGTATCAGTGGGAACATCTGTGCACAGCTGTGACTGTAAGGTGACACAGCTGGCTTCTGCCGGATCAGCTGCAGTTGTCTTCTCACCGTTTAGCTCTGGGTCTGAATTGTCTCTGCTGTCTTGCAGCAAAGGAGGAGAGTTGTTGGGTATCGTGTCCAAATTTGATGGAAATGAACAAAGATTTTCCTTCTTTACCTCAATAATTGCCATCTTGAGCTCCTCCTGCTCCTCCTCAACCACTTTAACTTTAACCACCGTGTCTACATCTTCACCTGTCTTCCAAACATCTCCTCCAGAGCTGCTGTCTGACTGGGTTGGAAGCTGGAATTCTTCTGACTCTCCTTTGGTTGCTTCATATTTCTTTTCCTCCTCATCATCACCTTGGTTTTCCCAGGTCAAGTCCGTCATCTTCAGGCAGTCTGGAGATGAATGTTCCTCTGCTCCTCCCTCCGTGCTCATGGTCACAGTAGGAGAACAGTCTTCATAGTTGCCTCCAGACAGCCTGGAGGTCCTCTTTTTGTCACCAAGCCTCTCCTCCTGTGATTTTCTCTTTTGTCTCAAACACAACGCTGTGTTTTGCTCACTTCGTCTCATCCGGCTGTCCTCATCTTCACCAGACTGACTAACCTCTATCACTACGTCCTCTTGATCTTCTTCTGAGGCTGACGTGACCCGTGGACCGGTTGCTGCTTGAGAACATTGCTGCTGTATGGACCTCCACCCTTTAGGCGCAGAGGCGGGGAAGTTTTTCCTGGACAGGTGGAGCTTGCAGGCCTTTACCACAGTGTTAAGGTGCAAGTGGGACGCCGCCAACAGCACATCCATCGCATTGGAGGTGCCTAGAGACAGGGTGGAGGTGTAGATCATGTCCAACAGAGCGGAGAAAGCCTCTGGGGTGACAACCTCTGGGTCTAGCACCATCACAGTAGGAGCTCCACCTCCAGCATCCCTTTGAGCTCCTGAGCTTTCATCATCGCTGGAGCTGCTGAGGAGAACCCTGAAGTGAGAGCTGCAGGCAGCCAGGACTGAGCGGTGAGCCCTGAAGGTCTGATCTCCAACTACCACCCGACAGTCACACAGCTGGGCATGGAGGCGCTGGTGGTTGAGCTGTTTGAAAATGTACTGAAAATGACCTGGGAAGTCCATCACAGCTGGTGGAGCTGCTTCTTCAACAGAAATCAGCTCCAACCTCATAAATCATCCAGCATCTCATCCGCTTCAATCCAGGCACACTGTTGTGGATGATCTCTCAACTGCCTACCTCCAGCGGGATGTTCCGTGGACCACTGCTGCTGTGATGATGATCTGGAGGATGGGCGGGCCTGGACCAACATGGACGGATGCGGAGCGACGCGGGCTTTGTCCCCGAACAATCAAACCGGAGTCCGCATAGATCTGAGTCTGCCGCCGCTGAGTTACTGTTCACATCAACCCACGAGTGTCCGTCCTGATATTAGTAATGCTACTAATCTAGAGAGCTCGCGCCTGTGAGCGGTTCAGCATCCATTGTTGAAATTTCCGTTGTTGTGGTCAGCTAGTTGTTATACAGCAGCGCCCCCGCATGGCGGTAGGTGGGACTACAGTCATTAAAACATGTTTTTGTACACAGAAACTATCTGATGTTTCAGAGCATAAACCACAAATACATACCACACACAGAGAAAAGGCTAATATTATGAGATGGGGGTGTGAAAAATTGGCACAATGTTGTGTAAAAAGCAAATGAAAAATGACTAAAACCAATTTTGTGACAAAAAAAAAACGACTTAAGGAACACCCATGGCAGAAATTAAAACTAGATAAATACAGCAATAACTATCACACAAGTAACACAGTTTATGTAAACTTTTCTTCAAACTTAAAAAAAAAATTACTCAGGGCTTTTGAAACTCATTTAAAATTTTCTATAAACTTTGGCAAGGTTATTTTTCATTTTTAAACCCAATGTTTGTGTTTTATCTACAAGGGATTGGTTATTGTTTATATGTGGATGTTGTTAAACACATTCACCACACATTTCTTAGAGATGTTTCCAGTTTTAAACATTTACATCACCCTTAATCATTAAATGTCGTAAAAATATAAACATCCTTCACTTGATCACCGGGCAGCTGTCTCTAAGGGAGACGTAGAGCCGACAGTCCAACCCGTGTTCCCACTTAGACATGATAAAGGCTCCTTGGGCCAGATACTGATGATCAGCATGTTAAAGTTCTTGGGAATTAAAAAGCTCCAATCAGCAGAATGACTGCAGGTAAATATGGTTTCCAGTGTGAAGTTAAATGGTTAAGTGATACAAACAACCAGAACATTTTTTTAAATAAAATAATATTCAATAAATATTACTGAGGATTAGTGGATTTATTATGTTTTACTTTTATTATTATTATTAATTATTGGTGTCTATTCGGTCTGTTGTGATCATCTGCATTTGTTTCAAAAAAAAAAAAAAGACTCGACAATATAAAGACAAAGACTGACATTTAATTTAGTGCATTTAAGTTGAATAAGGTGACAAAATTCATACTTTTAAACCATCGACAATATGTTTTTTTATTTGTAAATCCTAGGAGACAGACATGATGGTAAAAGAAAACTAGGTTCAACAAAGGTTTTAGAACTATAAAAACGATAACATGTTGGAGGAAAACTGAGACCGAGAGCAGCTAGACTCTCTGTTGAAGTGAAAGAATAAAACCACCGGTGACTTTCCAGAGTGATGCTTAAAATCAGGCCGAGCTGGTGGCGACAGGATGTCCTCCTCGCCGTCTCTGGGGCAGGAATCTCTCAAGAGGATGGAGGGATGGAGCATGGAAGAGCAGACGCTCGCCTCATATGCTGTCCAACTTCTTTAAGACGTACGGAGCTGTTCACAGAAGAAATAAGCAGGTAATGAAGCAGTTCTGTCTTTCAGTCACTGATTGTGTAAGAATTCATAAACAAATGTTGATACAGAAGAGGTGTCACTAAAAAGATTTAGAGAAAATTAAATGATCTGTTGACGAGGGTGAAGTCGTAGGTGGTGATGTTGTAAGGCCTCCAGCTGTGTGGTGTGCACCTTTCCTACAAACACTAATCTCCATACTTATTGTAATGTTGGTTGCAAATACTATGCTTATAATTTTGTGCTATTATTTTATGTTTATTTATTTGGCTGACGCTTTAATCCAAAGAGACGTACAACTGTTAACCTATAGGGCATGTTGTGATTCATGGGGGAAACCGGAGTACCCGGAGGAAACCCACGCATGCATGAGGAGAACATGCAACTCCACGCAGAAAGGCCGCAGCCGAGTTTTGAACCTGCAACCTTCTTGCTGTGAGCACCATGCAGCCCCTTTTACCTATCTTCTTAGCTTTTTATTATCATTCCATTAACATTTTTATTCATTTGTATTATGGATTGTCTTATCTTACCTTATTGGTCCTAACTTCTTATTCATTTTTATTCTTTTAAAGAAAATTAAAAAAAACTTATGTTTAGGTTTATCTTATTATTTTTTATGTTTTATAATGTTTCTTTATATTTTTTGCATTTTTATCTTTGCGTTTCTCTTAAATAATTGTATCATAGAACACCTGGAAGGATCAAAGTACGAATCAGCTTTAATCCATTTCATGTTCGATTGATCTATTCGATAACCTAAAATTGTATATATATTGACAACAATGTCATACTACAAAAATCGAAATTAACCCATTCATTCATAAACACCTAAAACACTATTAGTGCGTATATAACCACAAAACTACAAAAGAGTAAATGTAATGTGTTTTCATTTAGCCAATAGTCTTCAGGATTTACTCTTTTCTTATTTATGACTTCTGGCACCTGCAAAAAAAAACCAAATACTTAAAAAATGTGTCAATGTCACTAGTGGAGCTACTCACTGGCTCTGAGCAGAGCGATGTAGAGAAGAAAGTTCCGCAGAGAGGATACTACATCTTCTCTCATTTTCTTCTTCATCTCCTCTGGATCCATTTTAGGTCCAAGTCCTTCAAGTTTAAACATTTTAGTTGTGGTTTTACTCGACAATCCCTGCTGTTCTGCAAAAAGCCTTCGTCTTCACCTGAACATCGATCACATGGGGATTTTAAACGGAAACACGTAACAACAGAGCGGAAATGACTGCGTAGGACGGGTCGCACTGAGGGACAAGCTATACGAAAGCGCCTTTTAAGAATATAAACGTAAAAACCGAATTAGGCCACTTAGAGGTGGTTGAAGCACGTGTTTCGTTTAATTCAGCGCAGGTTAGTTTTATTTAAATTGGTTAAATTAACGTTTGTTTTCAAACGTGGATGTTTTATAGGTAAATAGGTTTATTAACGCGAGAGAAACACGTAGAATAGTCACATTGATTTAATAAAATCTGAGATTATGATTCTAATATGACCTCATAAACTATAGGCTAAGTGTTTTGAACTTTATTTATACACAAATCCAGAATAATCAGCTTGACATTGTTTTGGTTATATGATTAACATTTTCTAATTTTGAACGCAACTCAAAATCATTTTTGATACATTTTCGCATAAAAAGAAAGACAAATCTAACTATTTGAGCTAGTTCTGATGTAAATCAATGGGACTGATAGGAATTAATAAAATCTGTGCATCTGGATCATCTGGTGTTGGCTTTAAACAAATAAAATAGACGATTTTCCTCGATATTTACGCGTCACAGTGTGACTACAACTTTATGATGAAGATTATTATTATTATTATTATTATTATTATTATTATTTGCAGGAGGAGAGGACCGGGTACTCCGGACAGACATTGATGAAGGCAGGCAGGGAGGAGAGGCGAATTGAGGGAGGGGGCGGGTTATTTCTGAGCTCAGGGCCGTGGATTAGCTGAGAGCAGTCCCAGCACGATGACAGCATCCAGCGTATAACCACCTCCACCACCATCATCATCACAGCACGGCCCGGGCGGACGCGGCGGATCCATCAGAAACAAACATCCTCTGGATCTTTCCACCTCACAGATCTTTTGGGGGATTAACCCCCCTCCCCCTCCTTGCCTAACACCGGGTCTGTGTGTCTGTCCGTCTGTCTCCTCCTCAGACCACGAGGTGAGTCTCCTCTTTATTTCCCGGTGTTATTGTCTGATGAAGGATGCGGACGCGCCACCGGCGTGCTGCCGCTCGGTTCTGCGCGTTTATCGCGTTGAAACAAATGGTTCGACCGATGGTCACTTCCACACAGCATGCGGGCTACACCCGGGAGATGGTGGAGAGATTTAAATCCGATTAAGATTAGAAAGGACGCAACCAAACACTGACCATGTTTTCTTTGTTTAGCCCACTGGGCAAGGCAGCGGTCACCTGTCTGCCGGAACACTGATTATTCTAAGGGTATTTATAAAGCGTGTAACAGCTAAGCAGCAGACGGGGTTACAGTCAACTGCCAACCATATTTAAATGACCGTATTCACTAACACATGTGGTGCAGCGGGTTGGAAATCCACGCTGCCGTCTGCGCAGTGAAATCACCGTCACCAAACTGGTAATGTGCGGACTAAATCCAGCCAGGCTGGGCTGGGTGGGGGGATGTGAGGACTCGGGGTTGTGAAACATTGTGAATGGGCGTGGGCGATGTGCCACCACAGGATGGTCCTCTCCTCTGCTTTCTTTTCTCTCCCCGGTCAGCAGCCTCTTTCCTGCGCTCTCCGGTTCCGTGCCGGGCATGACAAGTGCAACATAACTAGACCGGAACAATGTGTTATGCTGTTCTGGGGGCCTTTATTTAATGCATGACATGATCCATGAGCGCTCAGAGCGGATGCGGGGCATCCCATCGCCGCGCGCGCGCACATCTGCTGTGTGTGATCTTTTAGAAGATTCTGCTGTTTCTCAAGTCTTAATCTCGTTTTTGAAACGATCACAAAACAGCTTTTGGCTTTGGCTCTTGTGTTCCATGACATGAGTGTGTGTGTTTGTGACCGTGTGGGTGTATTCGTGCACGCGCTCAGGCTGCTGCTATGCCTGCTGCGGGCATTGTGCTGTGACTCAGGAATGTGCGCTATAGCCTACAGCATGTGATGTGAGTTACCATTTGAGGTCATGATGCTAGAGGGAAATCAGTTCGCGCAGAACTCGCACATCAGGACTGACTTGATGCTTTCATGGCATGCATTAGCCCCAGTCTGCTCCACTGACTGCTCCTCTCTGCCCCACTTACTGCAGCCTCCTCCTCCTCCTCACCTCTCTTCATCCTTTAGTCTCAGCTCCACGTCGGAGTAAAGCAGGCATATATTCCTGATGCTGGAAGCTGCTGATTGTTCAAAAACAATTACTTTAATTTATTGATCAGGGATGATTAACAGACAATCAGTTGAGGTCCTTTTAATCCAGCAGAGGGTGACCTCATTGATGTGACAGCTCTGTACCACAGTTGGCTGATTGTGAGGCCATGATGTAGGGCATCTCTTTTTGTCATTAAACTGACATCTTGGAAACCAAAAGCCTGAGAAAGTACAAGACATCCCCCTGTTCTATTCTTCACAGCTTATGAAATATTAAAATCCAACTTTATCTGTAATATTCAGGAGTCCAGAGGTCCATCGCAGCTCATATTATATTTTTATACAGATAAGATGTTATTGTGCAATTTTAAAGGATCACAAAGCTGAAGTTAATCAACTCGGACAGCAAAATGCAGGGCGCAAAATCGTCTGTCTCCACAACCAGGACCGTAGACAGAGGTTCCTAAGGGTGCGCACGGGCACTAGCAGAGTCTTCCTTTAATACTTCTCTTGGAAAGCTTGAACCTTGCCAGGTCGTTGATGAAGAAGGGGGAAATAAAAACTGAGCCTTGTCTTCATAACGCTAATGGAACGAGCCGACAGACTGAATAAAGAGCAGATTTGTTTATGTCTGGAGGGCTGTGGACGGGACGTGAGTCAAACACGAGAAGCAACAATCTAAACACAAAAAGAGGCCAGGAAACAAACACCACACACAAACAACAATCGGACATTTTTATTTGTCTAGAGTAAATGAAGTGTTAGATAGCAAAGATGATCAAACACTGGAGCCTATTCTGTGGGAAATGATTGTTTATCGGACGTTTCTGTGGAGATGTTGGACTCAAAAGACGAGTCTGGACAAAAATTCTGTCTGACAGTTACAGTTGTGCAGCACGTTTTGGTGACCTGACTGCGAAGCCTCAGGAGGAGCGGCCACAAATATCACTTTGACTTATCATCACGACTCTATGGAGAAACCTGTTTTAGCTCAAGATGGAGATTCTGTCACTCGTGATCCATTCTGAGCTTTGGTCCACAGATGAATCCTCCGCACTAAATAGGTGCTTTCTGTGACCAATGGGGTTCTTTAACCTACAGCGTCAGGGCCAATAGGCTCTTTGATCCCTGCAGAGGCTCTTTGAGATTTGACCCAAAAAAATCCTATAAAAATATTTAACAGGAGAATCCAACATATGTTCAACGGAGTAAAACTGTAATTGCGACAAACCTGTTTGTAATCTTAACTCTGTTTACTGACATCACTTCTTCGATTAAAAACCAAAACTACTTTTGTTGGTTTTCTGAATCCTTCAGTAAAAATGTCACTTCTACTGTATAGGAACAAAACCATGAAATGTGTACTCTTCTACCCTGACTGAGACAATTTTTGTTGCTCCAGAATCTGAAGCAGCTGCTTCACATAAACTTAAATCCCCTTCACCTCAAGCAATTCACGTTTTCACACATATTTTCAGCCAAGTGTGCTGCTGCTGGACTGAATGTTCTCAGAAGCCTGTGTCCAACTTTATTGGCCACAACTGTGTGTTTAAATGAAACGCTGAATAGCTGAGGCGACCCCTGCTGCTGCAGCCCTGAGCCTCCTGCTGCGCCGCTGCATCCGGTGTGTCGTGTTTGACCCATGAGGAGAAAATGGACTTTTGTTAATGTTATTAGTGAAGGCTGAAAATCAGGAATCTGCAGCCGTGGGGCCTGGATGATCTGAGAGGAGGAAAATGCAAGAGCTTAAATTCACTTCTTAGGGTCAGGACTTTGGGCTCATGTGTGTGTGTGTGTGTGTGTGTGTGTGTGTGTGTGTGTGTGTGTGTGTGTGTGTGTGTGTGTGTGTGTGTGTGTGTGTGTGTGTGTGTAAGGGCAGATAAAGACTAATATGTTAGAAGCAGCTAAGTGGTTTCTGAATTGAAGCTGAAGTAATTGAAGGAAACTTCAGCAGGAATCCATACAGCAGTGTTGCGAAGGTTTAAAGGGACCTTAAAGAGCAAGTCGCCCCCAAATAATTTTTTTTCTAATAAACTATATAAATGAGTGTCTAATTGTGCTGCAGACACATGTAGTCAATAGTTTTGCACTTTAGTGTATTTTCATAAAAAATTTAATTTTCTGCCTAAAACTGTCAGTGTTGTGCCCGTAGTCAGGTAAAAACTCTGCACTGCATTTGAATTTAAATCTGCCATCGCTATTGGCTAAGAGGTACCCTAGAACGATAGCTGGTACCATATGATGTCACAATGTCGTTGTGAGCCTGTGTGTGTGTATTTGTTAGCGGCTCCGCCTCCTCGGTCTGCTAGGTAACAGCATTTGTTGCATTTTTCTAACAGGAAAAAGGAGTGGAGTATTACTCTGGTAGGGGGTGACTTGCTCTTTAAAGGGCTTGAAAAAAACTGTTATGTAATGTTTCTGCATTGGTCTTCTGTCTGGAGGTTTTTGGTTGGACGTTGGCTGAGTTTCTCATTTCCGCATTTTTGCCATTTAGCACTTTGTTGCTAAAAAATGCAGCTGTTTTTGGCCAAATTCTGTGCTTTCATTTATAGTATGTGGATGCATCTTAAACAGGAAAGTGTTTTTTTTCTAGTGCTGCTATGCAAAGATACAATCTAAAACAGATTTTTCTTAGTTATCTGTTTTGTGTAGACACAACACCGGCTCACCCTTTGAGTTCAGAAGAATTTTCATGCCTTTCATTCCCTAACCAGGTTTCTCTTGTGACTCCCCCCCCCCCCCCAAATGACTATACATAAAAGATAAAAACATTATTTTGACCTGAAGTAAATAATGAAAAAGATGCATTTGTTTTGGGAAAATGTAGTTCTCTGTTTTTGGAAATGAACTCTTATAACTGTTAAAAAGGAACAAATAACAATCAGCGTGCTGAAAAGTAAAGAGATTTTTAACAAAAGAAGCGGAAGATTTTATTACTAGTTTGGGTTTTTTCTTTTTTGTTGTCAAATGATGGAAAAGTGGGTGATAATGTGTGTGTGTGTGTGTGTGTGTGTGTGTGTGTGTGTGTGTGTGTGTGTGTGTGTGTGTGTGTGTGTGTGTGTGTGTGTGTGTTAGGATGGGACATGTTGGAGCTGAACTCCGTTTTACCAGAGAGCATGCCTTCAAATGTCTCCATGGTCCTCTTGTCAGATGTGTGCGTTCAAACAGTGATTCTTTCTGGAAAAGATTCAAAAGCAGCTCAGATCTCTTTAGATAAAATCAAACCAGCACATCTAAAGATCTTCATTAGGACCTTGTCTTCCTGCTGCCTCCCACCCTCATGCCTTCTGAGGACCCTGACCTGCTCTGACCCAGACTGGCCCAGCAGCACTAACTGAGCTTTGAACAGTTGTCTGTTCTGCTGACTGAAGACCAGCTACACTCTCAGTACCACCTCACAATCCCCTGAGGAGGCAGCATCCTCTGTGAAGTGCATGTGTGTTCATACCATACTAGCACTGAATCACAGACTGTTTAGCCGAAGACAGAGACGCATTGTGTGGGATATTTAGCAGTGAAATGGGGGAGGTTGGTTGTCTCCCGGAGAAACAGGAGGACTTCATTTGCTAAAAGCACTCTGACATAGCTTGTGTTTTCCCTGAGACGTTGCAAGGGCGAGAGGATGGGCGAGCGAGGCGGATTGATCAGATTTGTGCATGGTGATGACCTCGGGGACTTCTGGAGCTGACAGAGGAGGACCGCGTTTACGACTTGCCATCGACTGAGTAAAGGAGCGGACTCATCGTCAGCTGTTCAGGGTTTCTGCTGCATCAGGTTTGAGATGTGAGAGAGTCGTCACATCACGGGAAAATGATAAACTATGTTTTTCTGTTAAGCAAAGAGAGAGGCTGCAGCTCTGCTTATGTTGGTATTTATTTACTGAACAGCTGTCTGTGTTTTAGTGTCTGCTCTGTGGTTTCCCTCCTCCTCCCTCTCACGAAACTTTTGTTCTTTCCTCTCGTCTCCTGCAGCTCTGCTCACTCATTTCTTTTGCTGCTGCCCTTTTCACCCTCTTTAAAATTCTCCCTCTTTTCTTTCCCCCTCAATATCCTGTCTTTTCTCTCTTTTCATTCCCCTGGCTAACTCTCTTTGCCCCTTTTCTCAGCCCCTCTAGTCTCCTCCTCCTCGTTTCTTCAACCCCCATGCGTGTCTCGTGTCTTTATGCCTCTCTCCTTGTAGCCTGCGTTAAAGTGGCAGAAGGAGGCATTTTGAGGCTGAGCTAGCTGCATTAGCTCCATGCATTATTCATGTGCCCTGCTAGTGGGACTCATCAGGCCTCGTCAAAGGGCTTGACGGAGGAGCTTCACACATTGGACTATCGTTTTCTTGATTTCTGCTTCCAGAAAGAGTTGTTTACTTAATAAAGTGCAAAATAAGGTGGTTTTCCTCAAGCAAGATGAAGCACGTTTATTCAGCATCCCTCCCAGTCCAGAGGCCAGGCTTTTTCTCCAACACAAAGCCCTCCCCATGTGTGTTTTCCTCCTGAAACCAGAGGCTGGCTAGGGTTTCAACCATATCTGCTCTGATGCTCGCATGAGAGATTTGTCCTCTCAGACCGTTGGCCAATTTCTGTGTTTGCCTGGCAGCACATCAGGATTCACAGGCTGCTTTTGGTTATTTTAGAGTGTGCTCGTGAAAAAAAAAGCATATAACTAAACTTGGCTGTATGAAATTTTAATTTAGACAACCAGATGATGATGGAGTGCCCCGTCTCCACAGTGCCATGTGCTTCTGAGGCTGTGGAAGAGTAGAGAACGACAGAGGGTGTGAGCACAAGAGCCTTCAGGGACGAGAGGAGGGGCCTGCTGGGGAAAAAAAACCCACAACCACATAGCTGCTTTGCTTTGGGCTCACATCTGCTTTCCTTGGCGAATGTGCACTTTAAAACTGAAACTGCAGCTGGAGTTTAGCTCTGTACAGGTTGAAAAGCAAGCCAGGCACATGCTCCTTTCAGTCTAAATATAATCCCTGGACATGGACTTCGTTTATACGTGGTGACAGCTCTTCCTGTTCTGCTCTGCACAGGTGGCCGCTCAGAATCAGGACTGGGCCCTGATGACTGGAAGGACCCCTCTCCACCACTTTTCAGCCAGTCCTGGAGAAGTTGCAGAGCTGATGTCTCAGAGGACACAGGGGCGTGCGTGTTTCAGGGTCCTGAAGAGACAGACTACATCTCGGTGAGTGATGCTATCCCAGGGATGCTTGATATTGACTCTAATACCGATATCCGATATACCGATTGTCTGACACTTAATTTTCGACATATGCTGTGACCCCCCCCCCCCCCCCCCCCCCCCCACACACACACACATTTAAAGTTACTAACATCACATAGCTCATTTTCTGTGCAAAATGACAACTACTTCCATTTAAGTTAGTAACAGGACAAGCACCATATTTATTTGGTCTCAGCAGCTGAAACTCAGTCTCGCTAAGTGTGACGCTAACATGTGTGTATTAGTTAGTAATGCATTTGATCTTTTTCTGTAAATTGCAGCTATAGTGATAAAACTTGTGTAGAGGTCTACAGATCAGCAAAGGAAGCCTTGGGTGAAGATTCTTGTTTTTGTTTGTTAGCTGGCTAGCTACACATAGCTATATGCTGTCAGGACAGCAGATCCTCACTACACAGAGCAAATTTCTACTTCACAGGTTGTGCCAAAGAAACTATAACATCTCAAAACTTTACCTCAGATCTGTCATTTTTTTGACATTTTGCGAGAGATGGGAGATAGCTGAAGAGTTTGATGTATAATACGTGTATGGTATGTAAAATTTTGGTCTTTAAAAACCGATATCAATATTTTCTGATACTTCAATTTGATACTAATATCGGCCGATATTAATGGTAGACCAATAATATCAGACGTCCATAATTCTGATTTAAATCCACACGGTTGCCCTGTAACATTTGAGTTCCAGAAGCACATCACACGATGTAACCTCTAGTTTTGTTTGTTTATTTATACGGAGCCCTAGAAACCCCCAACGTGCTTCACAACACAACAACAGTCACACATTCTCATTAAGGCAAAACACTCAAAATAAACCGCCATTTTTTGACAGATTTAAAAATATCTGGAATAAAACCTAAACCTGTAATCTGAATATTTAAAACATAATCCCAATAAACAAAGTTACGTCTAATTACTTAGAATCACATTTAAGATTTGAAGTTATAACCCTAACCTAACCCTCAGACATCTGTAAGGAGGTACACTGCCAAAACTAGATCCTCCAGCTAATGCCTCAGAGTTCTCTTAATGGTGAGACTGTGCGAGTCTATTTAAATGTAGATTGTTTATTAATATGCAGAGAGGACCCAGACTGACGGCTGTAGCAATGGAGCGTGGCAGTGAGAGGGTCACACCGTCGGCTGTGCAGAGCTAGCATGTTCTCTCCATGCATGCGTGGGTTTGCTGACCAAACACATGCATGCTAGGTTAACAGGATACTCCCTGTAGGTGTGTGTGTGTGAGCATGTGATTGGTTGTATGTCTTGTTTGTCTTCATTTGTCCCTGTAATGGACTGGAAACCTGTCCAGGGTGTCCCCTGCCTCTCTATGGCAAAATGTAGATATGTGAGCTTTGATCTGGTAGTTCACAGTCAACACCCGTTATTTTGTGGTGTAAATAACTAAATTTAAACAAGCTTTTTTTTATTTCACCTGCTGATTAGCTGCTCTAATAAAGGCAGTTGCAGTGAGCTTCCTGCTCAGAGGTGTGCATGCGTGTGCGCGCGCGTGTGTGTGTGTGTGTGTGTGTGTGTGTGTGTGTGTGTGTGTGTGTGTAAAAAAGACCTTCTGCCGCTGCTGTCCCACAGAGACGGTCATCGGAGACGGCTACCTGACTCTGCAAGAATGCGGAAGGTCAGAGAACAGCAGGGAGAAAATGAAAGGCCAGAACATAGAAAGATGGAGAATAGCAGCTGAGGATAAATACAAAAATAACGTCTGACTCAGCACTGATTGCAGAGCACGACACCAACAGATCCCCACATCCAGGCAACTACACGGCGTTTGTAAGGCTCTGTTTGAAGCCAGAACGCGTTCTGTGACTCTGCATACACAGATGTCAGGTTTTGTTTCTGTCGGTTGATTAAAGGGAGGACAAGCGTGTGTAATCACACTCAGCTCCTCATGGGCAGCTGTCAGCTCCTCGTCTCACTCCTTTTTCTTCAATCTGCTCGAATCCGGATAAGCAGGAAGTGCAGAAGTAACACCCTGACCAGTTCAGGCCCGTGCATCAGGAAGGCTTTTAATCCTCTTACAGAACAGAACTACTTACGTTACTGAGAGTTAAAAGTTAGGCAGCGCTGGCTTAAACTACTTCTCTTTGTGTTCAAATGCAGCTTTACTCTCAGCAGCTTTGCCTAATATCAGCTATCGATAACCCCGCTGAATTGTTTCTTTAAAGTCGAAACTTTTAAGAACGAAAAGGCAGTTGCTGTGAAATGACTCGACCTTCCTCTTCCTGACTGGAAAAGGCTTGTTTTTAAAGGTTTGCAAGCAAGCATGGCAGACGGCCAGAAGGCTGATGTTGCTTCTTTCAGGATTTTCACGAAAGCCTTGGCTCGACTGAGTTGGCTCCACAGTTCAGAGAGCTGATCTAACTAAACCTTTGGCCTGGTTTCTCTTCGGGTCATTCGCTTTCAGGAGCACATCCATCATCGTTAGCCATATTGATCAGATCGTGACTCGTTCAGTCACTGCCAAAGCTCCTTTCTCTCTCTCTCTCTTCCACTCATTGGGTCAAACGGTGCAGCTTATCGATTGTTGCATGAGCAGGCAGCAAAGCGGTATGTTTGGGAATATAAACTCATAATTAATCACAAAAGCATGGGGTCATATTATACAGATTATATAAGTTTGAAAAGTAACAAAAACAGGATTTAGAGGATCTGCAAGTTTTCTGAAAAGTTTTGACTTTTGGTGTTAAATCAATACTGACCAGCTCTGGCTCCATCCTTCATTATGTTGCCATGACAACACTCTTGAAAGGCCCAGCTAAACAGAAACTACACGGCGACGGAAAACGTGAACTGTTGCATATTTTGCTGATGCTTTATTGTAAATCCTGTTGTGTGATGACTGACTCATTGTGGAGAATTGAGCGATTCACGTTGCTCATGCTGACTAAACTCCACCTCATTCCCGTCCAGCATTCCTTGCTTCCTGCTCACATGTCTGATTATTCCTCACATTCAAGTCAGTCAACTTTTTAAAAACAGGTCCGGCTGCACGGAAAATTTGCTTAAAGCCGAATCGGTTGTTGACTGGTCTCTGATTTATGTAGTTCCTTCAGATCCTTTCTTCTTCCTCCCGCATGTGTTTTGACGTTATCTTTTTGTGTGACTTCAGATAAATGGAGGAGAAGGAGCGAAGCAGGAGCAGGTCTCCGGCTAGGAGGGGCAGCCGGGTGCAGCAGGTGGTGGGGACAATAATACGACGCACAAGAGAGTCCCTGAGCAGGTACAGAAGCCAAATCCGATGGCTAATATGCTCTCTGTGAAATAAAAACATGTTCAGAAAACTCAAAAATCAAATCAAACAATACTGGAGAAGATTCTGTGAGAGGTTAGGAGGCACGAGCACTTAAACAGATATCTCTTACGGGTCTTTAGGTCATTAAAAAGTGGAATTTGTGTTGGCAGCATATGATGAGTGACCATGGCTGTGCTTGAGATGTAAATATGTAAGCTTCCTTGAATGCTATGACGTTCCTGCATCAGAAATGTAGCTCTACATCTGTGACAGTAACTCACCTGATCCACTCTGTCAAGTATCTTGAGTTGGATTGACTCCAAAAGTCAGTCAGTTGTAGATGTGCATCCATACGCTTCAATCCAATCATGGAATTTTCAGACATTTTGCAAGCAGATAAATGAACAGAAACAGACTTTTTATGTGTAATTAATTTTTTAAAAGCTTTTTTAGTGATGAATAAAGTGTTTTGAGCATGATTTCCTCTCTTAGAAACAACAATGGAACCACTAAAAAGGAACAATGAGCAGAAAACAGCTGAAGAATTTGAGCGTACCTTTTTTAAGCTGATGAAACACACACACACACCCTCAGGAGAAGACATACAACACACAGCTGAGCATGTGTTCAAGCATGGAGTGTGTCCCTCCAAACACACCCCACTGCGAACCACAAGTATGCACCCGACAACCCTTCGTCCTCTTGTCGTCGCCTCAGTAGTTTCTGGTGACTCAGAGAGGGATCTGTCACAGAGGAAACTCCGTAAGCTCCCTCTGTGAGTTGTTCCTGGGAAAGGCCTCGTAATGTTCTACCACAACAATAATAGTTACAGAAAAATGTTACAGTTGTGGTTAAATCCAGCCTGGCTGGTAGTTATTTGTACAGATTTAAACTTCATTCTGCTGGGATGATTTAATGATAAATATATGAAAAATATGAGGGGCTCAAAATGAAAAGATTTGTTGTTCTCTGAGAATTCTGTTCATTGTAAACTCAAACCAGGTTTCAGAGATTTTGTTGTTTGTTTTTCTTTTAACCACAGTTTCAGCGTCTGATGAGACCTGTTAGCCTGGAGAGACAAAAGCTTTCATTGTTACTTAAAAATGTTATTTTGTCTCTTTATTTCTCCACTTGTTGTCTCTGTGTTGTTTCATGATGTGCTGAAGACTTAGAGGGACCTCAACGGTAAATGAGCCGGTTTATAAAACCCGTATCTTTAACTGCGGAGGCACGTTGAAGGAACATTCCAGAATGCGTTCTGACGACGTCTCGCTGAAAAGAGCCCATCCCGTCTGGATGACATCACTGTGTTTGAAAACCCGAATGTATTATTCAGCATTAGGATGCGTTGAACGATCTGCTTGTTCATGGTTGTTGGGACAATTATTAACTACTAAACAAAGAGTCCATGCTAAATGAAACTGGCTGAAAAGAAAGCGTCAGCAGTTTTACTGTGATTTAATCAGGGATGTGGTGTTTATTTGAGACTAAATCCAGAATATGGGCTTAAAGATCACACAGCTCTCATGGGACATGTTGATGAGGAAATCCTAAACTTGTTTACAGCAAAATATGATTTTTTAAAGCTTTTTCCATTTAACCCTTTGATGCATAATGGTCAAAACAGTGGACAGGTACTCAAAATTGTTATTTATTTGTTTTTGCTATTAAGCACAGCTGTTGAAGACTTTATTGCATTTGAGCCCCTCCATTTGGACTTCAGTAAGCCAAATCAACATATTTCATGTTCAGAATGCACGCTGTCCACTGAGGTGGACATGTAATAAACTATTTGTAAATTATCAAATTTTACAAAAAAATATTTGTTGAAATTTGTTTCATTCACACCTAAAGATGAATGAAAAAAATTGTTTAAAAAATCATGGTTGAAGATTTCATAATTCATGCATCAAAGGGTTAATATTATGATAGGTGATAAACTAGTCCTCGTTTCTTTCATATGTCCAGAAGAAACAAAGTTATGCTTGAAATAAACAAACATTTTATTTTAGTTTGAAACAAGCACATGGTTGAAGATTGACGTTTGGCAAGTTATTCAAATAAATCCTGGTCTGCGGTAAAATTAAAAAGCTTTTTATTTAGATTTTTACTGCTCTTTCAATTTTTCAAAATTCTGCTTAATTTACAATTTTTCTAAAAACAAATAGTAGCTCTGAGTACTGAGTTGTTGTTGATCAGCAGCAATTTAAAGCGGACATAGTGAGTTGTGTAACATCTTCATCATAAAATGTAACTGTGACTGTTAAGGACATTGGCTTGAAATAGATTTGTATGTTAAATAATGAGCTAAAACATTATGTACCAAAACATGATTTTAAAACAAGCACATTTTTGTTAAAGGTGTGGAACACTGAAAAAACATTATGTAATGATTATGATTATAATCGGTCACTGTGAGTTTTTCATGCAGGCTGAAAATAGTCTCCTGCACCTACCTCCTGCTTTAGTTTCTGATAGAAAATAGACGGTGAAATCAGAAAATCCTGACAGATCTAAGTCAAGCTGTCACTGAACATTCATGGACTCTTCCATCTTGACTCATGACGGGGAAGGCTGTCGGCTTAGGTCCAGGAAACAGCAGAGAACGTCCCAACTAGTAAAAGCTAACCATTAGCATTAGCAACTCTGCCACACAGAAAAGCCCCTCTAGGCTTGTGATCTTTGTAGCGGTAAAACATCCACGTTGCAAGTCAGTGGTAGAGTCACGTTGCTGTTATCCAATCCAAGGTGAGATGTCCAAATATCAGGAAATAAGACTCCAAATCCTGCTGTCTGAAGCTACTCTCTGTAGCAGCAGACTTGACGGTGCTCATCCAAGCACTTCCATTTATTTTTTTGCCCTGAGTACAGCTTGCAAGGCATTCATTCCCATCAGAGACCACTGCAAGTGTATTGTTTTAGCAGGTTTCCCACACCTTTAATATTTTCCAATAGTTTTCAGACAACTAACCCATGAACCCATTTGACCTCCTAGAGAGCGGTTGCTAGGCGATGGACGGTCACAGCGCTCCAACAGTGTGTCCAGTCAAAGCTTCCAGGCCAAGCTGACGCTGCAGATCACCAGAGACCCCGTCCTGGACCGCAGCACCGGACACGGCTTTACTCTCACCACCGACGCGCCCCTGCTGGTCAGGGACATCGCCCCAGGTATGCATAGAGTGTGTGATGTGTGTGTGAGATCCACATGTTTGTCTTCATGAATGAAACACACTTTGTTATTCTGTTTTCTCTTCAATTGACCACCTCCCTTATGCAACTCTGCCCATCCTCCAGCGAGTTAGAGACACACACACACACACGCACGCACGCACACACACACACACACACACTTGGCATTCACCCTGCAAGGCATTGCGCCAGAGACCACAAAAACAACAGAGCCACCTGCTCTTCCTTTCTAAATTCAATCACTTATCATTTAGGCAACTTTAATTCGGAGGTATTGAAAAGAGTTAGATGTAGGGAGGCAGATTTTAACATCTGTTCAGTAGAAGAAAGCAGATAAAAGCTCAGAGGAGCGTCCCACCCTGCTGACCTCTCTCTGCTGCCAAAGAAAGAGAGGCGATGAGAAAGTGAAAGGAAGGTGATAACGGAGGACAAGATCCAACAGCTACGTCGGCGAGGAGATCTAGTGACAAGATATAAAGTGTGTGAATGTGTCTAAAGATGGAGGAAAAACAGGTTTTTGACAGGGTGATTACTATTAGAGGAAAGCAGATGATCAGGAAGAAAGACAAAAAAAGAAGAAGAGGAAGGAATAGATTGTAACAAATGAAGAAAATGATTGGGGGGGTCTGATGCTAAAGTGCGACAGAAGGAGGACGGAGCTGTGTGGGTTGTGTAGAGCAGCACTGCATACCATCAGTGGGTCACAAACAAGACACGAGTAGTGTGTGTGTGTGAAAATGTGTGTGCATGGGCGAATGTGATGACGCACGCACGTTCAACAGAAAGCTGCTCTCTCTCTCTCTCGCCCGGAGATGAATGAGTATAAATAACCAGCGAGAGCAGAGCCGAGCTGGAGGAGGCCCAGAATCACTGTAACACTGCACGTCCTGGAAAGCTCAGATGGTTGAGTCAGCCATGTTGAATAAGCATGTGTGGGATACCCTATGGATCTGTGAATATTCCTACCCGTTGTTCCCTCCTGTGCATTAAAGGGTATAACTCACTCCTTGTTGTGTGGATTCTCAGGGAGCCCAGCAGATGGGATCCTATACCCAGGAGACCACGTGCTGCAGATAAATGATAAAGTGTTGGAGGATCTGAGTGCAGAGCAGGTGGAAAAAATCTTGAGGTGAGACGGTCAATCTTGTGACAAATCGAACCAGAACATCTTGTCCATTCAGAGGATAAACAGACACTGGTTTGTGTGAAAGTCGTGTCAGGTCAGAGGACAGGACCTGGCAGCTTCATGGTCACTAAAGTCTGATTTATCTTCCTCCACTCAGAGACTTGGAGGACTGTATCAATGTGACCATCCTGCGGCACATGACAGTGAGTAGGAAAAACACTCAACCGGAACAGTCATTAGACTAGTCCATTTAAACATAAGCTGCTTATTTCTGAGCATGACAGTTTGCATCTTCTGACAGGATCAGCTGCTCCCCCCACGTCTCCAAACAACTTGTCATAAATGATGCCCGTTGTCTCTCTGTGTGCACCTGCACCTCAGGCTCTGCAGCCATCGGATCTGATTCTGTCGCTGCTCGCTCTTTATTTTGACAAGCGGCGCATCTCAGTCGTGTCTCTCTTTGTTGCAGAATCCCAAGTCGTCTATAATGTCTGCAGAGAAGAGAGCTCGCCTGAGGAGTAATCCAGTTAAAGTGCGCTTTGCAGAGGAGGTGGTGGTCAATGGGCATACTCAGGTAGAAAATGTTTATTGTGACACAGGAAAAAAAAACTTACTTGTGGATCTTTCAACATATGTCTTTACGTTTCTTCATCAGGGAAACTCTCTTCTCTTCCTTCCCAACGTTCTAAAAGTCTATCTCGAGAACGGGCAGACCAAGGCCTTCAAGTTTGACAGCACCACCACTGTCAAGGTAGGATGGTTAGGTTTATTGGGTCAGGTGTTTAATGATTAGAGCCTGCTGATTAACATACAGGTACCTTGAGGAATATTTTGACCATCTTTTATTTATAAATGTTATAAATACAAACTGGAAAGCTTCCAAAAACAGCCTCAGTTTGAAGAAATAGCTTTAAAATCCGACAGCTAGCCCAAGCACAACCAACACTGAGGAGGAGTATTAAAACAAGTCCAAAATCCAAATTTTCATGGCAGTTCTTGCAACATTATTCATAAACGTTTACACCACCAATAACCTCAGTAATTATATGGAATTATCTGATTATTTACATGCATAAATATCACCAGCAGCAGGGAAATCCAGAACTTCTGGTGCATCCAGGTGTCAGATCTGACAGGAGTTTCTTTTTATTTCTGCTGAAATAACTGTGATGAGAAATTAACAATGATGTGAAGCTGTAAAGACTTGGAACGAGGAAAGAGATTAAACACACACATTTAGTTTGTTCTTCTTTTCATGGCTGTTTTATTGCAGTTACTGCTGCTTACCTATTCATATGCACTCAGGTGAAGTGAAGCTGAAGAGTCAAATTTATTTATTTGGCATCAGAAGCCTGGGATAAAACATGTTAGTAAGGCTGCACAGTGGCGCTGTTGCTTTGCAGCAAGGGGGTCCTGGGTTCAAAGCCCAGCCTGGGGTCTCTCTGCAAGGAGTTTGCATGTTCTCCCTGTGCACGAGTGGGTTCCCTCCGGGTACTCCGGCTTCCTCCCATAGTTCAAAAATATGACTGTCAGGTTGATTCGTTTCTCTAAATTGTCCTTAGGTGTGAGTGTGTGTGCATGTTTGTTTGTCCTGTGTGTCTCTGTGTTACTCCACATTGGACTGGTAACCTGTCTAGGGTGTACCCCACCTGTTTGCTCAAAGATAACACCCCTCTCAACCCTGCGTGGAAAAGCGGGTTAAGAAAATGGATGGATGGATGTTGGTTTAAGACTCCTGAGATGTTGTTTGTTCATCCCTGCAGGACATTGTTCTGACCCTGAAGGATAAACTGTCCATCCGGGTGATCGAGTACTTTGCCCTGGTGCTGGAGCAGCAGTATAGCATCACAAAGCTACTGCTTCTGAATGAAGATGAACTCATACAGAGGGTGAGACGCACACACACACACACACACACGCACGCACGCACACACACACACACGCACACACACACACACACACACACATGTTGGTATATCTATACTCGCAAGGACCCGTCACTGACTTCCATTAATTTTAGTGACTCCATCATGCCTAACCCATACCCTAACCCTATCCATAATCAATGGTGTTCTATTCCTTACCCTAACCTAAGCTAAAAGTTAAGACATGCGCGCATGGTCTGGTCAAAATACACTGCTAAGTGCATTTTTGTCTCCACACAGGTGGTGCTGAAAAAAGACTCACATGATTACAGATGTCTGTTCAGGGTTTGTTTCATACCCAAAGACCCCATGGATCTTCTGCAGGATGACCCCTTGGCCTTTGAGTACTTCTTTTTACAGGTCAGAAAGGCTTATTTGGAGCATTGTTTTATATTATCTATGCCTTTAAATGGCTGGAGGAAAAAAGCTGAACATACTGTGAAAAGAATTTCCACACTATGACGATGCCCAGCTTCGGTCTAAAAATAGATGCATATTTCAGTGGGAATGCCACGAATGTCACGCTGATTTACTGTTATAAAAGCAGCCTTGCTATCCTGTTGTGTTTGTTTTTCCTGGCAGTTTGGGGTTTTCCCCGGTTAGTTTATTTAAAGAGACTGAAACATATTTTCTGTGTCTGACATAAATTGTATGTTGGTAGAGTATAAGTTTTCAACTATAATTGATTTGCATTGTGTATTGTCTGCACGTACTCATCTGCGTTCTTGTTTGTATCTGAAGAGTGTCGGAGATGTGCTGCAGGAGCGTTTCGCTGTGGAGATGAAGTGTAACACAGCGCTCCGCCTGGCTGCTCTGCACATGCACGAGAGACTAGATAGTTGTGGACAGACAAGGACATCCATCAAGAGTATTACGTGAGTCGTATGTGTGAGTCTGGGTCATAGGGTCAGAGTTCTGACATATTTCATTGAAGTTTGTGTGATATTGGTGGAGAGATGTTCTGCTGCAGCAGCAGTGATTGTAATTTGTCCAGGATGATGGTCATAGCTCAAATCTAATCTATTTAATTAATTAAATATGATGTGGCAAATAGGGAATATAAGGTCACTCTGTATGCAAACAATATATTAACAACAAATAAAAAATAACGCCTCCCTGGGGAGGTGTTTCGGGCATTTCCTGCCGGCAGGAGGCCCCCCGGGTCGACCCAGGATACGTTGGAGAGGTTACATCTCCTATCTGGTCCGGGAACGCCTTGGGGTCCTGCCGGAGGAGCTGGTGGAGGCAGGGACGAAATTTTGATTTCAGAAGTGGGGGGGACACAGCAGGCTTGTGCGGATTTGGGGTGGGGGGTGTTATGTAAAGACCCCTTGACAAGTCACGTGCCCATCTCAATAATTTTTCCATCCTCTATATATATATATATATCAAAGTTAAAAAATGTACAACTCTATTATTATTTTTATTTATTATCATTATTGAAGTGCAGTTTTGGCTGTTGACAATGGATAGGCCATTGTATTTATTGTTTTGGGTCTTTTTTTATTGTTTTTGGTGCAACATTTTCTAACAGGGAGTGAGATTCCTTTTTTATTCAATTTTTGTTTGTTATTTTTATTCATTTAGAAGTTCTGGTTCTGGACATTTCAATGTTAAATGAAGGTTTATTTGTTGCATTTTAAAGGGTGTACTTGCATTATTATGATATATTAACATTATATTAGTGGTTATTTTGGTCTAGATAATGTACACAATATCGCTTATCATCAACAATTTGTTGGACAAAATATTGTCCAGCAAAATTTGTTACATTCCCAGGCCTAGTCAAAAGTATAAAAATTATTTATACATAAACGGTCCTCCTGAGATCTGGCCATTTGTTCATTTGCTGTGTTAGAGGACATGCTGAACTAATGTTTTACACATGATCATCACCCTAACATTTGAGTGTATAAAAACATATTAAATATGTTTTTCCCTTAAAAGTGTTTAAACAGTTGTTGCATTTCAACACACAAAAAATAAATGGAAAAAATAAGATAAATCTAATGAAAAGTGTACATCTTTGACATTAAGTTTAAAAAAATCTGTTGACGATGATGATACTGTTCATTTTTCAGAGCTTTTTAATGTGAAAATATACATTGCAATAGATAAGTTTACAATAAAGTTAAATGATAAAAGTTTTGAAGTTACACTTCTACTACTACTAATACTAGTAATAATAATTATGATGATAATAGTAATAATAAAAAAAATAATTATTATAATAATACGAATAAATTGTGTCTGAGGAGTCAGTTATGTGGAGGAGATGAGTTTGTAAAAGTTAGTTTTGAGTATGTTTGTGAAGGAGGAGGTGAGTCTGAGCTTAATGCAGGGGTGTCACATGTCCAACTTACGTTTTGACTTTGAAAGAAGTCTCTTATATCCACTTTTCGTTTTCTTGACATGCTGCCTCCTGGCTGTGCCTAACTACCAAAGACTCACAAATGAACACTTATTCAAATGTTATGTAATGGAAGCTGAGCTGAGCTCTGATATTACACAGCGTCTAGTTGACGATGTGACTCAGTACCGGTGTTCCCTAGCGGCTCCAAACTAGCAAAACAACGTGAGCACGTTCTGACTGTTTACAACTTGAGTGACAGCAGCAACAGCCAATAATACGTTAGCAAGTATCAGCAGAGCCAATAGATTAGCTTTTGGGCGGGTCTAATAGTAAACCGGTTTCCGTTTCGGTCCTAGTGCTCAACCAAATCCATTTAATGGAGCGTTTTTGGACGGAAAAAAGTGCAGGGGACCAAAACTGCCTTTTGAAAAAGTGGGGGGGACATGTCCCACCCGTCCCCCCCCCAAAATTACGTCCCAGGGTGGAGGTGGCCGTGGAGAGGACGGTCTGGAGCTCCTTAGTTGGGATGCTGCCCCCCCGCGACCTGGGCCTGGATAAGCGGAGGAAGATGACGACGACAAATAAAAAATTCCTGAAGGAATTTTAAAAAGGGACTTGCCACCTGGCACAACATAGTGTTTATGCAAGTAGAAAAAAATGCCACACACTCAAAATTTGAAAGGGTAGCTCACTCTGCCCAAAATTGAGAAATTTTTTTGAAGATTTTTGCTAATAATTTCACCATGGTAAATCCAATCAGATCACTTAGAAACATAATATAGGCGTACCACACTTACCACGGCCGAGCGTTTTGATGTGACATTTGTGAAAAATAGTTTTTTAAACCAGGCTGTAAACATGTTTATTTCTGCTATGAAGTAGGCATTTTTAACACGGGAGTCAATGGAAACTTGCTCCTTTTTGGATCCAGCCCCTAGCAGATGAGGTTGAAACTGCACTTTTGTCACACCCGTGTTGGGTTCACTTTTGGCAGGCGGAGTTCGCCCCTTGAGAAAGATAGAAGAAGAAGAATGCACAGTGTTCCCATATCAGGGGGATAATAGCTGATGGGAGGGGCGAGAGATCTGTGGAGGTTGTTTGTGTTTAAAATCTGGCTTGTTTCACAGATTTGCCATTTCAGCTTTAATGTGATAGAAAACATTTTCGGCGTGTTTGTGTTCTGTTTTGAACCGTCACAACTGGACACCAACTTATGAGTTAAAGAGGAAGTCACCCCAAATCTACTTTTTTCCCCTGATAAACTATAGAAATGAGTGTCTAATCGTGCTGCAGACACATGTAGTCAATAGTTTTGCACTTTAGTGCATTTTAGTTAAAAATTAAAATTGTCTGCCTAAAACTGTCAGTGTTGTGCCGTTGTCAGGTAAAAACTCTGCACTGCAGTTGAATTTAAATCTGCCATCGCTGTTGGCTAAGAGGTACCCTAGAATGTTAGCTGGTACCATATGATGTCACAATGTTGTTGTGAGCCCGTGTGTGTGTGTGTATTTGTTAGCGGCTCCTTCCTCTCTGTCATGTTCTGCGGGTGGAGGTGGCAGACCATGTGTGGTGGTGGGTTCCAGGAGGCAGAAGAGCAGGCAGACGGATGAAAAAATAAAAAGATGTTTAATTGTAGACAGGGAGCAACAGGACGAACGAACATGCACAAGAGACAATGAACCGACAAAGACAGCAACAAGGAGGGAGGTATAAATACACAAGGGAATCAGGAACACATGGGCAGAGTAATCAGGGACAGGTGAGAACAATAAGGCTAATCAGGGCAGGAGAGACACAGTCAGGGAAGCCAGGGCGGATCATGACACTCTCGGCCTGCTAGGCAACAGCATTTGTTGCATTTTTCAAACAGGAAGTGGGAGTGGAGTAATACTACTACACTAGTAGTAGGCGGTGACTTGCTCTTTAAAGTTTCCCTTTTAGAATCAATCTTCAAGGGATTTCTGTGGGTTTAGACCTGGTTCTAGAGAGCAGGACAGTTGGACACGCAGTTGCTGTGGCAGAAATGTGGTTATTGTAAAGCACCAGGGTTGAATGCACAGCCGTGAATTTTCCATTTTTCATTTTTTGTCTGTCAAAATCAACAAAAAACACAATTTATCAAAGTCAAGAATCATTTAATAATATGTTTACAAAGTGTAGATCGGTACATTCATGAATGATGTTATGTGCTGTAAGTATAATTATGAGATGGTATAAATATTTTGTTAAAAAGGCTGCAGTTTAAAATTCGGCTCCAGTATGAGACTCAGAACCAGACAGATGTGCTGACCATTTGCATTTAAATATGCAAACTGATAAGATGCAAATTTACCTAAACTATTTTAAACTATTTGCCTATTGTTCAGTCAGATTTTGTCGCTGTTTAGTGAGTCGGTGGTGAAAAGATAAGGCAAAAGCAGACGGTTTCGCTTAAGGGTGCAGTATGTAAGAATGTACTGAGAATTTTACAGTGAGAAAATCCCAGAAGAGTCTAAAGTTTCTGTCATTTTGGAAGGAAAGTTATACTGAAATATATTTCATATCCAGCTGGCTGCTGGATTGTAGAGATGGACAATATATTGACATCAATATCGGTATGGACCGATGTTAGTCATTTTTTAACATGTTGGTATCGGTTAGATAAATGAAACCGAGCCGATGTTAACAACCGATATTTTTTCCATCTCGTCTCCATTTGTTTGCCTGTTTCAGAGGACGAGGGGGGTGATGTGTAATTGTTTAGTCATGTGAGCAGTGAATGTAATCATCTCAGAGCCGTAAATGTGTGTGGTGTGTGTACGTAATAACGTAAATTCAGCTTAAATAATTTTCATTCTATACAAAATCTGTCGATTTTAGAAGCAATAATGTCAGTATATCGGTATCGGGAAATATAGGTCATAGGCCATAAGGGTGATCTTTATATCAGATATCGGTATCGGCCCAAAAATTTCATAGTGGTGCATTTTGTCAGTTTTTCTCCTTTGAAAACAAAGAAAGAAGGGTCGTAACTACTGTTTACCAACAGTGAGTGTGGGGTTGCCGTGTCTCCTGCGAGCTAATACCGCAGTGCAGACAACTGTAATTTGACGACAGCCGGCAAAAACCTCCAGAGTTGTTTAAAGTGGTTGCAGTAACCACATTGTACCACAGCATGTCAATTCATTTATACATAATGCACCCTTAAAATTACACATTCTGCAGAAAGAACCTCCTTTGGTCCATACACAGAAATTCATAAAAAATACTTATTTCTTATTTTTCTCATATTTACACAAACATTTCCTATGTACAATAATTTTGTTTTTACTATTGAAATAAAATGGAAATTGTAGCCAAAGTTATTTTCACAAGATGACAAAGCCGAGTCCTAATTTATAAAGCTCCATGGCCCTGTAGCCAGTTGAAATATAGATGTTTGGTAACACCTAGTGGCAAGTAAAATGATATGCCAACAAATAACTGCTTATGCTCAATGATTCCTTAATCTGAGACTGAGATATTTTACTTTTATTCAATTACATCATAATACAGCAGTGTTTATATGTACATTAATATCCAAGTGTGCATATTTTGTAATACACCAACTACGGCATTTTTGTAGATTAGTGTAATGTTAAATTAGCTCTCCGCACATGTTCAGCAGTAGCTTCTCTGAGTTTTAGGTCATGTGCACCCAGCAATTTTTAACTCATCATTTTATTTTTGGCGTTAGAATAAATAAAGAGTCATGTTCTGAATTTTGTTGGATGTAACAGCTTAGGAACGATGCACGCTGGTACGAAGAGTCACAGCCTAAAGATCGGATGAGCAAACCTGTGCAGCATGTGCAATCTTATTGTCGGAAACATGTCACTGGACTAGTTTTGTAAAAATGTTCTTTTGTCAAAAACCAACTTCTGCCATCTTATCCTATATCACAATTTAATTTTCTGCTTTCCAAGTGTAAATTCAATATTTCATTTGTTTCTAATAATCAGTTGTATGTTAGTCAGTGAGTGGGGCTCCATATTAGTAGCTGTTGACTTCACCACGTATTTCTTTTGTGTGTCTGTTCATTGGCAGGAAGGAGTTTGGCTTGGACAGCTTCATCTCTCCCACGCTCCTGAGCAATATGAGAGAAAAGGACCTGAGAAAAGCAGTCAGCTACCACCTCAAAAAGATCCAGTCCCTGCTAGAGCCGCGCCAGAAGGTAGATGGAAGATTGACAGATGAGTGTAGAGAAGCACTGAGAGGCATTACGAAACAGTGACAATTTTGGAGTGGCTTTAGGCAACTCCTTTAGCTGAAATCTACAGTGAATGCTGATCCCTCTGAGATTTTAATGGGGGAATAAAAGCAGGGGCAATCCGAGGCGTATGTCTTTACGTTCCTAGCGTTTTTTTTTTAACTCTTAAATTTAAACTCTGGTGTTTTAGGTAATATCAGCTACTCAGGCTCGCCTGGCCTACCTCACCCAGCTTGGAGAGCTAATTTCCTACGGAGGACGCTCTTACACAGCTACAATGATGGTAAATAATTAGTGCAGCTGTTGGTTTGCTAATGCATAAATCTAATTTCTACGAATGTTCTAATTGGTTTCCTTTTTCCAGCTTCAAGACAGGGAAGTGCTGGTCAACTTGCTAGTTGGAGCCAAGTACGGGATGAGTCAGGTCATCAACCACAAGCTCAACGTGATCTCCACGCTGGTCGAGTTCAGCAGCATCAGCCGAGTGGAGTTGCTGTCGGAGTCCGACAAAGTTAGCCTGCTGCGCATTTCACTGCATGACATGAAGGTATGGAAAACACAAAACTGGCATGCACTTTTATTCAGATAATCCTCTACTCATAAAAGCGTTGATGCTGACATGGATTCACAAAGGGATATGCACTCACTATGCTTTTTGTGCACAAAGTTCATGCCAGAATGAATATAGGTCAGGTTTTGTTCCTCCAGTGCTTCCATATGCAGCCTGAGGGAGTTGATGGTAGCTTTACGTTGCTGATTCTGACATGAAGATAACTATGTCTTCCTCTTTCTCCCACTTCTTTGCCTTTCCCCTCTTACCTTTTGGCTTTTATCACTACTGCTTTACCTTATCTTCTGCAATACCCTTACCCCTGTCAGCCATTTGCCTTACTGATGGACTCTCTGGCAGCCAAAGACTTAGGGTGTCTGCTGGGAGGCTACAGCAAACTCCTGGTGGATCCAAATGTTAATGTCTTCCGTCTGGGGCGCCCAAAAGTGAGGGTACATCGAATTCCTGCAGAAGAAGGTGTGTGTGGGAAGTTCGCCGTTATAGAGGGCGTGTGCTATGAATCCCTATCAAGTGAGCAAAAAACGGTTTCACTTAAAACAATCACTTTCTGGCTTTGGCCTTTTGATAGACCTTTTATGTCACCAACCAGTACGGGTACGGGTAGAAAAGACTACTTTGTAATCATAATGTAAAGTTTTTCTGTTCTACCAGTGCACTAAAATACGTTTTGCTGTGCTTGTCTGGTGTGTGTGTGTGTGTGTGTGTGTGTGCATGTGTGTGTTAGGTTACGTTTCCCGTTGCTGCAGTGACTCAGAAGAGTCAACGGATGAAGATGACCCGATGGATTCTCAGCACTTCAAAAGCCCAGACCCGGCAAGTCAGGACTGGGAAGAGAGGAGAAGAGAGGAGGAAGAAAAGAGGAAAGAGGAGGAGAGGAGAGAGAGAGAGGAGTACAAAGGCAAACAGGAAGTTAAAATAATAGTGACAACAGATGGCAAGGAAAACGAGAGTGAAGAGGAAGGAGCAACAGGAAGTGGTTTGCGTAAATTCAAAGTTATGGATGAAGAAATGAACTCAGAAACCAGCTGGTGCCACACTGACCCACGTGTCACCAGCAGCTTCTCCAGTTTGTCCAGTGGTTCTTTGAGCGCTGCCCTGGAAGAAAGCAGTGCTACATCCAAAACCTCTTCCCGCTTAGAGTCTCTGGAGCTAAAATGGCCAGGGCCCATGCGACCCACCAACCTAAACTACCGTGGCAATGATAACTCTTGCCTCTGCTTTGCAGATCTCTCTAAGACCGATTTCCTGTCTAGCCCTTCTGGGGCCACAACTGATGATGATGATGAGGATGAGGAGGAGGATGATCTCGGAGTCCAAGAACTGAGACGTATCTCCAAAATACCTAGTTCGAGAGATCTGAGAATGATTGACAGCACACCTTTTGATAGACTGCCCACTAAAAGAAAGAAAAAGACTCCCCCCAAAGTTCCAGTCAGAACAAGTTCCATTCCTGGAAATAAAGCAGGACAAGCTGAGCAACGTCTGTCCAAGGATGAAGACAGTTTGTTTCTTACTCCCTCACCCAACCCCAAACCAGCTCTTTTGGTGAAGGACAACGACTCTGATTCAGAAGATGAGTTTTTTGATGCACGGGAGGGATTCACTCCTCCAGTTCCTGATCTGTCAGGTTTGTTGTGAGCATTTCTGATAAATCTCGGCTCATTCAGTATTCTTCCTCATTATATACGTTGTTAATGATGATTTTAAAGTAGAGTCGCAAAACTTGAAAATTGTTCTAGGAGAATTTTATGATGCAAATGATGCTTTTCTATGTTTGTTTTGATCTGATTTTGTCTCTCACAGATGCGGAGCTTGCTGACCGGCGTAATGCTAATCGCTTGAGTGGAACCTGGAATGGAATACCAGCAATCCCAGGAAAGGAACCATCATCTCCTCTTTCCCACAAATCCCAATCCAATAAAATCAAAAAGGAATCAGAGACTCTAAAAGAGCCAGCAAATGAGCATGTTGGTCGACAACCCAGTTTTTCTAAGAAACCCGATGTTAAGGTCAAACCACCGCTGGCGCCGAAGCCCCAGCTGCCTCCTAAACCTCAGATAGTTCCTCCCAAGTCACCCCAACATAGCAGATCATATGCCCAGTGCAATGGAGATGCTTCTGGACATTTGTCTTCTGAACTCTTGGAAATGGAACCAGACACTATGGAATTCAAGTCAGTCACGTTGGGCGGATTGTCTTTGTCATCATCCTTGATCACGGCGGTGAGGAGTAACAAGCAGCCTCAACAAACCTCTACAAAACAAGCCGAAGAAAAGAGCCCGAAGCTAAATAAAAATCTTGTGCAAGAAAACGGATCTCACGTTGTTTCCAAAGACAAAGTACTGACATCTGATGAAAGGGAAAAGCTAAAAATTGACGAGAAAGCCAACGGAACAAACATGAGTGCAAAAAATCCATCAAACCCATCATCAATCCCTCGATCTAATTCAGGCTCGAAGCTAGCTGTTCCCCCTCCAGTTGCCCCTAAACCTGTTCCTCCTATCAGTCTCCACCCTTTATCACTGCCTGCCAGTTCTCCCGTGTCCCCCACTGATCCAAACAAAGGAATCTTTAAAGATGCTGTCGGTCCACCAAATGGTATCCATCCTTGGAGCAGCCGCAATGGCAGCATCCAGTCAGGACCCAGGAGGGTCTCTCTGAGCCATGAGAGCCTATCACCCAAAAATACAGAAGCACCACTCACTATTACCACCTCACCCACCTCAGTCAATTCGAAAGGCCTTGTGGGCCTAGAATGTAAGGAACCTGGACGTTCTGGATCAGGATCCGACCTAAGAACTAGCTCTTCCAGCCTGGGAGGCAGACTACCAGCCTCTGCGTTGAGAGGAAAAATCCAGTCTTTGCCTTGGTACATGACCCGTTCACAGGAGATCCTAGGAACTCCAGACTATCCCTCCACAGGCTCCATCAATGGAGACACATCTGGCTTTGGCTCTGGTTTGTCTGTTGCGAGTGGTTTATCAGACTTGAACAAAACCCCTGTCAAGGACACGGAAACAGTGGCCTTCAAATCGGGAAGTAAAGGAAATATTTTAGATGATGGGGCTGAGGTCGTTATAGCAACCATCAAAGAAGCTCAGGAGGTGAGTTCGCACATGAAAAAAGCCAATGGAACAAATGGCTCACACCCTAATCTGAGTTTTAGAGAAAATGGTGCACTCAGTGGCAGCGTTTCATCAGAGCAGCCTCAGTCACGGCCTCATTCAGCAGTTGGGCTGGCGGGTGTTGCTAACATGCAGATTGGAGGTGACTCCCCAACCTCTTCAGTGGCAGACACTACTCCTCCTCAGCAGCATCGGGAGTCTTGTGGATGTCGAACCGTTTATGCCAACTGTTTCAGTGGAGATGCTGAGGATGGAGTTAGCTTTGATGAAGAGCTCACCGTCTATGAGTTCTCTCGCCGCGTACGGCCCAAACCTGCTCGAACTGCACCCGCCCCGTCTCCAACAGCACCCACTCCAAAACCCAATATTCTCTCACTGTTGAGGGACAACCCTCGTCCACTGTCCACTTTCTCCACTGCTTCTTCTGAACTGAGTCCACTAGTTTCTTGTCCGGTTTCACCCACTGCTTCGTTTGGTGGTCCTCTTCGTTCCCTCACCAACAAGAACTACGGAGGGCTAAAGGGAGGATTTGCTTCTCTACGGGAAGATATAGATGAGCTTCTTCTAGTATTAGAGAGGGGAACAACTGACCAACCGCAAGATTCAAAATTGGACAGCACAGTTTTAAAAGTAGGGCCTGACCTAAATCACAACGCAACTGAAGACAATAATGTCCCTATGGGGAGCCAGATTTGCACTGGGACAAACCCTGCTACCATGACAGAGCCTGAGAGGAGTCTTCTCCAGGCAGAGGCTCGACGATTAGCATCTGGGTGTCAACGCGCCACACGTGTTGGCTGGGCTCCCGATGAAGCACTGCGTTCTTTATCCAACAGTTTCAGTGCACTGGTTCAGCTGTCAGCAGCCTGCCTGCGAACAAATCCCTGTCCTGGTTGTGACATCTGTCAAAAAGCAGGACAGGTTCACAGAGACGAGGACGAGGACGGGCAACAGCCCATGGAGAAGTTAAAAGAGATTGTTGGTCTGTACCGGGAATTTGTTGTGGCTGTTGAGACAGCTGGAACTGGTGGTAAAAGTGGGTCTGGACAGGGTCAGGGGGAAGGAGATGGAGTTAGGCTACTAGCCAAACGCTGCACTGTGCTCATCTCATCAGTATTCGCACTCACACAGCTCTTCCGGACACACACACTGGAAACTAGAGACACATCTGGGCACGTACCTCTCAATTTTTGACCTGTGAACATTTATTTCCAACTGACTGTAAAAAGGTGAGACATGAAGGAACAACATGGATCTGATCTGTAACTCATATTTTTGTACAAGTGCCACAATACACACACTTAAAAGCCACAATATATACACACATAATTCTGAAAGAGAGAACATGTGTATTATCTGCACCACTCTGTGGGACACATGTGGACTATGCATTTGTACAAATGAATTTTATAATTATCTTATAATTCTTTTATTTTATTATACAATATGTAGATGGATGGATCATCCACGTATGTATTTATGTATTTATTTTTACAATGTTTGCACTGAGATCTACGTCTTGGAGGTCTGGTAAGTGAAACATAAAAGTAAAAATCTATGGACGTCACTGGAATATTATATGTTGTCTTTTGTTGCATTGAAGTTTTTGCCAAGGTGTAATCTGTAAATTGTCCTTTTCAAGTTTATTACTGCGACACATTTTCAGACAAAACAGAAAGCACACTTCATCACACTTTTGGAATGATCAACAGTTTAGTTCATTTCTGTATAATTTGCACCTTTTTAAGGATTCAGTTTTTTACCATAAAAGTCACAAATCAATGGGATTACAACACACACCATTACACAGCAGGGAGAGCACTTTTGACTGTTACAGATTGCACCTATTTGTGAGATATATGATTTTATGTAAATGTGTTTTTCTATTTCTCTTCTTTGCCCATGTTGTTTGTATGTAAATGTATCTTGAAAATTCTCCCATTACCCAAATGTATGCAGTATTATCACTTTATTCCAGTTTTTGTCCAAATATTTATGTTTTCTGGAAAGTGTGGGGATGAGGACCCAGACGGCGAGACAGTGGACCTTATTTATGTTGTTGAAAATGTCTGACTTGGCACAAGGGTGACTGTTAAACTCTGTCCAGATGTAGCAAAGATCCAAAGTCTTAAGAAAACACTGAGCCACAACTTTTCCCTCCTATTGTTTACTCTTTTAGGATACCACTTAATCCATAACACACTGACAGATGAACCAGCGGCTTCATACTGAGGTCAGAACTGTTGATTTACATCTGTCTTACTTTAGTTTATGGCTATGCAAACATAAACTCCTCAACCCCTTCACATTGTCTTTTATTTGAGTTTATTCCAACATTAAAAGCCGCAACAACTGCATTGTGTTGGTTTGAATATCACGAGTGTGCTCTTTGTTTGGATTGTCAGCTTTTGTCTCGTCGTGACAAAACTGCCTGATTTATGGATTGCAACGTTCTGCAAAGTCGCATGGTGCTAGCCTTCGTCATTATTAGCCTCCGTTTATACTGATGTGTCAATCACCAGTAAAAGGATTGCACGAACGACAGTGATCACTAATTAGTTCACCATTTATACATGTTGTTGCCAGCCCACTTGAAGAGCTGTCCAACTTTAAGGACCTACTTGAGCCATCTTTGACAAGAAAAAAGGCAGTTATGCCTAATCAGTCTGCAGGTTTTTGTACAAATGTGATAAGATTAGCCAAAAAAAAAAACTTATTAAAAAATCAGTGAGATCTGGTTATTAAATATCTTTTAAAGGTACGCTTGTGAAAAACGGCCAACTTTCCCCAGTTGCCATGACATCAGGAAGCTTTGTTCATTATTGCTACACATTTTGAGTTTTTTAATGTCAGGCTCAAATAACGAGTGTGAAACTAACAGCACTCCTACGTAAGCAGTCACCTTTCAAAACTCATACAAAAAAGTTAATGGAAGAAAATGTTAGGTTTGGGGATAAAAACTATACTGCCCTCGTTAGAGCTGGATCGCTGCATTTATTTAATTTTGAGGAGATTGAAACTACAAATGCTGTCATTTATCCAGTCAGTTTGTGTAGCTGTGCTGTTTTGAGACGTCTGAACCTTTAATGGACTTAATGAGGATTACTTTGAGATTTCTCACAAAGTGTCTACCTGTCTCCAAAGGTGGTGTTTATCTGTGAACGGTGCTTCTTGTTTTTACCCTCCTCTTTTCCCTGAATTAAATATAGTGAACCAGTCATCTGAATCGCATTAAGAGTCAGACTCTCTTGAGGGATTTCTTTGCAAATCTGAACTGTATCTGTGTGAAAGTTTGAAATCTTTACTAAATCTGTTATGACTCAACAGTTTTAGTTCTAATAAAAAACAAAATAAAAAAACATTTGTTACTGATTAGCTAATGGCTGGGCTGCGCAGTGGTGCTGTGGTTAGAGCTGTTGCCTTGCAGCAAGAAGGTCCTTTCTGCATGGAGTTTGCATGTTCTCCCTGTGCATGCGTGGGTTCTCTCCGGGTACTCCGGCTTCCTCCCATAGTCCAAAAACATGACTGTTAGGTTGATTGGTCTGTCTAAATTGTCCTTAGGTGTGAGTGTGTGTGCATGACTGTTTGTCCTGTGTGTCTCTGTGTTGCCCTGCGATGGACTGGCTCTGTCCAGGGTGTACCCTGCCTGATTGCCCATTGACCGCTGGAGATAGGTACCAGCCCCCCTGTGACCCTACGTGGACAAAGCGGGTTCAGACAATGGATGGATGGATAGCTAATGGCTAGTTAAAAACTGACTAAACCATCTTAAAACAGCTCCAGTCACCAGAATTTCAATGTGACGTCTATTTACATCACTGCCAGTGTTGCATTCAATGTTGTTTACATGGAATTCTCTGGTTGTGTAGAATAATACATATCAACAGCAGCTTACGCTGTGTCCAGGGATCAAATCCTGCACGCATTTCTTCACTTTTCTGCCAAAATAACAGCATAGTAAAAATTCAGCAGCAGTGTAAAGGTTTATAACGTGAAATGCACAGGAACTGCTGCAAATTGTAGGAAGATTGGGTTGTTTTAGGATGGCAGAAATATCCTTTGAATGTGGATCAATTAGGAAAAGCCTAATTATGTAATTGCTGCTGTCCTAAAACAACTCCAGGCCAGATTTCACAGCAATTGATGCACGTTATGTCTTTACAAAATCATCAGTGGCTCATTAGTTATTTTTGACAGAAGGTTTGTGTGTGTGTGTGTGTGTGTGTGTGTGTGTGTGTGTGTGTGTGTGTGTGTGTGTGTGTGTGTGTGCGTGTGTGTGTGTGTGTGTGTCCATGAGTATGAGTGGATTTGTGTGTGTGCATGTCTGCTCTGTCTTCTCAAACCCCCAGTTCAGTCAGCTGCTCACACTGCTCCTCTGGAGGTTTCTTCTTGTTAAAAGGGAGTTCTCCTCTCTACTGATAGCTGGAAAGACACTGACACTAGTGACTTGATGCAATCTGCTCGGTTTTATTACATAAGAAACTTTTAACTGTGTGTGACGGGTGGTAGTTGAGGGCGGGGACCTTGGAGGTCTGATCCTCAGATACAGAAGCTGGCTCTTGGCACATGGAATGTCACCTCTCTGGTGGGGAAGGAGCCTGAGTTGGTGTGTGAGGTTGAGAGGTTCCGACTAGATATAGTCGGACTCACCTCAACGCATGGCTCTGGCTCTGGAACCAGTTTCCTTGAGAAGGGTTGGACTTTCTACCACTCTGGAGTTGCTCCCACTGAGAGGCGCTGAGCAGGGGTGGGCATACTAGTTGCCCCCCATCTTGGTACCTGTACGTTGGGGTTTACCCCTGTGAATGAGAGGGTAGCCTCCATCCACCTACGTGTGGGGGGACGGGTTCTGACTGTGGTCTGTGCTTATGCACCAAACTACAGCTCAGACTACCCACCCTTTTTGGAGACCTTGGAGGGGGTGCTGGAGAGCGCTCCTTCCGGTGACTCCCTCGTTCTGCTGGGGGACTTTAACGCTCACGTGGGCAACGACAGTGAGACCTGGAGAGGTGTGGTTGGGAGGAACAGCTCCCCGATCTGAATTTGAGTGGTGTTTTGTTATTGGACTTCTGTGCCAGTCATGGATTGTTCATAATGAGCACCATGTTCAGACATAAAGGTGTCCATATGTGCTCTTGGCACCAGGATACCTTAGGCTACAGCTCGATGATCGACTTTGTTGTTGTTTCATCTGACCTGCGGCCGCATGTCTTGGACACTCGGGTGAAGAGTGGGGTGGAGCTATCAACTGACAACTACCTGGTGGTGAGTTGGCTCAGATGGTGGGGGAGGATGCCAGTCAGACCAGGCAGGCCCAAACGTATCGCGAGGGTCTGCTGGAAACATCTGGCAGAGTCTCCTGTCAAAAGGAGCTTCAATTCCCATCTCCAACAGAACTTCCAAAATGTTCCGGGGGAGGCGGGGGGCATTGAGTCTGAATGGACCCTGTTCTGTGCCTCCATTGTTGAGGCGGCCGACCGAAGCTGTGGTCGCAGGATCGTTGGTACCTGTCATGGTGGCAACCCCTGAACCCGCTGGTGGACACCGGCGGTTAAGGATGCTGTCAAGCTGAAGAAAGAGTCCTATCAGGTCTTTCTTGCCTGTGGGACTCCAGAGGCAGCTGACGGGTACCGGCATTCCAAGCGGAATGCAGCTCGGGTGGTCGCCAAGGCAAAAACCCAGGCGTGGGAGGAGTTCGGTGAGACCATGGAGCAAGATTTCCGTACGGCTTCGAGGAGATTCTGGTCCACCATCCGGTGCCTCGGGGGGGAAAGCAGTGCACTACCAACACTATCTATAGTGGGGACGGTGTGCTGCTGACCTCTACTCTGGACTTTGTGGATCAGTGGGCAGAATACTTTGAAGACCTCCTCAATCCCACCAACATGTCTTCCAGTGAGGAAGCAGAGTCTGGGGACTTTGAGCTGGGCTCTCAAATCTCTGGTGCTGAGGTCACTGAGGTGGTTAAAAAGCTCCTCTGTGGCAAGGCTCTAGGGGTGGATGAGATTTTGTGGGGCTGTGTTGGCTGACGCGGCTCTGCAATATCGCGTGGACATCGGGGGCAGTTCCACTGGACTGGCAGACCGGGGTGGTGGTTCCCTTATGTAAAAAGGGGTACCGCAGGGTGTGTTCCAACTACAGAGGTATCACACTCTTGAGCCTTCCTGGTAAGGTCTATTCATTGTTGAACCCATCGACATAAATATAGTTAAAAAGCTCCTCTGTGGCAAGGCTCCAGGGGTGGATGAGATCCGCCCCGAGTTCCTTAAGGCTCTGGATCTTGTGGGGCTGCATTGGCTGACGCGGCTCTGCAATATTGCGTGGACATCGGGAGCAGTCCAACTGGACTGGCAGACCGGGGTGGTGGTTCCCTCATTTAAAAAGGGGGACCGCAGGGTGTGTTCCAACTAAAGGGGGATCACACTCCTGAGCCTTCCTGGTAAGGTCTATTCAGGGGTTCTGGAGAGGAGGGTCCATCGGATTGTTGAACCTCAGATTCAGGAGGAGCAATGTGGTTTTCGTCCTGGACGTGGAACACTGGACCAGCTCTATACCCTCAGGGGAATCCTGGAGGGTGCGTGGCAGTTTGCCCAACCAATCTACATGTGTTTTGTGGATTTGGAGAAGGCGTTTGACCGCGTCCCTCGGGGGGCCCTGTGGGGGGTACTCCGAGAGTATGGGGTACCAGGCCCTCTGATAAGGGCTGTTAGGCCCCTGTATGACCGGTGTCAGAGCTTGGTCTGCATTGCCGGTAGTAAGTCAGACTCGTTCCCAGTGAGAGCTGGACTCCGCCAAGGCTGCCCTTTGTCACCAATTCTGTTCATAACCTTTATGGACAGGATTTCTATGTGCAGCCAAAGTGTTGAGGGCATCTGTTTTGGTGGCCTGAGGATCAGGTCTCTCCTGTTTGCAGATGATGTAGTCCTGTTGGCTTCATCAGAATGTGATCTTCAGCGTTCGCTGGAGTGGTTTGCAGCCGAGTGTGAAGCAGCTGGGATGAGAATCAGCTCCTCTAAATCTGAGACCACGGTCTTGATTCAGAAAAGGGTAGAATGCCTTCTCCGGGTCAGGGGTGAGGTTCTGCCCAAGTAGAGGAGTTTAAGTATCTCAGGGTCTTGTTCACGAGTGAGGGAAACCTGGAGTGCGAGATTGATAGGAGGATTGGTGCTGCATCTGCAGTGATGCGGGCGTTGTACCGGTCTGTCGTGGTGAAGAGAGAGCTGAGTCAGAAGGCGAAGCTCTCAATTTACCGGCCGATCTACGTTCCTACCCTCACCTATGGTCATGAGCTTTGGATAGTGACCGAAAGAACGAGATTGCAGATACAAGCGGCCGAAATGAGTTTTCTCCGCAGAATGGCTGGGCTCTCCCTTAGAGATAGGGTGAGAAGCTCGGTCATCCGGGAGGGGCTCGGTGTAGATTCACTGCTCCTCCACATCGAGAGGAGCCAGTTGAGGTGGCTCGGGCATCTGGTCAGGATGCCTCCTGGTGAGATTTTCCGGGCACGTCCAACCGGGAGGAGGCCTAAAGGTAGACCCAGGACACGGTGGAGGGACTATGTCTCTCACCTGGCCAGGGAACACCTTGGGATTCCCCCGGAGGAGCTGGCTGGAGTGGCTGGGGAGAGGGAAGTCTGGGCCTCTCGACTTACTACCCCCACGACCCGACTCCGGATAAGCGGATGAAAATGGATGGATGGACTTTTAACTGACTGGCACAATAAACTGAATTCAATTAGAATGTTCATTTTGTGAAGTGCCTTGAGACGACTCTTGTGATTTGGCGTTATATAAATTAACTGAACCGAATCTGCTCCAGACCTTGACCCCTGATTAACATTTTACTGCATCCGAATAACCACAGAAGTCCAAATGATCGTACAATGCAAGATTCACAGTGGGGAAATTTTTAGACAAACCACTGAAATTTCAGCGGCTTTAAGATGGCAGCCACACATTTTAGTCCTGGGTAACTCAGGCTAGCTGCTAGCTCCTCAGCTTTTAGGGTGTAAAAGCAATTTCACCAACAAAGGTACATCAGGACGATAAAAATGAGCCCAAATCCAAAAATGTTAGATTTCACTGAGAGCTGGGTTTGTTAGCGTGAGGAGAAAGTGAGAGGCTTTAGTAACACCAGCAGCTCTTCTCTCCTCACATCAAACTGCCCTTAATCTGATCTTTATCTGTGGGCTGACCTCTTGATGTGGTGATCCAGACAGCAGCACTCAGCTGTGCCTCGTGCTTAAACACAGTCTGGTTTAGAAACCACAAAGACTTTTACAATGAAAAAATACATTATAGTGTAGGCTCCACCTGAGCTGAGAGCAAAGTCTAGCTCATCTTCACCACGACTCATCAGCAGCCGTTCACGTGACCAACTACACGAAAAAGGATTAAAGTGAGTATCAGGGTAAAGGCTAAACACCAGAATATCTGAGAAACCCAGAGCGGAGTTGTTCAGGGTCATATTCCACGATGACCTGTGTAACATAATCCATCTTTATCCTCATAAACACCAACAGAACAGATTGTTCAAAGTTTTATTGGATTTGACATTTTTAGATCCACGTAGTGACTTTTTCTCCACGAAAATCATTTTAACATCAGCATTTGTATAAACAGGATATAAAATCTTACGTCTGACAAAGAAATCTCAAACCTGGACAACGTGTAACCCAGCAGAACAATGGGTATAGTTCAAAAATAAAAACAGGCCAAGTGGTCCATATTACATGGCAGCTTGAGCTTTTGTGCCACAGAACATCACCCTCTATCCCTGCCTTTTCTCTGGAACGTTACTTTTCGGTCTCAAATACGCGAGCGACGTTCCCTTCCTCGTCGGGCACGCACTCAGAGCTGCTGCATCTACTCAAGCTTGAAATTTGAGCCCATTATGTCAACAGATGTTACAGACAGAGAGGAGAGCAAGCATGAGAAGGAAATATCAATAAATACAAGAGCCAAACCAGTGACACCAGCTAAATGTTCAGTAACTAATTGATTTTGAGTGAATAATAAGAAGCATTTGTCCAAAACAGAAGGTGCACTTACAATTTAACATTCACACTTTCTCTGTTTAATAGAACTCCAAATACAGTTTCACTCTATTTTAAACATTTTTAAGAACAGCTAAATAGGATGGAGCATTTTTTTTTACTGACAAATGCGTTAAAAGCATTCATCAGAACTACAACATCCTGCTTGTTCGTTCATAAAAAAGAAGTCAAAATAAATTGTTTTACACAAATATTTTCCCAAAAAAACTTTAGTGACCATAAATATTTTTTTGCTACCCTGGCCATACTAGTTCTTTATTTTATATTTTTGGTATTTCTAAAAAATAGGTTTGATTTGAATCATTTCTTCTGCATTTGTCTGTCGATCTCGTCAGCGTGTGATTCACATAAATGTAAGGAACAAGAAAAAACAGCAGGAGTTTCAGTCTCTCTGTCACAATTATTTTCAGTGAAAAGCACAAAAGTGGCTACATTTGAACGGTATGGCCAAAGTGTGCTTGGTCTAACAAACAGGTGGATTTCAAAACGCTGCAGCTCATTTAAAGTAAAAGCTTTTGGTACAAACAGCTAATCGTATTAGATCATTTTTACTCAACTGTAGACAAAAAGAAAGACAAAACTCTTCCAACTTTCTGTACACGAGCACACGAGGGCTACCATTTGGACCCTGGCACAAGAATTGTGAAGGCTGGAGTATGAGTGTTGGGTATAATGCTCTGAAAACATTGAAAAGTAACAATGGCAGTGATTATCTTACACTGACTGCTTTGTTTCCAAACAGTTACAGTCAACTCTCTCTTTCTGCCCTCGTTTAAAACAAAACTTTACCATTTCCATGTTACCTCCTTTCATAGAAGCTTCAGCAGAAACTCGTATGTGGCATTGATGATCCCCCAGGAGATGAGTGAGCGGTGGTAGTTGAGATGGGCGCCTCTGAACAGCATGGCCAGGCTGCCGCCCCTTTCCCTCCACACCGTTAACAGCACCGTCCTGCACGACGGGAAATCTCCACCAACACGAGACTGAGCTCGGGATTTGATCACATTCAGTGGGTAAAACATGATGCCAAGAGCTGCCCCCAGCACGCCTCCGCACACAAAATCGTTAACCAAGTGGCCGGCCTTGTTAGTGGCCTCTGGCAGCAGCTCTTTAATGGGCCCCCGAAGCCCAAAGAAGAGTATGTTGCTGGGGCCATTACGGAGGAGTATGGGCACAAGGCCGCGGTAACACTCTCTAACACCGTACTCGGTAAGGAGTGTCCGGAAGGTGTGGGCGGTGTTGTTGAAGCGCGCGTGGTGTCGATGGTCTTGGAGGAGAGTCTGTACACGCTCGAACGGCATGAGGATGGCTTCTGCAGTTCCTGCTAGAGCTGCTGCAAAGCTTCTGGTTACAAGCTCTGGTATGCCGCTGCCGCCGGCGTGGTCAAGTAACACTCGAGAGAAGTCCTCGTAAAGGCCGAACATGATGGCCACGGTGGTGCTCTTCTGTAGCAGCGGAGGGAGCAGACCTCGATAAAGGTTCCTCAACCCATCCCTCTGGAGCTGCCGCACCGCCTCGGTAGCCAGCACGCCATGCAGCTGTTGGCGGAACAAAATCTTCTGAATGGGGAAGGTCACCACGATATTAGTGACAGCTGCAATGGAACCGCAGACATAGTGCTTCCCCTGGTGACCCAACCTGGCACTCAGAATCCCAGAAGGCAGCAAGGATGGCGCTCCTTTCGTCAAGGCAGCCTGGGGTTGAGGTGTCCGGGCTGACTCAGAGTCCATGGTGACAGCCATGGGAGGCTCAGTGCATGACCTGATCCTCCAACATCACATCAACACAAATGCTCCACTGTAAACAACAGTTAGAAAGAGATTATATTAGATTTACTGATTTAACTCAGATTCAGATCTCTTTATCACTCGATCAGTGCAGATGCATCACTGAACAAAATGACAAGTGCAGGGCTCAACAAAAACTAAAAATTATAGATGTATAAATATTGCATATATGGAAAATGTATTGCACTATTTAGAAATGAGTACAGGGTGTTGGTCTGTATACAAAATAGACTGTGTACAGTAATAGAATAGAAAATACATACCCTTGTACACAAATACATATATGCATACATACCCAGGTATGCACAGATATTTGAGCCGAGGAGGTATATGTTCATTAATTAAACTCTGTGTCCCTCAGTTTATTATGTCTACAGCAGACTGAACTGTTACAACCAACTCCCTTCAACTTGAAAAAACAAACTATCTCAACTGTCAGCTGATAAGAATTATTGCTCAACTAAGTAATAAGTGAAGGCCTAAGTCACGGAAAGGCCCAGTGCTACCACTAAAGCACTTCTGCAAATTGCACCGTGTGAGATCAGGAATTCCAAATATACGTGTGATTTTAACTTTCACATGTAGTTTGTAGGTATAAGCAAAGCTAATAACATATTTCATTCATATTATAAAAAAACATTACTACTTCATATATTAAAGGAATCAGATAAATTATTGACCTATACATTGGAAACGCCGTGGAGAAAGTGGCGCCACACCCTTTATACCAAAAACACATTACACACAGCATCAGGTCAGTATGACACACCAGACTGACAAGTGCTAGCTGATATCAGTAAAATGTAAATAATCTGTGTTTTCAAAATAGTATTGAAAAGTCCAAAGCTGACTGTCCTGAAAAGACCAGCGTACTCATTATTTGATGCAAAAGGTAATTTGAGTGCGTTGTTGCACAACTAGTTAAATGGTTAATCAATTAATTTGCGAAATCTGTAGATCTTTATGCAGCATCCGTGCAATTCATAATAATAATCTGGCCAGTGAATTAACTGTTATCCAGATTATATTTTTGATATTCAAGTAAATTATGCAGCTTTGTTTTTGCTGATATCGTCGTCACGTACATTTGGGCATTTCTCTGTTCAATCCACGGTTTAATCTAATAAAGTACTGGATCCATCCAACAGGGAAACAACCAGGCACACACGCCCTCTGTGTGCGACTTCCTACACGCTGCATGTTTGATTAATCTCGATGCACCTTGTTACATACATTATTTTCAGCCTACTGGCAAACCAGAATATTACTTTACTTACTTCCAGCATAGTTAAATTACACAATTAAAGAAAACTAAGATTTAAGCTAGTTTTATTACCAGCTTAAAGGTCTGACATCAAACTGCTAGATTAAAACCTAAGATAGTCCAGTGCCGCTTGTAACTACTTTATTTGTTAAGTTTGCAGCAGTAAACTATATTTTCATTCACGATATTTTTAAAAAATAGTGACAAGACTTGAAATAGCCAAGCTGAACCTGCTTAGCATGCTATGCTAGCTCAATCAAATCCAAACGGTAAATTTGCTGACAGACGATTTGAAGCAAACACACATCAAGAAACACCAGAGTCATCCGCATCTTTGGTCACGCAAGCGCTAAACACATAAAGGAGTATTTACCTTCAGTGTAAACCAATCAGTCACCGTTCTTTGCCTGTGCTGCCAGAGTGTTGTTTATGCAGGATAAATTAGCTCAGTGCTGTAGGAGGTCGTGTCTGGAGCCCCAGCAGCAGTGGGTGACAGCGATTCGCCATCTGCGCATGCGCTCTATACCATATCATAAAATATCTTCCACATTTTAATACACCGTTTTATATACAGTCGATATTAGAAATACCTAACGTGTTCTGGGGCAACATAAAATACAGTGTGTTAAAGTTATTTTAAAACGACTAGCTAACTCGTAAATATGTTCGTAAACACATGTACGTTGCTCGTAAAGCAGGACATCACGTCACTCAGACACTCACTGTCGTAACGTTTCATCAACTGAATGCTTCGGTAAATAAAACCTATGCTAGTTTTGCTTGGTAAATTTTCAGAGGTTTCTATTTTCCACTTTTTCTACTTAAATTTATCAGTTTTATCGCAGTATTTATGCAAGGCAAAAATAATAATATATTGTTTTTCGCTGAATGGTTCTTACAATAACTAGTAGCTTGCATTTAGCTAGCAGCTAGCTATGCTGCTAACTGCATTGTTACAGCAGAGAACTGCTTCTTAAACTTGCTTCAACAATCATGGTTTTATCCTGTAAAACACGAGTTTAAACGGTAGTCGGACCTGCAAAGGTGGTAATATAACGAGAGTAATATGTCAGCGCAAAAGGATTGTGAGTTTTTGGTGAAAAAAGCCCGTGAGTTGGTCTCTGAAGATCCCTGTGCAGCCAAAGCCTGGCTAATAACAGCCAGAACCCTTTATCCTGCAGATTTCAACATACAGGTAACACGAGACACCTGTTCAATTTGCTTACATAAATCATAGTTGCAGCTCGGTCATAGATTTACTTAATTGCACTTCCTCACATTTTTATACAGTATGAAATGTATATTATTGAACGAAACGCAGAGAAAACGGCATCAGCTGGGAGGCTGCTGTATGACATGTGAGTAACAGCTTTATATCAGTCTGTTTATGTCAAGTCTCAGCCTAACACGTGCTTAGAAATGCAAATACTTCCCTTTAGGTTCATAAACTTTCCAGATCAGCCCATTGTTTGGCGTGAAATTAGTGTCATCACAGCTGCCCTGCGGAGTGACTCTCAGGATAAACATGCACAGTTTCTAAGAGGTAAGAAGAGTATACTTAATTTCTGATTAATGTACAGTACAGTATCTGTTCTTGGATGAGTGTGACCATAAAGCAGCACTTGACGTATCGGGCATGTCTTGGAAAACTGATGTTTGTTTTCATCACTCAGGCCTTTTTGAGACATTGCCAGGTCGTGTGCAATGTGAGATGCTGCTGAAAGCCACAGAGCAGTGTTTCAACACTTTAGAGAAGGCAGAGATGCTTTTGTTACTTTTAAAACGCTTTCCAGAGTCTGTGGTCCAACACGGGGTGAGTGGTAACAAAATAACTCATACTGATTTGTGACATCAGTGTAGCTCATTGGATGGTAACAATCTGCCCCAATGTTAGGTTAATTTAGGAGAGACGTTATTGGAGGCAGAGGTATCAGAGAATGTGGAAACTCCTGTCAACTGCTTCAGAAAACTTTTTGGTGAGTTTAATTTGAGCCATTTGTGAAATAAACTAAAATAAATATTTAATTAAATTAAATTTTTACTTTTACAGTGTGTGATGTTCTACCTTTGGTTATGAATAACATGGACATGCGGCTGCCAACAAGCCTAATGCAGAAATATATCCTTAAAGCAGCTGAGTTCTACATTGGTTATGTTTCCCGTGGACCATCACCTGATGTGCAGATACAAGGTGCAGTTGTTTCTTTTAAATTGCTGTATGCTGCTCTCTTAGTCTTACATTTTATATTCAAGGCAGAATTTACTGACCATTGTGGTGTGGTTGGTTGTTTTAGGAACCCAAGATGGTGGGACTTTAAAGTCGCCTGGGGTATCCCGTGGCTCTCAACGATATGTGATTGATGGCCTGTCAGAAAAATCCTCAGTGGTGGCAGAACCGTGGGAGAGGCTGCTTGATATTGTCACTGTGGTTGGTGCTCGCTGTGAGTGGCAGGGAGACAAAGGACAGAGGTATCAGTCTGCCAGTCATTCACTTTTTACCATTTTAGCAGTGGCCCAAAAATAGAGATGAATCTGAAAATCTTGTGGAAGTAGTTTATTCATAAAAACACAGCCTGATAAGAGGTTAGAAGAATGTGCTGATTCATTTTTATGGTCAGTGTAAAGACTGATGTTTATAACCGGTTATGTTTGGTGTTTCTGTGTTTTGTAGGAATTATGTGGACTTGTTTCAGAGAGTGAAGGAGCTGTGTCGTTACCTGCCCAGCCTGGAAGGAGAAACCAGGTCCCGCTGCTGCAGTCAGGTGGTCATTTGTACTGCGCTCATCCTTTTCCGCAGTGCTTTCCTCTACGTTTCAGCGGTTCAACCTTCACTGTTCCAGGGTCAGTCCTTATTGCTGCGAGCAGTTAGCTATTTCTTCACATATCTCCAAAGTATTTGGTTTTGATTAAGTGTAAATTTATGTGTTAATATTTTTGCAGTGGTCAGTGCGATGAACTCAGGGCCGTGGATTCTGGTGGAGGACTTGAGTTCAGTTTACAGTGATGTGGATGTAGAACGAGCAGCTCTGAAACACGCACATAAGAAACGCAAACTGGTTGATGGGAGAGAGAAAACTATGGTAAATCTTTTATTTTATTTTAATATTTGCTTGTGAGGCAAAAATATTAAAGATTAACTGAGAAATAGTTTTTTATAGGTGAGTTTACATGCATGCTAAAATAGATGAGAAAACACTTGGATTAGAAAAGCCAGTGACATTAGCATGTTATGTTGGTAAATTAGCATGCATGGACTCATCCATCTTGGATGGGGAAAGCTGTGTTGATTTAACATCCAGGAGAGAGCAGAGCATGTCTCAGCTAGAAGACGCTAACCGTTAGCATTCACAACTGTACAACAAGACAGAACTCTTTCAGGCTTGTGTTATTTGTGGAGATGAAACATCAACGTTGCAAAGCAAATGGCATCAGTGGTAGAGTTGCGTTGGTGTTATCCAGTCGGACGCTCTTCAGAGAGCATCTTCTTAACTAGCACCTTGCCTGCACCCGTTCCCCCCTCTCTACTGTCCACTCCATGTTCCCTACTCTCCATGACTGATGTCAATGTTGTTGTTGTTATTGTTGTTGTTAGCCTCAAGGGCAATATGCCGATTATCACTTGTAAGTCGCTTTGGACAAAAGCGTCTGCTAAATACATAAATACATAATAAATACATGTCGAAATATAAGAATCCAAAACTTGCACTGTTCATCTCAACTAGGTTGCAAGGATTAACCGGTTTGACTATTAAACACGGTGTGAAACGCTGCGGTTAATCCACTGTAAAGATGTCTCAAACACCGCCAAAAAAAATAAATAAATAAAAAATAAATAAATTAGCGGACCAAAGTGAAAGTGAACGAACGTACGCAGCAGAACCAGCATCAACAACTGCTGGGACTTCTCCTTTTTCCACCTAGAAAGGGCTTCAAGGGGCCAGGACCAACAGACTGAAGGACAGCTTTATCCATCAGGCAGTTAGGAAGCTAAACTCCCTCCCAGCTCTCCCAACTCTCCTCTGTTTTCCCCCACAGTCTCTCTGAACTTGGTTACTGTTTTTATACTAAATGTTTATTTTCTATCTAGCGAGAGTTTGAGAGTAACGTAATTTCATTTCTCTGTATGTCCTGTACATGTGGCAGAAGTGACAATTAAACTGACTTTGACTTTGACAAGTCTCCTGTGAGGGAATATTTAGACTCCCAAAGCTGCTAAAAGAGAAATTCAGAACGATGTCTCGTCCATCTGGAGAGCTGGCAGAAAAAAGTTGCAAAGCTCCCAACTTGTTATATCTCTGAGATTATCACGCAGACAAATTACCTCCAACTGATTCAGATTATGTTAGTGACTGAACAGATTTAACAGTAATATTAGAACATTCTAGTGAATGATGGTTCATATTGTGTTGTTCTACATTCTCCCTTTATCTGTCTACAACAAGCTTTTACGGCAACTGCAAGCCATTTTAATATTTAATCAACTACACCTCTCTGTAATTCCTGTTCTACATAGCAATAATATAATTTATCCTTGTCCAAATAATATTCTTACTGATGAAATGTGAAAAGGTATGAACAAGTAGAAATTACATTTAAGTAATGTTATATTCATCACTGCACTAGTAGCAATTTAGCATCTTAATTCATTCTTCAGTGCTAACCCTGACCAGCTGTCAACAGTTTATCCTTTTTATCTTTTTACAGAAACTCAAAAAAGGCTATTGGGCAAATATAATTAAAGGTGTGATTCACTGAAAAAAACCAACAGTTTTTTACTTATTCACTGCCAGCTGATTCCCGATTAGAAAGTCCCTGGCTACCAGCATTTTTGAGTGTTTTTACTGTTTTTTGAAGAGTCACAGAACATTGTGCTGTATGATCATGTAAACACCAAAACTACCAAAAGAAAAAGTAGACTCACTTCTTACACCAGGAAAAATCAGCATATTTCTAAAGCGTTGTCTGTTCTTTCATAATCCGTAGTTGTGAGCTGCAGAAGCTTTTCCGGTTCGCACCTCGCTTTTTTCACAGCAGCGTCCCAAAACAATCTCCTAATTCTTGTATTTTCTGCTTCCTGATTACATGACTGGTGACACACATGGGTGAAGATCAGCTTTAGAGCCGTGGTGTTTACTCTCACAGTGCAAGGGCTTGTTCCGACGCCCGTCTCAATAAAAAAAATGCAGTTGAAGACTTTAGTTAAATATAGGTTATGACAACAATTAAATATTTCTAACAAGTAGTCAAAATTTAAATATTTTTTATTCAAACATCCTCATTTTTCTTGACGTTTTGGAACTCAGAAAAAAAATTTTTTTTAAAGGTATTGGCCCGACTTGGCATTAAAATTGTAGAAATGCAGTATAACTACACTTTACCATCTATACAAATATGAACTGGTTCAGTTTTTCATTTTGTTAGGAATTTTGTCATAAATCATTACAGAAAATCAAAATCCTCTCCTCCAGAGAGTAAAGAACTGTGTTTCGCATACGTCACTCCAGCATGTAAAACAAGGTAGCTGATGTTGCTAGTATTGTGAATAACTGTATTTTGTTTACTTTCGTGCTCTTAATTATTACGGAAAATTGCATTTACAGCTGCAGCAAAAGGTCTGAGCCATGTGTCCGTGTCCTACATGCATTTTTAAATAACATAGGTCTGATCTAAAGTATTAACCTACATCTATAAATCCATCTAGAACCGCACCGGTACTTCTGGACTCCAGACAAGTCCCGTTAGCATAACTGCAGCAACACTGCTAACTGTGTTAGCTCCGGTAAGGAAAAAACAAGTCATTTGGGAAAGCTACGACACACACACACACACACACACACACACACACACACACACACACACACACACACACACACACACACACACACACACACACACACACACACACACACACACACACACACACACACACACACACACACACACACACACACACACACACACACACATAATCTAAAAGATGATCCCCATATCAACAATAGATCCTCCATGGACCAGTAGAACTTCCGTGCCATCCTGGATTAGTGCAAACGAGTCAAACTAAGGAGTTACTCCAGCATCAGGAAGATTTATTCTGGTGAGCTATTAGTTATATATATTTTCCAGAGTTATATCAATGTATATGTGGAGCTGTAAAACTGGCAGCGCACATATCTGTAGATTACTGAACTATATTGGTTCACATGATGGAGGTAAGACCAGCTGAGAACTTGTCAGCTTAGAGCTCCCAGTGGAGCACAGAAATGAAATGTTAAACAAAAGTAAACAAATGTACTGATTTTGGTTCTGAAGATGAACAGAATCCACCTCGATGTTCAAATTGGGTCACGGGTCTTCAGAGTCAAACAGTCTAAAACATGTCTGCACCTCCGGTAGTGATATCCAGCTAGCGGGATCGGAGTTTGGTTGAACTTCTACGGTAATCCAATATCTGTTCTTGTCGCCGTATCCCAGAGAAAAAACCTAATCTGACCGACTAGCAGAGGCTTCAGAAGCAACATCTGACTAATGACACATTGTTCTCTGCTATTAAAGCAGAGACACCGGAGTCGGGGGTTGTTTACTTTAGCTGTTTCAGCTCCTTGTGAAACGTCACCGGTTGCCTGGGGCATAGACCAGAAGTTAGTTTCTTTTTTTCCCGCGCCAGTCAAAAACATCAGATTTTCTTAAAATTCCAGCCGTGGAAAATCCCAAAACCTTTTTCATCTGAGTTTTTAATACTTCTTTACACATGCTGTTCAAAGGAAATTTGCCTCCGGCCAAAATCTTTAATTATTTCTGATTAGCGTCAGTGACTGAGTTTTTCATGCAGACTGAACATAAAAATAGTCTCCTACACCAATTCCCACGCTTTAGCTTCGGATAGAAAATAAACGGTGAAACTCTAGGATTAGAAAATCCTGACAGATCTATGTCACACTTCCAATTAACATTAATGGACTCACCCATCTTGACTCACATGGGGAAGGTTGTTGTTTGTTTAGCATCCAGGAAACAACAGAGAACGTCTCTGCTAATGGAAGCTAACCGTTAGCATTAGCAACTCCACCACACAGCAGAACTCATCCAGGCATGTGATTTTTGTGGAGGTAAAACATCAGTGTTGCAAATCAGTATTAGAGTGACTTATTCATAGCAAAATCTCTGAACAGGAAAATTAGATATTCCTGGGGTTCAAAACCTTTATAGAATGTAATCATGCCTTTTATCAATACTTTATAGAATGTGTGTAATGTTAATACAGATGTGAAATCAATTCATGTAAAATAATTCTGGTAACCGTGATTATTTCTCAGGCTATATTTGTACCACCAAAATTTATAGTCGCTGCAACCCTAATCTCAACTCTGATCTGGCTCACTTCTGCTTCCTGAAACAAGAGCACCAGAGTGTTTTTATTTCCACAGATATCGACTCACAGGGCGTTCATTTATACTTGAGAACATTGCAAAAGTTTTGGGAAAAAAATACAAGGGAACTTTTTCTTTTTCATTGTCTAAAATGCAATGTAGGCTTGGTGTATTTTTCATGACTTGCCCTTTGTGTATTTTATAGAGCTCAGATGATGAGGAGGGTCTAGGGAAAAGCAGAGGACGACACATTTTCGTTAACAAGGCTGAGATGCCCAGCTGGGCAGAGACTTTGGAGAGCTTCCGCACAGCGAGAGAAAGTTGGGACCTCCTTTACTCCCATGATGGTCTAGAAACTGGTAAAGAACAAAAAGTTTTTTGTGTTTTTGTTTTGTTTTAAAATCTTGCCAGGCTCTGGGCATGTTGACATAAATGGGCAAAGACGAGAATTGCACATTCACAGATGAAGCTTTTAGTGGCGTTGACACAAAGCAAATGTTTTCATCTAGATAAAACGTTCCTTTTTGATGCTCCTCAGAGTTTAAGAAGATCTGCGCTGCGTGGAAAACGGAGAGCTGGCTGTGGTTCAGAATATTCCTCACAGACATGATTATATACCAAGTAAGTGCTATCGTGCCAAAAACTACAGCTACTCTTCCTGGGATCCTCTTTTTAATTAATTTAAAACCACACAAAAAATAAAATCTGGTAAAGGCATTCTACTATTCTTACTATAAAAAGAACAGTACTAACATCAAAATGTGTTAAAATTACATTACATTTGTAATTCTAACAAATATTTCTAGTAATTTAACCAGCATATCTCATCGTAAAACACGTTTACATGTGCTTATATACAGTTTAGATACAGTTTGTATTTTTGTGTATTCAAAGAGAATTGTTTTATTACCATATAAAATAAAATACAAAAACACTTTTTTTTTAAAGGCTTCAAAGACTAGAACTTGTTTAATCTTAAATTTCTAAGGTATACTGTTTGAAACATCTTATTTGTTACATATTTCTGGTGATTTATTGTGTTTGTTGTCATTTCCAGGGCCAGTACCGTAAGGCCCTCTCGAGCCTGCATCAGATGGCTGCAGTGCATCAGCCTCAGCCTGGGCAGCAGAGCCCCTCGGGTCAGGCCAGTCTGGAGCACCACAGGGCGCTCATACAGCAGGCATCCTGCCACTACGCCCTGGGGGAGTACAGAGTAAGCATATGCACACCACCATGGTCCTACACCATTTATAGTCTGAGTGCAGATCAAACACAATCATACATTCTGCTACAAGTAACTCATTCACTGCCAGCTGTTTCCTGATCAGAAAAGCCCTTCGCTGCCAGCGTTTTTCAGCGTTTTCACAGTTTTTTTAAGAGTCACAGAACATTGCACTCTATGATGATGTCAATGCCAAAACTACCAAAACAAAGAGGAGACTCGCCTCTTACATCAGGAAGAGTCCGTGCGTTTTGAGCGTTATCCATTCTTTCATAATCCGTTGTCGAATTGTGATCGGCAGAAGTTTTTCCGGTTCGCGCCTCACTTTTTTTTACAGCAGCGGCCCCAAAAGATCTCCTAACACATGGATTTTCTACTTCCTGATCACGTGACGTGTGACGTATGCGGATGGAGATCGGCTTTAGAGCTGAGATGTATGTTCTCACGGTGCGGGGGCTCGTTCCAACGCCCACACAGTAAAAAAATGCAGTGAATGAGTTAAGCAATATTTTCTGTCCATTGTTTTGATTTTTGTTGTGTGATTTGTATTGATGCGTTTCAGGTGTATCTTTGATGTTAAATTAATGTGTATTTGATGATTTGTTTTTGCAACATGATGAAATGTTTAATAGTCCCTAAGACAGGGTTGTCCAATCCTGGTCCTCGAGGGCCGTTATCCAGCACTTTTTCGTTTTTAACCTGCTTCAACACACCTGATTTCAATCAGCAGGTGATTAACAGGTTTCTGCAGAGCCTGATGAGCAGCTGCACAGGTGATTCAACCAGCTAATCAAGTGTGTTGAAGCAGAAAAACTATAAAACCTGCTGGTTACCGGCCCTCCAGGACCAGGATTGGACACCCCTGCCCTAAGAGATAACCAGTGACCGAGTGGTTTATGTAACAAACCCGTATGATACACCGTTTGACCTGAAGGTGGCAGTGCAGTTTATGTTTTTACAAGCATTCATTTGATTATTAGTGTTTTATGTCTTCTTGTCCCATCTCCGTTAAACAGATGGCCTGTGAGAAGCTGCTCGATGTTGTCGGTGGACTGGTTCCTCCAAGCCAAGATCTAAACAGATCACACGAAGACCAGGGGAGAACAAAAACCAGACCCAGGAGAGGTAAACCGCTTCCAGTATCACTGTCTGAATCTGTCCAGCTATACATCTGACTGTTGTGTAAGAAATGTACACACGAGTAGCTTGTGTTGTTGCCCACATGCTTTATGTAGATGTGTGACTATTTCATTAGCTGCCCTTCATATGAAGCAGGTAATGACCTGAGGTTGCTCCCCTGCACCAGCAGAGCTGTGCTACCCTTCTGTCTCCAGCTGATGCTTGCCCTCTTCAAGGTACTTGAACAAGCACAGAAGGTTTCAGCTTTTGTGTCACAGCCTTTCACATGCAGGATGTTTCTCTTCTCTTGCTTCCGATTCTGTTTAATCAGCTGCGAGCCTTCACAGACAGCCGTGACGACTTATCCCTCGGCCACGTCGTGGTGCTGCTGCAGTTCGACTGGCCGCAGGGTGAGATGCTCTTTTTAAAGGCTGTGGAGAAAATCTGTCAGCAAGGCAGTTTCCAATATGAGAATTTCTTCAATTATGTCACCAGTATCCTTTTTCTGTAACCGTTCATGTAAACGCAACGTGACCAAACCTGCTTGGAACATATCTGGATGCAGCGTTGATAAACTGATTGTCCAGGACGTTGGTTTTCTTGAGCTCGTTGGTTCTCCTCAGACATTGACATGCTGGAGGAGTTTGCATACCTGCGTACTCCAGAAGGAGGGAGGATTCAGCTGGAGCTGCTGCCCAATCAGGGGATGCTGATTAAGTAAGAGCCCGTCATTCAGAGCTTTTTCCAGCTAGCATGTTAACCCTGCACCTTTCCGTTCTGTTGGTGTGTTTTTAAAGAGAGCAGTTGAATCTGCTGAGGGTTTACGTTGTAGACTTTGCCTGTGGGGACGGTTTTGTTGTGATGATTAAACTGTTAACGGAGTGGGCCTTATTTAATAAAAAGGGGGTATGTAGTAGAACACAAAGCTGTAATCAAACGCTTTTGTTAAAGTTAAGACCTGAATGAAGCATCACTGACAGAGATGTTGAATGTTGCTGTCCCTCAGGAACCCTAGCCCCGCCCTGGGGGTGGAGTTAAACACCCTTCTCCTACAAGGGGTGCAGACAATGGACAGGTACCCCAGGCCCCTCCTCCCACAGTCCCCATCCCCTCTCTCACACCCTTCACCCTCCATCCCCAGCTTCAAGGCTCGTCATCCCCCCTCCCCACAGTTTTAATTTGGGCCTGTCATTCTGCATCCAGAGTTAGTCGTTCTTTGATTTCCTGTTGGCAGTTGTTTATTTGAGCCATTACTCCTCGTTTCTGTGGTCATCACTGTTGTTGTTACATGAGGCTGATGTTGGTATTGTTGTACAGTTACGTCTTTAATGTTTCATGACTCTTGATCTCATTTCATTTGTAGACATGTTTGTATGGTTTTACTTTGTAAGTTGTTAAAACTAAATGAGCTAATTTCTGTGTGGGAAGCAAAAGTCACACGCTGTTGCCATGATTTTGTCCTTAAAGCATAGCTCTCATAAATCTCAGTTTCTGATGTTCCTGTCAAAGCATGTTGACCATATTTATATTTCTATCCTTTTCCCGTTGCAGACACCACACAGTGACCCGAGGGATCACCAAAGGAGTTAAGGAAGATTTCCGTCTGGCTATGGAAAGGCAGGTGTCTCGTTGTGGGGAAAACCTATTCAGTGTTCTCCACCGTTTCTGCGTTAACGAGAAAATAATCATCATCCAGTCCCTTCCTTGACGCTCACTTAGGTTGAAATGAATCAAGTCAGACTGAACGTTTGATTCCAGAAACTAAAGACATTAATAGCTCTCTTGGCTTGCCTTAAAGACGTTTAGAATAACACTGGATTTAAAGTGTTTATATCATTCTCAGCTTTGCTTTCATGTTGCTTTTGACGCAACAATCAAAAAGATTTTGATACTGTTTAATAAAGTTGATTGTTTTTGGTAAAATCTTGAACACATTTTATGTTTATATGTTTCCAATAAATGTTACATGAATGGTTGAGATAAATTACTGATAACATACAAGCACACCAGTCAGCAGTATTAGAAGTTTGATACTTTGCCTCAAAAGAAGCATCCACCTAAAGGGGGCATATTGTGCAAATCAGAAATTTTTGCATCTTTTTTGTGCTTCTATGTGGGTTTCTACTGTCTATAAATACTCCAAATGTAAATAAAAAACATGCATCTGTTTTCTGTCAGCGTTTGGAATTAAATGAATGCCTTGGGATTCCCTCAGTCCAGGTGGCTGGGACGACGGACGTTTGGGATTCCCTGCCTAGGAAGCTGCCCTCCCAACCCAGCGCCAGTGAAAGACAATGGGAAACTGATTTATTTAGCCTCATATACAAGCGCTGGTCATAAAAGTAGAATATCACAACAAAGTTAATTTATTTCAGTTATTAAACTTATACAGTATATTAGATTCAGTCATTAGACACAGACTGATATATTTCAAATGCTTATTTATTTTAATTTTGATGATTATAACTGACTAAAATCTCATTCAGTATCTCAGATAATTAGAATAACAATTCAGACCAATGAAAAAAGGAATTTTAGAAATGTTGGACAACTGAAAAGTAGAAAAAGAACAAAAGATCTTTTCTATAGCGGCTCAAGATAAAAATCTCAAGGCGCTCCACAAAAACAAAAAAATGTAAAATATAAAAAAGAATTTAGAAAATGATTTAGAACACATTTAAAATGAGCAAAAAATAGACAATTGTAATTAAAAATGTAAAGAAAGAGAGTGAATATGAAAAAGGGAAATCAGTGGATCCTGAGGAAGGTGAAATAGGTGGGGAGTGCAAAACAAAGAGAGGGTGATGAAGGTCACACCAAAACCAGCTTGAACAAGTAAGTTTTCAGCTGCGTTTTAAAGGAGACCACTGATCTCAGGCTCAGGGGGAGAATCTACGAATCTTAGACTGCAGTAAAGCAGCGAAGCCTCTAGCAGTTTACAAGTTTTGCTACAAAGCCAGCCAGCCCCACCAATATCGCAAATTTCCCCATTCAACCAGTGAAATAAAGTACAGAAATATAATTTTACTTACTGATAAAAAAGGAGCAGAAACTGCTTGGATGATCTGTTAGTGCAATCAATAACCACAGCTTGCCCTCTTAGACCAAATAAGTTCATGATTTACATCCAAAGCATTTGTCTTTGATAGTTCTCCACTCCTTACGCACTCAGAACTCTGTTTTTTATCAGTACAGCATCTCAAGTCCTCATCTGCTATTCCACAAATTCACTCCACAGACCGCTGTGCACATTTGCGTCATTGTCATTACTGTTTTCTAAAATCTGTTTTACCCTTAACTTGCAAATCAGTGATGTCAATTACTTTAATCTGATCACTTTTCTCAGTAACCAGTAATCTAACGCTTTAAAATTTTATTTTTAAGTATCAGATGAATGTTACTTTTACTACTTGCTTTGCATCACTTTTGTCACTGTTTTCCAAATGAAAATGTATCCATTTATATGTTAGGTTAAGATGTAATATCAGAGTTACTTTGCTAAGTATACCTTTCAGTAATTAGTGCCAATGGTAGCTGGTGAAAAAGAATCTTGATGGGACTTTAAGTGATATGTTTGTTTTACTCATTCTATTACAAGTATTCAAAGGAATAGTTGGAAATTTTCTTAACCCTTGCCGTTCCTTTTAATTTTCTAACGTTAATGTTCTTTGGGCACAAAAAATGCACTTACAAAGCTTCCCATAGAAATATATAATATTTCATAAGTCCCAATTTTTTACATTAATTTCATCCTTGACTTCAGCCCTAACAAAATATAATAAAATATGTGTGTTTCTCATATTTAACCCCTTTATTGCCAGGTTTATTATCAAAACCAGAAGTTTGAAAATTGTAACAAAAAAAAAAGAAAAAATCAAATAATTTTTTGTGTGTCATGTCCAAATGACATTTTTTGTGGGTAAATTGTCACAGCCTTGGAGTGTCACAAATAGGCATAAAAAGAGAGGTTGCTTAGCTCACTCCATGCATGCAAGGCTGCGCTTTGGTGTGTGCAACTCACTGCGGTTGGAGGAGGAGAACAACCAGTTTCTCATCTGCAGCAGCTGTGGGGGGCTGAGCAATATGTTACTGTAATAATAACTCAACTCTGTAATAATTTAGTCTGTTTTTGCACCTGTGTAAACTGACACCAACTATGTAAACAAACTGGGCTCTGCAGGAATTTGTTTTGCTAAACAAATGTACGCCTTTGAAGTTTTTTAGCCTTCAACCTTAACTTTCATCCATGCAAATACTTTGTATTTGTTGAAATAACAATTCTACAAATATCTGAAAATTTGCTGAAAATCCTTTGTTTTTTTTACATATAGCATGCCTTTCATGAATATTCATGAGTTCAACAGAGTACATGACAACCTGCCCCCCACCCCCATTTCAACCACTCAAGATAACAGTCACAGATATGTCTCTTGAAGATCTGTAAAGTGCTTTGATACCTACATGCATGCATGCCTGCACAAGCACACACAGAGTGACACATGTCAAAATGCTATTTTGCAGAATGAGAAAATTTAGTAGATTCAGTAAAGACTTATTTTTTGAAGTTACACTGTAAAAGCATAATTACCAAAAATTTTGAACACACACATGCAAACTTTTGTATGGCATCTCTAAACAACACACACACACACCATTTTTTTGCAGAATATGTATTATGATGGGCAGTCAGAGGTAAAGAAAAATCATTTAATTTAAATGCTGTGTCAGTCATTGCCCTGCTATGTATGGAGAAAGTATACACCATCTAGTGGAAAACGGTAAAAACTGCATATTAAATTTGTGAGAGGCCTGTGAACACAGAAACAATAATACTTTTTTAAAATTATGCTAATATTTATGCTAATTAGAAAAATATGATTTACATGAAAGTCAATGGCACAAAAAATGCTGAAAGATGTTTAACTGTACAAAATTTTCCATGTCATAATAAAGGGAGTTGAATTTTTTTTCAAACTTTTTTTGTAATTCCTTCCAAAATACACAGACTCCATAAAAATTAGATAAATTGCATTAACATAGCCAAAGTTAATCACAAAAATACACGTGACAGCACCAAAAAATGCTTTAATGCAATGTAAGGGTTAAATTCCCAAACAATCATCCAGTTAAAGCAATTCACCAGACACAAACCAATTATAGCCATCTAATGACTTGTATGCATTTGTAACCGGGTTAAATTTGTTTCTTTTTATAAAACTACAAACATATGTTCTGTAATAGTAGTGGGCAGTCTTTAATGTGTATACTGAGCTCGTCAGGTATGTAAAATGTATAAAAGTTATTTATTTATAAACTCCTCCTAAAATCTGCCCATTATTTCCTCTCCCAGTAAAACTCACTGCTGAGTAGAAACGAAAGCTCCGCCCCCACCATGGCGGTTTGATAAAAGGCGTTTGTACATGTTCAGAACTGTATTTTTTAGACTCCAACAAACATTTTCAACAACACAACTTAATACTAGACAACATGATCATTTTGTTCCTTAGCATTTATTTGAACTGTTTTCAGCTTTCAGGTAAAACCAGGAACATCTAGTATTATAGAACAGGAACTGAGTTCTGTGTTTTTATTCACTTTCAGGTTGGGTCATGTAGAGTTTTTCATGTTTCTGTTTTTAGTTTGTTCTTTCAGCAACCAGGTCTATCAGACTCCATCTATGATCTACAGAGCATCAGGAGAATCAGCCAACATCTTCTGTTCTCACAACATCATAAGCCACAACCAAATCCTCTGGTTCAAGCAGGCAGGCAAACAGCTGATCTACCTAGGATATGTCTACTACGGAGACACTTTTCCAGAGGCTGGAATGGATGTGACGATGGGTGGGAATGCAGACAGAAATCAGAACTGCACATTAACAGTTGAAAGGCTCAACATGAGCAGCAGTGCAGTTTATCTCTGTGCTGCTCGCTACCACAGCGCCACAAGCAACGAACGGTTGGTACAAAATTGTCATCCTGTTACCTCTGCTCTCAGCCCCTCACACCAGGAACACCCCTCTTATTTTGTTTAGGCTTTAGGGACACAAATCCTCTAATTAGCCAATCACTGAAGAGTTTTGAATGGACACCCACCTACTGAGCGAGTTCCGGTCTAGTATAAAAGTGTTGGAGGATCGTCATTCATCTCCCGTTTCTCTTCACACAACCATTTTACCAAGGAATGAGCTTAAGTGTAAAGGTTTTAGGTGTCAATTTGCTAGCTATATACTAATTTAGAATGGATTTACTGACTATTTCATTTGTGTCATGGCGACCTGGGTGCATGCCTTCGTTCCTGGCTTAAATAACACATTCTAATTACAAACCGTATAGGCAGTTGTTCCAATGTTTAAAAAGGACTGAGGAGTACCTCGTGTCACTGTAAGATAAAGAAGACAGTGCTCTAACAACAGCGTTAGCTGACAAACTCAGTCGGCGGATGAATTTGTACATGAAGAGCCTCAGGAGTGCATGAAAAGTAGGGATGTTACTCACAACAAACATATGACTTGCAGAAGTCCATCTAGGGAGCTTCATGAGGATTCTAAAAGCATCCTGATAAGCCACTTGAAGCTTCTTCATTACTACCTTACTATAGTTGCACCACAAGTGGGCTGTATAGAGAGGAGTACAAAAGGAACGAAAGAGGGACACTAACAGGATCTGAGCACATGCCAAAGTTTCGTGCCAGAGTGTTTAGCCTGCATGTACAATTTACCGCATTGCCTCTTAATATCCTCGTCATCACAGAGGTCACTTTTTAAAATGTGCCCCAAGTATTTCACATTGCTTACCACTTCGAGGACCTGATTTGTTAAGTTAAAAGATGGAAAATTAAGTTTCAGGTCCCCTTTAGTAGCAGCAATCATAACCACACTCTTTTTAGGGTTAAACAGGATGTCAAATAACTCACCATACTTAGCACATGCCCTGAGCAGCTGCTGCAGGCCTGCGCTATAGGGAGACATGAGGACTAGGTCATCTGCATATATTAAATGATTTACAAGGCGGTCACCCACCAAGCATCCAGTCTTACTAGCATTCAGAGTAACAGACAGCTCGTCAAGGTACAGGTTAAAAAGGACAGGAGACAGAATCCCGCCTTGTCTGACTCCATTCAATACAGAGAAAGGTTCAGACACTTCTGTCCCCCACTTTACCTGCATCAGTTGATGAGAGTACCAGAAGTGCAAAATCCTAACTAGGTATGAATGGACCCCTCTGTTTTGTAGCTTGATGAATAATTTCTGATGATTGACTCTGTCAAAGGCCTTAGAGGCATCTAAAAAACACATAAAAACAGAAGTATTATGCCTCATGTATTTGCTTACAGTTTCTTTTAAAGCGTAGATACACAAGTCAGTACTAAGTTTACCTTTAAAACCAAACTGATTCTCTGTCGTAGTTATAAAATTCTGCAGTCTTTCCAGCAAAATATGCTCAAGCACTTTGGACAACACACTTGCCAAAGCAATAGGCCTGTAGTTATCAATACAGGCGATTTTTCCAGTTTTCTCTTTGACTATAGGGACTAAGAGAACATCTAACATATGGTCAGGCAAGATTCCATGCTTCAAAAAGCCGGTAAAGCACAATGAAAGTAACACCTGAGCTCTACAGCTAGCATACTTCATGTGCTCTGCTGATAGTTGATCAGGGCCGCAAGCTTTGTTTAACGACATTTTCTCTATAGCGAGACGGACTTCATCAGCTCTGACAATCATACCATGATTGTAGTCAGTGTTGCCAAGATTGAACCTTTCACTATTTACACAGTTAAAAATTCTGCCAAAGTGATTCCTCCAGGCTTCTACAATGTTCTTATCTCCTGATACCCCATTTATAGATGCGGGTAGCAGCTGCTTACTGATACAGGAGCGTTTTAACTCCTTCCAGAACTCCGAGACATTATTATTCTTTAGTTTGTTCGCTCAGGAGTTTGCTCGCATTGTTTGCTCATTCCTTTTAATATAGCGAACAGCATTCTTGAACTTAACGTTCGCAGCTTTCTTAGACTCCAATATTGAACCGGATTTTGGTTTACCAGCAGCTGCCCAGGCTATTTAGGCTGCTCTGGACTCAGCATGTAACGCATAAGCGTGCTCACTCCATTCTGGAAGTGGTTTAAATTTTGTAGATCTTTTTTGGCAGAGGAACTCGCTGGCAATAATCAAGCTGTCCACAATATTTTGATACAAAGTGCATAAGTGCAGCCTGTGTTCCATATGTTCACAGTTTACGTCTTTAAATATCTATTTAATTACCAAGCAATACATAAGAGGTAAATAAAAAGAAATGTCAACTGACAATAATGTTTCAGACTATTAAACCAATTTTTTTTACTTTTGTAAATATACAATTAAACTAAATAAATACAACTTTTGAATGCAAATAAAATAATTGTAATATGTAATAACTAAACGAGCTGGTGCTGAGGGCACACACGACAGAGATAGCAGCTTTTTGTGTGATGCTTTTTCATCGTGCGGACAGGGAGCCACGGTGATTGAATCTCACTGAGCCGTTACACAAAAACCTCCTCACTTTAACGTCCATTGTGTAGACGGCTGCAGCAGCTCAGGGCGCCTGTCAGAGCAGGAAATCAAGTCAGCTGAAGGCAGGCAGAATGCCCTGAAAAATCATTGTTATTGCAGACAACCTTAGCTGTAACCCTCAACATGTTTTAGTAAAAGATCTTTGACTTCATGTGGAGCGTTTGGAAGATGTGCTGTTTACCTTGTGTAAAGGTAAACAGATCAGAGAACCTGAGGCTCAGTCAGCAGGCTAAAAACTTTCTCATTACTGGGATTATCACAAGCTGCCATCATAAAAAGGTCGTGGCTGTCTGGTGGACGAGAGTCTCTGTGTAACACTGCAGCTGAAGCTTACTTTGGAAAAGGAAATAAACTGAGTGTTTTAGGTGAGTGGAAGATGATTCTAATAGGATAAAATAATTACCTATGAGTGTTGTTGTTGTTTATAGATCATAGATTATTCACAGTAGATGTCCAGCTCGCTTCTTTATGTTATTAAGATGGCGCGCTGTGCCAATAACGAAGCTCATTTTGGCCAGGGAACAAAACTGACTGTTCTGGGTGTGTAAGACTTTAAATGTAAACATAACCAGCTGAAGACAGCTAGAGGGTACAGAAGGGAAGTTAAAGTAACACCTTTAGTGTAGAAATCCTTCTAACTAAACCAGGTCTGTAACAAATTCAGCTGTCTGGTGTCAGAACCCAGATCCTTTTAGTCCAAGAACCAAACCCACTGTAAATAAAAAGCAGCTGATGGCTGTTTTCAGCACTGATCATGTCCAGTGTGAGTGGTGAGCCATACTTTGGTGACTGAACCAAATGAACCTTTTAAATGTCGTAAAGCAGGGTGGGGAACTCTGGTCCTTGAAGACCAGCAGGTCTTGGTTGTTCCTCTGCTCCAACACTCCTGATTCCTCGGTTGATTCACCCGTTCAGCAGCTCATCGAGCTCTGCAGAAGGACTGCTAATATCAGGAGAGGGAGAACGTTTAATGGATGGCGGTAGATTCAGAAGGTTAGAGGTGACGTTCTTACTTTACAGTTGGTGATAAAGCTGTAGTATTTTTCGAGCACGAGACAGAGAGATTTTGCTCCAGTCTGGCGTCTCTGTACTCCAACAATGAGGCTCACTTTGGAGCTGGAACCAAACTCACTGTTTTAGGTTAGAAAACTTCTAACAAACTCAGATCAAGCTCACTCTCAGGTCAGAGAATATTAGACATCTGATATCCACCCTGAGACTGGGGGATCGTGGGTTCAAATCCACCGTTGGGTCATACCAAAGACTTTTAAAAATGGGACCCAATCCATCCCTGCAGGACAGTCAGCATTAAGGGGTTCGTATGAGGGCTGAATAGTAGCCGTGTCTGTAGCTCACCACTGGCCCAGGTGATGGGAGAACAGATTTCACCAGTGTGTGACGACTAATAAGACTTCAACTTGAACAAAGTCAGTCAAGTTATAATGAAAAAGTTCATTTCAGCATTTATTTGTGCCAGGAAATGAAAGTTGTTTCTGTGCAGAAGGATTGGCTCATCACCCGGATCACTGTCAGTTCTAATCAGCTCTGTGAACGACTTTGAGTCACCAGTCAGAAGCTTATTGGAGGTGGAACTAAACTCACAGTTTTAGGGAAGAAAGTTCAACATTTGCAAGAATTACTGGACGGAAATGAGAAAAGACATTTATCTTTTTAGAATTAGAAAACAGCACAAACAAATTCTGTCAAAGCTTTATTTCAGTGTGATTTTACAAACAGAGTTTGTTTAGTTTGTCTGTAAAACATCTGAAAAACACAGAAAGCATTCAGAGCTGAAAGTCTGAGGTGTTTGTGGTGCAGATGTTTGTCAGTGTGAACTATGATCCTTACGCTGCAGCTGGAACTAAACTCACAGTTACAGGTGAGTGTTTCTAACGTTTGTAAGGATGTGATGCAAATGCAGGTTTGATGAGAACATTGTTTGGAGAAATATATATATATATATATAAAATAACAAACGCCAGTATAATAAATAATTAGATTTTAATTCAATAAAACCCATCTCTTCTGACACACACACGCACACTCACGTACGCACACATGCACACACACACGTTTAATGAGCATAGTGACTTTGATCATGAAAGAAACTTTCATCTAACTTTTTTTCTCTCCTCTTTCAGAACCAGGCCTTGAGGTCACAGAACCATCTGTCGAAGTTCTCAAACCTTCAGCTAAAGAGTGCAAAGACAAAAACAAGAAAAGGAAGAAGACTCTGGTTTGTGTTGCCTCTCAATTCTACCCAGATCACGTCAGCATGTCCTGGAGGCTTAATGGGGTCCAAACAGATAAAGGTGTGGTGACAGGAAGAGCGATCAGACGGCCTGATAAGTCCTACGGCATCACCAGCAGGCTGAAGGTCCAGGCTAAGGACTGGTTCAGACCTGGAAATAATTTCACCTGCATGGTCGGCTTCTACAATGGAAACAAAACCACCTTTCATTCTGGTTCAGTTATTTGTGCGTTACTCCACAACAATCACGTCAGATCACCAACACTTATACCAAAAACCAACATTTTTCATTCTCTGACTTATGTTTCATTCCAGCAACTGACAGAGATAACGGCATGACTCGAGGTAAACAACATTTAAAAAAACCCACCAAAATCTAAAAGACATCATGTTGAAGATAAATTACAGATTAACTGTTCCTCTGTGTTCTTAAACAGAATTTTTCTAATCTGATCTTCTTACAGATAAATACCTGAGGATCACTCAGAACGCCAAACTCTCCTACGTCGTTTTGATTGTGAAGAGTAGCATCTACGGCGCCGCTGTTTGCCTTCTGGTGTGGAAGCTTCAGGTTTGTGGGAAACAAATATCTAACATCTACAATCTACCACTGGAATTTGCGGTTGTTGACGTGTCATTTAGAAGCTGGTAAAGTGAGTTTTAACATAAAATGACGCTTTTCTCTTCATGTTGCAGAGTTCAGCTGGAGAGCAGAACAAGTGAGATTTGAGCTGAAGTCTGGACAAACCAACAAGCTTCAGGAGTTGCATCTTTGTTTATGTACATAAAATCTAGAAAACATAACATCAAGTTTGTGTTTTTGAGAATTTGGCTGATTAAACCCTTCAGATCTTATGAACCTGTGTTTTATTCTTAAATAAACTGATACGTTTCCATTACTGACTTTGTGATCAAAAATAACTCTTTAGCATGGTGCAGTTCAGAGCAGGTACTGCTACTACGGAAGCCCACACGCATCAAAAGGCCTGATGTCATCAAAGACAGGCGTGTTCTTTATGAATAAAATAAGCTTGATAGTATAATCATTTGCCAATCTCTTATGCCTAACCCACAATCAATTATCTTAGCAATTTAAGCAGTTAGTAAACATTTTAAATTATGACTGTTATGGTAACTTACCAGTCCAGAAGGAAGCAGGCAGGTTCTCTCAGGCCGCTCGAAGGGTGCAGCAAGGATCAGGGTAGTTGTTGAGAGTGTAATCTGGTGAGAGTGTAAGCTGGTGCCCAGCTAAAGGTGGTCGGAAAGTTTATCATGCGCATCTGCAGAGAGTTGGGTGTGATGACGACCAGACAAGTTCGACATCTTTTGATTATTTTGTTTGTAATTCAAACTAATCGAGTACAGCAACAGTTTTTATGTTCTCTTCGTCTTGGTAGGATGGTCTGGCAGACCGCGTGCTTCCAGTGGTATTACTACTGCTGTTTGTTCCCTGTCGTTCTTTCAGTTTACACCATGCCAAAGCACAAACGCGGAGCATTATATCTTGCATGTCTCATAACAGCTACACTATTTCAAGATGGCGCATGAATATAGAATGCCTATCCACAGTTTATGTATATGAAAATCTACAATTTCAAGCAAATACTTAGAATAGATGTTGGTGATAAATATTAACAAAAAGAACGAGATCCACAGAATCTGAAAGCAAACAAGTAAAAATACACTCTGCCTTTAAAGAATGAGGTATTTTTTTCTCAGTAAACATAAAAACTGATTTAAATCTAGTGAATGCATTTCATTTTGATGTTCTTTTCATCACTAGTTCCAGAGGTGGCATCAGATATTTTTAGCTTCCTCTTTCTCAGAGAAATCAGCTTTTGTCCCTCATGTTTACATTCAAACAGCTGAGCTCAGGAAGGTTTCCTAAGCGGGTTGAAGTGACTCTAATAAGATTAAAAATAACTTTTCGGATGACTTGAAATGTTCTGTTTCTTTTATGAAGCAAATAATACAATTTGTGTTTTGTAATTTGCATCAAAGTAGATGTTTGATTCAAATTTCCATTGATCCTGTAGCTGGCATTTTATCAGCTTGAGAAAGTATGTGAGTCAAACACAGAAAAACAGAATGTCAGTGCTCTCATCTGTGCAGATGAAGGTCGCTGTTGTTGATGGTGAGGAGGACAAAGTGGGTCATGAAATTGCAGAAAGCAGGATGTGGTCACGAAGCAGTGTGTCTGTGCTGAGAAACTACTGAGGTGCAACTTTCCACTTCACCACAACCTCTGGCTCCCTCAGTGCACCTGCATGTGTGTGAACAACCCCTTTACACACACACACACACACACACACACACACACACACACACACACACACACACACACACACACACACACACACACACACACACACACACACACACACACACACACACACACACACACACACACACACACACACACACACACGCGCACACACACACACACACATTCTTGTCTAGCATTTGTTATGCGGACCGTAATTGACTTCCCTTTTTATAATGACTGGTTTGTGCCTAACCCTCATCAGTCTATTCTTAACCCTAACCCTTACCCTAACCCTAACCAGTGTATTCCTAAACATAACTGTAACAAAAATTCAATTCACATCTCACCCCTAAGCCTAAAACATGAGGTCCACTGTATTAGGACTGGGTTTTGGACCTATAAGGCTCATCAGAAGATTAGTGAATATGCCAGTTTGGTCCTAATTAGGATAGCTAAACAAGCACACACACACACACACACACACACACACACACACACACACACACGCACGCACGCACGCACGCACGCACGCACGCACGCACACACACACACACACACACACACACACACACACACAGCTCATCATTGAACAAAACCTCCACTTCCATTTCAACTAAAGCAACAAACTCAACATGTGTAAGTTTTATAAGAGACAAGGTTTTCTGTTGCAGGAGGGTTCGTTTTAAAATCAGGTTGTTTATTTTTTTGTAGAGCACATTCATCACATCAGCTCAAGCTAACTGGAATAAACAATGAAAATTAACTAGATATCTGGTTAATTGTTTAAACATTTTTGTCCACAATCGATCAAACCTACTAACTGAAAAAGTGTTTCATTTGTTTCTTGCTCTGTGATTTAGAAATTAAATCATTTTCAACTCATTAATCTCTTAAGATTTTCTTTATCCAAAAATACAGATAAAAAAATATTTAAAGCTTATTTAACTGTCTAATAATATCCAACATGTTTTCAGTATTCTGTAGTTAACAGGAAATAACATAAAACAGCAACAAGCATGGAACATCTATGATCATTTTGTTTTTCCTTCTGTCAACACTCAACAGTCTATAGTTTCCTTCTTTAAAGTATTTTAGTGCATTTCTTCTTAAAAACAAGATCACATGTAACACTGACTGGAAGCTGCTGCTTTTACATAAAAATATTGATGTTTTTTATTAAAGCAGTTTTTTGAAACAGATGGTTCATGCTGCCAGAACTCTGGAAGCTTAACAGCAATGGCAGAAGAAAGCTGCAGGGCCGGCGGTGGATTAGCAGCAACCTGTGGCAACGAAGCAGGTGCAGCTACGTAGACGTTTGCAGACATGTTCATGCACATGGTCACCAGTCATACAATGACGACACAAGAGTTAGGTTTGTTCACATCCTTTACCCAGCTCCAACTGAACTCAAGAGAAAAATCACCCTCACAAAAGGGAGCATGAGTCAAGAGCATCAACTTTCAGATCATGGGTCTCTGGAAGTAAGAAAAACGGAATACTGTAAGTTATTAAGGTCACAGTTCGGATTGGATCACGGTTTTCAGTCACGGATCGGATCATTTTACGGATCAGCAGAAAAAAAGAAAAGAAAAACAAAAGTTGGATAGTTTATTTTATCTGGGACATGGCGTAGGTCATGTCCCCATCGTTTATTTGTCCTGTACAGAAGGACAGCGTTGGACTAGATGCAGCTACACCCATGATTCTCACATTCTTGTTCATTTAGGATAAGATTTGCGACACGTTTCCATGATCCACAACTATATAAGAGTATGTCAGCAGAGGCTCAGGCAGGGCCAGATTAAGACTTCGTTGTACCCTGGGCAACAATATTCAAGGGCCCCATCATCACGACCGAAGGATCACCATAATATGGTCACATACAGAATATTTTACTGTAATATGCAGTAAATATACTCAATACTTGAATGCCTGACTTCACGTAACCTGCTCAGGGTAACCTTTGACCCACCTTGTGTGGACTGACCAATGAGGAGAGGGTCTTAACTTGAGGCCCTCCTTCATTGGTCGGTCTACAAGAGACTGACTCTCAACCGCTCTCAACTGACGTTCAAAGTCATAGGCAGCGAGGCGTCTCTGTGCAGCGCAAAAGCCCGGGTGGACAGTTTGTTTAATATAGGGTGATCATATTTCCATTTCCAAAAAAGAGGACAGGGGATCTGTGCCTGTGACATCACACTATGGCAACGCCACACAAACCATGTTGGGACCCATTTTTTGTAAGAACTAAATTAATATCAGATTCTGCCAATAAAAGGGCTCTAAAACAATAAATACTTAGCATATTTACTGCAAAATCTCATTTTTCTGCTTTAGTGCTGCAACAAGGTTTTATTAATAATAAATTATAACTTTTGTTTTACTACAGCATCGGTACACTTCCTGTGCACAGATTATCAAGGATGCTTGTTTCAGCTGTGAGATTAGATGATAGGATCAATGATCAAATAAGTTGTCACACTGGAAACTTTCAGAGAATCCACAAATAGTGGCTTTCAAATGGTTTTGTTACTTTTTGCAAGTTTAGAAAAGAAGCAGATTGCTTGACATTGGCTGAAGTTCCTCGTGCCTTTAAACACGCGGTTCTACAACCAATCTTGAAAAAACCCGGCCTTGATCCCACCGATTACTCTAATCTCCGACCAATTTCCAAATTACCGTTTTTATCTAAGGTCCTTGAGAAAATAGTCTATGCACAGTTGATGAAACATCTAAATGAATTTCAGGTAATGGACATCTGCCAGTCTGGTTTTAGAAAACAGCACAGCACTGAAACTGCTCACGTTCGGGTGTTTAATGACATTTTTCTGGCTTTAGATTCAGGTTTCCATGTGGTTCTGGTATTTTTGGATCTATCTGCAGCATTCGACACGATCGATCATGACATTTTGATCACAAGACTTCACACTTGGGCTGGCATTTCAGGCACAGCCCTAGATTGGTTCAGGTCATACTTTTGTAACAGGTCTGCTAGGGTCATGTTGGATGGCTGTTCATCCGAGTCACAGCCTCTACGTTGGGGTGTCCCACAAGGTTCAATTCTCGGCCCGTTACTGTTCAACCTCTATATACTGCCCTTAGGAGCCATTTTCAGAAAGCACGCTGTCTCATACCATCTTTACGCTGACGACTGTCAAATCTATTTTTCGTTTAAGCCAACTCAATCAACGAAAGTTCTGTCTGATTGTATCCTTGAGGTCAAGCAATGGCTAGCTGATAACTTCCTCCATCTCAATGACTCCAAAACTGACTTAATCGTTTTCAGTCCTAACAGTACCACGGCAACTCATCAACCTGACCTCAACTATCTCTCACCTAATGTATCCTCTGTAATCTCCAACCTTGGAGTAAAAATGGACCAGGCTCTGAAGATGGATGCCCAGGTCAATAACACAGTTAAATCATATTTAATATATATATATATATATATATATATATATATATATATATATATATATAGACATACATACATATATATAAAAGTATATGACTATATATATATATGTAGACATTTATATATATGGTATATGTATGTCTGTATATATATATATATATATACATATACATTTAATATATAGACATACATATATATAAAAGTATATGTCGATGTATATATGTATATATAGACATATATATATATATATATATATATATATATATATATATATATATATATACATTTAATATATAGACATACATATATATAAAAGTATATGTCTATGTATATATAGACATATTTATAAATGTCTATATATATATATATATATATATATATATATATACATTTATAAATATATGTCTATATATGCGGATTTAGAGGAGCTGATTCTCATTCCAGCTGCTCCCAAGGGACGCGCGGTCGAACACCTTCTCCAAATCTACAAAACACATGTAGATTGGTTGAGCAAACTCCCACGCACCCTCCAAGATCCCCCTAAGGGTATAGAGCTTGTAAGAGCCTTATAGTAAATAAAGAGTTTGAATGTATTTATTATTGTTCAAAATGTTTGTTTTGATGCGATCTTGATATGTGGGTCAGTCAAGTGGGAGCGGAAATCCTTTAAATCTCTCATCAGTTCCACTTTTTACTGTTAATAATTAAGTAACCAGTAAACAAACAAAATAGCAGTACTTGTATAGTGTTTGTTATTTGGCTAAATAGACTTTTACAAGACTAACATAGCAGAAACACTTGCTCTAAATTCCTTCAAACACTGTTGTTGCCTTGAAATAAAGGGGATGGGATTTAGCGCCCTCTGCTGGAAGAAATAGAACAGCACTCTTGTTTCCACGAGGAAAGTGCATGGGAAGATAGGGAGTTGCTGCCTCCAGTGTCTGAAATCTGGTACTACACTTTTGGTCTTTATAGCCACTAGAAGATACTATTTAGCCTTTTGTCCATTGATAATTTTAATTGTATGCTGTTATTTCTGGTCTGTGTTGTATTGTTTTTATGGATTTCTGTTTTACTGTTCACCTGTTAAACACTTTGGTCAGCTGCCACACTGTTTTTAAATGTGCCATAGAAATAAAATTAGATTGGATATTAGTCCGTTTGATTGGCCGCTGTTGTTTATTCCCATCTGTCTTCATCTAAGTTATTCAATTAAAAGAAAGCTGGGTACTCACCCTTCTCTTTTAGAGCTGCCAACCGTGCAGCAAACTCTTAACATTTGACTGTGAAATCAACAAAATAAAAGCAACAAAAAGCTACAGATTGGCTTGTTTTGACTAGCTTCAACGGAGTTTCAATGTGTGCAAACAGTTTATCTGCCATTCATGATTTACAATGCTCCATATTTACACATCCCAACAAATCCCTCAATGGTTACCTCTATAATGAGACCAGATTAATCAAATAAATGTCGTGGTTACTTTACTTTGCTTTGTTTTAACAGGGACTGTACAACAAAACACTGTCACCATAAGCAACAGATACAGTATACATAAGGCTTCTAGTCTGAGGCTAATTTACAGCCCTTGTCCCTGGTTAGGCATTTATATCTAACCAGAATAAAAATAACAGATATATCAATACAATGCGATTGCAAATTACACTGACAGAATTTATAAAATGACATAAAAATATTTAAAAGCTACATATTCATATTGTTACAGAAATATACTCATTAAAGTGTGGGTATGTTGCAGAGCTCATCGTGTTGAAGTTCACTTTGGGAGTGATGAGGATGGACAGGACCAGGAATGAGGACATCAGAGGGACAGCTCCTGTTAGATGTCTTGGAGATGAAGTCAAAGAGGCCAGACTGAGATGGTTTGGACATGTCCAGGGGGAAGACGATGATTACATTGGTAGAAGGATGCTGAAGTTGGAGCCACCAGGCAGGAGGAAGTCCAAAATGAATATTTATGGATGTGGTGAAAGAGGACAGGAAGTTGGTGAATGTAGTATACAGAAGATGGGACTAAATGGAGACAGTTGATTTGCTGTGGAGATCCCAGCAAAAGCAGAAAGACAAAAAACAAACAAAAGCAAAAAGTAATTTCAGTTCATATTGTGTTGCTTGTTTTCTGCCTTATTATGTTTATTTGTTAATTTGACAAAACGTAATGAGGCCTTATTTATACAGTGTTCCTAATTAATGTCATTTGTTTCTTCCATTTTATGTAGTTGGTCATTTCTATGTAGATAAAAGCAGAGATGTGTGGACTCAAGTCACATGACTTGGACTCAAGTCAGACTCGAGTCATTATTTTATTGACTTCTGACTTGACTTGATAAAATCTATAAAGACTTACGACTTGACTCGAACTTGCATGTTGACTTGAAGCATATTTGATATTTCAGCACAAAGTGGCATGGACAAAAATCATAAATAATTCTTAGTTCTGGGTCAGAGTTTGTACTGCTAATACAGCACTTTGTTTATAATCAATTTCAGTTGAACTTTCTGCTTGTTTGAGCAAATAAATTCAGCTTTAAGAAGTTTTATTCCTGGAATGTATTATCATTGTCATTAAATTGAAGTTGGACAGATGACTCGAATATGACTTGAAGGTTCAAAGATAAGGACTTGAACTCGACTTGGACTTCCACATCATTGACTTTGGACTCGACTTGGACTTGGTTGTCTTTGACTTGGACTTGACTCGAGACTTGACTGGAAAGACTTGTGACTTACTTGTGACTTGCAAAGCAGGGACTTGGTCACACCTCTGGATAAAAGCTTAAAAACATGCCTATTGTTTCTGTGTTATTGTTTAAATTGTGATTCAAAGGAGTATCAGCAACATTCTTGTCTAAGGCACCAAAGAGGTCAGAGCTGGCTCTGCTTGGTCAATCCCAACATTTCATATGTTTGAGAGCTGACAGAAGACAAGAAATCAAACGCTTTTTGATCTGGTACTCTTTAACAAAGTGTATTATTTTGCTGCAGTATTGATCAAAAATGACAGTTTGTGCAGATATATACATCAAGCGTCAGTCGAAAGGTTATTTGAGAAATCAAATGCAATACGCATAACACATCTTCATTTGGACAAAAAGCAAATCAGAAAGTCAGATTTGTTTTTTGTTTTGTTCTTTAGCTCCAGAGCAATCAAATCTTTCTGGTGTCAGCTTTAGTTTTGCAAAGCATCCCTATTATCCAATGAACACTGCATTTCCTCTAGAAGCCTCCCTCTACAATCACTCCTGTAAGTGTGTGACTGGTACGTCTGGTAAGTCAGCTTGTAAGGCAGCTCTGAGGTTAGCCCAGAACAGCCTGTGTTTAGCTCTGTCCTGAGGCCATTCCAGATAAGTATGGCGGTTCATCATGGCCTTCAGCTGGTAGTACTTGGATGGGATCAGGTATTGAGGCAGAGGCTCCAGGAGCACCAGCACAATGCCGTCTGTGCCCAGAGAAAGCTGTTGGTGGCTGGCGAAGTACAGCTCATAATGGCACCAGTCGCTTTTGACAAAATGAGCAGAGAGCACAAACAGAGAGCGGCGACTTTTCTCCACGCAGCTGATAATGTTCTCAGTAATAGTTTTTCCAGGCACAAAGTTTTTCTCATGGTGACACAATCGGAGGTCAGGACCTTCAAGGTTGGGAAGGAGATGGTTCTTCACCCATTCTACATCATGCTGGCTGTAGGACACAAAAGCATGAAACTCTACACCGATCAGGTCCTCAGGTCGAACTTGTTTTCTTGTACGATGTTTGGCTCTGGTCCACTGCCAGATCATGCCTATGTACCAGGGAGCATCCAGACGTTGGCATAAAAAGAGAATTGTTAAGATCAGTGCAACGGTAGGGACTAAGATGGCGGTGGCTAGGAGACCCACATTACAAGAGATCTCATAGACCCAAAAATCTTTCAACATGGAGTCTCTCAGAGCCTCAGGATAGAAACAATGGTAGCCATGTGGCCAAGCCAACAGTTCAATACCTGGCTGACCTCTCTTGTTGTCAGACTTGAAGCCAAGGCTAATGAAGTTTCTCAGACTGCAGGTGCAGGTGAAAGGATTGTGACTAGCATCCAGGAGGTGCAGATTGGGGCAGCCTTCCAACCTACTCAGTGAGGGAGCGTGGAGGGAGTTTGACTTCAGGAGAAGCTTGTTCAGTTTAGGCAAACCATCACACACTGGCAGGTCCTGCAACCTGTTAGCATTAAGATTCAGCAGAGAAAGATTTTTTAGTTTAAAGATGGAGGACTGCACCACTGAAACCTGGTTGTTCTGCAGGTCCAGCGTTTCTATTCCTTTTGGTAGACATTTAAACACAGAGTCAGTCAGACCTGCAGAGGAAAGGTTCATAATGGTGATGTTTGAAGGCCACAGACACTCAGACTGACCATCATAAAATAGAGAGTTGAGGCTCATGTCCAAGTGTTTCAGAGATCTCATGTGTTGTACACGTTTGCTTACTAACAGGAGGTCCTTCAGATTGTTGCCCAGCAGTGTTAACTTTTCTACATTGGTCAGAGTCTGACATTCAATGGTTTCTTGACCTTCCACCGTGGAGAAGATAGAGTCAGACAGAGCATTGTAGGAAAAGTCCAGCTCGAGGATTGGACTCGGGTCCTCCGGACACGTCATGTGTATGAGGGAAGTGTCCCACATACTTAAGTGCTCTACTGGCATGCTGATGAAAAAGTTGTACAAGCACTCCTGACTGAAGAAAAACGAGTTTACTACACCTTGTTTGAAGGTGAAAGAGTTCATGGTGGACGTCTTGGCAACATCGGTGTTCTTGAGGGGTGGATGGTCTATGGCTACGTCGTAGGCACTCATATGGGAAATAGAAGTCTGCAGAGCAACATTAATACAGTGAGTTACATCTTCCCAGTCAATCACGATGTGGTTCATATAAAAATGGGAAGTGTGGATTTCTGCTAACTGACCAAGTTCCTTACTTAGGCTGCTGTAACCTCCTGTCAGATTTCTGACCTCTACATGAACAAAGAGTGAAAAAGCATCAGCAATCAGATCACTGTGCACTAGTTTTCCAGCGTTGAAATCTAAATGAAGCCACTGAGCATGAACACCCATCAGGCTATGTGCTTCATATTCAAGTTTCTCCTCCAAGGAAAGAGTACAGCTGTGTAGTTTTACTGTAGCGAGGCTCTTAAAATCACCTACATGGATGTTTTTTGCTCCAAGTGTAAAATCCACCAGTTTGACCAGAAGACTGAATTCGCTGCCTAATGTCATGTTGAGGAAGCTGTTCCAGGCCAAGTTCAGCATCACAAGGTTCCCTGTGTGTAGCAGGTACTGTTGACCTGACAGGTTTGTCAGCATGTTGTGGGACAGATCCAGTCCTTCCAGATGTGGCGTGTCAAGAAAAGTCTCTGCATCCATCTTCTCTAAACCGTTCCAAGACACGTTCAGAAACCTAAGCATGGTGGTGTTTTTAAAGTCTCCTTTGTGAATCCGATGGATGTGATTGCATGAAAGATCAAGATATTCAGCCGTTTGTGGCAGGTCTGTAGGGACAGAGCAAAGGTTCATAGATGAACGGTCTACGATGCTGTCATGGGACGAAGCGCACATCTGTGGCACTGCCAACAGGCCTGCTGCCCAGATCATCACAGTTAAAAGCCTCATTGATTACCTGGATAAAAACAAAAAGACAATTCAGCTCAATGACGAAGACGCACCACAAATAAAATCAAACAGCCCTTTGTGAGCAGCTGGTTGCCACTAGCATAACACAGAACTGTTCAGGCCAATAGTAGACCTGCTATGTTTCCTATGGCACGTAGCTAGACCAACCTGAAGAGCAGGGTTGCCACTGTCTGTCTAGATTTCTAAACTAGCAAGCTAGCTGGCTGTTTTCTGTGTCAGGAGCACTGTTGGCCAGTGCATCAGGGAAAGTAATTTCTGTGATGCTGATTGGCCAAAGGTTCTCACGTTTTCCTTAGAAAACCAAACATGATTGGCTGTTTGGCTGCAGCTGAAGAGTTGTTTTTCCAGCTCCCCAGGACTGATAATAGTAGCGCCCCCTATGGATGTACCGCAGCTGGTGCATTCTCTGTTCTCTGACTATGTGGAATGCTCTGCCACTGAGCAGACAGGCCTGCTTCACAGATACGTTTTCAGACTCGATCAAAAGCTAAATTTTATTGTTCATCTTTAAAAGGTGTCGTTCAGAAACCATGAGAACTTTTGTAATATGATCGGTCACTTTGAGTTGCATATGCTTGCTGAACGTGAACATTTTCTTCAACCCTCACAGCCTGCATCAGCCGCAGGAAGGAAATAAACAGGAAAATAATTGGGTCAAACAAAAGCCAGTCTTTATTCACAGGGAAAATTAGCATGCCTTTGCCCACGTTTACTTGCGACCAGAAGGAGAGAGCAGAGCACGTCTCGACAAGTAGAAGGAACCATTAACAGCACCACAGCATGGTGGAACACATTTGGGTTTGTGTTATTTGTGGAGATAACACATTAATGTTGCATTTTTTTTTACCCAAGAAAATACGTTTTATAGTATTCTCAACAAAGATAGTGGATAATTCACATTGCTTTTAGGGCGAGGCAAGGCATTTGCATATCATGAATATTAATGACCAAGACTAAGTTGTTTCTCACCACCCACTCCTCCTACCAACTTCTACTTCCTGAAACAGAAGCGCAAGAGCTGCTTTCTTCTGCAGAAAATGATGCACAAGGCAACAGTTCATGCTGGAGACCACAACAACATTACTAAATAAATAAGTGAATGAGACCAAAGACTCTAGAACAGGGGTGTCAAACATGCGGCCCGCGGGCCCGATCCGGCCCGCAAATGTGTTAAATCCGGCCCACGGGATGGTTGTGTAAACTTTATTTTCAAATTTTACAATGTAGAGTGAAAATAAACTTATCTTTGTGAGCAAGTTTTCTCTGTAATGAGTATAAATAAAACAAAGCTGCGCTCAAAGCTCACACAAGAACTTGAATCACATCCTGAAGTTGGCCGCCACTCAGGATGTGACTTCTGATATTGATGTGCTGGTGAAAGCTAAAAGATGTAAAGTAAAATGAGTCAAATATACTTTAAGTGCTGCATGAAACTGATCTAGCCATGTGATCTGTAAGCTCTTTGAATCACTAAGGAATGTTTTATTTATTTATTTGTTTATTTATTTATTTATTTATTATTATTTTTATTTATTCAAATTTTCAAGTACACTTCAGGTGTTGTACTATTTTGGATACACTGTCCTCAGGCTCCAGCTTTGTTTTATATTGATTATATTAAAACAAAGAAAACAATCTGAAGTTGTTTTTAATTTACCGGTCCGGCCCACTTGGGACTAGATTTCCATCAGTGTGGCCCCTGAGCTAAAATGAGTTTGAGACCCCTGTTCTAGAAGGTACTGTATAAAAACAGGCAGCATTACTTTTTTCTCCTGATTGGGTGTTTTAAATCAAACTGAATTGAAAACACAACTTTCTTTCAATGAAATCCATGTTTGGGATGGTAGCAGCTTTTTGGGGACTTTTTGACAATTTCAGTTAAAGAGTAGTGTGAACAGTTTCTGGAACACATGACAAATGTAATCAGTTTTCAAAGTGGTGGTAGACCTGCTGTTAGCTTTATTTTTAGGGACTCTTTAGAGGTCATTTAGTTTCCTTTTGACTTCAGCTTCTTGTAACAATCATCTGCCTCGGACAACGGCCATTCAACCATGTTAGGACGGAGATCATGCTACCCAGCTGGACGCTTACAGCGACATGGGGTCACAAAAAGCATGAAGCCGATAATGGTAATCACAAAAGCGTTCCTTTTTGTAAACATTAAACTTTTCCTTGACTTTGTTTCACCTCATTTACTTTTTCTGTGACAATTAGAAAGTAATGAAAAAGTTCAAAGGGCAAACACATCAGTGCCACTTTAGCAAGATTTTTAATCCACAGATAGAGAAGAGAGTGTACCAACCTGAAGCGAGGCCAGATGATTTCTTTTCAGCAGGTTTAATGAATATTTTATTGCAAAACGATTCCTAGTTGCAGATATTCTGTGTCAGTGAGAAAAGAAAAAAAAGGATACGCTCATTTAAAAAACAGGTTTAAAATCAAGACACTAAGAATACACGTTCAAAGACGAGCACTAGCAGTCTGCAGCAGGATGTGAGTTACTCTCAAACAGAAGTGAAATCTATTCTTTAACCAGTTGCTTTTGTTTTTCTTTACATCCTCCTTTCACTTCCCCTTTCTTTACAGAGCAGATCCAATCTCTAATCTGAGATATGTTGCTCTGCTCTCCTTTAAGTCACTTTGAACTCCAAAACTTTAATTAATATTCGTTTTTATTTCTGCTTCTTTGCCCAATGAGATTAAAAGCTCTGATTATCCTCACATAAACATAACACCTCATGGGTTGTGTGAATAAGACATCTGAAACGGCTCGCTTTAGTGACGCCGTGGGGTGTGTTTGATGGACACTTTCCATTTATTCGATGCACTTATCTCAGTGACGCCCTGAGGCATCGTGTTGTTTACCTTAGACTCTTGGAAGCTGCCTCAATAATATGGAATATAAAATATTATTCAGTTTAACTGTGATATAAGAGTTCAGTGAAAGACAAGACTAGGACACACGTCTTCCCGTGATGTCCTCAGGCTGCCTGTGCTGCCGTTGCCCTGGGTCACTGACAGGAACACACACAGAAAAAGGGAACTAAATTTAATAACCTGGTTTCTTTGTTCTCACTTGGCTTCATTTGATCAGATCTGGAGAGAGCACTCCACGCCAGAGCCCTCTTATAAGTGGGGGAAAAAATTAACCCTGTTTACATTTAAAATGACCTCCCTTAGCCTAAGAAAATTGGAGCCAGATAAGACAAATCTGTGTATGTTTTTTATAAGAGTCTGCCTTGTGTGTGTGTTCGTCTTAGTTATGTGAGGATCAGAGTGCAAGCTAATTATTGACTCACAGATGTTCTTTACACCAACTCATCATCGGTTTAGTAAATGTCAGCGCACTCCCACACAAGCTGATCACTGGTATTTGTTCATTCATTTAGCTGGGATGCATTTTCAATATTCTATAGATTTTTCAAACAGCAACAGAGTGATTTAGGTTGAAAGTAGACTGATGTGTTTTACAATAATACGACCATGTGCGGATATGAGTCAACGTTTGTGTGTGTGAGCGTTATGTGGCGGGGAGGAGCCGTGTGGGAGCAGAAGTACACACAGGGAGAGATAGGGAAGATTACCCAGGTTGTCAAGAGGATGAAGCAGCACGTTCAGGCTCTAAATGCCCCTCTTCACCAGCTTTGGTCAGTTTTCCCGTTCTGCTCATTATGGATCTCCTGCAGAGTGGAAAAGGATCATTTGTGACAGCAAAAGCAGCTGACTGACACCTTCTAACACCGTAATCTAGATTTTTTAGACTAAGGATCAGGATGCTGAACCATCCTTCCAATCTCATCTGCCTGGGATTGCTCATTCTGCTGCTTATGTGGAACAAGGCAGCCTGTTCTCCTGGAGATGGTAGGAGCATCTGGCAGCAACCTAAGCCAAGCCCCATCATCAAAAACCAGACTTTCCTCCATGACACCTTCCCGTCAGGATTCCTCTGGGGATCAGGAACGTCTGCCTTCCAAACAGAAGGAGCCTGGGATCAGGACGGGAAAGGGGCCTCCATTTGGGACAGCTTCACCCACTCCTCACTCAGTGGTCAGTTTGTCAGAGAAACAGCATCTGTGGCGAGTGACAGCTACAACCACTGGGAAGAAGATGTGGAGGCCCTGGAGCATCTCGGTGTAAAATCCTACTCTTTTTCTCTCTCCTGGCCTAGACTTTTCCCTGATGGCAATGCCACAGGTAAACCAAACGTAGCGGCCGTGGCGCATTACAGCTTCCTCCTGCAGAGGCTCCTGGAGAATAAAATAGAGCCCGTTGTCACCCTGTACCACTGGGATCTGCCACAGGCGCTCCAGGAAAAATATGGAGGCTGGAAAAACGACACATTGGTAGAACTTTTTAAGGAATATGCTGAGTTTTGTTTCCACACGTTTGGGAGTCATGTTAAATACTGGCTAACAATGCACAACCCATACCTGGTGGCTGTGCAGGGCTATGGCACAGGTGTGCACGCTCCTGGAGAGAAACTAGGACCCTCTGGCTTTCTTGTTGTAGCCCACAATCTGATCAGGGTAAGTCATGTTTGTACAGTTTATCCAATTACACGCCGCGTAAACTTTGCACTCCTGCAGCTTTATCATTTTATGATGTTCAATGAATGGTTGCGTGTTTGAAAATAGTGCAGGGTCACAGAACAGTGAAGCAAACACATCAGCGCTCTGATACCATCTGATTTAATCCAAAACAAATAGAGGATACAACTTCTACAAACATACACAATCCCATACTGCGTTTTATCTCCATCATGACTGGCTGGCCATATTTCTATTGACAGGTTTGTGATAAGCTAACAGGACGCTTGCTGAGACGTTGAGGGCAAAGTCCACCACATCAGCACTTTAGTGTGTGTCAGGAAGTCACGAAGATACGCCTCATTAATAATCACTTATGAGGTGGAGCACAGATGCTAGTCTCACCACTCAAGCTCAGGAGATAGAATGAGGAAATCCTCGTTTACTGCCCCCAACTCAGTGCCTCAATTTATAATCTGTTATTAAAAACCTGCTTCTGTCCTTTTCTCTGTGTCTTTTTTCATCTGTTAACATAAACCTTAAAACATTATAAATTAGACCATCATTTGGTACTTTTGCCTTCACAATGCTTAAAGAAATGAAGTGTGTGTGTGTGTGTGTGTGTGTGTGTGTGTGGGGGGGGGGGGGGTTGCAGGGGTGCGAGGAAAAATTTTGCCCACTGAAAATAATGCCCCAGGGTCGGCCCTGGTTATAACGATATTATTATTACTTCTCTATTCCTATTATTAGGTGACATTTCACCTACTGACAAGCTCTGTGACCACTGGCAACAATAGTTGCCAGTCATAAATATGCCATTTTCTTCCCAAAAACAGTATATAATTGAAAAAAAAATATATAACATGATTCAGAGGGACTTAACTGATAAAATGATATGCATTACAACTCTGAAAAAAAATTGGGCACAAATGGGTTAATGCTGAAACATTTGTGACACGGCTGTGTTCTGAGTTGTTCATAATCTTGAATTGTTTCACTGCCTCTTAATATGGTTTTTAAAAATAATGATAACTCTGTGCACCTTCATGTGTCACAGGGCATCTTAATACTGATGCAAATAAATGGAATACAGCCATTGTGTCATTTATAATATGCACATTTTCCAAAGTGAGGCCTGCGTGTCTGCAGGAGTATAGCAGGAGACCAGCACAATCTGTTGATGCAGTATTTCCAATAGCTTAACAAAGAATGTAGATTATAAATTTTTAAAGAGGAAAGTCTAATTTGATTTGGTGGCAAATAGTACTACAAACTAGGGATGTCCTGTTCCGATATCGATATCAGAAGTACTCAGATATTGTCCCAAAAACATTGTACTGGACTGCATCAAAAATCTCTGATATAAGCCATCTGTTAAGGTTCACATTTTTGCAACCAATGGTTAAAAAAAAGTCATTTTTTTCTAACTTACTGTTGTTGGCTCTTGTTCTCCGATTGAGTAATATTCACTTGATCAAGCCTGTCATACATCTTTGGTGTGTTCTTACTGTGTCTAATTTCTAATTCCATTTTTGGTTCTTTTTAAAACTCTGGAAAGGTTTCTCTTTACCTTGCTAACGTTTCATTTGCCGACTGCAGAACATCCTCAGAGCTGACGCTGATGGTGGCGTCACTTCCTCCGTCACTCCGCGGATAAACGGAGTAGGAAGTGTATCTACAAAAATTTAAACTTTTTTTTCTACAAAAATTTAAAAACAAATATGTTGTTCATTGATAATCATAAAAAAGTCACAATAAAAACATTTATGTGTTTTTAAAAACCAATGTATGTGGCCCACACCACGGAGCAATGGCTCTGACCCACAGAACATCAATGATGGAGACTTGTGCAACACAAGCTTTGCTAGTTGGGGTAGCTGAGCTCATATAATCCAAATAAACAACATACAACCACTTTAGCAGAAACATGCTATTAACAATAATTGAAAAAACAAATTCATGTTCTGAAAACCATTTTTGGACCCATATGTTTGTTTTGTTTCTGTTTCCAACTTTGGGAATCTGGTGTGAGAGGTCTCAGCTTTTAATGCAGACAGTTGAGAAAATCCCAAAAATGTGATTCTTGTCCTCTTTTCAGGCTCATGCCAAAGCTTGGCAGACCTACAACAGACATTTCCGTCCAACCCAGAAGGGAAAAGTCTCCATAGTTCTGGGTTCCCACTGGGTCGAGCCTCAGAGAGGCCAAGCCACAGCTGCAAACGTAGCCCTTTGTCAGCAGTCCATGGAGGCGGTCCTCGGCTGGTTTGCCAGTCCCATCTTCGGTGAAGGAGACTACCCAGCCTCTCTAAGAATAACGCACGGACCTCTCATGCCTACATTCACACCTGAGGAGAGGATCTGGGTACAGAAAACAGCAGATTTCTTTGCTTTGTCGTTTGGGCCAAACAACATCCGTCTGGGCCCGAGCCTGGTACGCTATGGGCAGACGGTAATCCCGGACCTGCGGCGCCTCCTGCACTGGATAAAACTAGAGTATGGGAACCTGAGCGTGCTGGTGGCTGAGGGAGGCTGGTTCACTGATGCCAGAGTGGGAACAGAAGACACGGTAGCCATCTATCTGATGAAGAGTTTTATCAATCAAGTCTTGCAAGGTAAGCAGACACCCAGCAAGATCTACGTGTTGAATGATTTCACACAATTGTCGCTTCATTGCTTTTTTTTTATTTTTAGCCATCAAGTTAGATGGCGTGCAGGTGTTTGGCTACTCAGCCTGGTCACTGGTGGATGGGTTTGAGTGGAATAATGGATACAGCATAAGACGAGGCCTTTTTCATGTCGATTTCAGCCAACTGAACAGGACCAGGACCCCTAAAACCACAGCTAAGTACTACAGGAATATTATCACAGACAACGGTTTTCCTCCAGATGAAACAGCTGTAGAGGTCAAAGGCCATTTCCCCTGCAAGTTTCATTGGGGCGTTGCAGACTCTACCTTACAGGTCAGATGACAGACTAGCCAGAAGTCCCTAAAACTAAAACAAAGGTCTAAATAATTTGTGTTTACTCTTTACTTTGTTTTGCAGGTCAGCCTCTTCCCGTTCTCTCCACAGTTTACCGACCCTCACGTGTACAGCTGGAACCTGACAGGAGACGGCTCGCTGCGTCCAATCCCAGGGGCGAAGCTTCACACCAGACCAGTGCAGTGCAGTGATTATTTGGCTATCCGTAACCATCTTCGCCTGTTTGCTTCCACTGGGGCAACTCATTACCGCTTTGCTCTAAACTGGTCTCTGATTTTACCTCAGGGAGACCGCTCGAGCGTAAGCACCGACACTCTGAGGTAGAAACACACACAAACATCCACAGGCACCATAAAAAGCTGTTGCCAAATTAACACCTTTTTTTAATAATTTTACAAAGGTACTACCGCTGTGTCCTGACTGAGCTCCAGAAGCTGGGTCTAGAGGCCATGGTTATCATGTACTACCCAACACACAGAGCTCCAAATCTAGGTTTGCCCACACCTCTTCATGCCTCTGGGGGCTGGCTTAATGAAACCACCGTGGAAGCTTTTCAGGACTACGCAGCACTTTGCTACCGGGAGCTGGGTACCTGGGTCAGATACTGGATCACTATTAACGAGCCAAACAGGCTAATAGATGTTTATTCCAATGCGGCTGAGAGGCATCGAGCTGCTCATCACCTCATTCTGGCTCACGCAAAAGCCTGGAGGCTGCATGAGTGGGAGTATAATGGTGAACAGAAAGCACTGATATCCCTTGCACTACATGCAGACTGGGCCAAACCGGCCAACCCTTTTCTAGAATCACACACAGCAGCAGCAGAACGATTCCTTCTGTTTGAACTGGGTCGCTTCTTGGACCCACTGCTGGGGACCAGTTACGAGAAAAAACAGAGGACGGGGAAGTACCCTGATGAAATGAAGGTGTACCTGCAGGAGAGAGCTAGAATGATGGGACTACCTGGATCGGCTCTCCCTAGCTTTACAGACGAAGAGAGCAAGGAGTTGAGAGGGGCATTGAGTTTTATCACCCTAAACCATTTCACCACTCGTCTAGTTTCACCTCTTCCACTCACTCAGGGAACATTTGAGAATAGACCGGCGCCTGACCACGACTGTCTGATACTCTCTGACCCCACCTGGCCTTCCTCTAACCTGGGGCAGGCTCTGGTTCCATGGGGCCTTCGGAGAACGCTAACATGGGTGAGCATGAGGTATGGAAGAAGTCTGCCTATCATTGTGACTGGAAGCGGGATTGATGATCAAGCTCCAGTTGAAGATAAACTCAGGCAGTACTACCTCAAGAGTTACCTGCAGGAGGCTCTCAAAGGTGTGTCACCCCGAATGTGTACAAGAAAGTGTTTGAGATGTTGAAACAGATACAGCCCCTCTGATTATTATGGCCTTTGTTACTTTCTACAAAAACAAACTTATCGGGCAAGCATCAAAATAACAAAAGGAAAGAAGAGGTTCAAGAATATTGTGTTAATATTCCCCTGTCATATTTTACTGTTTTACTTACATGCATCAGCCATGTTGAGAGTGTATTTTAAAACTCTGATCATTTCCTCTCCACTCTTCCCTATTATTTGTTTTCAGCTTACCATCTTGACCGGGTCAACTTGCAGGGCTTCTACGTCTGGAAGCTCCAAGATCGACATGCCCCCCAGTTTGGCCTCTTCACCTCAACGCAACACCAATCTAAAGCCAAGGCGTCAATAAAAGTGTACAGAGAGATCATAGCTCACAGCGGCTTCCCTGACAACAGCACCAAACAACCGTGTGAATTCAGTGAACAGCACCAGACTTGTTCCACGTGTGAATGGATGCATCAGAACAAGGCAATGCTGGTTTTTGGAGGCTGCATCCTCATGACAGCTGCTGTCCTGTCTGCACTTGTCATCTTCTTTGTCGCTGAAGGAAGAATTAAAAGTTGGAACCAAGGAAAAGGGAAGAACAGGCTATATCGGAGGAGACGGGTGAAAACGGCACCAGTGCATTTCTGTCCACTTGTTCTTTACTAAAACAGCAAGAGACTGATTCTGTAAACATGTAGCAAAACAGTTTGTAGCTCCTACACTCGCCCCTCTATCACTAGTGTCTGTATTTATTATTAGTATGACTAAGTTTCCTAAAATTTAAGTGTAACCATCAACTTATTTATGTGATCACATCTACATTTTCAAGAACATTGACTGGAATATAAACTTTATGACAAAATAACTGATTTGCTCTCTAATTTTACTGTTTTACACACCTGTGTGTTTACTGTAAAGAAGGGGGAAAGAATTTCCTAACTGCTGAAAAAGAGAAATTCAAAATTTTCAGTACCCTTTATTTTTTAGTCATTACTTTTCGTATTGTCGTTTTGTATATTACTACTGAATATCAGTTTTTGTGTTTTGACGTTAAAATGAAGTTCATATCTAACTGCAGGTGGTGCCGTTTCTTAATTTTATGAGAAACTTTGTTTGCGTTGCTGTAATTGGCCAACACTGTCCTCTAGTGACGATGGACAACTGTAATAAAACACAAAGAAATCAGATTTTTTGGAGAATATAAAAAATGTAACTCTCCTGTTATTTTTTATTACTAAACATTAGGATAGCAGGACTGACTCCAATACAGCCAAACACATAAATGCATATTATAACCACGTTTTGTATTACTGGAAATTTACACGAAGGAATTTCTGTAGAGATGTAGAATTTTCTTAGAATTGTGTCTCAGAAAACTTTAATCCAAAATCCCTCCATTTTTTAATGTTATAAAGTGTGTGTTACAGATTTTTTAAATTGGGCCTATGAAAAGTGAGTTTGTAATAATAATTTGTGCAATGTAAAAAAAACTGTCCAAAAGAATTTCTGTGACAGAAACATTAAAGAAAAAAGATAATAATAAAAGCATTTAAAAACAGTTTTTAATACAATTTCAATACTGTATTACATTAATAATAGCTTACTGCCTTTGTGTATTTACTTGTAATCTTATTGTTTTTCTTCTTTTTTTTCTAAGTGTATGTATGTGTTGCTGTAGCAAGTGAATTTCCCCACTGTGGGATCAATTAAGTCTATTATTTTCTACATTAGTAACATTTTATAGTGATCATTATTTTAATAAAACGTATACTGTATTATTATTATTATTATTATTATTATTATTATTATTATTATCATCAATAATTATAATAATGACAACAGCAATAATAATAATAATAATAATAATACATTATTATTATTAGTTTTGTGTGCTGATTATTATTATTATTATTATCAATAATAATAATAATAATGACAACAGCAATAATAATAATAATAATAATAATAATAATAATAAATTATTATTATTTGTTTTGTGTGCTGATCAGCCAATGGGATGAGGTGTTCAGAGTGGCTCGGATCACATGACCTCCTCTCCTCCAGACTGCATGCAGTTTGGTATTAAAATGTTTTCTGTACCAACCATTGTGTTGTTGTTGCACATTTGACATGACAGCTACACGTTGAGCTATTTCTTTCTATGTTAAGCTTCCCATTAACAACTGGGACTGACGACACCAGCCGCTCGCTGCGTTTCCAGCTGTTATTTTTGTGTTTGGCTTTAAAGTGAAGCTAACGTTAGCGAACTGGTCGAACGAACGGCGACGAGGCCGCAACCGGACGGGAACAGGGGGGAACCATGGCCAATATCGCAGTTCAGAGGATAAAACGGGAATTTAAAGAGGTTCTTAAAAGTGAAGAGGTTGGTGGTGTCATGTTTCTCCTATAAGATGTGGTTGTAGTTATTTTCTCAGTGGCTGGCTCGTTAAAGCCGCTAGCGTTAGCTTTATCACGGTCGTGCTCCCAAATGGCCACTAATATGTTGGCCAACAGTGAGCTCTTTTAGGGATGTTTAAGCCCAAAAATAGTTTTTACATTGGACTTTTGGATTATAGTGGGATTTAAACAAGCCAAGCTTTGAAATGTCGATAAGTTTGCTAGGAAATGTAGTTCCGTAGTACCTTGCCTTGTGTAGTATCGCCTCTGTCGTGTTTACCCTACTTGCGTGAACTTGCTCTGGAGCGTTTTTTTCACCCATGTATTCAAACACGCAACAAGTTGATATCAACTTTTACTAACATGGCGAGAGTTTTTATCTTATGCTGCACAACATCCCGTTTTTTGAACACAGCACTAATTTCAGGTTATATTTCTCTTCTGTTGCAATTTCAGACAAGCAAAAATCAGATAAAGGTAGACCTGGTGGATGAGAACTTCACAGAACTTAAAGGGGAGATAGCAGGGCCGCCTGACACGCCATATGAAGGTAAGGCGCTCAGAAAGACACTGGTTTGTTGTTTTTTAGCATGGTTGAAGTTTCTCACATCATGCTGTATTCATGTTATGTGCAGGAGGTAGATATCAACTAGAAATCAAAATTCCAGAGACGTATCCATTCAATCCACCCAAGGTAAGGGTTTCTCTCTCAATGCTTCTTGCAATAACCAAAGTCCTCTTACTTCACTAATACATAAATTGTTCCGTTTATTCATCTCAGGTTCGGTTTATCACAAAGATCTGGCATCCTAATATCAGCTCGGTCACAGGTGCAATATGTCTGGACATTCTTAAAGATCAGTGGTGAGTGAATAATAGACGGCATTCTTAACCAGCTGCAAGTCACTGGAGATTAAATGTTAAAGCTATGGCAAAGCTTAAAACATTCCTTTTTATGTCTCTTAACAACAATCTAACATGGTACCATACGATACCATAGTTTATTTATATAGCACGTTTAAAACGCAGCATGGGAGCTGCCCAAAGTGTTGTACAGGCTAAAACAAAACGCGACCATTCTAAGGAACTAAAACAGAGGATAAAAATACCAGTCAAAGCAGATAAAACATGATGAATACTAAGAACACATCAAAACAATGACACAATAAAACACTAAAACGAGTCACTGTCTAAAAGCCAAATCGTAAAAGTGGGTCTTTAAACGAGATTTAAAAACCGCCAGTGATGGAGCCTGCCGAACTCCAATGGGCAACGAGTTCCACAGCTTTGGGGCAGCATGCACAAATGCTCGTTCACCCCGCGATTTGTATCGCATCCGCGGCGTACACAGCAGCAAAAGTTCAGCCGACCTCAACGTGCGCGTGGGCACATATGGAGTGAGCAGGTCAGAGAGATGGGGAGGTGCCAGGTCGTTGAGTGCTTTAAATACAAAAGTCAACAACTTAAACTGTACTCTGAAAATGACAGGGAGCCAGTGAAGAAGTGCCAGGACAGGGGTAATATGGCTACATCGGTGTGTATTCGTCAAGAACCTGGCAGCAGCGTTCTGGATGACCTGCAGGCGATTCAGGGCAGAGACCGGAACACCAACGAGGAGGGCGTTTGCGTAGTCAAGGCGAGAGGTAATGAAGGCATGGGTGACTGACTCCAAATGCCTCCGTTTCAGGATTTGTCTTGAGGTGAGTAAGGCGGCGAAGCTGATAAAAGCAAGACCTCACTACAGAGTTTATCTGTGGGGCCATTGTGAGTTCAGCATCCAGCTTTACACCGAGACTTGACACACACTGTTTGGGGTTGAGGGTTAAAAGGTCACAAACAGGGTAAGGTGGTTGGGGGGGTCAAAAACAATAAACTCACACTTCTTTTCATTTAACTTAAAGAAGTTGGATGCTAGCCAGCCCTTCACGCCATCTAAACATGCAGCCAATCGCGAGCCCGCATTCTTCTCATCCATTTCTACGTATAGTTGACAGTCATCTGCGTAGATGTGATAGCTCAGGCCATGCTGATTCAGGATATTGCCCAGAGGCAGAAGGTAGATAGAAAACAGCAATGGCTCAATAAGGGAACCTTGTGGCACCCCCCAAGGCAGTGGAAGACAGGAGGATGCACAGTCACCAATCTGTACAGAGATGGATCGGTTTGATAGGTAGAACCATTTATGTGCCACCCCCGTCACCCCAACCCAAGACCCAAGCCGATCCAGTAAAATATGGTGATCGACCGTATCAAAAGCCGCTGAAAGGTCCAGCTGGAGCAGCAGTACCCTAGACCCAGAGTCAGATGCCACCAGAATGTCATTTAGCACCCTAACCAAAGCAGACTCAGTGCTATGGTGTGGTCTAAAGGCTGACTGAAACACATCCAACAATGAGTTGCTGTTCATATGAGCAGAGATCTGACCATGCACAATTTTCTCAAGGACCTTCGAGAGAAATGGAACTTTCAATATAGGGCGGAAGTTCTCATAAGTGGAAAGATCCAGACCAGGTTTTTTCAATATTGACTGAACAGCCGCATCTTTAAAAACCTGGTATAGATATAAATATATTATGGAGATTATAAATAAGGGAAAAAGTTGACGGTTGTTTTCTCGCATTTGTCTTGAAATCTCTGCCAATAAAATGTTTCACATCAAAATGAACTATTGGACCATCCAGCTGTCAGTCTCGCTGAAACGCCGCACTTTCCCGGGTCCTCCATTGATTACCCACTCGCGTATTTAGCAACAGAACACCACTCGTGCGAGGTTTTCCGCTCAATAATATTGGAGAAGGGGAAACAGCCGCCTGCTACCACTTACTTTAGCACAAGCTACCAGAGTCCCAAAAAGAAAAACACCATTAAAAGTCACAGACAACAAAAGACTTGTACCTAGAAAATGGTAACTGATGTTTAGTGTTGTCTCGTTTAGTTCGACATTAATATTTCAGATCACCATCGCATTTTCTTTAACTTGTCAGTTTCTGCTAGACTGTGAGAACTTTCTGTCTTTCTTTGTGGACAAAGTCAATAAGGTTAGATCCAGCATCTCTCCTTCAGCCTTATCTCTGCCTCTCCCGACTCCAACCAGGCCCATCATCCTAGATAGCTTTGCTCCAGTTTCTTTGCCTGAGTTAACCAAACTAGTTAACTCTATGAAGACCTCTGCATGCCCCCTCGACATCTTACCCTCATCTTTGTTTAAAAGTGCTTTTCAGTCCATCGGTCCCAGCGTGCTCTCTATAATTAATGCTTCTCTGGTCTCTGGTCAGGTCCCTGCTTACTTTAAGAACGCTGTAATCCACCTCCTTCTTAAAAAACCGAGTCTTGACCCCTCTCTCCATAGCAGCTTCAGACCCATCTCTAAACTTCTGTTCATCTCCAAGATTTTGGAAAAGGTTCTGGCTAAACAACTCACAGCTGCTCTTGATGAACATAACATCTATGATAGCTTCCAGTCAGGTTTTCCTAGAGCTCATTCTACTGAAACAGCTCTTCTTAGGGTCTCTAATGACCTTCTGACTCACAGTGATGCAGGGGACTGTTCTGTTCTGGTCCTGCTGGACCTGACTGCAGCCTTTGACACTGTTGACCATCACCTGCTACTGGAGAGGCTGAGAGACTGGGTAGGCCTATCAGGAACTGCTCTGGAGTGGTTCTCCTCTTATCTTTCTGAGCCTTCCTTTTTCTGTGGCCGTCTCCAAGTTTAGGTCCTCCACCATCTCCCATACCCATGGTGTCCCACAAGGTTCTGTGCTGGGGCCTCTGCTCTTCCTCCTCTATCTGCTTCCTCTTCAGCACATCCTGAGCTCCTTCAAAGGAATCGCCTACCATCTTTATGCAGATGACGTTCAAATGTACATCTCCTTTAAGCCCCATGAGATGTCTAAGCTGCAGCTGTTACACACCTGCTTAGACTCTATCAAAACCTGGATGGCTGGGAGCTTTCTTCAGCTGAATGAAGATAAGACCGAGATCCTCATCTGTGCCCCAGACAAGCTGGTTCCCAAAGTCAGAGACTCTCTTGAGCCCTTTTCAGACAGACATTCTGGAACATTTGCGGACAATTCAATCCAGTTTTTAACCGGAACTGTGTTTTCAGACACACCACTTTTGTACCGGAACTTGTCCTTTCGGCTGCGTTCACACAGCAGGGAAAAGTTCCAGATGTCTGACGGCGGCGGGGGGTGGGGTGGGGGTGGAATCGGACTTATGTTAAGAAGAAGAAGAAGAAAATATCATTTCTATAGCGCCTCTCAAGATAAAAATCACGAGGCGCTTAAACATAATTCTGCGCACACGAAGACGCATAAGAGACCTGGATGATGAAGCTCAATGGTTAAAGGAATCACTGAAGCGGTGTGAAGCGCTCCGTCGCGCGTCTAGACGGTACCGTAGGAGGCGAGCTGCCGTGGTTCGCCGCATGCTACAGCAGCGGGCTATCTACGTGCGCACAGCGTCTCCCGGTGCCCTCCTCCTCCCCCTCCCCCTCCCCCTTGTCCGGAACTTTACCTCACCAGTCTGAAGCAGCCACCCTGTCCGTAACAAGTCCGGACCTGTTACTAGGGGCTTCGTCCGGATAAATTCCGGAACACGTTATCCGGATGTTTGTATTCAGACAGAAAGGTCTTACGGACAGATTCCGGAACATTTCCGTTTTTCATGGCCTGTTTGAAGGGGGCTTTGGTCAGCTTGCCTCTCACACCAAACCTTCTGTCAGGAATCTTGGCGTCACCTTTGACCCAGCTCTCACCCTGGATTCTCATGTCACTTATCTTGTTCGCTCTTCCTTCTTCCATCTCAGGAACATTGCTAAGCAGAGTCCCATTCTGTTCCTCTCTGAACTTGAGACAGTTATCCACTCCTTCATCTCCTCACGCTTAGACTACTGTAACTCTCTTTTCACGTGTCTGAGCAGAACCTCCCTGAACCGTCTACAGGTGGTTCAGAATGCGTGTGCTCGGCTATGACCAAGTCCTCCAAACATACCCACATCGCCACACTTCTCCTTCAGCTTCATTGGCTGCCAGTCAACTTCAGGGTTCATTTCAAGATCCTGGTTCTGGTCTATAGGGCCTTACGTGGACAAGCACCATCGTACATTGGTGATCTTCTTAGTCCCTACACCCCCAGCAGGTCCCTAAGGTCCAGTGATCAAACCCTACTGGTTGTGCAGCGCACCAGGCTAAAGACCAAAGGTGACAGATCAGTTCCTGCTGTGGCCCCCCAGACTCTGGAACTCTCTCTCCCTGAGCCTGAGATCAGTGGCTTTAAAAAGCAGCTGAAGACTCACTTGTTCAGGCTGGCTTTTGTATGACCTTCTTCACCACTCTCTTTATTCTGCTCTCCCCACCTATTCCACCTTCCTCAGGATCCACTGATTTCCCTCTTTCCTATTCACTCTCTCTCTTTCTTAACAATTTTTTTATCACAATTGTCTATTTTTTGCTCATTTAAAATATATTTTTAACCATTTTCCAAATTGTTTTTTATATTTTTACATTTTTTGTTTTTGTGAAGCACCTCGTGATTTTTATCTTGAGAGGCGCTATAGAAATGATATTTTCTTCTCAGTGTTTCCCTTACATAGGCGTAGCCGTGGTGGCCCGCCACAGCTGAAATCCCAGCGCCACGCCTACAAGATCCCGTTTTATAGAATTTTATTTATTTATTTATTTATTGCGCTGTTTCCCGAAGAAGCAGCAGGAACTACTCTGTTGTTGCTTGTGATCACAGCCAGCAGGTAGCAAAGAGGAGGAGGCAGGGCTGGGTGGTTACAGCTAGGGATGAGCCGGATACTCGTTTCAGATGAGTATCCAGTACGGATAAAACATTTTTGACGAATACGAGCATGAAACAAGTAAAACTCGTAAATATCTGTAATTGTGCTGAAGAACTGTAACTGACTGTCTTCACGCTCTGTGATTGGCCGGTCACATGGAGCCCCCGCCCCTCCCTACACACAAAACTCTGCAGCCAGAAGCTCAGTCCAGCCCAGGCATCCACGCACACACACAGACAGTAACGGATCTCTCTGTGTTTGCTTCACTGTTGCTCGCGTTTCTTCGGTGCTCCCTAGGTTTTCTTCAGCTCGCCTCTTTTTCGGTTGAATGTTTAAAGTTACTTATTTCGTAACGTACGTGGTGCATTTGACAAGACGGTTGAAAACGGCTCGTGCATGCGTCGGTCACTGCCTCTGCTCCGGTCGGGTTTTTTAAATTATTTTAACTCTCTCTCTTTCTCACTCTCACTCACTCACTCACTCACTCACTCACTCACTCACTCACTCACTCACTCACTCACTCTCACACACACACACCTCAATCAACATTGTTTTGTTTAACTGTGTGTGGGAAAAATGTCAACAACGTTAGGAAAAAATCAGTTTAATCAAATTAAAATAAAATGATCCTAGTATTTCATATTTCCTAGTTCCTACTGCATGAGTTCAGATGTATTAATTCATGCACTTAAATAATAATGTTCTGATGTTACTGTAAAACTTGTTCTGTAATAGTTCCTTTACTATTGTGGTCAAAAATATTTAATCTCAATTCTGAGTCTGCTCTGTAAATAGTTTTCAAATAAACAATACACATAGCAACTTCTGATCAATACATATCAATTTCAGATTAAAAATTATGTATTGATGTAAACCACACCCTCCAATTTCCAAATAATAAATAAGAGGTGCATTCATCTGTGTATGTCCTTTGATCCACATTAGTGATATTTTCAGCACCAGAACAATGAAGCAAAGAAACAGATTCCTGAGTTTATGTTAGTAATTTTATTTATTAGGTGCATCTGATCTGTTCTATTTTTCTCTGAAATGAGATCAAATCAGTGCTTCTATGGGTTGTCTCCTCTCTGGACTAGAAAATTTACTTTATTATAATGTTCACTGTAATGCATCTTGATGTTCTTAACAAATAAATTAAATCAAAGATATTGGTCAATAATGCCAACTATGTAAATTTGTGTTTCAGTCATTTTTATACTGACTTAAAAATACTTAATTAAGTCTACTAAGCAGGGGTGTAGAACGTGTTTAATAGGGCCAGCCCAGTAATGATCTTGGACCAAAATACAGGGGGCAGAAGGAGATGTTTTTCCAGACTCCAAGAAAAATTAAATGACAACCCTGTGGCGGATATAAAAAAATGGTCTAATCAGGATTTGAATCCTCAGACTCCCAGGTGAAAGTCACGCACACTAACCAGTCAGCCAGAGATCTCCCTTGTCCAAGTAGCCAGGGCGCATGATCAATCAGGTCACAGTGACAGGACACACACTGTCACAGACACATGACATTCTGTCTCCATCTGTCCCCCTGCTGATATTCTGCATTCCATATTCTGCGCTTCAGGCTGTGCGTTTGTGTGTGTGTGTGAGTTAGGGATGCACTGATGGATCGGCATTTGATCCCAATCGCCCGATAGCGTCCCTTACTGTTTTGATCGGAGTTTTCAAAATAACGGCCAAAGGAGGAGACGGCAGTGCTCAGGAGGACATTTTTTATCCCTCAAAGAAGACAAAGTGGGAAGTACGGGCATCTTTTGGATATTTGAAGAATGCCGAGGGACAGTTGATAGAAGACGGCTATGCTGTTTGCAGCACGTGCAGAAAAAGAGTCTGTGAAAGGCAGCAACGCTTCAAATCTCATGACACATCTGCGTGACCATCACCCACAACTCTACAGTCAACGCAAGGCAAGTTAACGTTAGCATTTTAGCTAAAATGTGTGATCCGAGGATTTGGGTTGAGGGAGAACGCAACGAGTCGCTATATAAAGCAGCCGCAGCGCCGCTACCTGCATATAAACTGTGTCGCGGACACCGCCATGTTGAAATGACGCTATGCATTATGGGACTCCCAGGGGCAGATAAGAGTTGGTCTCTCTCCGAGAATAATTATGAATTTAACAACGATTACTGCCTGATGATATTTCCCCACATCTGTAAAGCTCACTGGAAGGACACAAACCGAGGACAATATTTTCCTAATATAGGGTTTATTACTCAAGTAAGGGTAAAAAAGTATCTGATTAGAAGGCTACTTGAGTACTGAGTATCATCTGATCTAATATTTTTAAATGATGACACCAAACAGACATAAAATAAGAAGTTATGGGCAAATATTGGTATTTTAAAGATTAAAGGGAAAAAATGTAAACAAATAAACAACATCATTACAAAATAACACATTTTAGGGAAAATTTAGACACAAACTGAGGACAATATTTCCTGACATACAGGGTTTATTTAATTGTGTAAAAATTTAGCAAGTTTAATAAAAATACTGCGATAATACCGAAAACCGTGGTAATTTTGGTCACAATAACCGTGAGGTTACATTTTCACACCGTGACAACCCTAATACAGACCATTGTAGATTAGGTTACATTTCCTTTATTCCCAGATTATGTAGTTTGTAGCACTCATTATAATGTTGTAGAAAATTTCTGGCCAATCCACGTGATCGGTATCGGTGATCAGCATTCTTTGGTATCGGTGATCGGCAGCAAAAAAACCTGATCGGTGCATCCCTAGTGTGAGTGTGCGCGCATGTGTGTGCATGTGGGGTCTTGTTCTGTGTGAAAATGAAGCAGTACAAGTGATAATGCTGCAGGATTTCATAATTTTATCCTTCTCAGCAGCAGCACTGCAGGTGCTCTCTATGTCCAAAATGTGCGTAAGCCAGGTCCTTAGTCAAAGTTGCGCACATTTTTCCACCAAGTTTTCTTTCATAAATCCCAAAGTTTGCGTGGAAAGTTGCTTACGCAGTTTTCCGACCCCGTTTTGTGCGTAAGCAAGCTTGATAAATGAGACCCCAGATCATGATCACAGCCACCAGTGTCCCTACGATGATGAATCCCGTTCTGTTAGCTGATGCCTTTTTCACATAGATCTGTTCCTTTAGAAATGCTAGCCAGTTGGTCTCTAACTTCAACAATAAATCTTCTCTAAAAGCCGGTCAGGTTATTTATTCTTCATCTCATTTAGATGAGAGTCACACCAGCCTGCGCTGTATTTTCATTTTCTTTTTTGCACCATGGAGCGTGAAGGAATTACTTAATTCCTCCTACGTGGAAGCATCTGCATTTTTGTTTCTGCTCTTGTTTAATTTGTCATGGTCAACAGCGTGTATGTTGTTCCAGGGCAGCAGCCATGACGCTGAGGACCGTCCTTTTGTCGTTACAAGCCTTGCTGGCAGCTGCAGAACCAGACGATCCACAAGATGCAGTGGTAGCTAATCAGGTGTGTACTTCTGCTTCCACTTTTAACTCGGAATACTTGCAAGTTTACTGCATCACTACTCGTGATTGTTGCTAAACAAGGGCGCTTTGCCAACTCTTAGAACATTTTAGTTCTATGAGGCGGCATATTTCAGCTGTTTCTGTTTAAAACTCTGTAAATGTAAGAGCCTTGAACTCCCTTCTAGCTATTACAGAAGGAACAACTGAATCTACAATTCCTTATATTCTAAACAGAAACACTCTGTCTCTCTGTTGTTGACCGTATGAAGTTGAATGCCTTTTAAACACATTTTCTTCTGCTTCTCCTGTTGACTCGCTGCACAGTACAAGCAGAATCCAGAGATGTTCAAACAGACGGCGAGGCTCTGGTCTCACGTCTACGCCGGCGCTCCCGTCTCCAGTCCGGAGTACACACGCAAAATAGACAAACTATGTGCCATGGGCTTTGAAAAAGTAAGTATCAGTAAACTTATACATCTCTCCCCTGCGGGAAATCCAGCAGCTGACTGTTGCTGCAAATGAAAACTCTAGCACTCATGGCTTGTGTTCTTTGTCTCCAGAATGCAGTAATAGTGGCATTGTCATCGAAATCCTGGGATGTGGAGACGGCGACGGAGCTCCTGCTCAGTAACTGAGTTTTTCAGTCTCCATGTCTCACTTCACACACACACACTCTCTCCAAACTCCTGCTGTCTGAAGGCGTACGTTCCTCAGTCCGACCCCCGTTTTTACATGGGACACTTCTCCAGCTTCATTTGATCCCCTCAGTGTGACATGTTCTCTCTGCTGCACCACACTCCACCTATCTGCTCCGTCAGCTCTTACTTCAGTTTCTTTTGTAAGTTCAACATTCCACTCAGTGCTACAATCAGAAATGATACCACTTCCCACCCCCACGTTACAGAGAACTAGACCTAAAGTCCCACCCACATTAGTCTCTGTCCCCCGGTTGTCTGGTTCTGTCCAGAAAGCGGTGGTCAGTGGCGTATCCTTGCCTATGCAGTGCATTTATTTTCATGGTTTTGAATGACCGTCAAGCCATTCAAGAGGATTTTTAATTTTTTTGCCCCTGGATCACTTTGGGCCTGTTTTCAATACAGGAATCAAGTCGAGTCCTGAACTTCTCGTGGATTTTCTTAATCGCCGTATTTAAATTTCACTCTGTAATTTGTACTGTTTAACAGAATAAAGTCTTTTCTAGTGAAGGAGTTACAGTTTAATGGCATCAAAGGTGAGATGCTGATAACATCTTACTGGTAGAGTGTTGCATTGTGGGTACATTTAGGTAAGAGTAGGTATCAAAAGAAGAATCACATTTTTGTGCTGTTCTGCATGAATTGAGCACGTGATGTAGTCCACTATCTAGGTCAGCTAATTCTGTGTTCTGGAAAACGGCTCATTAAGTGTCTTTGAGGTGTTTTCACAGCAGCCATGTTCATCTTCATCCTCGTCTTCATCATCCTCAAGTTTACCCTATCAGCAGTCAGCATCTGGCCCCTCCCACATCCCATCGCCACGCCTCCCTCACACGTTTTAAAGCTTTTAGTTGCTTCTGGCCTCCCAACAGGAATAGAATTGGTTTCTTGTTTTTAAAACCAAAAGGAAAAAAAATCACATTCAGTAGTTACACAAGCCTGTGGAAAGTCTGGAAGAATTTTACATCATCTTAATCATGTCAACAAACAAAACCTGTCGGAGTCATCTGTAAATAAAAAGAATAAAGTCTGTGTAAATTAATCCCCTCCGTCTTTCTCTCTTTTGTTAAACATCCTTGTTTCTAGCAATAGTGTTTAAACTGAGATCCAGAAAAGCTTCCCAGCAAAAACCCAACAGCCAGTTTCTCACTGCAGCGATTCTCCTGAAAGATTAGGCTCCGTTACAGTGTTGATGGACGGTGGAGCCATCCTTCCTCCAGTGTGGGAGCCAACAATTGTTTATAAGCATGGCTGACTGCATACATTTGAATAAAAATGAGGCTCTAAATTAACTACAGTTTAGACAAACAGGAATATAACCCGCAGGGATTTACTCTGCAATAAAAATGAAACAAGGGGACGAAATTGTGCAGGTCAGTTTCTCTTCATAGTCGATACTTCACACGTTTTGCCGCTGTCGTGTTCTTTTATTGAAGAAAACATTCTTTTGTGCGGGTGGAGCATTGAGGTGGATTTCTGTGCTCCCAGGATGGTGTTCAGGTCCCTTTTCTCCCACAGAGGTAACAGATGGCCTGCCTCGTGACATGTGTCGTGTTCAGTCTATCCCACAGGCACTGGCAGTAAAATGTGCATGATTTTACCTTCTGTGCACCAAAACTCACTGGGTTTGTACTGCTCTGCCGCTCCTAACCCAGCTCCAAACTGGATGTGTCTTTATCTCGTGCAGTTTTCCAGACACTTGCTCAATTTTTGTGGCTCAGAAATGTGACACATTAAATGTATGATAAAACTATTATAATTTGGGCTGAGCTGTAATTAATCCTGTTCATAAAAGATATGTGGTCCCCTGAAAAAGAAATTATGCACATTATGGGCTGTAAATCCTCAACTCTTCCTCCAATTTGGAGATGAGAACCATTTATGTTAATTTTAGCTGGGGGGTCCGCTTTATTAAGCTAAATTAACCATAAATGGTATTTATCTTCTATAATAAATTGTTACATTACCATCTGCACCCTCACCCTTAATTTACAGACTCATTAGATGTAATATTAAATGAATGCTTGCTCACTTGTGTGATTGCACAGAGACAAGCTCAGTTTATTTTGTGTGTTTTAATAATTGTTGCATTTAAAGGATCTAACATTTTGTGTTAGATCATGCCCCATTAAATCCTTTTTAATCCTCATATTCCCAAAACATCCTCAAATACAGAAAAATCATTCTAAAACCTTTATATTATTTTATGTATATTTCTGTTGAAGAGTTTGTAACTGAGTAGGCCCGGCCAGGTGAAAAGTCCCGTGTGCGCTGAAGCGACGAGTCTTGGGCGTCCTGTTTCTCCTCTGCCTCCTCCTGCTATGTGATAGCCAGAGTTTTATTCCCAGCCGGCAGACATGCTGCCTCCCCTGCCAAGCGGTGAGAGCAGCGAGGACGGCCAGATGAAACGGTGCCCTGCTATCTGCAGCTGAGTTCAACTGGGGTTGAACGTGCACCATGTAGATCCATCAGGGCTGGAAAAGCAGGACTATCAGGAAGTTACCTATATTGTTTGTGGAGATCTCCTGAAATGTTTAAGGTGATCCAAGTTATCTGTTTGGTAATGCTGCTCCCTGAAGGTGAGTCTTCTATTGCTTAGTTTTGGTGTTTGAATATATTAATGCTCCTTAAATGGTAAATAAATAAAGAATATACCTAAACTGACTCAGGTTTGAAGAACATAGACAACAGGGGTGTTAAATTTAGCATGCAGGTTAAAAACCAGTTAGCTGTTGCAAAAGCAGCATTTATTTACCCTCTGATGCATGAACATTTGTGGCCAATTCCTTTAATTAGTAGCAAATCACAAATATATTTATGAACAACGATCACTCTACAGCTATAGAATAACCTTTTACTCCTCTCCTTCAGTGGCTCGGGGTGCACAGGGCCACTTTGCTCAGAAGCTCCTGAATGATCTGATGGAGAACTACTCCAACGCCCTGCGGCCCGTAGAGGACACGGACCGAGCCCTCAATGTCACCTTACAGATCACCCTCTCCCAGATCAAAGACATGGTGCGTACCAGCTCACTACAGGCCTCACAGGGCGCCATCGGCTGGTTTTATTGATGAAGAGCTCCCTACAGAACATCCAATGTTAGCTGTTTATATTTTATTTTAAAAACTTCACAATTAACGTGAATAATAATCTGGAATATTACTGGATTTTGTTAAAAAAGTGGATGTCAGGACTGTGTTGATGCTAAATATCTGACTAGTTTTGGTAATTAGCCCTGTGTTTTACAGCAAAATTAATAGTCAGCACAAACCTAATTGGGTAATTAATTAAAAGCTGCAGGCTGTAAGCTCTAATAAAATTAATTCAGCAGAATCCAGGTACAGTAAACAGTGCTGAGTAGGTGCCACACACACCAGGACACAAACAAACAGCTTTTATTGAACATTTTTCATCTCCTCCCTGATGCTGACCTGTCAGACGTTGGAACTGCTGATGTGCAGCTGTTCAGGCAGGCAGACCTTTAATTATATATAAATAAAAAAGGCGACCTTTTGTTGATGGACTGGTTCAGGTTCCCGTTCGGGTTTATGCTGTGTCACCCATGGGTGAATTAGTGATTGAATAGTGAGCGTGTTTAGAGTAATGTCTCTGTGATGTACCGAGAAGGGGGTTGATTTTCACTGTTATGTCTGAGTAGGCACAAATAAGAGCCAAGCACACAGATGTGTGTGTGTGCAGGTGTTTTGTTACTCAGAGCGGTTATGTGCTCTTTGTTTATGGGCCTCCATTCACCTGATAAAGACAGACTGGTCTGGATTTCAGTTGACTTGATAATCTGAGGCGTATGAGCAGCACAGAAACAAGATCTGTAGGGGCTCTCTTAAAGCTACGGTCTGAACCGCTGAAACAAACTACCCGAGCTTAATATGTAACCACTGAACTGAAAAAAATATAATAAACGATCCCTACAGCAAAGTTTAAACTGACTATCTTAATATAGAGAATATTTGACACAAGCCTTTCTTATAAATCAGACAGATCATTGCAGGACTGCTTAAAAGTTGTCCTCAGAAGTTGGCTAAAAGCCATGCAGAACTCCTGATTTCTAAAATAAATAACTGGCCTTTAAACGTTTGATTTAAACAAATGAACACAGAAGACGGCTCTGGATGATAGCAGAGCTCATCCCTCGAGTAAAATGTCACAGACAGCCTTGATGGGGCAAACAAGGGAAATGGAGACGAGGAAAAACAAAATGTCACAGCAACATGAACAAGTTTTTTTATGCACAGACATTACAAAAAACATCATAAATCAAATTTACTTTAAACATCTAAAAAGTCAAAGAAATATGTGGCAACTATCTCTTATGAATGAAAACAAGCAATAAGAACAGGTTAAAAATATCCTGGTTTGTTGAGATGAAAACATTATGAATCCAGAACCAAGGATGGATGTTGAGTTCTGATACACCCCTTATAGAGTTAATAGATGAGTCAGATTTACACAAAACGACACAGAAGCAGATCCAAGAATAATTTATAAACTGCTCCAGGGAGGGCTTTAACCTCCTGAGACCCTGAAGCATCCTCAGGGGATCCAGTGTCTCTCAGGACATTAGCTTCCTTTACTTCATTTAACTTAGATCTGGTTTCATTATTCAGTAAGAGTTCATCCTCCTTGAACCGTCACTTTATCGTGGTGGAGGAGTTTGAGTTCCCTAATGATCCTAGGAGCTATGTTGTCTGGGGCACTTTGTGCCCCTGGCAGGGTCTCCCATGACAAATTGGTCTTAGGTGAAGGGTGAGACAAAGAACGGTTCACAGGATCTTTCATGGAGGTAAAGTTAAAGAGTCGGAATACTCGGCCCGGAGGGTTACTGGGGTCCCACCCTGGAGCCAGGCCTGGGGTTGGGGCCCGTGAGCGAGCGCCTGGTGGCCGGGCTTTCGCCCATGGGGCCCGGCTGGGCCCAGCCCGAACCGGATGCATGGGCTCATCCAACTGTGGACCCACCACCCGCAGGAGGAACATGAAGGGTCCGGTACAATGTGGATCGGGTGGCAGACCAAGGCGGGAGCCTTGCCGGTCTGATCCCCGGACAAGAAAACTGGTTTTTGGGACATGGAACATCACCTCGCTGGTGGGGAAGGAGCAGGAGCTTGTGGCAGAGGTTGAGCGGTACCGGCTAGATATAGTTGGACTCACCTCGACGCATAGCATTGGCTCTGGAACCCAAGTCCTTGAGAGGGGTTGGACACTCTCCTTTGCTGGAGTTGCTCCGGGTGAGAGGCGGGGGGCTGGGGTTGGCTTTTTGTTAGCCCCAAGACTCTCTGCCTGTGTGTCGGGGTTCACCCCAGGGGACGAGAGGGTAGCTTCCCTGCACCTTCGGGTCGGGGAACGGGTCCTGACTGTTGTTTGTGCATATGGGCCAAATATCTGTTCAGGGTACCCACCCTTTTTGGAGTCCCTGGGACGAGTGCTAGATAGTACTCCATCAGGTGACTCCATTGTCCTGCTGGGGGACTTCAATGCTCACGTGGGCAATGACAGCATGACCTGGAGGGGTGTGATTGGGAGGAACGGCCTGCCTGATTTGAACTCGAGTGGTGTTTCGTTATTGGACTTCTGTGCAAGCCGCAGTTTGGCCATAACGAACACCATGTTTGAACATAAGGATGCCCATCGGTATACTTGGTACCAGGGCAGCCTAGGTCGCAGGTTGATGATAGACTTTGTAGTTGTATCATCTGACCTGCGGCCGTATGTTTTGGACCCCCTAGTGAAGAGAGGAGCGGAGCTGTCAACTGATCACCACCTGGTGGTGAGTTGGATGAGATGTTAGGGGAAGATGCCGCTTAGACCTGGCAGACCCAAACGCATAGTGAGGGTCTGCTGGGAACGCCTGGCAGAAGAACCTGTTGAGACGGTCATGAGACGGTTGAGACTCCCACCTCCGGCAGAGCTTTGACCGCGTCCCGAGAGCAGCGGGGGACATTGACTCCGAGTGGGCCTTGTTCCACTCTGCGATTGTTGAGGCGGCTGTTGCTAGCTGTGGTCGCAAGGTGGCCAGTGCCAGTCGTGGTGGCAACCCCCGTACCCGCTGGTGGACACCACAGGTTCGGGGAGCTGTCAGGCTGAAGAAGGAGGCCTACAGGGCGTGGCTGGTCTGTGGGTCTCCGGAGGCAGCAGACAGGTACCGGATAGCCAAGCGGGGTGCAGCAGTGGCAGTTGCCGAGGCAAAATCTTGAGCGTGGGAGGAGTTTGGTGAGGCCATGGAGAAAGACTATCGATCGGCTCCAAAGCGGTTCTGGCCAACTGTCCGGCGCCTCAAGAGAGGAAGGCAGCAACTCGCTCACACTGTTTACAGTGGGGATGGGGAGCTGCTGACGTCAACTGAGGCTATAGTTGGACGGTGAAAGGAATACTTTGAGGAGCTCCTCAATCCCACCTATGCGCATTCTGAGGAGGAACCAGAGCCGGGAGACCTGGGGATGGACTGTCCAATCCCGGGGGCAGAAGTTGCTGAGGTAGTCAAACAACTACACAGCGGCGGAGCCCCGGGGGCAGATGAGGTTCGTCCTGGGTATCTCAAGGCTATGGATGTTGTAGGGCTGTCGTGGTTGACACGTCTCTGCAACATTGCGTGGTCATCGGGGGCAGTTCCTGTGGAGTGGCAGACCGGGGTGGTGGTCCCCATCTTTAAGAAGGGCGACCTGAGGGTGTGTTCCAACTATAGGGGGATCACACTCCTCAGCCTCCCTGGAAAGGTCTACTCCAAGGTACTGGAGAGGAGGGTCCGATCGATAGTTGAATCTCAGATTGAGGAGGAGCAATGTGGTTTTCGTCCTGGCCGGGGAACTGTGGACAAGCTCTATACCCTTGCAAGGGTGATGGAGGGGGAATGGGAGTTTGCCCAACCAATCCACATGTGTTTTGAGGATTTGGAGAAGGCTTATGACAGTGTCCCCAGGAGCACCCTGTGAAAAAGCTCCAGGAGTATGGGGTGGGTGGCTTTCTGTTAAGGGCCATTCAGTCCCTTTACCAGAGGAGCGTGAGTTTGGTCGGCATAGCCGGTAGTAAGTCGGACCTGTTCCCGGTGAGGGTTGGACTCCGCCAGGGCTTCCCTTTGTCACCGGTTCTGTTCATTACTTTTATGGACAGAATTTCTAGGCGCAGCCGTGGTGTGGAGTGTGTCAAGTTTGGTGGCAGGAGAATCTCGTCTCTGCTTTTTGCGGATGATGTGGCCCTCCTAGCTTCATCCAGCTCTGACCTTCAGCTCTAACTGGGTAGGTTCGCGGCCGAGTGTGAAGCGGCTGGGATGAGGAACAGCACCTCCAAATCTGAGACCATGGTTCTCGACCGGAAAAGGGTGGCTTGCCAACTCCGGGCCAGGGCAGAGGTCCTATCTCAAGTGGAGGAGTTTAAGTATCTCGGGGTCTTGTTCACGAGCGAGGGTAGGAGGGATCGGGAGATCGACAGGTGGATTGGTTCAGCATCTGCAGTGATGCGGACGCTGAGCCGATCTGTCGTGGTGAAGAGGGAGCTGAGCAAGAAAGCCAGGCTCTCGATTTACCGGTCGATCTACGCCCCAATCCTCACCTATGGTCATGAGCTTTGGGTAATGACCGAAAGAACGAGATCGCGGATACAAGCGGCCGAAGTGAGTTTCCTCCATAGGGTGGCCGGGCTCAGCCTTAGAGACAGGGTGAGGAGCTCGGATATTCAGGAGGGACTCAGAGTAGAACTGCTGCTCCTCCGGAACGAAAGGAGCCACTTGAGGTGGTTTGGGCATCTGGTCAGGATGCCTCCTGGACGCCTCCCTGGGGAGGTGTTTCAGGCATGTCCTGCTGGCAGGAGGCCCCCGGGTCGACTCAGGACACGTTGGAGAGGTTACATCTCCAATCTGGTCCGGGAACGCCTTGGGGTCCTGCCGGAGGAGCTAGTGGAGAAGGCCGGGGAGAGGACGGTCTGGAGCTCCCTAGTTGGGATGTTGCCCCCGCGACCCGGACCCGGACCCGGATAAGCGGAGGAAGACGAGACAAGTTCATTGTAAATAAATAAATAATGATATCAAAAAAATTTTTGTAAAAAAAATATAACTACTAATTATTAAAGGGAACAATGTTTATTCTTTGTGTTAATGAGTTCCTCCTGGTCTCAAATAGAGAGGGGAACTTTGGTTCTTCTAGTGCTGAAGCTGATATATGCTGCTGATTTTCATGGCCAATTTCTAGATGTTTTCTATCTAATTTGAAGGCTAAAGTGTCACTAACATCAGTTGGCGCACAACATTTTGGAAGCTGAACCAGCTTTTGAACATGAACTTAACCAACTGTTAGGTCTTATTTTTGTGCTCTACTCTGGTATAAACTCTAACATCTCAGAAACAATTAGGAAATTGAAAGATGTGCAGATAAAAACGTGAAAATTTCAAAGTGCTCCACAGTAAACTTATAAAGTAAATGAGATAAAATAAAAATGATTTTTAAAACATATATATGTGTGTGTTTAAAGGATGAGAGAAACCAGGTGCTGATCGCCTACCTGTGGATTAGGCAGACCTGGCATGACGCCTACCTGAAGTGGAACACGGAGGACTACGATGGACTGGATGTCATCCACATCCCCAGCAGCCTGGTGTGGAGGCCCGACCTCGTCCTCTATAACAAGTATGCCAGTATGTCGCCCAGCACAGGTCCAGGCTCAGACATGGTCATACATTAGAAAATGTTGGATTTGAATGGATGCTTTTGTCTGCATTTGAAGACAAATTCTTATCCAAACCTAATTAGTATCATTTATTAAATGTGTGATAACATACAAACAGCATCTTAGAGCAGATTTAGTTCACATTTCTATAGTAGTGTATCAGAATTAGGAACGTAAGAAAATATCAATACACTGATTTATTGTGATATTTTGTGTTATGATACTGAATCTAAATGTGAAAGCAGTGTATCGATTTTTTTGGTTGAGAATTCACATGCAAACATTTATTGTATTTTTGTGTGTGTGTGTGGTGCAACTCAAACTCCGACTGCTAGGTGGCAGTAGTTTTTACTGCCCTTATTCTAACAAAGAGACCTTGCGATAACACTGGATGTAACTTGGAAGTGTCTGACCTAAGTTCTCAGTCTTAAAAGGATACTTTGCCAATTTTTCATATACTGAAATAATTTTCTTGAGCCAGTATGTGCCAAAATGACCAGCAGGGCTATTCAATTGCAAGCCTGGAGGGCCGGTCTCCAACAAGTTTTAGCTTTTACTCTGTTTCAACACACCTGATTTCAATGAGCAGGTAATTAACAGGCTTCTGCAGAGTCTGGTGAGCCAATTCACAGGTGATTCAACCACTGATTCAAGTGTGTTGGAGCAGAGAAACCACTAAAACATGCTGGATGCCAGCCCTCCAGGCCCAGAATTGAATAGCCCTGGTTTACAGGGTTAATGCAAGGCCACCAAGTCCCTATTGCCCCTGTGGCCAGAATATTCCATTTGCTAATTCAGACTGGCGGGCCGCTCTGTTGGGACTTGGAAAAAATGGAGCTGACATACCTGGCGCTGCATTCTGCTTCCAGCACGTTGCCTGCATGTTTTAGATCATCAACAGAGCTGATTTGTTTAGTTTAGAGATGAATCACTCCTGTAGACACTAAGGAAGGCTGGGAGGCATTTCAGCTCTTAGTTTAATGTGTTAAAAAGACGAACGCACAGCAAGGTTTTGCTTTGGGTTCTACACACGTACACTAAGGGGTGCTAAAAGAAAGCCAAAACTGCCTAGTTCCCCTTTAAAAATTGGCTTTTAGTATAGCAATATATATTTTTGTTTCCTCTGGATTGTGACTTATCTGTTCTTACAGATACACACCCCTACTCAGAAGTACTGAATGAACAGCTGGAAAACCACAGTCCTAAATGTAATTTTTTCTCTGTTCTCCTTCAGAGCTGACGATGACTTTTCCGGGCCCATGGACACTAATGTGAGGCTGCGCTATAATGGAGAGATAACCTGGGATGCTCCTGCCATCACCAAGAGCTCCTGTGTGGTGGACGTCTCCTACTTCCCGTTTGACAGTCAGGAATGCAACCTCACTTTTGGCTCCTGGACCTACAATGGCAACCAGGTACAGGGAATTTCATGAAGGATTTTTTTTGTACTCCAACAGCTGCTTGTTCTTGTGAATAAACTGAAAATCATTCCTCATTATTTATCCCAATGCCAGGTGGACATCTTCATGGGCATGGACAGCGGTGACTTGTCCGACTTTGTGGAAAACGTTGAGTGGGAATGCCATGGGATGCCGGCCACTAAGAATGTCATAATGTACGGCTGCTGCTCTGATCCATACCCAGACATCACTTACAGGGTGCTGCTGCAGCGCCGCTCTTCATTCTACATCTTCAACCTCCTCCTCCCCTGCTTCCTTATCTCCTTCTTGGCTCCTTTGGGTTTCTACCTGCCTGCCGACTCAGGGGAGAAGGTTTCTCTGGGGGTGACGGTTCTCCTGGCTCTCACTGTGTTCCAGCTCATGGTGGCTGAGAGCATGCCACCTTCAGAGAGCGTACCGCTCATTGGTAAGAGTGTATTAATGGGATTTCAACGGCTAAAACCATCAGTGATCACAATCAATTAGAAGATAACAAAAAAGATTAAAAGTTTTGGGAAAGAAAAAGTAAAACTCAACATTTGTTTTTGTGTTTGTGTGTTAACCAGGAAAGTACTATATAGCCACCATGACCATGGTCACAGCCTCTACAGCACTCACCATCTTCATCATGAACATTCATTTCTGTGGCGCAGAAGCTAAACCAGTACCACACTGGGCCAAAGTGCTCATCATAGACTACATGTCCAAGATTTTCTTTGTTTATGAAGTGGGAGAGAATTGTGCTTCTGGCTCCTCCTCCTCCTCTCCTCCTCATCACCTTCAGGAAGATGCTAGTCACCGTCACAAATCTCACCTTCATGCCAATGGGAACCCTAGGAACCACGAGGACCGGCAGAGCCACAAATACCCCCAGGCTCATCTTTCTAAGCATAAAGTCAGAGTTCATCACCACATCACCAGAGAAGAGAGCAGTCACCTCTCTAGCTTTGCTCCTGGAAGGTATGAAGGCTCTAATGGAGGAATTCCCATGGCTGACTACTGCACAGACGACCATAAAGTTCATCCTGACGACCAGAAGCCTCTGTGCTGTCCTGAAGACAAAAAGCCTCCACCTCAGGGTCCTACTGTGACCTTTGGCCCCTGTGTGTTCTGCAGCTATGTCAGAAGCATTCCCAACATGGACACAAAGCTGGTGCGCAACGTGGAGTATATTGCTAACTGTTTTAGAGAGCAGAGGGCTACCTGTGCCAAGGGGGCCGAATGGAAGAAGATCGCTAAGGTGATGGACCGATTCTTCATGTGGATCTTCTTCATCATGGTTTTCCTCATGAGCATTCTTGTTATTGGAAAGGCGAAGTGACCAAAACAACACAGCAGATTTAAAAAAATACATATATTTGACTAAATGATCGTGTTTTTTTTTTTTGGTCAGATAAAAAGAAGTCAAAGACTGATTTCTTTTGCTAAACATGCATGGACTTTGTGGCTCTTCTTCATTAGTCTGGGTGGATTGTTGATCATAATAAATAAAAAACAATAATACAGTAAACTCCAAAGTGCTTAACGCTACAGTGAATCACACACACACACACACACACACACACACACACACACACACACCCAGCTGGAGAGACAAGATTCCATCAATTGAAGGCCGAACTTTGGATGTGCCTGTTTTAATCGTTTTAATTAGAGACCAGGGGTCTCATTTATCAAACATTGCGTAGAATCCTTTCTAAAACCGTACTTAAGCTCAGCAAAAAAAGTACTTACGCCAAGTAGGTTTGTGATCTATCAAAACATGGAGTACGCACAGCTGCACACAATCTCCACTTCATAAATCAGAGACTAACGAGAAAGGTTCTCAGCTGCATTTTAGTCACATCCCGCCGTCACCACGCCCACTTACTGCCATAAATAGTCAATGCAAAGGGCCTTGTGTATCTCATGCATATATATATAAGTCGGCTGTTGCAGCATTTCAAGGAAGCGCTATTTCACAAGCTGAATCTGAGGTACTTGTGGGTGAGGTGGAGAAATGAAAGGAAGTGCTTTTGCACAACAAATAAGAAAAAATCCACTGAGTGGCACAGCGTTGCTGAAGCCGTCAATGCTGTGAGTCCTTCAGAGAGATCTGTGGCGGATATAAAAAAAAAAGATCCAATCAGGATTTCGAGCCCCAGACTCCCAGGCAAAAGTCACACATGCTAACCAGTCAGCCAAATGGGCGTCTCTCTTTGACCAAGTAGACAGGGCGCATGACCAATAGGGTCACAGTGACAGGATACGCACTGTTACAGACGCATCTCAATCGGTCACCCTGCTGATATTAAGCATTCTGTATTCTGCGCTTCAGGCTCTGTGTGTGTGTGTGCGTGTGTGGGGGGGCTTGTTCTGTGTGCGCATGAAGCAGTACAAGTGATAATGCTGCAGAATTTCGTAATTTTATCCTTCTCAGCAGCAGCACTGCAGGTGCTCTCTATGTCCAAAATGTGCGTAAGCAAGGCCCTTATTCAAAGTTGCGCACATTTTTCCGCTAAGTTTTCTTTCATAAATCCCATAGTTTGCATGGAAAGTTGCTTACGCAGTTTTCTGACCCCGTTTTGCGCGTAAGCAAGCTTGATAAATGAGGCCCCGGATCAGGGCGATCTTGACAATTTTTTCATATTTTTCAGTGATCGGGGATCGTCAATTATAACTGATGAGTCTTGCCGATCTCCCGAAATAGACCATGGGCACGTTAGCATGTGCTACCTCAGGGGGGAAAACTCCTGTAGAGGGCTGCTTTCCCTGTGTGATTGTCTCGCCCTGTTTATGGTCGGGTTCAAAAGAAGTCAACCAAAAGATAACGAATCAAGTGTTGATTTACATTTCTCAAGATGTTATGAGACACTTACCGAATTACTCCACTCTCCTGTCGGCTCGCCTGAGTTTAAATCCTTCAAGGGAAACCTCAGAGTCTGCTATGACCTTGTTCGTCCATGTCTTTGTAAAAAAACATCAGGTTGTCAGTAGTCCTGCAGCAGCCAGGTCAGCATTGAGAGCTCATCCATTTTATTGGAGAGTGTGCGGACATTTCCCATAAAGAGCTTAATTCTGGATGCAGAACTGGGTTTTTGTGGAGAGAGAGCCAGCGTAAGCAGCGCTCACAGCTGATCCCTGCAGTAAACAATTAATTCATGTGCAGAGCTTCAGGAGTTTTCTAGAGCCCTCCCAGAAAGTTGCGTAAAAAGTGAACACCGTTTCCTCTGCTAGAGCTTACGTCTCGCTCTGCAGCATCTTTGTTTCTCCGTAATTCTGGAAGCATAACCATCGTTTCCTGTAGAGAAGTGAGCAACAGGAAGAGAGCTAGCGTTAGCTGTGCACACCTTAAGGGCATTAAAACACACACAGAAGAAAAAGCAAAGAATAAAAAGAGTAACAAAGTGAGAGCTGCTGTTACTGGCTGCAGCCCACACCGGGCTCTTTGTAACCGAATGTGATCTTTCCTTTTTTGTACTTTGGAGTGCATCTTCACAGTAGCAGTTCACCGCAAAATAGAGCTACAGAAAATGTAACACTCTACATCTGGTCTCAAAACAGGAAGTTAGCATTTTCTCATGCACAGGGTCTATTGACGGCGTTATAAATTCCCCTGCCACTCTGGTCTTTACTGAAAAATAAAGCTTGATTCTGATCCCGTTTCAGTAGAGGGCATCATTGAGGACGCCAGCGTATAGCCTGCCGCAAATTCATTAGTTGGTTCATTAATATTGTCCAAAATAGAAAAAACCCATTTGAAGTCACAGACAACAAAAGATGTTTGGATCTAGAAAAACTGCCACTGGTGTTTAGCGCTCTCTCGTTTCTTCTGGCAAGGTGGACGTGGAGCAGGGATGATACCCGACAGGGGGGATGAGTTCTGAGGTTGTGTTTGTGTTTAAAAGCTTGTTTTGCAGATTTGACACAGCAGCTTCAAGATGGCTAACATATTTTGGAACAAGCCTAACTCTGACTAGCAGGTTAGCTTGTTCATTTCTACAAACTTAAGTGGTTCAGAGTGTTTTGCACTTACCTTTTCATAACCCTTCACCGAATCGTTCACTTCATGGTTTTAATTGTTCCATTTCCTGTATTATTCCCACCAATATTTAATTTTACCACCAGCACAATATATAGCATCAGCACCGTCAGTATGACGTCACATGTGTGCACTCTGTTATATCAATCAATCGCATTTTGCTGTGAAGATACCTTATCACCTAATCATTGGACACACATGAGGGAATCACCAGTGGGGACAGCACATGTCATATTCACCAGAGTGAATTCAGACGCCTGAGGGCAGGGAGGCAGTGTCAGCGTGCATAGCACATCAACACAATATTTTTTCTGTTCAAATCATCCCGTGAATAGTTAATGAGCAAGCTTTGTTTGCTGCTCAGCCAGCACAGTGAGGTAGATGGGTAGATAAAAGCTAACAGGGAGCATCAGTTATGTAAAGTGTACACTTATACACCCATTTTCCTCCGAAAAACCCCTCCACATCTTGAAATTTGAAATCTTCCTCAGTAGATGTGTTTGCACACATTAATGGAAAGCTGAAAAAGAAGGAAACAAATAGCCTGAAAATGAGATGAAAAGAATGAAAAAGAGAATAAAATTCTTTACAAACAAGTCTGCATTTTAAGTTTTCAGCTGCACTGCATCTTTTACAAATATTTTAACACATTATAATTTTTATCATAAAATTCCTAATTTCAGCATTTCTCAACCATGGCATGTAATTTTACTTGAACCAGCAATGTCCAAACAGTAACTGTTAAAAAATAATTTATTTCTGATGCACACTTTTAAAATGTGCACTCAGTTATTGCCCGAACCTTCACTCATTCACTTAAAATGTGTTTTGAAAATCCTATTTTTTCTTGTTTGTAAGTATATTTTAGATGTCTTGAGCTGTCCCAAAACAAAATCTAGTTAATATATAATTGTATGTTTTAAAAATACATTTAGAAATGTATTTTTAACCCTTTGCAATAAATTGTGATTTAAAATGATCATACGCTCACATCTGTGTGCATATCGGCAACACTATCGAGATAAAACCCTAAATTATATTTAAACATGTTGCAAACATGTTAAAATTAGCAATAGCTTTTTAAACATTTTAAAAGGAAAACATCCGTCCTCCAGTAGAGGGCGCTCCTTTTCCACACGTCCTCCTGTTGCCCTGAGGCTTACTGCTTGAAGCTCTGTGTGGGACCAAAAGAGCACAACATTTGCACTTAAAAGTTGTCCCCAAAGCCTTTTTATCTTCCAGAATGATCCATTCATGACATTTCATTACTGAAAAGAGACTCTTTATTCTTCTAGTCCTCCAGGAGGCCTTTCGATGGCATCTTACTCAGAGTTCAATACTTTAATAATTAAATATAAAGCCATTACTGACTTAGGGTGTAAAAAAACAACAACAAAAAGATGCTCGAGGAGCAAGGAGAATGCAGTTTAATTGTGCAGCTGTGGATTCATCTCTGCAGTGGTCTGACTGAAATGGAGAATGAACAAAATGCCTTTTTTGTTTTTTATGTCCCGCTATCCAAAGTGATTGTCATGCTGAAGCATGAGTGGGGTGAACTGAGTGATCCGAACAATATGAGGCCAGAACATATGAGGCCAGAACTATGAGGCCAGAACAGTCTCAATAAGAATTAAGTCACACAACCTTTTCCACAAATGCACATGTTCATTCGGAAATCCACACTCTGTGTTTCACAAATATAATTCGGAGGAACACAAATGCACACGCTCATTCGGAAATTCACACTCTTTGACACATAAATATAATGTGAAAAAATAACTCACGCAACATTCTCCACAAATGCACACGCTAATTCTGAAGTTCACACTCTGTGGTTCACAAATATAATTTGTAAGAACACTTGTAATATAAACTCACAGATCATACGAATTGCTGAATGTGCATTTACGAACAGCTTCTCATTTGTGAACCTTTCTGCGTTTGTGAGTGAAATCTGTGTGGTGCATTCACGAACAGCTTCTCATTTGTGAACCTTCCTGCATTCGTGAGAGAAATCGGTGTGCTGAATTTTGAGACTCTCCTAACGTCGCAGGCCAACAAACGTCACCATTGGTTAATGAATCTGTCAATCAAATATATGATTCCACCAGGGCGGTTCGCTTTCAGCCAATCATATGGCTCCTTATGTTACGGAACAGATCTGCTGTGCGCATGCACATTGCAGCTCACACGGCAGAGCGGGATGGATCGGTCACAATCTGTGAGTAACAGTTTTATCTTATTTCCTCGTTGTAATTGATGCAATGTTATTGAATTATGAGTAGAAGCGTTCTTCATTGTCAAGTAAAATGTTTTATGTTAAATTCAGTCCGGACGTTACGTGAAGTCTGGTCCATTCTTCATCTAGTTTAACATCAAGCTAAACTCAAGCGGACATTTGTTTAGTTAGCGTGTCTAGGTACCATTTTTTTTAGGCCACGGTTGTCAAACTCAAGCCCTTGGGTCTATTTTTATTTGCCCCGCGAAATCAAATGTCAAATATATCATATTAAAACTGGTCCGCCGGGCGATTTTGCTGATAAGACTATTAATCCCATAGTGCTATGCAGCGTTAGCGCGCGAAACGAAGCGCGCCCTTGTTTATGTTTACGATCATTAGCATCCATGCTAGTAGAATCAGCGTGTGCAGCGTTACCCTCAGTCTTAAACAACTGAAGATACTCCTCTAAAGCCCCATTCCCATCTGTACCGGGTCGGCCCAGGCTGGGTAGCCCCAGTCGGCCCCAGCCTGGCCCGGTTGTTTCCACACATCCTTGCTTAGGTATGCAAGGAATGCAGTCAGAGACACTTTCAGCTTCTGGGTAATCAGCATGATAATGAATGATAATGAATTGAGCTTCCCTTAAGCCCATGTGGGCTGATTCTACCCACCAATCAGAGGCTTGCTCTAATGGAAGGTGTGAATTTGCTGTCAGCAGTGGGTGTGTTGGCCCTGGTCAGCCTGAAGCAGACCCCCTCGAGAAGAGGGCTGAGAATGAGCCTTGGTTGGCCCGCAAAAATACCAGGCCACCCAGATATGTAAACAACCTACGCTACCCGGCCCGGTACAGGTGGGAAAGGGGCTTAAGCGCCCAGTTTACTCAGCGAGTTTCCGACTTTGAACGCCTAGAAAGAAGGTATCTAGCTGGAACAGGTGACCATTGGAGTGGAGCTAACTGAGCTTGGAACATTTAATTGTCATGAACTTTTTCTGCCCCAAAGCATGGAAGTTAATAACTGAGATATTTTCATAGAAGATAATTGCTATTTTTGGTTTTTGTTGTTGGCCTGTGAAAAAAAGATTAAACTTACTCTAAAATGGGAACTGGACAGACTACAGATTGAAGAATAGAATAGAAAATCCCTTTATTGTCCCTCAGTGGGGAAACTGTGATGTCACAGCAGCAATAACGTTCATTACAGAAGCCAAACAGGAGAGTAAAACATAATAATAAAGAGTAAACTAAAATAAAACATAAAATAGACTAACTTAAAATATCCAAAAGGTAAAACAATCTAAATACTGAATATATACACATTGTAAGGAGTAAAAAGAGTAAATAAAAATTGAGACATAAGTAACGAGTGATGTGTTTTATTTAAAATGTACTTGCTCGTGTGTAATTTGGTCATATCAGATTCTGTGTACAGATGCAAAAATAAGTTTCTTTCCAATTGAATAACAAGACATCTGTAAATAAACTTTTCAATAAATATTGAGTTTGGCCCGCAATTTTTTCCCAGTTTTTAATTTTGTACCATTGTGAATTTGAGTTTGACACCCCACTTTAGGCTGTGCAGTAATAAGGAGACAGACACTGGCTGAGCCGGTGCATAAATGTTTGATTTTCTGGTGGTGTGCGATAGTTAAAGAAATATTTTTTTTTAAATAAAATGCATCTTTAAATTTTGGCCAATGAGCTCTGGCACATAATAAACAGAAATACTGCTTCATCATTTCATGTACCTTTGAATCTACAGTTGGTCTTATTTAAAAACGTTTTTTTATTTAAACTATCATAGCTGGAGTGTTAAAAAATAAAAGTGCCATATGATATTTGGAAGTTATTTTATTTCTATTACCCAACAGTTATCCAATCCATGTTTGTTCTGTTTTTTTTTCCTCTAGGAATCATTGAGGCGTGACATCCTTCAGAGGTTGTACGATCAACTGTCAAGCATCTTGGAGAGGCAACCTGTTGATGGGGAAGGGCTACAGTTTGCTTGTCACCATTATTTCGTTTTATTAAGTGCTCTAGGTGGCATTGTTGATGTAGGAGAGGATATACTTTCTGCTCTTTCAAATCTGAATACTATTATCCAGCAGGAAAGAGATAATCAAAAGACATTAATAGCGGTACACGTTGAAAGAGGTTCTCGTGGCCGCCCACGATTGGTGGTGTCGCGAGAGGCTCTCGAACACCTTGTGGAAATGGGTCTGCCAACAAGTGTCATTACCAAACTCCTTGGTGTATCCAGAGCAACTCTATTTAGACGGATGTCTGAAAACAATATATCTGTATCTGCCACATACAGTAAATGCAGTGATGAGGAACTAGATTCATTTATCACAGTAATTAAGAGCAACATGCCAGATGCTGGGTACAGGGTGGTCCGAGGTGCTCTACTTGCCCAGGGACATAGAGTACAGTGGGACCGACTGTATGCATCCATGCATCGTGTGGACAGTGCGGGTGTACTTGCTCGAATGACACGTCTGGGATGTGTAGTGAGAAGGACTTACACAGTTCCTTGCCCAAAGTATATGGTGCACATTGACACCAATCACAAGCTCATCAGGTAATGTCTGTGTGTAATTGGAGATGTTGTTTTTGTTTTGGGAGTTGCATTTTTAATTGTCTGTGTTTTAACAGGTACAATTTTATTATCTTTGGAGGAATAGACGGCTATTCAAGGAAGGTAGGTGTTTTCATTGTCAAGGACCAAACAGCTGCAAATGTGTTTTCTGGCTATCTTCTGTTTTATAGATTTAACAACTTTTATTTTGAAGTAGAGGGCTGCATAGGATTGGGTCCCAGCAGGAGCGGACAGTTAGAACTTTGCTGCAGGCCGGAACAGTTGGCTAAAAACCAAAGGGATTTTCAGAAATACCAAAAATACACATTATTTTTTTAACATATTTGTAAAGTCTCTCAGTTGATGTAAGGGCTTGTAATAATCATTAGCCTTTACTCCTCCATATTGATTTTTAAATGGAAGAATATGAAACACAATCCCATTGAATCTCTAATAATAGTCTGTCATGCCATGTTTTCTCCTGCACGATGAGTGAATACACAAAATCAGTGCATCTTAATTATATTGTGGGTAATAGTTCTGAGTGTCACGGGAGAATGTGGGAGTAACATACATGGTGGTCAGAAATTCAAAACAAGCTGGCGGGAGAGGGATGAAAACAGTATAGTGCAGTGGTCTTCTGTAAAGTATGCATCTTATCACTCCTGTGAGATTTGACACAAACAATACAGTTTATCAGATCTTAACTTATTTAATTATCTAACATGTTATTGTATGGCTGTTGTACCTTTCATTTGGTAATTGATTGTTTTGGCCCCTATAAAAGTGTGTCATATGAGAGTGTTTGTGCTTGACTTACATAGATCATGTACCTGAAGGTAGCTGACAACAACCGGGCAGACACCCACCTTGCCTTCTTCAGTGAAGCTGTGAATGAGCATGGCTTTCCTCTGAGGTATTCATGTTGTTCCCAACTTTACCCTCTGTTACCCTGTTCAAATCTGCTTTTGCCTAAAGTGTTATTGACCAAAGATAACATGCCATTTGAGGTCATATAGTGAAATTTATGGGGGGGGGGGGGGGGGTGAACATTTCCCTCTTTCAAAAAAAATTTCCCCAGCAGAGGGTTAATAATGCCACATTGTTTACTCACTTAGTAGCAAGGTACATAAGGAAATTTCTGTGGTACTGAAGTTGATGTCGATTGTTATAGATGTGCATTAAAAATGTTTGAAGCGAGATTCTAATGTTTCTTTTTTTTTTTTTTTTTTCAGGGTGAGAGGAGATCGTGGCGGAGAGAATGTAGGTGTTGCAGAATTAATGTTCTCAGTTCGTGGAACTGACACCAACAGCTTCATTGCAGGAAAAAGTGTACACAATCAACGGTGAGTTTAACCTAATTCGGAAGGCGTGTGTGTGTGCGTGTGTGTGTGGTGTGTGTGTGTGTGTGTGTGTGTGTGTGTGTGTGTTGGATGGACATTTAAATGTGTGTGTATATTATAATTTTCTTTTATTTAATCCCCCTCCAAATCCAGGATCGAGCGCCTGTGGCGTGATGTCTTCATGAGTGTTACTGGTCTATATTACAACATCCTGCACTCTCTGGAAGACCAAGACTTGCTCGACATCAGTAACATCCTTCACCTGTTTTGTTGCCACTATATCTTCTTGCCTCGCATCCAGGCCAGCCTGGATGTCTTTAGAGATGCGTGGGACAACCATCCAATCAGGACAGAGGAAAACATGACACCAAATCAGCTGTGGCATCTGGGCCAGGCTCTGAATCCTGTTTCTGATCCAGGGGCAGATGTATGTTCTGTTAAAATGACTGATCACATGTCAAGTTGATCCTTAACTAAAAATCAAATGTTCAACACTTTGATAATCTACCTCTGCACTATGCTTCTTGGATTCAAGATGAAATGGCTATTGAAATTACAGTTCTGTTTGTGTGCACCTCTACTGAAGTGGACACTGTCAACTATAATGTCATGACATTACAAAGTCATGACACATCTGCAAGTTCAAAATGCAAGGCATTAGACCTTCCAGATGTGATATTCTCACTGATATTGCTGTTTTAACATAAAAGTAGCCCATTAATTAAAAAAAACATTCATTAAATAATGGAGATGCTAGGTTCTGCCTGACATTGATGTTAAGTGATTGTTAAAAGGTCATGATAGGGCTTTGTTAAATGTGTTTTCTTGAGATTCATTATGCACAATGCTCATACACACTTTCTTTTTCCAGAGTATACCGATACCAGAGATTGAATGGGAGGAGAATGGATACATGACTGAACCTCATCCTGGGATCAATGTCCCTGTACTGGACAGTCCTCTTTCAGATCATGAAATGTTGGAACTGCAGGACAGCATTAATCCGTTGCAACATTCAGACTCTTTTGGAGTGGACATATATCTTCACACTGTCCAGTATGTTGAGAACTTACTTGAGGCTAGATGATTACATGTGTGAAGAAGGAAGGAGAGAGAAGATAGGGAGTTAGGAAGAAAGAAAATAGTTAATGAGACAGGAAGGAAGGAAGTTAAAAAGTGAAGGAGTGGTCCCTTTTAAGGTTAATGTACTGTATATTGTTATTCAAGGGATTTGCCGTTGTAAATATGAAATGCTAAAGGATAGACCCCAAAATAAATGTCTAAATTCATTTATAGTTGTGTATTCCCTTAAAGGCTTTGTCAGCCTGATTTATTTTAGACCAGGAATGTATTTGAAAAGGCTGCTGTCCACTTCATCTATGCTACAATTCTTCAAAATGTAGATGTTCTATCATTGCTAGTGTTGGTTTAGTAACATGCATCTTCCTGTGTATCCAGCTCTAATAAAAACATATTTAAAGGTGAAGCACCTACTTATCAGGAGATCCATTTCTTTTTACATGTTATTGTTTGAATTTTGTCTCGTTTCATAACTTTTGCTCAACATTTAAGGGGAACTGTGTTACCCTGCGATTGTACTATACCTCTGTCCGTCTACTTATTAAATGGGATAACATGACAAGATTCTATCTACTGGTTTTTTAATCAAGGGATGATTAGGTGTTGTGAGAAGATTATGCTACTGAGTCTGTGTTAAGTTGCAACTGGACACACATACCCACACACAGTTTGTTCATTTGTTCTCAGAGTGAGAATAATGTCTTTTAGAGTTAAAAAGTTTTTTTTTTCTTGATGTCACTGAAGGCTGTGTTAGAAATATATGCAGCTCATTAAAAGGAAAAGTAACTGATGTAACCAAGAGCCTGAACACAGGAGAATAGAGACACCTGACAAGATAAAGAGCTGGAGCTTTTGCTCCTTATCAGAGCCACTCCCATGGAATAGGCCTGACGATTTACTAGCTTCTCTTACCTTCTCTGCAGACAATGTTTAATATGAGCTTCAAGAGGTCTCTGCCCCTAACGGGGTTTGCTTTCACATAGTAAAAATGCATAATTTTTCTGAATAAGATTAAGAGGCCACCCATAAGGCGGAACGTTTGTAATGTATTGTAACCCCAGATTCTATGAGTATAGCATGGCCCTTTAAGCAATCACCTATTGGATTAATTCCATCCCCTAAACCAATCATTGAAGAGCTTTTATGTACGCCCACCTCCTAGGTGGGTCCTGGCCCCTAAAAAAGAGCATAGCTTGTCTCCATAAGTCTTATTAAGCCCAAAGAACCAGCGGGGCCAAGATGCTTAAAGGGCTACGCTAAACTCATAGAATCTGGGGTTACAAAACTTAACCAATGTTCTATTTCGTATAGCCCCGCCCTTTAAGCCATCGCCTATTGGATTAAAGGCGGAGCCAGATATAGTTAGTCAACGCCACACTGGTTCAGAACCAAACCTGAGCGGACTCAGGTTCCACCTAATAAACCTCTACAGCTGTCGGCGGGCGTAAACATGAGAGAACAGCTGGAGGACATGACAACAGCGTATGATCAGCATATAGCTGATGAGAATCAACCCCAAGGTTGCCTAGCAACCGGTGGGAGAGAAGCTGTCACAATCAAGAAGACACAATGTTGCATTGTAAGGACAAGTCAACTAGGGCGTTTAAGAACACAAGGATGACAATAACGAAACTGCAAGGTTTCTGATAAGAACTTTCAGTGACAGCTGTGATTAAGCTGAACTGTGTGTTATCACCACATTGGTAAGGAGGCTGGTGGACACATCTCTGAGGTAAAACAGGTGGTGAAGACCATGAAGCAGCCATGCATATGTCTGCTACAGTCATTCCAGCTCACAATGCAACAGAGGAAGAAACCGCCTGATTAGAATGTACTTTTAATCTGACTGGAGTGTCCAAGCCAGATGAAGCATAGACACTTGTGATGATGTCACACAGCCAATGTGAAAGACGCTGAGATGACAGAGGTTGCCCTATGGAACAATCACTGTAGCGAACAAACAGCTGCTGCGAAGTGCGCAGCTGAGCTGTGCGAAAGACTTAGGAGTCTGAGTGCACGCACTGGGCATAGCAGGTGGGATGCAGCATCTCACTCTGACACATGAGGGGAAGAAAAACCCCACCAGAGAAATGGACCTGAAAGAGCTTGTGATGCTCTTTGGGGTAGAATGCTGGGTTTGGGTCAGAGAACGGCTGTACACCCATCATTCCATTTCCTGAGACAAGATGGCAAGATAGAGAGAGAAGTTAGGTCACAAATTCTCTAGGTGGAGAAACAAGGGACTGGGCGGGATTCGATCCCCAGACGCCAAATCTTCCCCCCTCTTTCCACAAGCACGTCATCGTGCTCCCGCGCAGGGTGCCACAAACTTCACATCCATGGACCTACTTGACAGTACTACATGGATCCTGCCAACAACACCAAATGTGGCAAGGTGGAGAAATGCGGGCCCGGGCGGGATTAGATCCCCAGACTCCCGGGTGAGAGTCACACACGCTTACCAGTCAGCCAAAGGAACATCCCCTTGGCCAAGTAGCCAGGGTGCATGATTAATCAGGACACTGTGACAGGACGCTCACACTGCCACACATGGATCGGCGCCGAGTCCTCTTCCTGCTGCGCAAAAAGTTTATCCAGGATGGAAGAAGGGTTGTCATCTTGGTGGATAAGCTTTATGTGAACAACAAACTCTACAAGGAGTGAGGAGTGACAGATTGGTTATATTAGCCCAACATCAGGTCACACATTTAATATTCTTATCAGGATTCCCTGGGTTTGAGCACGTCAGGATTAAATAGCTGCTAGATCTGTGTTCTAGATGATAAGATCACCTGTTCTTCACCACCTCACACCCCTATCACCTTTTCTTTTTAGTTCTTTCTTCTTCTTTAACCTTTATAATTATTTCCTTTACTCCTTCCTGGGTGGCATTTTGGCAACAGAGGTGCCTATTGGGGCCAGTGGGGGAGCTGGCTCCCTGGAGGGCTTAGGCCAACCAGCCATTCCTCCCCATCCCCACACATTTTTCTCCTCTTGCTCTCTCACATCATCACACAAACATGCCCATAGGACCTTGGGGGGTGGACAAGTCAAGGGGTGCAGGTATGGACCACATTTCTGCATTCCTGTGGCAACCTGCCCCCCAATTTTATTTGCACCTTAAACACTTCCACCAACAACATTCCACACAAACATACACGTAGGGCCTTGGGAGTGAGCACATTCAACGGCATTTGGCAGGGGGATTTCTCAGCCTCATCCCGAGTGCCGGTGCCCACTTCCAATTTTAAACTGAACTTAGACACAGAGGGCTGTGGGTGCAAGTGGGGTGGTGTGGTGGCATCAGCTGGCATAGGCCAGACGATGCCACCACACCACAGCCATGGAATACACCTCATCAACACACACTAACACTATATTGGAGGAGGCGGAGGGAGACTAGTGGTCTTAGCACACCTCTGTTGTCACTTGGCTTCCTGGCGCTGGAGGCTAGGAGGGAGATCTGGCCGTCTGGTTGGGGTCTGGGGTGGTGGGTTGCTTTGCTCAGCGTTGGGCGGGGGAGCCTGCTCATCAGTACCCCAGCAGAAAGGGTCGAACTCTGGTTACCGGTGATGGTTGTACCCCATGCGCAGCAGTACCGGGACCAGAGTGAATAGGGTGTGTATGGAGAGCCTTGGGTTGTATGTGCATGTGTGAGCATGAGGGAGGGAGTGTGTGACTGTGTTTGTGTATGACTGTATATGTCAGATGGGGCCTTGGACTCCACCCCTCTCCTCGGCCTTCTTTTGATGCTATACATCTTCATCTCCCCTCCTCCTGCCACACTTGGTGTGGAGTGCGGTGCCTTGGTCTGCCTGAGTGTTCATGGCTCCCCGGTCAGGGAGTTTAAGATTTTTGGCGTCTGCCTGATCAATCCCGGTGGCTGCCTGGTGGGATCTGAGTCCCTGGGCTCTGCTGGGTCCCCGGCGGGGCTGGTCACCCCTGGGTCTCGGGTCGCTGGGTTCTGGGCTCGGCCGGCTTGGGGGTGGGAGGCTGTGGGCTTGCCGCTGGTATCTCCCCGGGCTCTGCCGGCTGCTGGTTATGGCCCCCCGGGGCAATCCACTGTGCCTCTCGAGGGGGGCAGGGGCTTGTCTGGTTGCAGTCTCCCTGGTGTTACTGCACTTCAGGGAGATCTCTGGGACTTGGAGCTCCCTCCATCTCCTACACATCTTTGGGGGGCAGATCTGTGGTCCCTCACACTCTATTGGACGCTCCTATAGAGAAACCTTACATAAACAAGCGCGGGTACACACACAGGTGCTCACGTGGTGCTCTCATAAGCATGGACTTGGGCACGTTCAACACGTCTCAAGGCTGTGGTTGGCACTAAATGCACTATGATTTATCGTGATTGTTCAGTAAAACAATGTTGATTTTATATTCCTCATCAAGTTGACACAGTGAGCTTGCGCCTGTTGTATTGTTTTTCTCTTTCTGCAGGTCTAGAAGCAGACTCTTGTTCATCATTGTTTATTTTTGTGCCCCCCCCCCCCCCCCCCCTGTCTCTTCCTTTCTCTTTCACCTCTGTCTCTGTGTCTGGTTGGAATTAAAAAGCATTCAAAATCAATAAAGTTTTAAGTATCAGATGTGACATTAAAAGCAGAAGCTTTGATGGTCCACCTGAGAGTAAATCTGTAAGGTTTGTCACCAGCATTCAGACATTAATTATGTTTGCTTCACTGCCAGACAGGACACGGGGAAAAAAAAAAAAAAAAAAGGGATACGCAGAGGAGGTCAGCGGCGATCGACAAAGGGAGAAGACAGATCATGCTTGATCACTCCTGATTGCCCCACCAGCTTGTTTTGAGTCCCAGTGCTGAACCTCTGCTAGATTGAAAGAACTGATCCACATTTGTGCCAGGACATCTTGTCAAGAGTGTGACTTCTCATTTTCCGCTTCAGCATGTGTAACAGAAAACCTGTTGTAATCCATCAGTGACAGGCAGGGTTGAGGATTACAGGGTTATGCTGTAAGCACTGCTGCTTTGTTTTAAGATATTAATGATTTTTAACACAATATTTAAAATACAGTATTGTTTATTGTTGTTTATTGTTTATTTACTTAGCAGACGCTTTTATCCAAAGCGACTTACAATTTATAACCTATAGGGCATGTTGTGAACTGTGGGGGAAACCGGAGTACCCGGAGGAAACCCACGCATGCATGGGGAGAACACGCAACTCCATGCAGAAAGGCCGCAGCCGAGTTTCGAACCTGCGACCTCCATGCTGCGAGGCAACAGTGCTAACCACTGCGCCACCTGATGCAGCCCAACATTTAGAATGAAATGTTATTTAAAATAATCTTTTGTAAAATTTTAAGTAAGTATTTAGTGTTTATGTGGTTAAATACAATAACAACACTAATAAGGTAAAAGGTTGGTTTTGGTAGACATCCAGAAGAGCCAAAGAAAAGAGGTTGGCACTTTTATGGGGATTTATGGGAGGGCCAGACCCACAACTTTGTATGCTTTCTGCTCGCAACATCAGGTGTAACAGTAATATACAGCAGGACAAAGTCTTTAACAAAACTTTATTGCATTTCAACAATACAGTAAACTAGTGGTGTGTCAGTTGTATACACTATACAATACACACTAACAGTGTTTATTTAACATACCTGAATTGCAGAGTACAAAAATGAAATACATTTTAGTGGACCTGCTTCAAAACATTAGGGCACCACAGTTTGAAAGTGCCTTAACAATGGAAGTTAAACAAAACAGACTTTTTAAAAGGGACAAGTGCAAGACCTTACCAACAGCTAAACAAAGCCAGAACTGAAGGCTCTTATCTGTTACATGAACAACTATGCATATTTTGGCAAGTATCAGATTTCAACACCATGACTTACATTTGCATTACACCTTCCCAAAGCCATAGCTGATGGATTTGAGAGCCATCATCAAGTCCTGGTGGAATGTTGTATATGTCTGGTAGTGACCAGGAAGCTCCAATGTGTACAAGCAGGTGTGAGCCACTGGGTAGATTGAGCGTACAACCTTGACATAGAGTTTACTCATTGGCTGCTCCCACCCAACCCAGAACCTCATGAGGTCACAGAGTACATCTGGTGATGCTACAGAAGACAGCATTAAAAGTGTGTGAGACCTCAACAGTAATTAGACTTGTATTACAAATGTGGAAACATTCAATCAATAATAACGGTCAATCTACAAGCTTACAATGTGATGTGCAATTTTATTAAGTGAGCTTGTAGGTCTGGCATGTTCACCTAAATTTAGCAACATAATTTTAATTTCATGTCATTACACACACACACACACACACACACACACACACACACACACACACACACACACACACACACACACACACACACACACACCAAGATGATAATCAAAATGCAATGCATGAGGAAAGATGAGCCCGTTACCTTCCTCAATGAATTTCCTCAAAAATCCTGTGACTGTACTGATGTTATCCACTGGAACAGGGTCGTCCTCCTCATCACTATCACATGTAGGCTGTGGCCAGCGAATGCTCTCGATTATGGTCTACAGGATATCAGAAAAGGGTTTGATGTTAAATTTCAGAATGTGATTGTGTAAAATAAGTTCTATATTCAGATAGTCAGCTAAAGAATGTTTGACCAGTAACAGGAGTCTCTCTCCAGTGTTTTAATAAAAGGGAAATAGGCTTTCACAAGGATCATCAATGTCATCCAATTATCATTAACAATTATTATTACCAGCTCAGTGGCCAAGTGGTAGAGTGTCCGCCCTGGGACTGGGAGGTCGGGGTTCGATTCCCGGTCGGGTCATACCAAAGACTGTAAAAATGGGACCCAATGCCTCCCTGCTTGACACTCAGCTTGAAGGGGTTGGATTGGGGGGATAAACCACCAAATAGTTCCCAAGCCCAGCCACTGCTGCAGCTCTCTGCTCCCCTCCATGGGGATGGATCAAATGCAGGGATGAATTTCACCATTGTGTGATGATGACTATGGAACTTTAACTTTATGACGTAACTAATGTATCATCTTAACATTTGATTTTAGAGTTCAAATTTTTTCTGTTCCTGTCTAAATGGGATCGCTTCTAATGTCATTGGTTTATTTAGCCTATTTGAGTTATCTCGCCAGATTTAATAAAATTGGTATCTCTAACTGAAAATGTGTTATTTTGTCAAAAAGTACAATAGATTCCGGTTAGAGCAAACACTTAATATCACTGCTTACTTTGTGTAAGTGAAGCTAACTTATTTTAACATAAAATAAACGCTGTAAGATAAAAACTTATGCTAGATAACTCTGGAGCATGTCATCATATAGCATTAGAAACACAAAATACACTTAAATATTTTAAATCAAACCCCAGAAATAAATCCAGTCAAGAAAGGAGCCAGCTTACTTGTGAGCTAAGTTCCACACTTGACTCCCTTGGGAAAAGTATGGAGTGGACATCTGGTCTGGCGGAAAGAAGTGGCCAGATTCCAGTTTCTTTCAGGCCTTTCCTGATCTGTTTAATAGGCTGTATACCATGGTGAAGTACCTGGATATGAAAGTGACAGGTAAAAAGGTAGTCTTTCTTGACACTGATGGCCTCAGCATCCTCCATGTTAAGTGATAAATGAATCTTGTGTTAACATAACAGCCTAACCAGTTGGAATGCATATTGGAGGTTAGCTACTGTCTTAACTAATGCTGCCTATGACTTTACAATGAAGCAGTGCCTCAAGCCAGTTACATACTCCACAAGACGCATCCTGAAAACCAAAGTTGTCACTTCTTGTGGAGTATGTAACTGGCTTGAGGCACTGCTTCACTGTAAAGTCATAGGCAGCATTAGTTAAGACAGTAGCTAACCTCCAATATGCATTCCAACTGGTTAGGCTGTTATGTTAACACAAGATTCATTTATATATTGAGAATGTCATGTCATTTGGATACTGTTTCAAGAAGGTAAAACGCTTACAGTTTTTGAAAGCATCAACTGGAACAGCCAGTGGTGATTGGTGGGGTTTGGAGTAGGTAGATACCAAGACAGGCAAAGATCAGTCACCCTGCTGATTTCTTCTGCAGTCAGTTCTTCTTTCTGCAGCTACAGAAATAAATACATCACAAAAAGGGGAAAGAAGTAAGTCTTACATTTTCCTTTAGGCAGTTCATTAATTGAGCAACAATTTACATTTTAAATAGGCAACATCAGTTGTACATTGCAGTAACACAAAAAACGTATTACATTTTCCCAACACTGACAAAGTAATTGTCATCATTTGATGATGCATAGGACAAACATGCTGCAGTGTGGTGCTTTGCTGGAAAACAAGCTAACCTTTAACTGTGTTACTCACCAAACCAATAGTTTCACGATGATCAAGATCAGCAACATCCTCTAGAGTCAGAGCTGCTGCTGCGGTTTCAATCTGCCCTCCAGTTAACATATTCACAACAGCCAAACTGAGTCCTGGAAAACCAGACCCACCATGGATGAAGTTATGTCCGAGAATTCGACCCGCCATCTCAAACAGCTTGCATTCCCGAAGCACACCAGCAGCTGAGGGAACATGATGATCCCTTTCCCCTTCGAAAAGGGGTGTAACACTAGCAGAGCCTACAAAATAAAAAAATTGAACAAAAAATAAAAACCTGGTAGAAATAGCTTCTGTCTAAACAAGCCAACTATGTAAAAGGCCAGATGAGGCCTGAGAAGGAGGTTTCAGACTGAGGTGAAAAATCTGGGGGGTGACTGCAGTTCAAATTGAAACGAGGCTTGTAGCATCGTAGCAAACAGCCACAAAACCAGTAGAACCTGTTAACCCGTGCCACATACACTGTTTTAACATCAATCCTGTGCAATAACATTATTTATACGTGCAGTTTATGTTTACTGATCAATTCTGCCTACAACAGCGAGCAGCACAAATCAAACAAATGCTGCTACTACATAAATGCTGCTACTCCATGTATATATTGTTGTTATTCAGAATTGATGATCTGACATTTTAAATCTCTGTACTTTCTCATTTATATATTTTTTAGTTTTAATTGTTCTTTTACATTGTTGATTTTACATTTTTATTATTTCTGTATTGTTTCTTATTTTCCTTACTTGCACCAAGGGAGTGGCACTATTTCGCTGTACCCTGTACAATGACAATAAAGGCTATTTTATTCTATTTTAGACAAGCTGGAACACAGGAGAAAAAGTCTTTGACTTGCAGAGCACTGGCACAGTGGTGTTCTAAAAGTGTCTCAAATAGATTTGCTGTGCTAGCTGTTCAAATGAACAAGATGAAGTAAGGTGAAGGAATTTGAAAGCCCTGCCTTGAATAGCCTTGACTGAAAAGGGGCGATACATGTGAAAATTTACACAAGACAAGGGGTGCTGCGACATTGAGAGTAGCTACAGTGACAATCTGATTATCCCATTTCATGACAAAAATGTTCCTTCTTTAGTCATTGTCAAGAAATAGGCTTCGATTACTGTGGCTAATTCCATTTTTGGTTCTTTTTTAAAACACAGAAAAGGTTTCCTTTTACCTTGCTGATAGTTCCGTTTGCGGCTGCAACATCCTCCGCTGCCTGCGGATAAACGGAATAGGAAGTGACGCCACCATCAGCGTCAGCTCTGAGGATGTTTGCAGCCGCAAACGAAACTGTCAGCAAGGTAAAAGGAAACCTTTTCTGTGTTTTAAATAAGAACCAAAAATGGAATTAGAAATCAGACACAGCAAGAATGTACCAAAGATGATTACTGTGGCTGTTAAACATATTATAATGTAACATGGTGCCAATAGTCAAACCTTCTCTGTAAGTGTATCAACATGTGCACCAACATATACAAACCTAAATTAATACTGAAACCAGTCTTCAATTTCTGCATTGCCATTGACAAAACATGTCGTCTCACACCTTCACCAACTGCTGCATCTCCTAAATACATGGACAGACAGATAAATACGTGTATGAATTTAAATGCATTTAACTTATATCACACAAATTCATTTTAGCAACTAAACAATATGAGCAAACAATATGTATTATACCTGTCAGTGTGCATTTGAAAGGAGCTGCCCAGTTGATATTATTCCTTTTGTAAAATTCTATAAAGGAACTGTCCTTGTCATCTTCAGAATCAAACATGTTGATTGACAGCAAGAGGTGGTGATGTTTTGAGTTGCGCTCCAGCAGTTGTTGTCGGAACAACTGACATGCTTCCTTGGGGTCTTCTTCTTTCTCCCAGTCTGAAAATTTGATAAAACCATATCAGCTTTTATTGCTAAGTCAGCCAACTTTGTGTCAAGAGTGAAGTTTATGAAGCCCCATAAAGCTAATTAAAGCTTTTCAAGAGGGACTGTCACTCAATCATATTTGTACAAGTGGTAAATGTTGGCATAGCACATTAATCATTAATGAATCCAAGTTACAGCTTGGGATAGCCAATATCAAATCAGTCCAAGGGCTTCATTTGAGGGTCTGCATGGACCGATGAACTTAAGCCTTGGTGGTCCTCTTATGGTCGTATTCATCTTCTGTGGGAGACATACTGAAAGCTCAAGCCAAACACTGTATTGTCAGCTCACTCCTCCTTAATCATACATGCTGCAAGGACTGACAGGAGGGGAAACTCCTACCATGTACTAACACTGGTACAAAGGGCGCTGAACCGCTCCAGTAGAAAGCCATCAATCCTTTTATTTATAAAGCCCTTTACAGGCATGTAGCATGCCACCAAAGTGCCGCAATTTCAACAGTTATATCTAGGTGTTTCTGAACATAGACAATGCTAACATTTTACAGCAGTGATTTAAAACAGACACTAGGGGGTGCCAAAACAAGCAAAACTGCATAGTGTGCATTTAAAGACCCCCAGAGAACACATCCGAATAAAAAAAGTACAATTTTCTCTCCATATTTTCATGTGCTTTATAGCTTTAATATTGGTGTCATTATCAATTCAACCCAGTACACACTACAGTGGAATATGAATCCCCTATTATCACTTTAAAACAATGTAGATAACAGAACCAATAAAATACCAGAACGATAAGAGTTATCGTTAACAGTAGTAATACAGATAAATCCTGAACAACCGTATTTACAAACACAAACAACTTGAACCAGGAAAAGGACCAGTTTCAAAATACAAAACAGTAGTACTTGTTATTGATAAATTACCAGCAGGTGATGGTGGTGTAGACATTCTTAGAAATGAAGGTCCTGGCAATTCATCAACACTTGTCAGACTGGCTGCTTCCCTGCGCGTAGTGGCAGCAATGTCCATTCTTAAAAAACAAAAAAATAATTAAAAAATACTTGGATAAATGAGGGGGAAAAAACAAGATTTTTCTTATCGTTTACAGATTTTTCCTGCCTAATGCAAACTCCATACCAATAAAAAGTATAAAAGCCTAAACACAAAATATTTTCTCTGTTAAGAATTCTGTTATTAAACACATTTTATATTGATCCTAGTTATAAACTTCTTACCTTTCACCACATGTGCTGGCATGGAATGGAAGGGCATCAACTGGGTATGCTGCTTGACAGATTGGGCAAACCTGAAAAACAAAATTTAAAACAAAGAGGAAGAAAACTGTCAATGAACCTCAGAATTATATTTACCCTAGATAGTATCGCATCTCGACGATCTACATTGAGTACATTGTGCGTCTTTTAAAATCAGTTTGGCGATTAAACCCCACCTACTTATACATCTAATCATCACATTATTATGAACTGAAAGTCATGCTATGCTTTATGCTCCTATGGTGGATTAAGAATTTACTACAGAGTCAAATACCCCACACGACTCTTCCATTTCAGCACATTCTCCCATCTTTGTGGATTCTCCAGTCTCAGTGGTAGGAAGGTCTGAGACAGCTGTAGAACAGAGACCTGGCTCCTCAATAACTGTGCAGTCTTCATCAGGAGATGACTCAAATTCATCCACCTTAAAAATGAAAAAGAGCTGGAGCTGTAGACTTTCAAACAGTAATTTTCCTACACAAACAAGAAAAAATATGTAGAAGTAACAGAAATTGGAAGAAAATAACATAGCTTACATTGCATTCCTCCACATGTAAAGGTAGCAGCTGCAATGGCATTAGACTTTCACATTTCATGCATTTTGCCTTTGGCATGTTGGCAAACTCTGGAGAGTCATAAGGAAGGGGTTCGATAGACAGCTGTTCTTGTAGTGGAGCTAGAAATAAAGTGTTCTTGCCATTGCTGGATGCCCCTTTGAGTGTCTCAAAAGTGTATCCCTCAGGGCCTTGTAAAATTGATGTCAGCTTGCGACGTCCACTACCCCCTATTTTAAAACAGAAATAGTTTCCATTAAAACATTAGTCATGCATCAAATAATATCAGGCAAGTAAGTCTTTGTCAAGAATATACTTAAAGTACCTGTACAATTTCTTGAGTGGTGTGAATTGTTAATTCAAAGAAGTACAAGTATATTATCTTGGGCTTTTTAAATTAAAAAATATATTCTTAAGCCTTCAAATGACAGAACAGATGAGCATGAATGGAAGACAGGCGGAGAGACATGGATCAAAAAGTGCCACGACTCTAGTTTAACCTGGACAGCTGTGGCATCATCCTTGTAGATAGGGCGCTTGCTCTACCACAAAGCCACCAACACCCCTATCTTGGTCTTTTAACATGAAATAAATAAAATATTAATCACTTGACATTTGCAATCCTACCTGTGGACTTGTAAAACATCCAGCCTCCTTTCAAGCTCTTCAGTTTGGGAAATTCCTTCCAAAGTTGAGCTTCAATCTGTAAAAAAATTAAAATTTTGTGAGAAAACAACCAACAAAACAGCAACAGATCAAAATGTACTCATAGCATTGACTAATTACATCACTGTGTCCCCAGTTCTCTGCCAGACGTATAATCCTTTTCCCAAGACCAGCAGTGGCAAGCTGTAGTTCTTCTGCTGAGCCCTTTGGTGTGAATTCAGAGGGTCTTGGAAGGACATATACATGAAAGTTATTTGTTTTCACAACAGAAGTGGTAGGAGCGCAGAATCGTCTTTTCCCCCTTGGCTGATCAGTAGGTTTATTAAAGATGTGTGGAAATGGCCTGGTGTGGGAACAAGTGAAACATGTTAGCAAACAGTGTGTGTTTTCTTTTTTGATACTGGACATACAGGGGTCTTCAACATTTTTCAGGTCAAGGACTACTTGCTGAAAGACAGATTAAGCAAGGAGTCTGCATTGCATACAGTAAACTATTATGTTGCAGATTAAACAGTCATAGATAGCTTCATAAACTTGTTGGACAGCACTATAAGTGTAGTGTAAATGTGAGGTTTGTACTTGTTTACACAAGGTTTTCTAAATTAATGTTCAGTCATTAGAATCCATTAGTGAGCTGGCCATACAGCTGTTTTAGATAGGCACCCCTTAATACCACCAAACATTTGCCATAAATTAACATGATTTGCGTTTCAATCCTGTTTTATCAAATGTATGAAATTAGAAATGCATCACCTTTTCAAGGCCTGCCTCACTGTAGGAGCACTGGGAACAGCAGGTGCACTAAGAGCAGTACTTTGGCCGCTGCCTACTGCCAAAACTGGCATGCTCTGACCTGCACTCTGGCCAGTCCCTTGTGAGGAAGTTGGGGCCAATGATAACTTGTTGCCCAATAAATCACATAAGGCTTGAGCTGTACGAATCACCAAAGGTGACAGTTCCTGTAAAAAGAAAAACACACTAACTGAGTCACAATTACATACAATGATTAAGTGCTTAATTTGTAAATTATTATGTGCCAGATGTCATTACCCTGATTTTTAAGATGTGCTTTATAAAGAAAAATATTTTTTTACATAAAAGAGGGCGCGTTTCGTCTTGCGCGCTAACACCGCATAGCACTATGGGATTAGTAGTCTTATCAGCAAAACATTCATGCACCGGCTCAGCCAGTGTCTGTCTCCTTATTACTGCACAGCCTAAAGTGGGGTGTCAAACTCAAATTCACAATGGTACAAAATTAAAAACTGGGAAAAAATTGCGGGCCAAACTCACTATTTATTGAAAAGTTTATTTACAGATGTCTTGTTATTCAATTGGAAAGAAACTTATGTCTCAATTTTTATTTACTCTTTTTACTCCTTACAATGTGTATATATTCAGTATTTAGATTGTTTTACCTTTTGGATATTTTAAGTTAGTCTATTTTATGTTTTATTTTAGTTTACTCTTTATTATTATGTTTTACTCTCCTGTTTGGCTTCTGTAATGAACGTTATTGCTGCTGTGACATCACAGTTTCCCCACTGAGGGACAATAAAGGGATTTTCTATTCTATTCTTCAATCTGTAGTCTGTCCAGTTCCCATTTTAGAGTAAGTTTAATCTTTTTTTCACAGGCCAACAACAAAAACCAAAAATAGCAATTATCTTCTATGAAAATATCTCAGTTATTAACTTCCATGCTTTGGAGCAGAAAAAGTTCATGACAATTAAATGTTCCAAGCTCAGTTAGCTCCACTCCAATGGTCACCTGTTCCAGCTAGATACCTTCTTTCTAGGCGTTCAAAGTCGGAAACTCGCTGAGTAAACTGGGCGCTTAAGCCCCTTTCCCACCTGTACCGGGCCGGGTAGCGTAGGTTGTTTACATATCTGGGTGGCCTGGTATTTTTGCGGGCCAACCAAGGCTCATTCTCAGCCCTCTTCTCGAGGGGGTCTGCTTCAGGCTGACCAGGGCCAACACACCCACTGCTGACAGCAAATTCACACCTTCCATTAGAGCAAGCCTCTGATTGGTGGGTAGAATCAGCCCACATGGGCTTAAGGGAAGCTCAATTCATTATCATTCATTATCATGCTGATTACCCAGAAGCTGAAAGTGTCTCTGACTGCATTCCTTGCATACCTAAGCAAGGATGTGTGGAAACAACCGGGCCAGGCTGGGGCCGACTGGGGCTACCCAGCCTGGGCCGACCCGGTACAGATGGGAATGGGGCTTTAGAGGAGTATCTTCAGTTGTTTAAGACTGAGGGTAACGCTGCACACGCTGATTCTACTAGCATGGATGCTAATGATCGTAAACATAAACAAGGGCGCGCTTCGTTTCGCGCGCTAACGCTGCATAGCACTATGGGATTAATAGTCTTATCAGCAAAATCGCCCGGCGGACCAGTTTTAATATGATATATTTGACATTTGATTTCGCGGGGCAAATAAAAATAGACCCAAGGGCTTGAGTTTGACAACCGTGGCCTAAAAAAATGGTACCTAGACACGCTAACTAAACAAATGTCCGCTTGAGTTTAGCTTGATGTTAAACTAGATGAAGAATGGACCAGACTTCACGTAACGTCCGGACTGAATTTAACATAAAACATTTTACTTGACAATGAAGAACGCTTCTACTCATAATTCAATAACATTGCATCAATTACAACGAGGAAATAAGATAAAACTGTTACTCACAGATTGTGACCGATCCATCCCGCTCTGCCGTGTGAGCTGCAATGTGCATGCGCACAGCAGATCTGTTCCGTAACATAAGGAGCCATATGATTGGCTGAAAGCGAACCGCCCTGGTGGAATCATATATTTGATTGACAGATTCATTAACCAATGGTGACGTTTGTTGGCCTGCGACGTTAGGAGAGTCTCAAAATTCAGCACACCGATTTCTCTCACGAATGCAGGAAGGTTCACAAATGAGAAGCTGTCCGTGAATGCACCACACAGATTTCACTCACAAACGCAGAAAGGTTCACAAATGAGAAGCTGTTCGTAAATGCACATTCAGCAATTCGTATGATCTGTGAGTTTATATTACAAGTGTTCTTACAAATTATATTTGTGAACCACAGAGTGTGAACTTCAGAATTAGCGTGTGCATTTGTGGAGAATGTTGCGTGAGTTATTTTTTCACATTATATTTATGTGTCAAAGAGTGTGAATTTCCGAATGAGCGTGTGCATTTGTGTTCCTCCGAATTATATTTGTGAAACACAGAGTGTGGATTTCCGAATGAACATGTGCATTTGTGGAAAAGGTTGTGTGACTTAATTCTTATTGAGACTGTTCTGTATGAGGCCAGAACAGTCTCAATAAGAATTAAGTCACACAACCTTTTCCACAAATGCACACGTTCATTCGGAAATCCACATTCTGTGTTTCACAAATATAATTCGGAGGAACACAAATGCACACGCTCATTCGGAAATTCACACTCTTTGACTCATAAATATAATGTGAAAAAATAAGTCACGCAACATTTTCCACAAATGCACACGCTAATTCTGAAGTTCACACTCTGTGGTTCACAAATATAATTTGTAAGAACACTTGTAATATAAACTCAGATCATACGAATTGCTGAATGTGCATTTACGAACAGCTTCTCATTTGTGAACCTTTCTGCGTTTGTGAGTGAAATCTGTGTGGTGCATTCACGGACAGCTTCTCATTTGTGAACCTTCCTGCATTCGTGAGAGAAATCGGTGTGCTGAATTTTGAGACTCTCCTAACGTCGCAGGTCAACAAACGTCACCATTGGCTAATGAACCTGTCAATCAAATATATGCTTCTGCCAGGGCTGTTCGCTTTCAGCCAATGGCTCCTTATGTTACAGAACAGATCTGCTGTGCGCATAAGTCGGACACAATTTCCTGCATGTGTAGCTCGGGGGTGACGATGGATGAAGATATCGCGTTAGCGTTCATACTTGTTTAATTTTCAATTTTAATTCTGGTGCCTGTTAGCAGCTGAAACACATCATCACGTGCTTGTGGATATCAAATATCGAATATGAAAACATGACTGTAATAATAAGTAAAGGTTAGCAGCTGTAGCTTCAGTGTGCTCATAGGAAACATGACAAAAGAACACAAACCACATTTCTCTTTATGGCCTATATAGTTGTCATCATTAACGTTACATGATTTACAGAATACATGTGACCAACTAACATTTCATGTTCTACCACCGGATGTTTGGATCAAAATATGAACCAATCAGATCTTAGATCAGGTGAGAGCCAGGCGTTTCCCGTCATCCCCTAGGTTTTGCAGCCAAGGGAGAACAACTGCAGCGCCTTGCTCCAAAATCTGCGGCCGCCTTGATCTCAAGTGGTTATCGTTGCCTACGTATGCATGACGTCAGAGCAAGTCGGCGTCAAGTCGGACACAAATCTAACCGGTTACATTACATTACCAACGCTCCACCATATGGGTGGCCTCTTAATAATCTTATTCAGAAAAATTATGCATTTTTACTAAGTGAAAGCAAACCCGTTAGGGGCAGAGACCTCTTGAAGCTCATATTAAACATTGTCTGCAGAGAAGGTAGGAGAAGCTAGTAAATCATCAGGCCTATTCCATGGGAGTGACTCTGAAAAGGAGCAAAAGCTCCAGCTCTTTATCTTGGCAGGTGTCTCTATTCTCCTGTGTTCAGGCTTTTGGTTACATCAGTTACTTTTCCTTTTAATGAGCTGCATATATTTCTAACACAGCCTTCAGTGACATCAAGAAAAAAAACTTTTTAATTGTAAAAGACATTATTCTCATTCTAAGAACAAATGAACAAACTGTGTGTGGGTATGTGTGTCCAGTTGCAACTTAACACAGACTCAGAAGCATAGAGAATCTTCTCACAACACCTAATCATCCCTTGATCAAAAAACCAGTAGATAGAATCTTGTCATGTTATTCCATTTAATAAGTAGATGGACGGAGCTATAGTACAAGTTTTCAAGTGTAATGAAGATGATCGCAGGGTAACACAGTTCCCCTTAAATGTTGAGCAAAAATTATGAAACGAGACAAAATTCAAACAATAACATGTAAAAATAAATGGATCTCCTGATAAGTAGGTGCTTCACCTTTAAATGTTTTTATTAGAGCTGGATACACAGGAAGATGCATGTTACTAAACCAACTCTAGCAATGATAGCACATTTACATTTTGAAGAATTGTAGCATAGATGAAGTGAACAGCAGCCTTTTCAAATACATTCCTGGTCTAAAATAAATCAGGCTGACAAAGACTTTAAGGAAATACACAACTATAAATGAATTTAGAAATCTATTTTGGGGTCTATCCTTTAGCATTTCATATTTACAACGGCAAATCCCTTGAATAACAATATACAGTACATTAACCTTAAAATGGACCACTCCTTCACTTTTTAACTTCCTTCCTTCCTGTCTCTTTATTTTCTTTCTTCCTAACTCCCTACCTTCTCTCTCCTTCCTTCTTCACACATGTAATCATCTAGCCTCAAGTAAGTTCTCAACATACTGGACAGTGTGAAGATATGTGTCCACTCCCAAAAGAGTCTGAATGTTTCAACGGATTAATGTTGTCCTGCAGTTCCAAAATTTCATGATCTGTAAGAGGACTGTCCAGTACAGGGACATTGATCCCAGGATGAGGTTCAGTCATGCATCCATTCTCCTCCCATTCAATCTCTGGTGTCGGTATACCCTGGAAAAGGAAAGTGTGTATGAGCATTGTGCATAATGAATCTCAAGAAAACACATTTAATAAAGCCCTATCATGACCTTTTAACAATTACTTAACATCAATGATTTCAGGCAGAACCTAGCATCTCCATTATTTCATAAATTATTACTTTTTTAATTAATGGGCTACTTTTATGTTAAAACAGCAGTGAGAATATCACATCTGGAAGGTCTAATGCCTTGCATTTTGAACTTGCAGATGTGTCATGACTTTGTAATGTCATGACATTATAGTTGAGTGTCCATTTCAGTAGAGGTGCACACAAACAGAACTGTAATTTCAACAGCCATTTTGTCTTGAATCCAAGAAGCATAGAGCAGAGGTAGATTATCAAAGTGTTGAACATTTGATTTTTAGTTAAGGATCAACTTGACATGTGATCAGTCATTTTAACAGAACATACATTTGCCCCTGGATCAGAAACAGGATTCAGAGCCTGGCCCAGATGCCACAGCTGATTTGGTGTCATGTTTTCCTCTGTCCTGATTGGATGGTTGTCCCACGCATCTCTAAAGACATCCAGGCTGGCCTGGATGCGAGACAAGAAAATATAGTGGCAACAAAACATGTGAAGGATGTTACTGATGTCGAGCAAGTCTTGGTCTTCCAGAGAGTGCAGGATGTTGTAATATAGACCAGTAACACTCATGAAGACATCACGCCACAGGCGCTCGATCCTGGATTTGGAGGGGGATTAAATAAAAGAAAATTATAATATACACACACATTTACATGTCCATACATCCGTTTTCAACTTGAGTTATCTTTTGAATGGTCGCAGGAGGACTGGTGCCTATCTCTAGCAGTCACAGTGTGAGACGAAGGGTGCACCCTGGGCAGGTCAACAGGCACAGGCACGCGCGCACAGACACAAAGCTTCCAAATTAGGTTAAACTCACCGTTGATTGTGTACACTTTTTCCTGCAATGAAGCTGTTGGTGTCAGTTCCACGAACTGAGAACATTAATTATGCAACACCTACATTTTCTCCGCCATGATCTCCTCTCACCATGAAAAAAAAAAAACATTAGAATCTTGCTTCAAACATTTTTAATGCACATCTATAACAATCTACATCAATTTGAGTCTCACAGAAATTTCCTTATGTACCTTGCTACTAAGTGAGTAAACAATAAACAATGTGGCATTATTAACCCTCTGCTGGGGAAATATTTTTTGAAAGAGGGAAATGTTCACCCCCCCCCCCCCCCCCCCATATATTTTACTATATGACCTCAAATGGCATGTTATCTTTGGTCAATAACACACTTTAGGCAAAAGCAGATTTGTAACAGGGTAACAGAGGGTAAAGTTGGGAATAACATGAATACCTCAGAGGAAAGCCATGCTCATTCACAGCTTCACTGAAGAAGGCAAGGTGGGTGTCTGCCCGGTTGTTGTCAGCTACCTTCAGGTACATGATCTATGTAATTCAAGCACAAACACTCTCATATGACACATTTTTATAGGGGTCAAAACAATCAATTACCAAATGAAAGGTACAACAGCCATACAATAACATGTTAGATAATTAAATAAGTTAAGATCTGTGAAAACCAAAAATAGCAATTATCTTCTATGAAAATATCTCAGTTATTAACGTTCATGCTTTGGAGCAGAAAAAGTGCATGACAAATATTTCAAGCTCAGTTCGCTCCACTCTGATGGTCACCTGTTCCAGCCAGATACCTTCTTTCTAGCCGTTCAAAGTCGGAAACTCGCTGAGTAAACTGGGTGCTTAGAGGAGTATCTTCAGTTGTTTAAGACTGAGGGTAACGCTGCACACGCTGATTCGACTAGCATGGATGCTAATGATGTAAACATAAAAGAGGGCTTGCTTCGTCTCGCGCGCTAACGCCGCAAAGCACTGTAGGATTAGTAGTCTTATTAGCAAAATCGCCCGGCGGGCCAGTTTAATATTATATATTTGATATTTGATTTCGCGGGGCAAATAAAAATAGACCAAGGCCTTGAGTTTGACAACCGTGGCCTAAAAAATGGTACCTAGATACGCTAACTAAACAAATGTTCACTTGAGTTTAGCTTGATGTTAAACTAGATGAAGAATGGACCAGACTTCACGTAACGTCTGGACTGAATTTAACATAAAACATTTTACTTGATCATGAAGAACGCTTCTACTCATAATTCTATAACATTGCATAAATTACAACGAGGGAATAAGATAAAACTATTACTCACATATCGTGACCGGTCCATCCTGCTCTGCCGTGTGAACTGCAATGCGCATGCGCACAGCAGATCTGTTCTGTGACATAAGGAGCCATATGATTGGCTGAAAGTGAACAGCCCTGGCAGAAGCATATATTTGATTGACAGGTTCATTAGCCAATGGGGACGTTTGTTGACCTGCGACGTTAGGAGAGTCTCAAAATTCAGCACACCGATTTCTCTCACGAATGCAGGAAGGTTCACAAATGAGAAGCTGTCCGTGAATGCACCACACAGATTTCACTCACAAACGCAGAAAGGTTCACAAATGAGAAGCTGTTCGTAAATGCACATTCAGCAATTCGTATGATCTGAGTTTATATTACAAGTGTTCTTACAAATTATATTTGTGAACCACAGAGTGTGAACTTCAGAATTAGCGTGCGCATTTGTGGAAAATGTTGCGTGACTTATTTTTTCACATTATATTTATGAGTCAAAGAGTGTGAATTTCCGAATGAGCGTGTGCATTTGTGTTCCTCTGAATTATATTTGTGAAACACAGAATGTGGATTTCCGAATGAACGTGTGCATTTGTGGAAAACGTTGTGTGACTTAATTCTTATTGAGACTGTTCTGGCCTCATAGTTCTGGCCTCATAGAACAAGGACAGATTGCCAGGAAAATTACCAAGTGCAAGGGAAAAATGTCCCAGGACTCTGTTGTCCATTGTAACTCAAGTTTAGTGCCAGATTCCTTGTGATGCTGCAGTTATATAACCAGCGATGGAAAATGAACTGTTTAACAGGATTTTGTGCACAAACTGTAGCGTTTGACAGTAGTGATGAATCAAAGTCCATAGCATTTAGAAATAGCATCATTTGTTATAGATGCTAAAACATGCGGTCGTCTGATACTGCTCAGTTTAAAACCACTCAAATCAGCTTCAGCATGCTGAAAAGGTACTTGCATCCTATGTTTTATCTCAGTGTGTTCGTATCAGATTCCTGTGTATTCAATCAATTTTGTTTGACAGAAAAATAAATACTAAGACAGTTTTGACAGTATGCTGAATTTCTTTAAAAAATAGCTTTAGAAGTTTGTTTTTGAAATTAAATGTTCTTTATTTTCCTTCACAAATCTAAAGGCTAAAGCTCAGTTTTATTTATTTACCAGTCAAAGGAGGAGAAAGGATGAAAGATAACCAAACCAGAATGGTGATGACCCATAGAAGAATTAAATACATGTCTTTTTTCAACAAATAAATACATTTATTTATTAAAATACATGGGAGCAGGTCTAAGACTCTGGGTGATGCCATATTAGATGCCGTGTTTCTTTCTACGGGTGCCTGTGAGGATACAATGCATTTGTTGATTTGTAACAAACCGTTACAAAACGTTCACCATTCGTAAACATTGTTTTACACATGTACCTCTTCACGCATTGCCAGTGATGAAAGGGAGTCTGATGCGCTTGTCATTTTGCTGGAAGTTGCGCTCTCTGTCAGTTTTTGACCCTAATGGTCATCCGTTGGTAAGGCCTTACTCAAACACAAAAATACCTCTTGCTGGTAATGATTTAGGTAAGTACTGCCCCTTATCTCCAGGGAAAATACACACCGTCACTTTAAGAAGCAACACTGCTTTACAATTTCACATGCTGGTGTGCAAATGGAATAGACAACTGGTGGAAATTTTAGGCATTTAGCAAGACTTCCCTAATATAGCGGTTGTGCAGGTGGTGACCACAGACCACTTCTCAGTTTCTATGCTTTCTGGCAGAAGTTTGGTTCACTGTTGAATGCTGGTGGAGCTTTCACTCTAGTGGTAGCATGAGACGGAGTCTACACCACACACAAGGGGCTCAGGAGGAGATCCCTCAGGAGACCATTCGCCACCTCATCAGGAGCATGCCCAGGTGTTGTAGAGAGGCCATACAGGCACATGGAGGGCACACACTACTGAGCATCATTCTGACTTGTTTTAAGGACTTTACACCAAAGTTGGATCAGCCTGTAGCGCGTTTTTCCACCCTTAATTTTGAGTGTTACTCAAAATCCAGACCTTCATGGATTGATAAAGTTGATTTAATTGATAATTATTGTGTTTTTGTTTTTAGCACATTCGATTATGTAAAGAACAAAGTATTTAATCGTTATTTCATTCATTCAGATCAAGGAGGTTTTATTTTGTGTTCTCTTTTTTATTGATGATATATAATATCATATATATATATATATATATATATATATATATATATATATATATATTTCACATTATTGAACTGCACACTCATTTGTTTCTGAGCCACATGTTCACTTGTTAAATGCTACTGAATTCGACCCATAAATGCGACAACAGCTGCTTCTTTTCCATGTCTGGCTCTGCAGTCTGTCGAGTGCATTCAGAGTCTGGAACATTCCTGTTCTAATGCGAACCAAACATTTACATCTGATCTTTCAGGGCAACACAAACAGGCAGGCTGGGGGAATTGCTGAGAGGTATTGCGGCCCACCTGTCCTTTCACTGGCTTGTCTTAACTAAACTTTTGTGTCACATTTAAAGTTAAATTCTTGGCTATATTTTTTCCATGCATGGTAGTAATCAGAGCTTTGAATCCCACAGCACGAACAAGCAATTACAATTAAATACATATTCACATGAAAAACCTAACTGAAGATTTACAATAATGAAAGTGATCTAAAGGGCAGCAGTCTCAGCTCTTTCTTTTCTTCATCAAGTGTTTTCTTTAGGTCTGATACCTGCTCAGCAAATAAAAGGGATAAGAAACAGTGCTGGTAATAGAAGAGATTTTAGTCCAGCCTGTTTCCTCGCAGAGTTCCTATTTTCTGCGTCAGGTTTATAAATCAGCTACAAAGGAGGATCAGATTGCAGATGCTTGTCTAGTAGCCAGGCGTGTTTGTTCATTACTTTACATGATAGTAAGGCAGTTTAACAATTTACAATTTTTGTAAATGTTTGTGAATTCCGAGGCTGGAGGCTTGGAGGGGTAGCTGGCCCTCTGGTTGGGGTCTGGGGTGGTGGGATGCTTTGCTCAGCATTGGGCGGGGGAGTCTACTCATCATCACCCCAGCAGAAAGGGGTGAACAACCGATGATGGTTGTATGCTTTGTGCAGCAGTACTGGGACCAGATTGAATAGGGTGTGTATGGGGAGCATGAGTGGGTGTCTAGCATTCATTTTTGTGAGTCTTAGGTTGTATGTGTATGTGTGAGCATGAGGGAGGGAGTGTGTGACTGTGTCTGTGTATGACTGTATATGTCAGGTGGGGTCTTGGACTCCTCTCCTCTGCTGGGACTTCTTGTGCTGCTACACATCTTTGCCTGCCCTCCCTCTGCCACATTTGGTGTGGAGTGTGGTGCCTTGGTCTGCCTGAGTGTTCGCGGCTCCTGTGTTAGGGGGTTTAATCAATCCCGGTGGTTGCCTGGTGGGATCTGAGTCCCTGTCTCTGTCTCTGTTGGGTCCCCGGCAGGGCTGGTCGCCCCTGGATCCCAGGTCGCTGGGTTCCGGGCTCGGCCGGCTTGGGGTGGGAGGCTGCGGCCGGGCCTGTGGGTTTGCCGCTGATATCTCCCGGGACTCTGATGGCTGCTGGTTGTGACCCCCGGGGCAATCCTCTGCACCTCTTGAGGGGAGCAGGGGGCTTTTCTGGTCGCAGTCTCCCTGGGGTCCCTGCACTCTCTGCATTTCTCTCTGTTTTTATAGATTGGTATAACTTTTGCTATTTTCATTTGTGAGGGAAACACACCAGTTCGAAAGGATAGATTACAGACATATGCAAAATGTTTCACTATATATTCTATAATACTTTTCACTAATATCATATCAATACCAAACAGTCAGTGGACTTTTTATTTTTAAATGTTTTCACAATGTTAATTATTTCTCTATCAGTTACAGCACCAATAAACATGGAGGACACATTCTGAGTTATATGTTTATTTAGATCATTATTAATTCTTGACTCTGGAATTTCTTTTGCTAAATTAAAGCCAACATTTACTAAGAAATTATTAAATTCATTTGCAATGTCTTTGGTTTTATCAAGCACAATATCTTTATCTTTTTTAAAATAGTCTGGATAATTCTTATTTTTTGAGCCATTTTTGATTACACTATTTAATATCCTCCATGTTTCTTGTGTGTTACTTCTGCTTTGCTCCAATAATGTGTGGTAATCTTTCTTACTTGTTCTTATAATATTTACTAATCTATTTTTATATAACTTGTACTTTAATTCAGCATCTTTTGACCTCTGTTTTATGAATCTTTTATATAGATATATATATTTTTTACATGCATCTTCTATCCCCTTTGTGATCCATGGCTTATTTGATTGGTAAGTTCCTGAAAATTACCCGGAAAATAGCTTATTTGGCTAGCCTGGTGAAGTGGAGATACGTGTGTGCTGGGTGTCACGTTGCGGCAGGAGGAAGTCAAACCCAAAATGCTGAACCCAGAACGACTCGAGGCAGGAGAGGTTGTAAGAAAATAAATTCCTTTTATCAAGGAGGAGGAGCAAAATCCAAAAAGCACGAAGGACCTGGGAAACTCGAGGACGACAAAAACAATGCTGACAACATCAATGGACCAACAAACACTGAGAGACACAGACGGGGTTATATACACAGGGCTGGGTGATAGGAGACGAGGAGCAGGTGCGTGGGGAATTGGGCACAGGTGAAACTAATGAACTGAGGGAAGAAGCAGAAATAAGCAGGGGAGAAAACCATATCTAAACCAAAGCTACTAAAATAACCTGAACTTTAAACACTGTAGAACAAAAACTAAAAATAAATAAACTAATGATAAGTGAAGTGACTAAAGAGAAATCTGAAGAAGCTGGAGACCAAAAGGGGGGCACAGAAGATTAGGGGACATATGAGGGGAACCAGGAGGGGCTGGGGACCACGAGCACACAGAACATAAGAGGACACATGTGGAAACCTGGAGGGGGCATGGGGACAACAGGGACACAGAAAATGACACCGGGAAGTTCTGGTAAAATTACCCTGAGGTTCGAAATACGTGAAATGGTTCAGAAGTACATGAAATTTAAAAACATTCCACCAAAGTAAATGTAATGAAACAGGGGAGGTTCCCCAGTTCATCTTCTTGCCCCGGACCCCAAACTTTGTATGTACCCCCCTGTGTTAGACTACCTCCCTTCATGAATCTCAGATTGAAACAGAGCAGCTCTTCGCTCGCTGGTGTGGTCACCGTCCTCCTGAAACGCTCTGAAACTTTTCCGATCCTGCTTTGCCCGGGATATCAGAGACAGAAGAGAGATCGACCCGGGAAGAGGAAGAACAGTGCAGTTGCCATGGGGACTGAAAATCACTAATTCAGAGTCAGACATTTGGCCAGTTTGTTTCGAAGAAGAAATTTAGCCAATCTTGTTTAACTTTTTCATTTACAGAGTTAAATTAATTTATTTTTATTAGCTTTAAAGAAATACATTGGAGCTGGAGCCATTTGTTTTCTAATCACGCGTGGAATTTATCGAGGGGGGAACACATATCGACGTAGCACCGGCAGTTAAAAGTTAGCAGAGAGATAAAACTATAGAGGATGTAAGTAAGAGGATGTTCTCCGAATAACTACAAATACGTCTGATAAGGTAAGTTATATACTCGCATATAACACGATAATGTACATTTTAGCTAGCAAACATGCTGTAAAACAGTTTCATGCTGTATAAAAACAGTAAATTTAAGAGGATGTCAAATAAAAAAAGTCTATAAGCCGTTTGCGTCATAAATGTTAATTTAGGTGGACGTTTTAAATTTTGCTTTGCAATCGGACTACTTTTTACTGAGCAATGCAAGAGTCAGACAAGTGAAGTTAAATATTTTAGCCTTTTTTTGGTTCCGTTTTTTAACCCCTCTCCGGTTCCTGCACGGCTTACATATATATATAGTGCAGAGGATTAAGGATTTCTTGTTATGATTTTCAGGTGTCAGAACAAAACACACAAACATGGTGGAGAAGAAAAATGTCGGAAGGCTTCTCAACCTCACATTCAACAAGTCCATAAAGGTTAAGCCCCAGACCACAACAAGCCACGACCTGACTCTGCTGTTAGATCAAGGGGACAGAGACTTATGGTTCAGCCATCTGAGTAAGGAGGGCTTCCCCGACAGAGTCTACCTGCTGGCAGCTGCTATCTTCCAGAACCAACACCTGGAGAAGCCTGCAGCTCACCGGTTCATAAATTATGGCAAAGACCGGGGGCTCCCATTGCCTGAGTTCAGAGATGAAGACATGCAAAGAGCAGCTTATGAGTTGGCTTTCAGTACTCTTAAATGTAAGTAATCCACACACATATGCCACATATTTGAGTGTATTTAGATAATTTTTAATGTTGACTCATACAATTGTAGAAAAATATATATAATATAAACTACCCACTCTTAAATCATAGTTGCACCCCCAGGTAAAGGAGTCTGCAGATTTTTGCAGGAAGCCATTTAGGATTTTTATAATACATCCTAATGCACAAAGATAGTGCAATCATACGCTAACAGAGACTCCAGCTTCCCATGGAGTATTAAAATGAACATTTTATCAAACATGTGCAAAGGTTTTAGTAGAGATCCGACTAAAACTCCCTGCAAAATTATATTAGTGCCTAAACTTGACAGCTGTGGGAAAACGATCCTTCATCCATAAAAACTGATTTGATATGTTGAGTGTTTTGGGTTTTTTGGTGTGTGGACACTCATTAGGTGTTTTCATCCCCCCCTGTCTCCATTAATCTGTAATTCTTTGAATTATTTGATAAAACCTATTTGATTCCAAGCAGAGAAAGCAGTAATTTCAAACAATAATTAATGGCTTTGGCGAAGTCAGTTGACAGGCTGAATTGAATGTAGATAGATTGATGAAGGGCATGTAGGAGAGCCAACAAAACAAACAAAAAAAAAACACTTGAGTGACCGGGGGAACGTGTGAGGAAGCTAAAAATCAATTTTGCACATAATCTCTTTACTGGGACCACGGTGGGGTCTGGGTGACTGAAGTCACAAGGGTGTGTAATCACCATGGTGATAAGGGAGAGGAAGCCAACCAACCGCCACTGCAGGAAGAGAAGAAATCGATTTGATGTGTTGGCAGTGGACAGAGAGGTCAGGTCGTTTGGACAGCCTCAAAGCCGTGAAGGATTTTCTTCAGACCCTATCCATCTGCTGAACCTGGATAATCCTCAGACCTACATGTTCCTCTGTTAATGCTGCTCACCTCACAAATATCCATCATCACGAGCTGCAGCATCCTACAGGAGTAGCTTATATTGGCTTTACAGCTGCAGGCCACAGAACTTACATCAGCAGGTGGAATTGACCAGATTATAGAAACATTATAGAAAAAAGCCCAACATGTTTACTTTAATCCTTCATCCCCTTTCCCCACTGAAAGGATGTTTGTACATTGCTTAGAATTGTATCTGTTTAAACAAAAGCCTGATGTAGGATTTAATTAATGAATACAACTGTTAAAATGTTCTTTTGAAGACAAATATTCATTTTCTATGTGTCAGGTTAGATTGTTCACCTGTTTACTTGATCAAGCTCACTCTATTTATTTTTTTAATGTACAGGTTTGGAACCTCCCAGTATGCGCTTAGTTTTATAACCTAACTATATCTCTGTTTGGGGACCTGCATTGTCATGACGTGTGGTATTTCTTGTGTTTGCTGTGCACTAACATTTTGTGTTGATGAAACAACGCCGCCTGGAAGCCAATCTTTGCTCTTTCCATGCTGCTGAAGTGGAAATTGATTTGCTGCGGTGACATACATGCATAGTGATAGTCATACCTACCGTATATAGGCACACACCCACACACACACAAACACATAGTGTCATTTGTGCCACTAACAGTGACTAATCCAAAATTGAATGGGGCTCAAGAAGAAATGCTTCAGCAGCAAAAAATAAATAAAAAAAACATGCAGAGGAAAAAGCCAGTGAGCTCAGGTAATGATCTTGTGATTATGTCTCTTACTTGCTCATAAAAAAGTTGCTCAGTAAGCTCTGTGTTGGAGGCTGAAGCGTAGACTCTCCTGTCAATGATTGGTGATAATGTTAAAGGATATTTTGGCTATTTTGACATGTTTCTGTGTAAAAGTTATAAATGATTGCTATCTTAGCTTCTGTAGACTGGTTGTTAGACTGCCATGACAGAACAGCTCCAATTTCCTGAATTTCACACCAATTCATGCAATGTTACTCAAAAACAGTGGCACAGTTGGGAGCACTGTTTGCTTGCAGCATGTAAGTTTCCATCTTATCCTCATGTATGCGTGGGTTTTCTCCGAGTACTCTGATTTCCTCCCACTGACCATTAACAAGCATGTCAGGCTGATTGGAGACTCTAAATTGTTCCTAGGTAGGAGAGGTGGTTGTCTCGGTGTATCCCTGCGATGGACTGGCCAACTAGCCAACACAACCTTGTGCACAATGACTGTTGGAGTCTCCCTGAGACCTTTGTGTATATTAGAGGTAGACTGATATATTGGTCGGCCGATAATGTATAGTTATGTTCCTGAATAACATCTGCACAAAATAAGCTCTAAAAGTGAGTTTCAACTTAATTTATTTTTATTTACCAATTTATTGATTTGTTTGATTAACTTTAGTTAGATGTTTGAGTTTATACCCGAGTAGTTTACCCGGATGGTTAAAATTCAGTGTTTAAAAACTGATTCAGCTTCAGAAATGTATGCATGAACTGATGTTATTAGTGACGTTTTCGCCTGCAAATACGGTGGAAAATGTCTAGATATCGGTCATTAAATCAGCAAAAATGGGCAGCATATATTGGTCATTGGGTGACCAGACATATTGTCATCAGTATTGGCAATAGAAAACTAATACGGTCAACCTCTACTGCATATACTATATGTATGTATGCATGTGTATATAGTTTATATATTTTACATGTGAAAACTCTCTCTGTAAGGCCAGAGACCAACAGCCAGTAACTCCCATTTCTTTTGAACATATAGTTATTGTTTAATGGTCATATCGGGTTGCACCATCTCTCATTGATAAGCACAGCCAGACCCCCACCTGTGTGCTTACCGCTCTGCTCTGTGCTCCTGTCGGCCCGCGTGAGTATAAGTCTTTCCAGGGAAACCTCAGTCAGCTATGAGCTCATTCATCCATGTTTCCATAAAAAGCATCAAGCTACACTGTCTGTAGTCCTACTGCAGCCTGGTCAGCGCTGTGAGCTTGTCAATCTTATTGTGCAGAGAATAGACATTTCCCATAATCACAGAGGATAAATATGGTTTATATCATTGTTTCCTCTCCTGCTCTGCAACCTCTTTGTTTCCTCTTTAAATCTGCAGGCAGAACTTCTGTAGAGAAGAGTGCTGGTCTCCGAAGCACCAACAGCTGATCCCTGGTGGAAACAATAGATCCGTAGTGGAATTTTTCAGTGTGTTCCCAACAAGTTAAAAAAACTGGAAAAAAAATTGGCACAAGCAACACCAAAGTACTCCTGTGGACCGTGCGGTTGAGGGAAAATATGCCCACATCAAGGGCATTGAAAACACGCAACACAAGACAAGCAAAAGCGTAAAGAGGGGAGTAAAGAAGCGAGAGCTGCTATAACTGGCTGCCGCCTGTACCGCACCGTTTTATATATATATATATATATTATATATGTATATATATACATGTATATACATATATTTATATACGGTATGTATATATATATATATATATATATATATATATATATATATATAAATAAATATATATATATATATATATATATTATATATGTATATATATACATGTATATACATATATTTATATACGGTATGTATATATATATATATATATATATAAATATATATATATATATATATATATATATATATGTGTGTGTGTGTGTGTGTATATATATATACATGTATATACATATATATATACATATATACAACCAGGGATCAGGTTCGTCAGGAAGGAATACTTCTCTTGGGCAGAAAAGAGAATGGTGTAAAACTGACAGCTGTGTGATGATTAAAGCTGCAACAGCAAATCTGCAAAACAAGCTATCTGAACTCTGACCCCTTCTATTCTCTATCTTCCCTAGGCCATGCTCCCTTGATGTGGGATTGCCAGAGTAAATGAGAGAGCATTAAACACCAGTTGCCGTTTTCTGTGTTCAAATGTTTTTTGTTGTCCAACAGCTATGTCTTAAGATGAAGTGGTAGCAGCCAGCTGTTTTTTAATGTTTTCTATAATTTAAACAATTTTTAAAATCTCATTTATTTTTATTTTTGTTTGCCTCCTGATTTCTATCTTGAGAGGTGCTATATAAAATGTTGTTTCTTCTTTTTCTGTTTCTCCTTCTCCGATATTACTGAGCAGAGAACATCTCACATCAGTGGTGTTTGGAGGACCCAAAGAAGTGCAGTTGGTTCTGTTTGAAAATCTACCGGATAGTCTAACTGGTGGTTTCAGACCGAGACCTATTATTAGCTAAGGTTTTCAGACAAATGCAGGAGAACCACTTAATTTTTTTAAACTCCACAATACATTTATAGCTATTCTATGATAGAAGGTTAAAAGGCATGAAAAAAATTAAGCTAGCTTCTTTTAACAGATTTTCTATTGTAGCTTTAATTTGATCTCTTTGCATAACTCATTATGATATATTGAAGTGTAAAGCTGTTTTTTCGGTCTTAACGCTGTTCAGTCTAGCTGTTAGCTCATCAGTCCTGCAGGACAGGACTTATGTTTCTGAAGTCCTTGAGGGTGCTTTCAGGTGAAATAATAACTATTAACAACTTTTACACAGCGGCACACATGCTTTTTTGCCACGCTCTTTTCTCACCTCATTTATTGTGATTTTTCTCTCTATTTTTAGATCATCTGGCCATTTGGATTTCTTTGGCCTCTTTGGTCTTTTTCCAAAGCCCTTTTTCATAGCTGAGCAGCTACTGACCCAGGGGCAGATTATACCACCAAGGTTTCATAGCTTATTAGTTGCTCAAACAGGGTGTTCTCGTAGCTACATAAAGTAGTTTTTTGGCGAGTCTTTGCTGGTACAGATTTACCTGGCCTTGTGTGAGCCATTAAAGCCCCTCTCCCCCCTACTCGCTGCCTCTCTGAGTATTTCAGCTCCATTGTCCATACTGTCCAACTGGGCTGCCAGACTGCAGAGTTACTGGGACTGCTGCTGTCTGAGCACAACAGGAGGGGGTTTGTGCTAGGCTGATTTTACAGCATCAGTGAGAAATATTCTTTTTTCTTTTTTGGGGGGGTTCTTGACCTTGGATCATAAAGGTTCCAACTTTTGTGCCTCAGCAAAAATTAAACTTTAAAATCCACAGAAGATTTTTGCCCAAAGGTGAGTGTATAACTTACAGCAAAGACCTTTTCTCAGCCTGTCCTCACTTAGATTAATGTTCAGTTGGGTTTGCTGATACAGAACATTGTGAGACCAAAGCTTGGAGACTGGATTCGGGTTCAGTCTTACACTAAGAATGTGTTTGACTGCAGTCACCATCAGTCACTGGTCTTTTCTTCAGAAAGTGAATAGAAACCACAAAACACAAATTCAAAACAAGCCCTGTTGTTTGTGGCATTCTCTTTCAACCTGACATTAGAGGACACACCTTTTTTATGACCCTATCGAACATTCTGTACCATCCTTCAGGTAACACCCAGCACTATTTCTGAAGATAAGTGATTTAGAGCTGAAAGTTCTCTGATTTCGACTCATTACTATGTGTGATTTATATTATGTGGACAACTAGTGACTTCTCTGCAGGGCCAACTGTCATGGCCTCTTCTTTGGTCTGGTTTGCAGTGAGCGGTTATCTGCTACGAGCTTATCTTTAAGACCTTCTGCAGAATTATAAACATTAGCAGCTATAAAGACCGCTGCTAATGTTTGACGCCTGTGTGTCCTCCATTAAAGATAAGCTCTATCACATGGAAACATGCATTTCTGTACCCCATTGAGTGTGTGTGTGTGTGTGTGTGTGTGTGTCCGTGTCCGTGTGGTTGTATTGAAAAGATGTGTCTGTCTGTCCTGCTCCTTAGGGGGTGCCCAGTGTGCATTTTGCTAGGAGCCAGTAAACAGTTTGCTGTGATTTGTTGTGATGGGTTAACAGTAGTGTGTTTGGTTGCCATGGTGTCTCATTACATGGGATTTATTTAGGAAATAATGCAGAAGGTGACCACACACGTATTAGTCTGACTGAACGTGCATATACATTTTCCAGCTGTGGTTTCACACTTACCTAAAAACTCGAGATTCTTGTTGTTACTTTGCATTTGGTTCCTAACAGTAACATAACGAGCTGTTTTCCAGTCCCAATGAACAGTTAGGGGAATTATTCTTTTAAGTTTCTATTTGTGGAGAGAGAAAAAACCCAGAAGAGCTTTAAAGGCCCGTAACGTAATAATAATAGATATGTAGATATACGGTGTTTTATTTTCCTGTTCAGAGGTGGAAAGTGTCAGCTTTCATCTCAAGCTCAATGCACTTCTACTTTAGCAGTGTGACATTTAGGGAAAGATGATACACATCTATTATAAAGGATCTGTAGCTCACAATTACCAGCCCTCTATCTAATCCACCAAAGTTTGAGTTCCGTATCTTTTAACAGATGGTAAAATATTGACTAACATTTTTTGTTGAGCTCCAGATGTCTTTTAAATGTTGATTAAAAGTTGTATTTACAGATCCATTGTCATCCGACACCATGGTCTTGAGTCAGAATACGATAAAATGCCTTCTCCAGGTCAGGGACGACGAGGTGCTGCCTCAAGCTGAGGACTTTAAGTATCTCAGGGTCTTGGTCACGAGTGAGGGAAAGATGGAGGAGGAGATTGATAGGCGGATTGGTGCTGCGTCTGCAGTGATGTGGGCGTTGTACCGGTCTGTGGTGAAGAGAAAGCTGAGCCAAAAGGAGAAGCTCTCAATTTAACGATCAATCTACATTCCAACACTCACCTGTATGGTCACGAGCTGACCGAAAGAATGAGAACATGGACACAAGCGGCCAAAATGAGTTTTCTTCGCAGGGTGGCTGGGCTCTCCCTTGGAGATAGGGTGAGAAGCTCGGCCATCTGGGAGGGGCTCGGAGTAGACCCGCTGCTCCTCCACATCAAGAGGAGCTAGTTAAGGTGGGTCGGGCATCTAGTAAGGATGCCTCCCTGGTGAGGCTTTTAAGGCACGTCCAACTGGGAGAAGACCTAAGTGAAGACTCAGGACACGCTGGAGGGACTATGTCTCGCATCTGGCCAGGGAACACCTTGGTATTCCCCCAGAGGAGCTGGTCCATGTGGCTGTGGAGAGGGAAGTCTGGGCCTCTCGTGTTAGGCTGCTGCCCCCGTGACCCAACTCTGGACAAGCAGAAGAAGATGGATGGATGGGTGGGTGGATATTTAGATAACAAAACAATAAACAAGTAATTTCAACATTGTTCTGAAATCAGTCGATTTACTACCCATTTCTTATCATTCCTTCGCACACCTATCTCAGACAGGTTCCTTTTAATTGAACAAACAAAAATGTAATAAATGTTATTTTCATTTTAAATTAAACAGCATTTAATTCAGTTTTGGAGAACCATTTTACCTCTAAATGATCCTTTAACAACTTTTATTGATAAAGTGACAATGTGTAGTTTTTACCATTAATCTCTGGAAATATCCATCGAAATGTTGTTGTAAATGAATTAAAAGATGCCCAGTTGTTGGAAAATATTGGCGGTTTCATAACATATAACCACAAAAATCTGTTCTAAAATACATGGGAGCAGGTCTAAGTCTGTGGGCGACGCCATATTGGATGCCATGTTCTACGGAAGCCCATGAGAACAAAACACATTTACTGATTTGTAACAAATGGTTAAAAAACTTTCACCAAAAATAAATGTTATTTACACATTTACCTCTTCACTCATTGCCAGTGATGAAAGGGAGTCTGATGTGCTCGTCATTTAGCAATGAGGAGGTTGCAATCCCAGGGATTTTTGACCCTAATGGACATCCGTTGGTAAGGTCTTATTTGAACACAAAAATAATGTTTGCTTGCATTGATTTAGGTATGTACTGCCCCCTATCGCCAGGGAAAACACACACACTGTCTCTTTAAGTCTGCAATGAGGGTGTTGTGATTATAGTAAACATTCATCTGTTTTGTGTGCTTTTATGTTGTTTTAGATTTTAATATAAATCACGACGTAAGTACTTCAAAAGTCCATTGTCTGCTTTCACAGCTGTCACAGAAGCATTTGCAAACAGCTTAAGTGGAAACTGATGTGTGATTATTTAGGCCCATGTACTGGAAAAGTGAGAATTACATTATAATACACACGTAATCTCATTCTAGACTAATATAACTGTTAGGGATGTTAGTTGTATTTGCTTTTCCTGATGTGGTTTATTATGTTTGATGCTCTACGTGTAATCAGTTCAATTTCATACACACATCCACCACAGACACACTAGATGATTGAAATAAATGAAGCGGATGAATGATCAGATTACCTCTAATTAAGCATCAAATAAGCATTTAATCATGGAGAATTAAACACCTGATCTACTTACATTATCTTTTCAAAATGAAAGGATCACTCTCTTCCTCTTAATGTCTTGTAGCTTTTTCTGTTTTTATCATCATCTGTGGGTCGGCCCTTTGTACCGAGCATTTTACCACTGAGACACCTGCTGCAAATAACAGAGTTAATTAAATTTTGTTATAATAAAGGATGCAAACAATTAGAGTGTGAAATCCCCATTATTACTCCTACCTAACTGTGGATTACTTTGTTTCTGCACAGATCAAGAGCTGCTGGAGGAGGTCCTGATTGACAGTCGTTTTTGTCGCAAACAACCAGTGGTAGGTGGAACCCCTAAGTGCTGTCTGTAGGTTGGGTAAACCTCCACCTTTGTATGCTGTTAGGGTTTTCATAAAAGACACGGTAACTTTTAAATTCCAGTAGTTTTGTTGTTCTCAAACATGCTTTTTAAACATATGTTTTTTTTTAATCATTTTATTTCCTGAATATAAAGAAACATGTGGCAGAACTCAGATGTGTTTTCTAAATTAAAGCACCCCATTTATTAGTCATAAAAATCCAACTGCTGTAACAATCTAGAAGTAGACTTTATTTGTTGCATTTGAATGTTTCCCAAAGACTGTATCCCACGTCTGTCCTACAGTCCATGTGCTGAATGTTATTGTAGCTTCCCAGAAGGGCTATGAACCGGCCATTACACACTGGAGGTACACCCTGCTAGGTATCCTCTGGGGGAGATTGGCTGTACTTTTGCCCTACTCTTACTCTCCATATAAAAGAAGCAATAGAACATGGGGAGGACCTCTGAGGCTGTTTTTTTTTATTGTTTATGCAACACTCTGGCTGGTGATAAAACATCCACAGAATGCAGAAGAAGGGCAGTGACAGCAGGAGATGGTGACTGTAAACAGAAAACAGTTTTCTCAGGGAAAGACTGTATTTCAGTGAAGGTCTGAGCATAAACAGACACATTAGTGGTCAGATTTGTGTTCATAGTGCAGCTCTAACAAACACAGTCTCTATGCAGCCCTGTGAAATGTGGCCTTGGTAGAAATGAATGGTTCTCCCTGTGTGTGTGTCTGGGCAGGTCGTTATTCTGCATCCTTCTTGCTAAACAATAAAGCCTGGACACAATGAGACAGTCCATAGAATTCTCTTTCACCTTCTTTTACACTGCTGGCTTCTATAAAGTTCAACCTTGATAGAGAGAAGAGAGGAGGTGAATGGAGGAGAACACAGTGGCCATTAAAAAAAAAAGGTACACAAGGGTACATAAAGGGGTGTTTAAAAAAAGAAAACTAAGCTATAGATAGACTTTGAAGCCTGAAGCACAGCTGATCACAATGAAAGGAGAAAATGAAGCCTTATGCCCGAAAAGGGTGGAGGTAGTGTAAATGATGATATAAAATCTGATAAGGCATCAGGTGCAAAGCACACGGGTTGTAGGCTCTATTCCTGAACAGTAATCAAAATATAAACATAACTTTAGGCATCGTTATGTTGAATTCACCTTTCTTATGATATTAAGGTTTTACCTAAATATATATCCTAAAAGTGATGACATAAATGTATGCAGCTCAGTCAGACTGTGCCTCAGCATGGAGATGGTGAAACAACCAACTTTAAAAGTTCATCATTACTTAAATGACACGATTTTAAGGTTGGCTGGTTAAGGTTTGCTATCTCAGCTTGGTATGATGACCAAATCAGAAATCCTCTGTGTCGCTCGATGCCAGTGGTTTGCAGAAGAAAGACTATAAGTGGTGTCTGAGGGAGTCAAACAAAAGAGTCTGTGTTTAAGCTAATGAAAAATCCTAGCAGGGTGGTTTATCTGCTTTCCAGTAGCATCCCCCTAAGAACTTCACTCATTGGATTGTTTAATTTTAAATTCACGACTACCCATCTTTCTACATGATTAACAGAAAGGGGAGCAATAGAGGTAATAAAATAAAAATACATTCTTGGGCCCTGCTTCTTCTTCCTATCATGTTGGACTGAGGATGGAAAATACCTAAAGATGAGATAGAGAATACATTAGTACTCAGAACGAGAACGTTCAAACACAGCTAGTCAGCAAACCAAATGTTGTGGAAATTGTAGCTACACTATATACAGCTGTTTTCTGTTTATTCTGTTGGTAACATAAATAAATATGGAAGAAGAGTCTCCATCTTCCTTTGTTCTTGTTATATAGCAGCAGACATCCAAGAAAGTCTCAGGTATGAAAGACTGGACAGCACCAATACCTGACATGATCCACTCCTACTGGCTTAAGAAGCACACTGCACTTCATGAGCACCTTGCAACACAAATGGACCAGCTGCTAAAGGATGTGACTCACCCTAAATGGCTAACTGAAAGATGCACAATCTTGATCATGAAGGACCCTTCCAAGGGTACAGTCCCATCTAACTATAGACCAATGACCTGTCTCTCCACAACATAGAAGCTCATGTCAGGCATCATAGCGACTAAGGATCAATACATGAGCTCGGCACAGAAGGGCATTGGCAGAGATACCAGAGGAGCCAAACACCAGCTGCTGGTAGACCGAACAGTCACTTAAGACTGCATAACCCGACACACCAACCTGTGCGTGGCCTGGATTGGTTACAAGAGCTCTTTGCATAATTGAATGCTTGGAGCTGTACAACATCAACATGAGTCTAAGAGCCTTCATTGCGAACTCAGTGGGGCTGTGGAAAAACCACCCTTGAGGCCAGTTGCAAGCCAATTGCACAAATCTCAGTCAAATGTGGCATATACCAAGGAGACACCCTGTCCCCTTTGCTGTTCTGCATAGGTCTGAATCACCTCAGCCAAATACTCAGCAAGACTGGCTATGGATACTGATTCAAGAATGGACTCTCAATTAGCCTCCTCCTCTACATGAGTGACATAAAGTTGAACGCCAAGAGCAAGCGAGACATCGACTCACTGATCCACACCACCGGGATCTACAGCACTGATATCGGAAAATCATTAGGACTTGACGTGTGGTTGGATGGTGACAAAGAAAAGGAACGTAGTCCACACAGAAGGGGTCTCTCTCTCCTAGAAGGAACAATAGCAGACATTGAGGACAGCTACAAGTACCTTAGTATCCCACAAGCAATGGCAACCTTGATGAAGCAACAAGGAAAGGAGCCACAGCATAATACCTACAAGGGGGGTAAGGCAAATCCGTAGAAGTCAGCTCAATGGCAAGAACAAGACCTGGGGTCTCATTTATCAAACATTATGTAGAATCCTTACTAAAACCGTACTCAAGCTCAGCAAAAAAAAAGTACTTACGCCAAGTAGGTTTGTGATCTATCAAACATGGAGTACGCACAGCTGCATGCATTCTCTGCTTCATAAATCAGAAACTAACGAGAATGTTTCTCAGTTGCTTTTTAGTCACATCCCGCCCTCACCACGCCCACTTACTGCCATAAATAGTCAATGCAAAGTGCCTCGTGGATCTCATGCATATACATAAGCTGGCTTGTTGCAGCATTTCGATCACGACCGCAGATTAAGGAAGCGATATTTCACAAGCAGAAATTGAGGTACTTCTGGGTGAGGTGGAGAAATGAAAGGAAGTGCTTTTGCAAAACAAATAAGAGAAAATCTGGAGTGGCACAGTGTTGCTGAAGCCGTCAATGCTGAGTTCTTCAGAGAGATCTGTGGCGGATATAAAAAAAGATCCGATCAGGATTCGATCCCCAGACTCCCGGGTGAAAGTCACGCGCGCTAACCAGTCACCCAAACGGAGATCTTCCTTGTCCAAGTAGCCAGGGCGCATGATCAATCGGGTCACAGTGACAGGACACACACTGTCACAGACACATTGTCACACCCTGTCCTGTCTCCCCATTTGGTTCAGCATGTGTCTCTGTTGATTGCTCCCACCTGCCTCTCGTTTCCCAATCACCCAAGATCCCAGCCCTCTTGTATTTAAACCCCTCCAGTTCTGTGTCTCTTGCTGCCTCATTGTTTCCATGTCCTGTGTCCAGACATCATTAAAACCCTTTTGAGTTTTCTAGTTTGTCTGCCTGCCCGCTTCCTCCCCAGCGTTTGGATCCTTGCCTCCGCTCCACTCACCAGGGCGTCCTGACACACATGACATTCTGTCTCAATCTGTCCCCCTGCTTATTTCTGCATTCCATATTCTGGCTTCAGGCTGTGTGTGTGTGTCTGTGTGTGTGTGTGCGTGTGTGCGTGTGGGGGGTCTTGTTCTGTGTGAAAATGAAGCGGTACAAGTGATAATGCTGCTGGATTTCATAATTTTATCCTTCTCAGCAGCAGTACTGCAGGCGCTCTCCATGTCCAAAATGTGCGTAAGCCAGGTCCTTAGTCAACATAATGTTGCGCACATTTTTCCGCTAGTTTTCTTTCATAAATGCCAAAGTTTGCGTGGAAAGTTGCTTACGCAGTTTTCTGACCCCATTTTGTGCGTAAGCAAGCTTGATAAATGAGGCCCATGGGCAATAAACAGCTATGCCCTGTCAGTAATCAGATATCCTGCAGGAATAATAAGCTGGCCAAAGGAAGAAATACAGATTGCAGATGTCAAGACACGGAAGCTCCTAACCATGCATGAAGGGTTCTATCCCAAATCCAGCACCCTGAGCCTGTGCACTAGCCTTAAGAAAGTAGGCCAAGCACTAGTGAGTGTGAGCCACTGTCCAGGATGAAACATCCAAGATCCATTAGTACTTCAAGGATAAGGCCCCAACAGATGACATGCTCAGTGAATGTCTCAGACAATGGCAAACAGTGGAAATACCATCATGGTAGGACAAACTCCTACATTGGATGTACAATTGACAGATAACTGAAGTGGTTGAGACCCAGAAATCCTACCAATGGCTAGAAAGAGCTGGTCTGAAGGACAGCACAGTGGCACTCATCATGGGGTCACAGGAACAGTCCCTGAACACCAGAGCAACAGAGGCCAAGATCTACCACACCAGACAAGACCCAAGGTGTAGGCCATGCAAAGAGGCCCCTGAGACAATGGATGCTGGCAGGGAAAGCATACATGAAACGCCACAACCAAATGGCTGGCATCGTGTACAGGAACATCTCTGCAGAGTATGGACTAGAAGCTCCAAGGTCATAGTGTGTAACACCCCCTAAGGTGGTGGAGAATGAGAGAGCCAAGCTCCTGTGGGACTTCCAGATCCAGACTGACAAATAGGTGATGGTGAACTTGAGAAAGCTGGAGAGTGAAGACATTGGTGGTGCCCATGGTCATCGGGGCAGTAACCCCCAAACTGGAGGAGTGGCTAAAGCAGATCCCAGGAAGAACATCAGACATCTCAGTCCAGAAAAATGCAGTTCTAGGAATAGCTAAGATACTGCTCAGAAACCTCAAGCTCCCAGTCCTCTGGTAGAGGACCTGAGCTTGGAAGGATGAGACCACACCCGCGGAGGGTGAGATGGGAATTCTTGAATTCTTCATGTTTTGGTCAGGACAATGTTACACTTAAATTGATTTTGGTGGGACTTAAAACATGTTCTGCAGCCGGCCATCACATTTCCTTTTGGCTTCAGCATCGGTTTTACGTACCTCCCGCTAGTGATGTGTTGACATGGAAATTCATTTAAGTTTTTCAAGTTTTAAACTCATCGGTTTACAGGTTGCACTTTGAACCAAACAAACAACATTCCAAAAATTTTAGTCTACATAATGTTAAAATTAAACTATTTGAAAAACAATTATGAGTGGTGCATACTTCATATCATGATTTTCTTATCAAAGTTTAAATAAAACATCATCTTTAAAAGGAAATATTTGGACAAGTCATTAAATAACCAGTAAGAGTTCCAGGAAACAATAAAAGGATTAGAGTTGAGTTCTTACCTAAAACCCTTTGGCAGCTCCTCGTCCAGCCTGATCGATAGATAAACTAATTTCTACCTAAGCTAGTGATGCTGAAACCAGTAAAAGAAAAGGTGTTTCAGCTTTAGGTTAGAACCTCTAAATAATGACACATCTATATTACAAAAGAAAATGTAATGTCTAATTTTAGATCTCAGCTGTTCCAATTAAAATGTCCTTGGAGCTTTTTATTGGCAGCACCCATCCTGTGTAGTATGTTTATAAATGGTAGTAAACACATTAAAATATGTCAGCTTTCACACACTTTACCAAAAAATACTCTGTCACTTTGAAGCAGTACCTTTACAAAGATGAACTTTTTCAAATTGCAATAAAATATGGAGCGACGGAGGCACAGGAGTTAAGTGCTTGCCCCGTAATCAGAAGGTTGCAGGTTCGAGCCCTGCTCAGTCTGTTGCTGTCGTTGTGTCCTTGGGCAAGACACTTTACCCACTTTGCCTGCTGGTGGTGGTCGGAGGGACCGGTGGCGCCAGCGCTCGGCAGTCTCGCCTCTGTCAGTGCGCCCCAGGGCAGCTGTGGCTACATCGTAGCTCATCCCCACCAGTGTGTGAATGTGTGTGTGAATGGGTGAATGACTGGTTGTGTTGTAAAGCGTCTTGAAGGGTTCCATGACTCTAGAAGGCGCTATATCAAATACTGACCATTTATCATTTACCAGAAGGTTTAGAAAACTTAGAAAAAGGACAGTCCAGGTCAGTGAACTGTGGAAATGAATTCAAGCGTCATGTTATGAGCCTATTGAATATTTAACCAGTACTTACTTAGCTCATCGAAGGTCTTCAAAAATGAGTCCAACTCGGTTTGTCAAGGTTGACACCTGGATCAGAGTCTGGCATGTTTACAGTTCTGGCAGTTCCCCACCATGGGACAGTGTTGCCAGGAACCTCAGTGAGTGGGAATTTTCCCACACTCCCGGGTTCAAATCTTGGAAATGCACAAGCAGAATCTGAGGTGGTGAGGGAGGATGAAAGAGAGTTAGTGGATTGCCACAGCCTGATTGAGAAACTGACCTTTCCAAAATCAGAAATTTGGATCCTGTGGAATGAATATTAAGTGTTTGCTAATTCCTTGGCTGCAGCACAAACCCCTGTAGCATCCTGGCTTCTCTGCCCATTATCCCAGCATTGAGGATGTGGCAAGCTGTTGCTGCCATGGAACACCATCTGCTGCTAATGCGGCTGGTGCCCTCCAACCCTCAGGGAGGAAAAGGTGGAGATAGAGAGAGGGCATAGACTTGGAGAGAAAAAGAGGCAGATAAGTGTGTGTGGAGGAGAGATGGAGACATAACTCAGGCTTCATCCTAGGTTTAATTAAGTGGCAGCATTGGGGTTAAGAGAGGACATCCTTGAGTCCTTATGTGGTCCATTTCCTAAAATAAAAGCAGCAATTTAGCCTCTAAATTACAACAGCTAGGTACTGTCACTGCAGAGTGCTTCATAATAAGTGATGAGTCATTTAAAATCCCCAAAGTACACTAACTTAGATACCATTTCATAATGTGTATGAAGATCTTCAGTCAACATGATTGAAGGGAGAAATGTGTCTATCTGGTGTGCAAACATTGTACTAACACCTTTTATGTACTTTGGTAAAGTGCATGTCACAAATGAGCTGTGATGTTTGCTCCTTTTGTCCAGCCAGCTGACCAGATGGGCCTTGTCGCTGTCATGCTCTTTGACTTCCAGGACAGGAAGTTCCCCAAACGGAAACGCCAGAGGAAAGGGGAGATCATAGAGGCTGTTATAGAAGTGGAGAATGTTCTCCTCAGGTGCAGTAACAAGACTACATGGAGTAAAAAATCAAATGGCACTTTTATAGAGAAATAACAACTGAATGTATTTGGTAAAACCAGTAAAAGAAACCACTTGTGTTGCATTCAGGTTTAAAACCAAACTGGCGGCTGCTTTGGCCCGCTGCAGGCTCAGACACAACCACTCGTGCATTGAGTGCTTCCTGCCAGAGACTGTGAGGAAGAAACAGGAGATGGCCCTAAAACTTCCTCTGTACGCATGGGTCAACACACTGAAGAGCAGGTACGTAAACACACACACACACACACGCACGCACACACACACCCACCTGTACCTAAACATGGGAATGCACCTAAAGCATACACACACCAAGCTTTACCGCGTGCTGCTACTCAGTGTTTTATGGAATAGGTGCTCAACTGACAGCCAATTAAACAACTGTGCGTGTGTGTGTGTGTGTGTGTGTGTGTGTGTGTGTGTGTGTGTGTGTGTGTGTGTGTGTGTGTGTGTTGGGGAGTGGGTGTCATATGCTCCAACAGGTAGGTGTAAATCCTGCTTTTGTGAACAGATTTAATCAGCAACACCTCTCAGCCAGCTCTCATATTGTAAAGGTCACCTTTTGGGACAAATGGTGTGTGTTCTGGGTGTGAGTGTGTGCATGTTAATGGATTTTGCAGCTCTGATAAAGCATTTTAAAGGCCAAAATATAATTTCCACACTGATAATATCTACAACGACAGTCCTCCTCTTTGTCCTGCCTTATAACCTCGCTCTTGCTCTAACCTGCTCTCCTTGTTCCTCCACAGCCTTGATGAGGTCCAGAGTGTGCTGAGGAATGCAAGCTTCTCGCAGGTGAAATCGATAGAACAACTGAAGGGTCATACGTTCTGCCAGGACCCCCACTGTGGGGATACTCTGGTGTTCCCAGCTCAGCTGAAAGCTCAGTTGTACTTCAGCAAGCTGCTGCGTGACCGCAAACTCATCGCCCAGGTACACGCTGTACACACACACAAAAGCTCGCTGCTAGACATGTACAAAACCACATCAACCTTTGCAGATCTTTCTTATTTGTGGTGGGCGAGTTAGAATTGATTGTAAAACTTTGTTCACCTCCACCAGCCGAGATTAGTTTCTGCACATATTTCACATTTCTTCCGTTCTTCCGGCTGCACTTCACTTTGAGCCATAAAGAATGATCAGGTTGGGAAAGTGGGGACAGTTTAATCATGCAACTTTTTACTCGGTGTAAATCAAAGTCTGAGCAACACACACCACCTCAACACCATTAATCTGATGAATTGGTCTAATTCAGCGGTTCCCAAACGTATTTAGCCGCGCACCCCCTTCTATGTCCCGACCATGTCGACGCACCCCCCAGACCCGCATCAGGGCATGGCTATATATATATATATATATATATATATATATATATATATATATATATATACATACCCATGCCCAGGTAACAAAAATGCAATTTAACGGTTTTCTTAAAGTAGGAACGTTTAACCTGTGACAAGAGTGCTCTCCTTCCTTCTGCGTAAACTGTCCTGAGCTGATCACCTACATGTGCGTAATCAAATGTCTATAGGGGAAAAGATGGAAAAGCTATAGCCATGAGGTTCCCTTTTGCCTGAGACCGACTTATTGCTGTTTTATGGTGTGGCTGAATCTGCGATCCGCTGCCACGCGGACTGGAATAGCAAATGCTGCAGTAACATGAGCTGTAGTCAGGTTCATGAGGAGTCACTGGCTGGAGCGGACTCGATTTTAATACGTCATCCCAAAATAGAAGCTAATATCTTAATTTGACCTTGAATGAAAAATGTTGTTATAAAACCTATTAAAAGTTTTTATCACAGAGGAGGCAGCGCTCATTTCTGCCTTCAGTCTGACGGCACAGCGCCGCGCAATGCCGGAGTTTGCACAGCGTGCGTTTGTTGAATCAGTATGCGTGTGTGTGTGTGTGTGTGTGTGTGTGTGTGTGTGTGTGTGTGTGCGGCAAAGCTCCATGAGCCGCTCCAGTCACCGCATCTTGTTATTGGCGCTATTTAAACCAATGTTGTAAAATTACACCCGTGAGCCGTGGTTCCGCTGGAACGCGTCTGACCTCTCAATCAATCAATCAATCAATCAAAGCTTTATTTATAAAGCGCCTTCCGCAACCCTGTCAGGAAGCCCAAGGCGCTGACCTCTGACAGACGCACTCTGAACTTCAGATCTTCAGCGCGCTGTTCATAGCCTGACACGTTTAGAATGCTGTCCCACGGTCAGTGTGCTAATATAATAATATAATAATGCTAAAATGCTCAGATTGGAATCATTTCTTGATTTATTTTGTTACATCCACAATGTTCTGTGTGTGAGGTTTACAATGTCGTAACACCTGCATGAGACAGGTGTTAATTACAATCTGCCAGAATGACTCACCACCTTCAGATTTGTCCAACATCGTTAAAAATGATCAAATACGGAACATATCTTGTTATTAACAGCGTGCGCAGGTCAGAGTGCTGAAGCTCGGAGCGCATTATTATGAAGCTAGGGCACATGCGGAGGACACACACACACATACAGGCAAAATATACTTGTTTTCATCTTAGGTGTGTTCTTGCTGTGCGTTATTTCTAATTCCATGTTGTCGTTCTTTTTTAAAACACAGAAGCGGTTTTGTTACCTGTTATTGATGCTACGTTTCGCCGACGGCTGCCGGCTTCTTCAGGCTGACTTGTTTCCAATTGCATTTATTGGGCCCACTTACTTTTTCTTAGGCCCACCCACAAATGAGTTTCTGGCTACGCTAATGGTGACATATGACAGACTTCTCTGAGCTCCGCAGCCATTACATTTTTCACCTCGTGCACCCCCTAGCGGCAGCTCGCGCCCTGGTCTAATTGAATCAAATATTCACCATAAATGTCTTATTAATCATCTCTCCTTCTCTTGGTTCTCTCACACTTAATGAGCCTTGAGTCACACTTTATTTCTACATGTTAACAGTTTTTATTTTGTGCATTTCCTCCTATTTTTCATGCATTTTCATATTTTTTACTGAATATTTGTGGTCTTTACAAAACTGCCTTGATGTGTCTGCAGGATAAATCATGCTGTCTTGGCCCGAATGCGGCGTGCTCCCTCTTACCGGAGAAAGGAGATGTTCTTATGGTGGGCTGCTTCTCGGGTCTCACTGTGTTCCACGTGGCGTCCCTCATTTCACAGAAACATAAAGCAGACAGCAAGAATCAGCCCGTTGTTTATGTTTGTGTCAACGACTGCACAGAGGCGCAGAGGGAGAAGCTTCGGCACACGGTCTCCATCATGGGCTGCAAGAGTAAGCTCGTTGTGCATTTGTTTTAGAGACAGAGGGAGAAGTAGAAGATTTCTCTTTTCCATGACATCATTAGTTGTCTTTTTTCTCTAAAGACAGTAGAAAGAGGGAGCCTTGTCACATCGCTACACTATTTATAAAATGAAATGACAGATTTTATGATGAAAAGAGAAAGTTGTTGACAGGAAGTTCCCAGAGACTCCTGTATTCATATCATGCCAGAATGCTGCAAAGCAGGGAGTCTGCTGAGACTTATTCAGTGTATAAATACTATCTGCTGAGAGTGGCTGTCACTTCATCCAGCTGTTAGAAAAACAATTACAGGGGAAGGGCTGAGGTGAGATTTTTGTAATTGCAAAGAGGAAACCTGGAGGCGTTTTTGGAGCACTTGGCTTGCATGGAAGAGCGAAAAGATGGAAAGCAGAGAAAATGTGTGGCTGATCATAGTGTGTGTGTGTGTGTGTGTGTGTGTGTGTGCGTGTGTGTGTGCGTGTGTGTGTGTGTGTGTGTGTGTGTGTGTGTGTGTGTGTGTGTGTGCGTGCGTGTGTGTGTGCGTGTGTGTGTGTGTGTGTGTGCGTGTGTGTGTGTGTGTGTGTGTGCGTGCGTGTGTGTGTGTGTGTGTGTGTGTGTGTGTGTGTGTGTGTGTGTGTGTGTGTGTGTGTGTGTGTGTGTGCGCGTGTGTGTGTGCGTGCTGCATAGATGTGAAGCTGATGCAGGAGGACTTCCAGTCTTTGGACAGAGGTGATAAGCGACTTCAGAAGGTGCGCGTTATCCTGCTGATCCCCAGGTGTTCTGTGTCTGCAGTCAGTAACCCTGTGGAGTTCATACTGCAGGAAAATGGAGGTAGGGATCCGTGCTCTGCAGAGAAGTCAGAAACTGCTTTTAAAGTGACACATTTGTGAAATCTAATGCTGCATGTTGTTGCATTTATGCAGCATCAAAGATCAAGATATCATGCAAACGCACTGCAAGGCCACGATAACTCACTATTCTCTCCTTGTTTTTTAAAATGTTTATGAGACAAAGGAAAGCTAGTTTATATGAATGCTATTTGAATTGGACTAGGTGATTAGTCAGTTTCAATAAAACAGTTAATTAAATAAACCTGAAGCTTTTTTTTTTGCCTTTTCCCCTCAGACACAGACCTCCTGCAGGACCTATCCCGCGGTCCTATTGCCCAGAGCAAACTGGAGTCTCTGGTTGCACAGCAGAAGAAAGATATCGATCACGCCTTGAACCGTGAGCGCACATCCACCTTCCTCATGTATACGTACACACCCTCACTCTAACACAGGCGCTGTTTCATCTCAGTCTCAGGAGTATACCATCTCTTACCTCGCTGACACAAAGAAGCTTAGGCTTCCTAATTATCTAATCTCATATGCCATTAGACTCAGGCCTGTTGCGCTCCTCAGAGATTGTCTAAGTTTTAATTAAAAATGCTAATGCTGCTCTGTGCTGGTTGGACAAGGTCCTCTGAAGCACTTCTTGCTCAAGTAATTCAAACTTGAGCCTGATATTCTGCACGCTTTGTGGACTCAAACACATCAGCAGGATCTGTTCTGTTTAATGACTTTGTTCTATGTTTTATAGACAAAACATAGACCTGCTCAGCAGTCAGTTACTTTCTCCTCTAGTCTATATAGTGCTGTTTGCATCTATTTACTCATTTTAATTGGTGCCCATAAGCTACACTCATTAGCCAGGGTCCAGCCATGGTTTCCTGTCTGTGTTCAGACCAGCTTCTGTTCATCAAGCAGGTAGAGTCTCTTGGTGGGTGAAAATGTAAACCAGCTCCTCTAATCACACACAACTATTGATCAGTGCTTGTCTATCTGTTCGGCGGTGTACATACTTTCTAATGGGACTGGTAATTAATGGTGAGTGTGTATTGAGTGCAATGGCTCAATCGAGTCAATGGGCTCATTTCTGTGTCTTTATGTGGGCACAGGCATTGATAAATGCTCACACACACACACACACACACACACACACACACACACACACACACACACACACACACACACACACACACACACACACACACACACACACACACACACACACACGTACTATTTTGGCTTCATGTCTTTGATCTTTTGACATTTTTGTGTCCGTCTGCGCTCCGCTCTCGTTTGTCACAGCAGATCAGGATCTGATTATTTTCAGCTGACTTTTAATTGTTTTTGTGTGGCTGTAATTAGTTAGAAAGAAATCAAACCCTGAGTGACGGTAGTTAAACAGTCAGCAAGTGAACAAATCTATAACCCAGCAGCAGTTGAGTCAAATCAGCAATGGTCGTGCACAAGAAGAAAATAAAAAAACACAGGAGAAATGAATGTTCAGGGGGTTTGTGAATGTTTATTTTTTGTGTAGTTCCCATTCGTTTGGCGGTGGTGTACTCCACCTGTTCATCGTACCCAGAGGAGAATGCGGATGTGCTAAACACGGCCCTGCAGAAGGCCAGGGACTGCCCCCGACAGAAGGGGAAACCAAAACTCACAAACTTCAGGTGAGCTTTGTGCATCTGCTCCAAGTCTTTGTGCCAGGCTGTCTGTCGGCTTTTGAAGGTGTTTCCTGTCCTCCTTTAATCAGGAATCTGTCAGACTCATTCAATCTCAGGCTGGAACTGAAGGAGATTCAATAAAATGAACCCAAAGGCTCCCGTTTATGTCTCTAAACGCAGCGAGAACAGTCCTCACAGCTTGAATTAATATTTATCCAAAAGTATTTATTTTTTTCCTTCTGCATTTTAAGTTGCCTGCAAAGCCTTGTTGTAGTTTTACCATTCATGTGGACCTAAACTCAGCACTGACTGCCCTCTGCAGTGAGCTGGCCTGGTGTGCCGGCAGCGCCTCAGGCTCGCATCAATAAAACAAAAGTAGAATTATCTACTGATCCCGCTGCCTTTATGCAGATGTCTGGTAAATGTGTACATTTTTGAACGTAAGTCTTGAGACACTTTGTTCACGTGCCTTTTATAGAATTATATTTTTAGTAGCTGCCTACTTTCACATGCTGTACCTTTTTATCCAGGCCAATCCCACCCCCGTTCAGCTCCCCTGACCACGGAGAAGCCGCAGAGGAAACCGAGCCCTTCTTCATGCTGGAGCCCACAGAGTTTAGCAACGGCTGCTTTTTGGCTGTTGTCGACAGAAAGGTGAGCGTCCCTCAGCAGAAACTGCAGCAGCAAAGGAGAGGCTGAATGGTTTGTGAACTTACATCATATGGGACCATATGCTTACCCTGATTGGACAACAGGCATACTGTCTTCAGCTCTCATCTTCCAAAAGTGAACCCATCCAGCTGGTTCATGTGCTGTTGGAGCCTCAGTCTGGTGGGCTATAAACCCTCACCCACCTCACCCATGGCATCAGATAAATGTTTGTGTCTAAATATGTTAGAAAAATGAATATTTCAACATGCAAAGTAGCAAGTACACGAGTCAACAAGTCATCAGCTAGAAAAAAAAAATAGGTGTTTGTTTTTTAATCAAGAATACGTCCAAATTGTTTACATGTAGGAGCGGGACTTAATACTGGAATCAGCCACTAGGGGAATGGTTGTTTTGGCTGGATGTTTAGTGCATTTACATATACTCACGTCGACAGATCAAGTGTTTCTTTCATTAAATATTCCAATAATCCTAAATATAGAATCATTGTGTAATGTCTGCATAACGCTGTACGCAGCTTGTAACCTCCGTTAATGTCAATGGGTGTTCACACTGGGCGACCAGAAGTGTGAATCAGACACGGAAGCATAGTGTCTGAGCTAACAGCTAAATACACACTGAAGGTCTAGTTTCTACATGCTAGAATTCCAGAACATGCAAGCTCAGCAGTTCGGATCAGGCCGGACTGAAAATCAGACACGGGCAGCGTGATGCTTCCAACAACTTTCAAAATTAGACACATTCAGATTTCCTGTTGCTCCACTAAAAGATAAGGTCTGTGACATGTTCTTTAAAGTGAAAGGAACAGATAATACACCAGACATGTGCCATCTTTCACCTCTCATGCGTGATCTTGCATTTCTCCCGTGATGGAATGATCCTGGACCAGCTGCGTTAAATGTATCTGCAGCCGATGAGCGTCTGAATCGCTCCCAGTGGGAAGCCTGGGTAACCCAAAGGGTGATGTGAGGAGTTAACACACACACTCAAAACTTTTAGTTAAAGCAACTTGTTTCCTTGCTCATTTGCTTCTTTATTAAATTACCTGTAGTTTTATTATATATATATATATATATATATATATCAATTGTTTATAAACTGGTCTTGAGAAGAACATACAGAATAAATGTGTTAGAAAGGATTCTTAGTTATTGTAGAGATTTCTTGTCTAAAATGATTTTCTTATTTCATGAAGACGGGCGTTTGGGACTGCTCTGCTGCAGGTTTAAAAAAACCAGGCTTTTATATTTTAATCAGCCTTTCACTCTGATTCCCTCCCTCCTCCTCCCTGCTGCTGCTTCTCCTCCACCTGAGTGAGACGCAGCAACTAACAGAGTTTGTGCAGAGCTTCAGAAAAACCTCATCATCTCTGACTGATCTTACCCAGGTCTTTATAATGCAGAAGGTTTCTGATTTTATTACCACCTCGCATCATGAAAGCTACCCTTATGCTTCTGACGCACGTTATTAAGCCATCTTACACCCAGAGGGGGTGACGGCGCTCCATCGCGCTGTTGTCTGTTTCTCTCTGACCATTCATCATGTTTTATACCTCCACAGACAGGAATGAAAAGATAATCAAGCTGCTGTAACGGTGCCTCAAACAGGATTTTTTTTCTCTCCCCACCTCCAGTAAACTCAGCTAATCAAAAGTTATTGTGGCTCTCTGAAAAGCGTAGTAAAAATAGCAATTATATAAGTGTTTGAATGCTGTCTGGCCTGTATCAGGTGTCATGGCCGAGCACCGTAAAGTTGGTTGTGAGCTTTTCCATGCATGAACAGCTGGGGACAACAAAGACATTTCAAGTGATTCACTTCTGGCCTCATTTCTTGAGGAAAACAATTTGAATCACATGTAAAAAAAAAAAAAAAAAAAAAAAAAAAGAGAACACCCTTCTCCTAGATATTATTGGACTATATTCAAGGAGATTCAGAACATCACATAGTTTGCTTTCCCCATTGTGTAGAGTGACTCCTGTGAATTTAGACGTTGCCGAGGTTTATTGAATGTGACGATTTTTGACGCAAAAGATATAAAAATAAAAAGAATGGGTTTAGCTGTAGCAGCGACGTTTGGCACAGAGTGGTCGGAAATGAGAGAGAGTATGGCGTGGATGGTTAGTGGAGATGGAGAGGAAGTGAGATTCACCGGAGCAAGGGGGACAAAAAAAGAGGCAATGCAGAGTGTCTGTTGAATAATTCAGCGCCCCCTGTCTGTATGAGTTAACATCAATGAAGTTCACGTCTTCCACCGCAGACTGCATAACGGAGACGCCTCTAAAACAATGTTCACCTGAGTGCATAGTGTCTGTCAACACACGGGGACACGTCGGTGCAGAACACGCCCCTGCTTTACGTTTCCTAACGCACAACTGTGTGCAGCAACTTAGGTTGGAGGAAAACTGGAAAAGATTTGCATTTAAGTGCAAGAAGGCACTTAAGGAACAAGCCCCACACACAAACTCAGAGACCGCATGTCCCTGTTGTGTGTACGCAGCACTTGTGAATTATTCAGGCACTGAAGTGAGCAGCTGGGTGGTGCTGAGACAGCAGGCGACCCTGCATCCAGCAGCAAGGACACGGTGGTCGTCTCCTCTGTGTGTGTCCTAACTTTGGCTGCCATCCTCTGAAACTCACCACCTTGTTTTCACCATGACTAATATTGGGTAATTATTTCTCAATAGCCCGATCCAGCGATCCAGGAAGCACCGCGGGATTTAATCGCCAGAGCAAATGCAAAAGGCCTCTTTGACGGGATCGGCGTGAACCAGAAAAAGCACCACGAGGACGCCGGTGGGGCGAAGACAACAGCTCAGGCTCTCTGCTCTCAGGCCCATGTCTCTGCCTGCACGCAGAGCAGAAAGCAGCAAGCCAAAGGCAGCATCAGGCATCAGGAGCTCCAGCAGCCATCACAAGGTCTGCCCCACACTTCCACTCAGTTCTTTGTATTAATTAGTTGTTTATGTTTAATGAAAATTAGACGGGCTTTTTAAATGCAGAGGTGAATTAAGTACTAAAGTGTCCCTCTCTGGCTCCTTAAAAGCATTTCACCAAAGCTCGCTGAATAATACATCATAAGTAGTTTTTTTTTAGATCTGCTGTTGTCAGTTTTTGTTCAACGCTAAAATGACTGTAGCTTGATGTCTTAGAGAATGAGAACTAGTAAGAACTCGAGTTTCATTTGAAGATGTTTGCTCCATCAGTCGATACGGTGTTTTGTGTTTGTCTCTTTCAGGAAAACTCCAAGTGCCATGCTCCATCTTCCACTCCAAACAAGAATGCCCTCCAAACCCCTCCTCCTCCTTTAAGCCCCACAAAAGCAGACCAGCGAAGTTCCCCACTAAAACCTCCAGTACGCTGCGGTCTGCCGTTCCTCCCTCCAGCCCCGCAGCTCCAGTCGTTCGTCCCCGTAGAACCCGGGCGGATGCGCAGAAGCCCGTGGTGCTCGTCCTGCCGGTGCTGAACTTCCCCGGCTCATTCCAACCTCAGCACAGTTGCAGAGGGTCCTTTCCTGGAAGGTGGAAGGCACCACAGCACCATTTGTAACCCGGCGTCCCCGCACGCGTCATGTGAATGAATCCCACCCTCCTCTTGGACCTGTAAAATTCTAATGGAACATTTCTAATTTTGCGTGAAAAAGGATCCGTCATTAAAGTTTTACCGAGCTGCAGAATCTCCCGACTGTCTTCTCAAACGCATCTAGAGGCACGAATGTGTCAGAGAGATCAAACGTGCAGACAAAAGGCTGCAGACCCTTTTTGGCAATGCATTTATTGTCACAACAGATTACATTTACATGGTGAAGAGATGGGTGACAAACAGAAATGAGAAGTTTCGCATCGCTTTGTTAAAAGTTCACTTTGAATTAACCGCATCCACAGAGTTGACGCCGAGTGCAGGTGGAGGCTCCAGCTGTAGGAGCTTTGTCAAAACTTTTAACAGCATTCTTGTTTTTTTCTTCATCTGACTGCTATTCGTGTTTCTTTGTGGGTTTGGACGTGGATTATTATTGTGAGTGAGAGTACACAGGTTGGGCTTTCTGAGGATGAGAAAACACAGAATCCTCACACTCGTTCTTTTCCTGGCCACTTATGGTGCTGTTGAGCATTTTGGCCACAGGCGCTTCACTTCTACCCGCCTGGGTTTGGAATTCCTTGCATCTCTTGCAATCCTGGGTATCTGCATAAAAACTCCTGAGGAATTTATCAAGTTTAGACAGAAGCATCTCGACATTCTTCAGCTTTAAAAGTCTTTTTTTTTTACCCCTACCTTAAAAAATAAATTACAATCTTAAGCATCAAAATGCATTAAAAACTATTGTTTACTTCTCGACTAAAATAAGAATGAACCAGTAACCATCATTAATATTTTCCACACTCGGCCGTTCTTTTCCACTTGGTCATGAGTCGGGAACACGGTTGGGCATTGTTCGTGTGCCCGTGTAAATCTAGTCATGGATGAGTGAAAATGAGTCCTTCTGAGAGCTCGCATCTTCTCGTCTGCTCACCAAGAACTAATCGGCGTTAATCACAACCCCTCCTATCAGGAAAACATGCAAAAGCAAACCCCACTAATCAGATCTCGCCACCAGTCTGTATCTACAAAACTTGTGCTCTGTTTTTTCTCTTCATACAATCATTTACATACAATTCATTATTACAATGACTTCACTCGTCTTAAAAGAAGCTTTTGTCTCGTGTCACAATGAAGGCTTCAAAACATCTGAAGTCTTTAGTGGAGCAGCTGCAGGCTGTTGTTGGTACTCGCGTTCGGTTTTGCACGAGTCAAGTCATTCACTTGTGAAATTTCTCATAACAGTGAAAACCTCCTTTCTTTCTTTGTCCTGGAAGTCTGCTGCAGCTCATCCAGTCTGGGAGGAAAAATGGAGATGAACCTGGTAACTTGCTCGATAACCAGTTTGAGAGGCGTGTTCCTTCTGGATCTTCTAAGTAGTATTCCATCTAGTGTAAAGATCCGCTTGGACAAACCGGCATTCAAGGGTCAAAGGTCGACCACTGATTCCCGCTTTCCCTTAATTCTTTAAGCATCATCAGGCATTTCTTGATCAGTGGTGATGTTTGGTATATTCTATATACATGGCTGGTACCATGGCTGGTACTGGTTAAGTGTCGTAGTGGTGACGGTGTAGAGTGCGGTGCAGTCAGTCAGTGGTCATTGCTGGGGAAGTTCAGATGGCTGTTTCTTGGGTTTCAAAGTGTCTATGAGAGACTGGACGCTGCGTTTTACGCTGGTGGTGACCCGGCGGGTTACTGAGTCCGCAGAGGGAGACGAGGACGAGCCGGCACGCTGAGAGGGCGGCCGTGCCACCAAACACTTCTGGTACCGGAGCTGAGAAACAGAACAAAAGCAGAATGTTTCAGTGTCTTCACCAGAAACAACCAACACAATGTGTGTGTTTGGTTTAGAGACCTACCATACAAGCCGCCTGCACAGCTTCTGAGACTAGGCCTGCGTTAGGGTCACACCAGAACACATGACACTGGAAATGCTGGTTCCCGGTGTCCATAATGAAGGCGAACGTATGCACGTCCCGTCCCACGCCCATAAAGGACAGGAAACGAACCCGGCACTCCACCAGCACCTCCTCCTCTTCCTCCTGCACAGCCATCAAACAGAATAATCATGTTCTCTTCCTTGGATTTAATTGTGAATTCCCAGGATGAGGATAAAAATTGCCCTTGCCTTTTCTTTGATGACGGCCACTGTGGTGTCAGCGATGCTCAGTACGACAGGAGTCCAGTCCTCTTTACCTGTGGAGGCCAAGAGATTTTCTATGGCCCCATTTATGATGTCCATACCTGCAGACCAAGCAGTGAGGGTGAAGGGAAGTTCTAGAACAATCAGAATCCCTTCAGACGAATCACACAAGTCCAGTCTTACCTATGGGGCGAGAGACGGATGTCTCTCCCAGATACAGCACGTGGAACTTCTGCACCAGTTCAGTCTTTGGCATGGGAAACTCTGCAGCAAACACATTAAAGCACACGCTCAGATTTCCTCAGGAGATTTTATTAGAGGACCAGATCTAACATCAAGTCTCAAAAGGAAAGTTCACATGCAATAATTGGCTTAAGGCGGGGAGATAAACAAACAGTGGTGAATATTTTAAAATTCTGAGCCGCTCCTGACACGATTAGAGCAGCAGCAACACACGGTGGATTCCAGAGAGCCATCATGGAGGAAGCCCTGCTGTGACTGTTTCACACTTCAGCCTTTGGACAACAACGCCTGAGTAGAACAATGAAATCAAAGTTGTCCCCTGCACCTCAGTCTGCAAGGCTTCACCTCTCGCTGCCCAGAAACCCACACAATGAACAGTTAAGCCTGATTCATGCTTAAGCAAAGGCACATGTGCGCCCCCGCTGCTGCAGCGTCGTATCTCCTCTGTATTCCTACTGGCCCGACCCTGTTGCAAAGAAATTCACCGCCAAAACTGAGGGCGCGCTCCTATGCAGGTGTGCATACTCTTGTAGTGACGTGTCTGCCCTACTACTGTTTACTATTTGCAACGCACATACACTGGCGAAAAGATGGACGACACAGGCACAGAGCGAATTCTTTTATTGAGCAGGAGCTGCTTGAGCTAGAGGAACAACAACTGTTATTAGAAAGAGCACTGCGAGAGCGACGAAGGAAGAGGCGCCGGTGGAGTGTCCGCCCATTGTCAACACTCGCGCTGTTTACATTTAAGGGAAGCTACGTCGTGCCGGAAATGACGTTGGGTTGTTTGGCTGACCAATAACAGACGTCCAGCATCCAATGCGGCCGTTGGATGTTTAGAAAATAGAGCTCGACTCCAACCAACGTTTCAATGGTGTTGATCGCCCATACGACGTCGCATCATGGCGATCCAACAGATCCGACATGCTGGGGCAGTGTCAGTATGAATCAGCCTTTAGTCCTAGCTCCAGATGATTTCTGACAGGACAACGTCCACAGCGTCACCAAAAACTCTTAATATTGTCTGTCGGTTAGAAAGCTTCAGGACAAAATTATTGAACATCACAAGAACACATAAAACATATATCCTGAGTAGATTTATGGGATTTCTGCAACATTTCCTTTGTTACTGTTGCACATGTGTTTTATAATAATAATAAAACAGAAAAAGTTGAAAAGCTGTTTTGCTTGTTTGCAGAAATCCGATAACCGGGCAGCCTCTCTTTGGGCAAAATTGAAAATAAATCTCAGAATGATCCGTTTGAATTGGCCTGAAGCTATAAGCACTTCAGTTGTACTTGTATGTATATAGTGTGGTCACATGGGGCATGTGGTAATTGCACCTTTGCACAAAGTGATACAGATGCTGTAATGTTTTTGTAATTTACCTTTATTTCAGTCATAATTTGGGACCCTTCCCAAAGGTTTCTCACACTTTCTGATTTATGGAAACTAGATTGAGGAGAGTTTCAGGTTTCCATGGCAACTTTATTTTGAGAGGAAATTTACTGTAGAAAAACTGCAGCAACATGAGAGCGTATACTGGATATTGAGACAACTCATGAATGTTTGAAGACACTTAAGTACATTCTGTACCCAACCGTCAGTAAGACACTAACTTTGGGTTTAAAGAACTACAAAAACACGATATCAGTTTACTCTGTAATGGCTCACTTACGTGTAGAATAATAAACTTAAACAAGCTATCTAAACTGTAAAGTTCTTTATTTTTCCCTATAAGGGAATTGCTTTTTAAATCAGAGCTTGGACAGACCAGATGTGATGAAAACAGCCATTATCCGGTACCGACGCTCATCCTGAACCATCCAATCTTCTCAACCATGTCCCAACACAAGAACGTGCACTTCCCCATCTGCTGTAAGTCAGCCAGTGACAGCAACTGTTCCCATTTGCTGTAATACCGGCTCCAACTGGCCGTTACAGATAATAGACCGGGCCATCCACTGAAGATCCAATACCCCCACTGAATATGAACTACTTCTTTTGAAATGACAAGTACATGAGTTCAAGCATGTTATGACTTTGAGAGAAGCAAGGGATCTTTCAAAAATACATGATTAGATCTTTCAGGAGAGGGGGCTCTTTGCCTCAAAGAAATCCTAATAGGGTTTTAATGAGGTCGACTGTCTCTACATTATGAGGTGCTGATATGATTCTTTTATATTCTTACACCTCGCTCCAGCAGAGGGTACAGTCGAGGATAAAATGTGCTCTTTCCTTTTTTTCCTTCGAATAATTATTTGGTATCAAGAGAAAAAAGCAGAGGGAATTGAAGAAAATGGATTAATAGTGGAAAGAATTAGAGCTCAGTGAAATTGTTGAGGGAGGGTTATTTTGTGGAGTCGGCATTATTTGTATGCAACAATAAAATCATTTCTGTAAATAGTTGTTCATGGCTGCTCAGGAGGCAATGAGGTTTCAGATGGGAACGGAGAGGCATGCATGGCTGACAAATCCTGTTCATCCACCGGGGAAATAAAGGAGCAATGAGAATGTGTGTGTTGCGCTCCTGCTCGTGTTCTGAGGACATGAATCTGTTTGAACTGAGAACATGATCAGGATTTAGGTGGAAAAACATTTAGGAATAATTTATTGTAAGAAACAGGTAAATAAAAAAAAATCATTGCGGTTAAAATATGTTTGATTGCCCCTGAAGAGATGGAGATGGAGCTCGTGTGTGTGTGTGTGTGTGTGTGTGTGTGTGTGTGTGTGTGTGTGTGTGTGTGTGTGTGTGTACCTACCTTGTAGAGGTACATCAGAGCCGTTCTGGGAGGAGCTGCCAGCTACAGCCTTAGCACTTTTTCTTTCAGCCATAATCTGAGAAGGAAGAGATATGTGGAGAAAGCCAGGGGTGGGGGGCGAGAAACAAGCAGATAGAAAATGGGAGGAGGAAAAAAGACCACAAATGTGAGAGAATGGTGACATGAATAAGAATGAAAACAGCTGAATCGTTTAAACACAAATTAGAAACGTCATCTTTAGCAAAATATACCAAGAGGTCATGTTAACCCCTTAATGCCTGAAATATGAAACAATGACTAACTTAAACTGACATAAAATGCTCATGTAACCCTGGCCTGAATCGCAAATATTGTCTGGCTTTGAGTATTGCAATATATCGTCAGATTATGACCAATACACACTCCTAGTGTATGTGTGTGGGTTTGTGTAACTTACAGTGTAAAAACACTTTGAAATGACTAATTTACTAGAAAAGCGCTTATTTATACTCTGCTCATTTATACAACAATAAAACCTGGAGACACTTCTGAGGGAGGCCACAGAGGACAGTTCAAACGTTACAAAAACCCCAAATTGCTCATTTTTTCTACATATTTGCAGCGGTCTCTAGTATAAATGAATGCCATGTGAGTCGATCTCGGTGGGGAAAAGCTCTGGTGCTCCTGTTTCAGGAGGTAGAAGTGAACCACAACAGGGCGGAGCCGAACACGGCAGGTTTTTCCTGATATTTGGACATCTCACCTCAGATTGGCTAACAGCAACGTGACCCTACCACGGACTCTGCTCTGCAACATTGATGTTTTATCTCCACAAATAACACAAGTCTGGAGGAGTTCTGCTGTGCGGTGGAATTGCTAATGCTACTGGTTAGCTTCTGCTAGTCGAGACGTGCTCTGCTGTTTCCTGGACGCTAAACCAACAACAGCCTCCCCGTCATGAGCCAAGATGGGTGAGTCCATGTATGCTAATTTTCAATGTGACCAAGAATTGACTGTCTTTTCTAATCCGAGCATTTCACTACATTGGTGGCTAATGCAGGAAATGTAGAAGACTATTTTCACACTCAGCCTGCATGTTAAACTCAGAGTGACCGGTCATATTAAAAAAAGAAGTAAAAAAAAACAATATCTCAGTGGACTTGGTCTTTAAGTTAAACAATTTTTTGTTTTCATGTCTGAACAAAAGAAAACGACAATAACTTGAAAAAAGAACACATAATAAAATTAATGGGGCAATTATCCGAATGTTCCTTTGTTGCTGTTTTGTACCAAACGCACATATGTCACTTTTTGTTTGCTGTTCTTTAATAAATGCTTCATTCAGCTACATGAGCATCACAGTGCATTTTTGCATATATTTTATAAGGTGATGAGAATTTGTGCCTCATAGATAAATCACCATAGAGCAGCAGGAGGGAAATAAACAAAAATGTCACTAAAACAGATGATCTGGGATTTTTGTATTCAACTTGAGGACTAAAATAAAAGTTTGTTGTAAAATGAGATTTTAGTTTTATTCTTTTCAGGCTGATAAAAGGAAAACATGTTTTATTCTCACAGAATAAACAAGAAACACACTTTGCTTCCCTCGGCTACTGCACTGGAGGTTCTTCAGCAGGAGGTGAGTATTCTCCAGGTCCGCTGCTCTCAACCAGTGCACTCTCTACAGACACTTGTTTAATTATAAGCATCATTAATCAAAGTCTACAGTGAGTCTGCAAGTCTGCTAACAGGGATCATGTACTCATACACACACACACACACACACACACACACACACACACACACACACACACACACACACACACACACACATACACACGCTCACAGAGAGTAGAGGCTTACTCAGTGTGCAGCACGGTTGCAGGACTCTGGCCACTACGTTTGTCTGCTGCAGTAAAAAAGAAAACTACTAATGTGTTTAAAATAGGCAGCGTGAGGGTGTGAGGAGGAGTCATACACACGCACACACACACACACACACACACACACACACACACACACACACACACACACATTCCTATCAGTCTGAGGTTAGAGACACAAAGTAATGTAAAGATTTTGTTCCTGTAAGTGGGTCGTCATGGCTCTCCGGGAGCATATGCTGTCCCCCGTTTTCATCAAGGTCACTGCTGACCCGAGGATGAGCTCATTTCTCTTCAGGTGCAGAAGGCTATGCATGTGCATGTGTGTGAGTGCCAATCTGGGCTGGGCTGTATTTGTGATCCCCATCAGGTTTCACCTTCAAGAAGTTCACCCTTCTGAGCTGATCAGTTATAGAAACATACACATGTAGATTTACTCCTGCGGCTGAGATGAATTTCTCTTTGAGTTACGACGAATAGTCACGGTTAAAATGTTTAGTTCAAACTCACAAATAACACATATGTTCATAATGAGTGGATTTAGAACCGTTTTATGACTCAGAATAGACTTGAATCGAAACAAGATCATGACAACGTCCTGGAAGAGAAACAGTTTTAGAGTTTGTGCAGGTTACGATGGTCCTTCTGGGTGAGGAGAGAAGGTAGGAGTTATTTATTTTATTTAACCTTTTTTTATCCAGATGAGTCGATTGAGAACTCTCATTTACAACAACGATCTGGCCAAGAGGCAGCAGCAACAGACATAATTATCTTTACAATAAAGAAAAACAGGTAAGATAAAAACAAACACGATCAAAATAAGGTAAAACAATTAGAAACAAAGACAACAAACTGTTCTCATTTAAAATATGTACGAGCAATCAAAACAGACTCAAAACAGTCTTTAAGTACTCAGAAGCACATTGATTAGAACTATTGATCGTAATGAACTACTGAAGTTAGATAATGGAATGTAGGTTTTTGAGCGTCAGTGATGTTTGCAGCTCATTCCAGTCGTTGGAAGCAGCAAACTTGAATGAGGCGTGGCTAAAGGAGGTGCGAGCTTTGGGAACAACCATAGAGATTAAGTTACTGGAACGTAAATTGCGCTGGTTGTTGGAAGTGATGAGTAACGAGCGAAGATAAGACGGGGTTCTACTGATGATTGTTTTGTAAATGAACTGATACCAATGAAACAGCCTGTGGGAATGGAGTGATGGCCAGTTAACGAGTGAGTACAGTTCACAATGATGAGTAGTGAAAGGGCACCAGTGATGAAACAGATTGCTGAGTGATGAATGACATAGAGTTTATGGAGAAGTTTTTGGGAAGCAGTCCTATAAATGATGTCACCATAATCTAAGTTGGGAAGGATTATCATTTTTACCAAGGTATGCTTTGCATAATGAGTAAAGGATGACCTGTTGTGGTGTAGAATCCTAATTCTTGACTTTAGAAAGTTATGAATTCAATTCATGTGAATGTCAAATGAAAATGTGCTGTCAAGCCAGATACCCAGATACTTATAAGAACTGACAAGTTGTAGTTCTGTACCCTCCATGGAAACAATACTAGGGTGGCATGTTGATTGTGGTAAGTTACGAATGAAGATCATGAACTTTGTTTAAGGCTGAGAGAAGGCATGTTGAAGACGATTAAAGTTGTGTTGCAAGGAGGACAAAGCTGCAATCAAGGAAGAACTGCATGCATATAAAATGGTGTCGATCGTTATGAACAACAGCTCAACGGGAAAAATGAACACAAAAAGCTTTTTCTTAGAGAACACCTGCTTTCATTATTAGAGGCTTTTAATAATAATAATAATAATAATATTAATAGCAAAAGGATGTCTAAACATCCCGGTGACCATTGGGATTTTTCTCTCTTGGTTGTTTGGTATGAATGAATCATTGGTTCATTTTACTTTACTGCCATTTACTTGTTCGCAGTGGCGGGCGGTGCGTTCCACCCCTGGGCCTTCAGTGATTTCCTATTCAGTCCAATCTAATTTAATACACCTAAAATACCATCAATAGGACATCACAGCTGGAGAAACCTCACACACACACACACACACACACACACACACACACACACACACACACACACACACACACACACACACACACACACACACACACACACACACACACACACCAGTGGCTGGTCAAGACACATAATTTCCAGAGTCTTTAAAATCAAACTCGCATTCCCAGTTGAGAGTAGGAAGCTGACCACGGATACCGTCAAATCTCAGAAATGAAAGACGGGTTTAAGAGATGAGACAATAAAATAAATAAGTAAAGCAAACACATTATTTGCATTTGTTTTGGAGAAAATTGTACCGCGAAACAATTGAACATGTTGGCGCAGCTGCACACACCACGTCATACACAATATAAATTGCATAGAAACAGAACACAGAATAATTTCATTTTGCCATTTTATTTCGTTACCATTTATTGATTATTAACTAAATAAAATGACAAAACATAAAAAAAAAATACTAATAAAATGTTTCTACTCACCAACATAAATGTCCAGCATGGATCTCCTCCTCTCCTGCTCGTTAGAAAATAAAATCCATCCTTCTTTCTTTCCTGAGGAAAACCTCAATGGCTCTGTACAGTTTATCTGTGCGCTTCAGGTCCATGAGTGGATCCTTTTCTACGGACATGGAGGCTAATGCTGAAAGACGTGTCTGTCCGGTCGTGTTTCTGGCGTACGTTTTAACGCGCTTTAATGCTACCAAATCCATCTGATGCGAGCAACAGGCATTCCCAGCAGAATAACCTGCAGCGGTTCTCTGAAGCTGTTAGCCGTGGGTACCGTTCATAGTTGCTTGCCTGAAAATGACGAACAAATCCTTTCCCCTGCTGGGACAAGCCAGCTAGCGTTGGAGTCAGACGACCTGTTCTCACAATATCCATTTTTTCTTGAAAGGTCCGTCTTGAAAATGGTGTGGCAAGTAAATCTGCAACCAAGTCTGTCTCTTCTCCTCTTTCAGCCACCATGTGTTCAAAAATACACCGATAGCTGCCTATAGATACAAATCTCTGTGTTTAGTTTTGATATTTTGCTTCATGCCGCTAGAAAAGTTCTAACTACTGCTCATCCAATCACAGGATGCATTCATGTCAACTTTTGCGTGAGGCCAGCTAGCTGGCCTGGGCCAAGCTGACTCGTGAGCTGATTGGCTATCGCAACTAGATCGTCTCTGTTCACTTACAGCGGACAGTGGGCTTCTCGATTGATTCTGAAGGCCTAGAGCAGACTTAATCTGCCTGAAAACACAAGCTAGCTTAAATCTGATTGGATAACACCCAGCCTTGGTATTTTAACACTGGAAGCAGCGCAGCCAAGTGGGTATAATAGGTTATAAAGAAAATAGACCAGTAAACATTTTTTTTTATTTAAAAATAATTACCAAAGGAAAAAAAATACATTTACGCTTTTGAGTATGTTTAGGCCAGCAGAGAAGGCTTTGCTGGCCCTGACTGCCCACCACTGCTTGTTCGTGATAACATGTTTTACCTGCTAAGACTAGTTTTCTAGCTCAGCGTTGTACAGTCCTGAGCCTCAGGGGCCACCATCCTGCAGCTGTTAGTTACACAGACGGAGAAAAAGTGTGAATTTGCTAAATTGGTTACTGACACCTAAGTGTGTCAAAACTCAACTCACTGTAACATTAGAGCGAACGTTTCTTCTTGCAGTTCAGTCACACAGTGTCATGCAGCATGGTGTAAAATAACTCACACAGAGAAAGAGACAAATGTAGAAATGACAAACAAACCAAGACGGTTCTAATTGCAAGAAAAAAGGAAAATGAAGAATAAACTGACTAAATGAGCAATAATTCACAGTTACACAATGTGTCTGCGTCATGCTTTAGCATTTGTAATGCTGCAGTGGTCGGGTCATCAGAAACTCAGTTTCATAGGTTTCCAAACCAAAGTTATTCTCAGTACTTCCTGACATGCAGACAGAGTCCAGTTGCAAGTCTGTGATAATCTCGAGAAAAAACAGCTCTTGCCAAATTTTCTAACTTTCTAAATTCCAGCAAAAAAAGAGTGCAGGTGTGCAACTCCTGCACATGTTTGAGACACTTTAGTAACTCCATCGAGGATGCTGTTTGTTTAGCCGTGAAAAATTGGTTCCCTGCTCCAGGACATCAAATCCAATAGTTCAACAACGTTCTCAGCATGTCTACGAGTTCTGAAGAAGTGTTAGCTATACCCTTTGATTTTAACCGGGAGTGTTGAGGCATAAAAACCTCTAAAACATGCAGGAATAAACACCACAACTATCTTTAAATTCTGTATCCCACTCTTAATTTCCTAATCTAAGCCACTAGTCCCTGCATCGGCTGCATGCTTGGGAGGATTTCAGAATCTTTAGTTTAAGAAACAGTTTGTTTAAAAAGCTGCAAAACACAACAGGGTTGAGATGGATGCACTAATTTTCACACCATAAATAAAAGCTGTTCACTTTTTATTAACGCCACATCACTCGGTCCCCTATCTGCTGTCTGAGACCAGCCTTACAGAAAACCTCTTCTTACCTGCACCAAGGAAACAGCTGCAGTAATTAAAGCCTCGTTTCAGGACATGAGACCGTTAAAGAGGGGGAGGAAGCTGCAGCAACACCCACCTTGGAACAGATTTCGTGGAGACTTGTGGCGATGGCGGCAGCAGGAGTATCACATCGAAACACGTGGCACTTCAGCACCCGAGTGTTTTTGTCTCTGGCCACATAGGCAAAGTCCCTGGAGACAGGAAAGAGCCACACAAGTCAGTGTTTCCCTCCAGTGAACATCTAAGAAAATAACATATTAGCTCTTTATAACAACATTATAAAGACATCAATAACATTAGCTCTTTTTAATGCCTAACTTTACGTAAACACCTTTTATTATCTAATCTTGATTGAACGCTTGATATTGGGTGAAACAGACAAAAGTTTAAACTCAGTTTTTCTGCATAAGAAATCATGGATGAAGCTTTGTTTTCTGGGTCATTTTGACCCCAGAGCTCCCATGTTAGCCGTTAGCTTCTCTGTCTGCTGTGTAGGGCGAAAGTGAACTGCTAAAGTCATAAATCCAGTCCTAAAAGTGCAAAAGCTGCTTTGTAAACCTTTACATTAATTTAAGTTTAGCATTGTATGGTTATCTTAATGGGTTTCTTTGATCATTTGCATGCAGTTAGCAACAGCTAGCTGTTGCACTTCCTGTGCAGCCTTGGGCCATTCTGACAGGTGTATTAAACTATTTCTACCAGAATAAACATGAACCTAACAGTAATTTAAAGGTTTATAGTATTCACACAAACTGCAGATAAACTCTGTTTAGTATATTAAGGCCTTGGCCTCTCTATCCTGGTCCCACATGGCTTTTCCCCTCTGCATGACATAATCACATGTGTGCAGCGCTCTCAAGCCCCACTAAATGAGCGTGAGTGACACACTTTTTCCTGCATGCAACATTCCTCACACTGAAAAAAGAAAACAAAACAATGTAGACAAACTGCCTGATAGCATATTTTCTTCCTGAATTTAGAATGTTAGAGGATTTCCCATTTTAATATAATAAACGCATGCCTTGAATCGTGGAAAACTGTCATTTCTTCTTGCAAAAGTATGACTTTTAAACAGGGATTATTAAAGATTCTTCTTGTAAATAAACTAAATTAATCTTGACATTTCTGGGGATTTCGGCAGAAATGTACTCCTCCATAGAAATCTTTTTTCTTCCATCTAAAACGGCTCTGATACTCTACTGTAACCAAATGTCTTTGAAAAGAAGGCATGATCTCACTCTGAACTTTGCATTAATCTTCAGAGCTCTGTACGTGTCACATGTTTGATTCCACTTCCTACACCCAGACGCCTCCGTGACACGCCTTCTTTGCTCGCCGCTGGCTCCACGCTGGGCTGTGATATCACATCCTTAGTAGGAAACTCATATCAAACCACAAAAGTTTGGATCTGTCTTCTGTTTGAAACAATAACTTCAATCATTCTTCCTGCATTTATCTGATTAGTCAACTCGCTGACAATGGTGAAAAGTGGGCGAGCAAGACAAAAAAGACATTTTGTGCACATAAAAACAGAAGCAACTAAATGATTACCTCATTTTGCATCATGACACCTTCGCTCTCTCTCTAGACATTTATCAGCTGAGCTGTGCAGTAATTAGCCTCCTCATTTATGATGAAATAAAGACTTTATTTTGTGAGTAATTTTTATCCAGATGGTCTTTAGCTTTGTAGACGCTGCTGCAAAGAACTTTCCAATTACCTGGGTTTAATCTGAACACACACAGTGTTTTGTCCTAAACGTATAATTGCAGTTTCAATCTTTAACACAAACACACGTGTGTGTAAAAACTGATGTGCATCAGTGAACCCAAGGAAACTGACGCCAACAGCATCACAGTGGTGCAACGTGGTGCAGCGAAAGGGTGAGACCTGAGGGAGGAAGCTCTGCTGAGAGGAAAACTTTATGCAGAGTGTGGGTGGCAGATGAAAAGCAGACACACCTGGGATGTAGAACACACACACACACACACACACACACACACACACACACACACACACACACACACACACGCACACAGACAAGATAAAAGATGCACATATTTCTCCCTCATTAACAGGTGAGACAAGCTGCTGAGCTAAAGGAAGGTGGATGAGTCTCCAGACTGGACAGGAATGACAATGAGTAATCAGATGATACTGAGAGGAAGTAGGGAGACTACTGGACGTCTCCTGATGCAGACAAACATGCATCACACAAAGAGAAATATGGCAAACACAGCTGGCATTTATCACGGCACCCTCTTTGTGTTTATGAGTCCATTACCCGGTCTGTCTCTGCTGCTTAATTGTGTGCTCACACACTTTGGGTCGATAATGCTCTCCACCTGTGGCCAGGAAGTAAAGTGTGATAGAGGACAGGCTATCGTGTGTGTTTGTGCTGTCCAGCGCACTTCGTTCAGGGACATTTGAGCGGAAGATCGCCAAGGCAGCGTGAGTGGCCTTGCGCTGCATGCCCCAAATGATTTTTTATGACATCTCTACCCTCTCTAAGGAAGGCAGTTCAACAAAACAGCGTGCAGCTCTTAATAGGAAATAGCCTGTGGCCAGCCTGTCTCACTGATGATTTGACACCAACAATTTGGACCTACAGTAGCTGCTGCGGCATTCCCATAACGCGCTGCAGTGACTCCGGGTGAAGAAGCAAAGCCTCTGATTTGACGCCTGAAGTGACAGATGTGATTTCACAGAAGGGTGGGAATCCTGATGTAAAGATTGGAGGAAACAATAGAAGACTTAAGATTCAGTTATGGCACATCACAAAGAGCAGTTACCTTTCTCTGAGTCCATGGAAGCATAGAGGGGGGGGGGGGGGGGGATGAAATAGAGAGAAAAGAGCAGGGTTAATCTAAAAGAACCATTCTGAGTCAGAGATTGTTACCTTTCAGGCGTGTGTTTGTGTGTGACACTGTGCACGTGCTTTCAATCTCCAAAATTTTGTCATCCAGTGCATACGGAGGTATTACTGTTGCTCTTTGTCCTGATTGTTGATTCACTTTAACTTCAGCAGCTTTGGCAGCACTACGCTACGGAGCAGTCACAAAAATTACACCGTTTTCCGATAAGTGAGAGAACTCAGTAGCTTTGTCAGATCTCACAGGAAAAAAAAACATTAATAGTTTGAGAGTCCTAAAAATTGGACTTACACGACTTAACTGGCACTTTGATGTATTTTATGCTTTTTCTTCAAACACAATGATAGAAAGACAGGAAGTTTAAATCACAGTCATGCGCTGACATTGAGATGTTCAAACCTTCTGACTTAATATTTGTGTGCAGTTCATACATCAGAACATGGACATTTGTGTCCTCTTCACCTACGATGCTTTTCTCCCAGGGAGCCACCACCCTCTAGCTCCTGTAGCTAAATTAATGCTCGAAATTCTCTCCTCAAACCCGGAAGTGAAAGTTATTTAAACCTACATGAAATCTTTTGTAATATTAATTAAAACAAAATTCTAGATTTTTATTTTAAAACAACTTAAACGGTTTTCAGTGACCATTTGTTTAGAGTTTAATTTCTATCCTTGGTTTTCTGCTTCTTGTCTTGTAAATGTGGTTACCATAGTGACCCTAAAGTGGCAGCAGTATTAACATTTCTGATGCTCTTGCTTCACTTTACATTTCTTATATGGTTAAACATCTAAATGTAGGCATTTTGTCACACCTTAGATCTTTACAAATGTGATTCCCACAAAACAGCTGGTATAGAGAAGAGATGATGTGTGTGTGTGTGCTGTTTTTAATCTTTAATCTCCTGCTTTGGTTTCCTCTCCGCCTCTCATTGATCTAATAACAGTTTTCCTTTCCCTGCAGAATTAAAAAGGAAGAGGAAGGAGCTGAAAAGGATTCATGTCAGTGGAATCGCCCGTCACAGCGGCACGCCTTTTGTCAGCGATAGTCTGTTATCAGGAATACAACAGGGAAACCACGGAGCTGCTTAAGGAAAACAGGGATGACTCCAACAACCGCTGGCCTGGTGAGCCATTTTGGAAGAGCTAATGTCTCTCTCTCTCTCTCTCTCTCTCTCTCTCTCTCTCTCTCTCTCTCTCTCTCCCTCTCTCTCTCTCTCTCTCTCTCTCACTCTCTTTTTGTGTGTGTGTGTTCCTACATGTGTGTGTGTGTGTGTGAAGTTGAGAAGTGACAGGTGGCAGATTAGTTTAAGACAAGAATCAGATCTTTGAACATATGAAGAGATGCTTCAACAGGTTTTAAAACAGCATGTAGCCCCTGACACACACACACACACACACACACACACACACACACACACACACACACACACACACACACACACACACACACACACACACACACACACACACACACACACACACACACACACACATTCCCGCTCCTAGTGTTATTCAGCGCCTGTCACTCTGGTGAAACTGAATGAAACTCTCAATGGCACAAAAGCTGTTCCCTCCATTTTTACCTCCAGAAATCCCACTTTTCTCCTTCTCCAACAAGTGTGACGATGTTTTATATTCGTTGTAACTAATGAAAGAACCACCTGAAATTCAGAGCAGACTCTCACAGTTTAAATAGCCTGCAGTGCATGTCAATCACTCTGCTTTTACAGCCAGGCCGAGGGACGGCTGACAACATCTGGACATAAATCTTTGGCTCTCCATGTTGACATTTCATCAGCACTTCATTCTGAAAGTACAATCCAATAACCCTGGTCAGGTTTATTCTTAAGTTGAAGTTACCAAGTCATCTGTTGTGGCCTGAGGTCTGTGATCACTCATTGGAAATGCCACTAAAGCCAGTCACAGGTAGTTCAGCACACTACAGGGATGATGGAGAGCAACAGGGAGCAGAACCGGCACTTTAGTAACAATTCAACACCAAGGTGGCTTCAATTTTACAAATACCCAAAGGTAGAATTCAGGAGGGAAAAAAATCCTTTAATTTATGTTGGTCATCCAGTACCTCCACCACTGAGACAAGGATAAATGATAAATGACACGCACTTGTATGGCGCCTCTCAGAGTAAGAACTCCAAAGCGCTTTACACTACAGTGTATCATTCATCCATTCACATACACATTCACACACTGATGATGAGCTACTATGTAGCCACAGCTGCCCTGGGGCCACTGATGGATATCTGACCTATAAAATCTACTCTCTGTGAAACTATGGTGATGAAGAGCTGTCACGTGTA